ATTAAATTTTATTTATTTTAATTTTTTTTTTTTTTTTTAAAAAAAAATTTAATTTTTATAAATTATTTGTTATTTATGTTTGTTATATTTTGTATTATCTATTAAATTATTAATCCATTATTTATTAAATTTTTTTTAATTTTTAAATTTTCTTTTTTAATTATTGTTTATTTTAAATATAAAAAGGATTTTAAACATCAGATTAATATTTTTTATATTATATGTAATATAACTTCTAAGAAGTTTTTTTTTAAAATATTTAATTTTTATAAAAAATATATTTTTTTGATTTTGATTAATTATTTACTAGTATATTACTGTATTTTTTATATAAATTTTTATTTGCACTTCACTAAATACTTTTTGAGTTTTTAGGATGTTTGTCACCTTTCACCCCTGTTTTTTTCCTCGAATAGCTGGTATAACACTGTTTTCCCACCTAGAATAAAAGCTAGGTATAACACTGTTTTCCCACCTAGAATAAAGGCTAGTATTCTATTCTATTTTATGTTCTGGGTTTCGTTGGGTTCTGGGTTTTCTGGGGTTTTGGGATTTTTTAGAGTTTTTAAGGGTTTTCTCGTTTAATTTACTTAAAAGCGTAATGGAATCAGCGCCGGTTTTTAGTTGGAATCAGCGCTGATTTTTATGCCAAGAGAATTTTTCGCTTACACCCAACAAGTTGGAATCAGCGCTGATTCCGCTCAACTCATATCTCGTAGATTAAACTTCAACTTCAGCAATTTCGTCTAAATCACGGGCGATGCAAATACAAAAACAAACAGGAGCTCAAGACTTTAAAAGAAAAAAGAAGCAAAAAAGAAGCAAAAAATTCAAACACCCAACGGAGTGTATTCCGCCGGCGGTTCAGGTCCCATATTCACAATAATCCCGTCCTGCCAAAGCATCTCCTTATCCTTATCCCTTTCAGACTTCCCAGTATCAATGCAAGCCACCTCCAAACTAACCCACGTCCTCTCATTCGTCTTCCACGCATACGGTATCACCAACCCCAACATAAAACTACACTCCTTGATTTCCTTCATCGGAACCCCATTTTTAGATCTGGGAACTAACTCAATCTTCATAAACCCGTTCTGAAAATTCGTGAATATATTGAATCTGAGATTGCTTAGCATGCTGGGCGGATCAGGTTCATAATCTGCATCTAGCAGCGGTTTTGTTTTGCCTTCTTGGAAAGGCTCTTGTTTGAGTTTGATGGTTAGGCGTTTTATTTGGTAGTTGTATGTGGGGCGCATTTCGGGGTCGGTGGTGATGCTGAACACGAGATCGATGGGGAGGTCGCCGGCTGTGGGCACGTAGTTTGTTATGCGTTTTCCTTCCAGGGTGTAGATTTTGAAGATGAATCTTGCGCGGTCGTAGGGGTGCGCCGGTTTTGAAGGGGTCAGGTTCAGAAGATTTGGGACGAAGATTGGTGGTTCCTCTGGTGTGGGACGGACCAGTTTTTGAGGAAACAAGCGTGGTTCTGGAACTCTTTTAGGGAGTGGTGGTGGTTTGTACTTGTGAGCTGGGAAAACTGGAACATTGAATTGGAAAAGCTCGTCTGGTGGGGCGACGTAATCTTCCGTAAAGATTTTATTAATGTCCAGTGTATAGATCGGTTCATTCAATTGAAGGGCCATCATTGCAGACGTGGGTTTTTCCTCCTCGAAATAATCATTTTTCCAATCAGATTCAGGGGGTATTTCTTTCCTGAGAGTCCTCCAGACCTCTTTTGCGTATGCTTCTGTTTTGATTGTACGGGATTCCCAATCAAAGATGTCCGATTTGGATCGCGGATACTCCACATTAGTCTTCAGCGCTCTGCCTCTCTTCGCCGCGCGAGGCCCCGACAAATCGCGGTTAGGGTCTTTTGGTGCGAATATTCTCTTGATGTCCAGTTTGAGCATATCCTTGTCGAAAGTGCCGCCGACAGTGTAACACTGTTGCTGTGCGGGTAATGTGAATTTGAGGGCCCAGAGCTGAGGAGGGGCGTAGTCGAATAGGCAGAGCATGATATCCGGTGCCAATTTGCGCTGAACCAAAATTGGGGCCTTTGGCTTTTCATCCTTATCCTCCGCGGCCTTGGTCTTGTCAAATCTGGCGACAACCGTCAGTTCCGGGAACTGGACAAGGACATTCGTTCGCATCAGGAATCCGAATTTGGGCATTTGCGGGGAATAGCCAAAGTTAGGATCCTCCTTTCGAAGGTAGTCTCCGATTGCCTCTTTCAGAGCCAGGCGACAAAAATCTTCCTCTGGCTTGAACGTAAATTGGTTCGCCAAGCTGAGGGCTCCGTCTATCAATGCATCCGTCCAGTTTTCGTCGATGTAGAAAAAGCGCAGCGTTTCGTCCGGTAGATATGACTTATCTGGAATGAAGTAGTGCGCCGGTATGGACGCCATGTGCAACTTGTCGTGAATCCAGCTTTGGACCATTGCATAATCCGTATTCGAAGGTACATTGTGATAGTTATACTTGACTCCCGGTCCAGCGGTAGAACAGGCGATATCCATGGCCACTGGAACCGCATTTTCATATATTTGTGAAAATATGTGTGGTGACATGAGAGTTATATCAACGGTTTCATCAATAGATTTAGCCTGCCATCTGTTGGTGCTGACTATGGTGGTGTTGTTTGCATGTAGCGTTGAGTTTAAGCCATCGAGTCCATGGACTAGGTCTGGTATGCTCTTTAGGACTTCGTCGCGAGATACGTATTCGCCGAGCTGTTTGTGCACATTTATTTGGGAGGTTTTGAGAGATTCTATGTGCATGTGCCGTCTGACTCGCGATAGTGCAGCCGTGAAAGCTGGATCACCCATTGCCAAGGTTTTACCTAGCTGCCATGCGGCAGCATAGGAAATGTCCATCAGCCCTAGATCTGCGTCCAAAATCTGGAGATCTGTGCCAAAGTTCGATTGTACCGTCATTCCGGTCTTTGACTTGGGAGGAACAATGGTTGGCACCAAAGGCCCCCGATACATTGCGGCCGTCTCTTCCCCCGTTTTGGTTCGATGTCGGACGAGTGTGTAGCCATCTTCCTGTCGTTTCTTGATTATATCATCAATAGTTGGCTCTCGTGTCGGTCTAGCTTGGTTCGGCGGTGGTATTCCTGGATATAAAACGGTAAGGTTATCGCCTAGGTTCTGCAGGGCAGTTCTGACATCAAATGACCCAGGTGGTAGAGACGTATAGGTCCAGCTGTATAAGCTGGTCAGGATGATATTGTCCTTTAGGGAGGATATGGGGGTGCCGTCAATGTTTTCCAGAGAGACAAGGTGAGCAATCAGAGGAGTTGGCTTTTCAGTATCAAACAGCCCCGTCCTATTCGATACGATGATGCTGTACAATCCGGAGGGTCCGTACATGGCTGCCATCTGCCCTTCAGTCGACACTTCTCGGACATGGTTCATGTATTTGAATTGGGTGATATTTCCCTTGCCTTCCTTTGGATCCCCAAACAACTTTGTGAAGAGGGGCTTCTTGAGGCAGATAAGAGAGGTTTGCAGCTCTCTTTCACGTTGGTCGGGTTTGGCGGTCAAGTTCGTCATATTCTTTGTCTTTGCCGCCTCGGTGAGCTTATCATAGGAAAGCCCGACCTGAGCTTCAACCGCCGAGTTTTCATTGAGCTTTGCGCCGGGGATCTCCCCAAAGACTCCCATATCGGAGACTTGCAACTCGTCTGCGGTAAAGGTGATCAGGGCCACCCATGGAATCCTATTGCTATCATCGTCTTTTTGTCTGGCACAACCAGCAACATTTCTGGCCCATGGAAAGTGGTAGTCCTTCAACACGATGTGCGGAAGCGTCTTCGGTAGGGCGCTATGTCCAGGAGGTGGAAATACAGAGTCGACTCTTTCTTCAATCAGCTTGAAATGAGGCGCAATTACCGTGAATTGCTGCTCCACATCAACTGCATCTCTCATCTTATCCTTATCTCCAGGATAGGGAGGTAGAGTATCCTTGGGTTTTTCTGGTGGTGTATAGCCTGCCAGAGAAATTCGTTGCTCGACTTTGATGGTGTGCTTACCTCCCTCCATTGAGGGGAGGTAGTAGGATCGAAATGCCGCTTCTCCTGGCTTCAATTTCGGCATTGTGTTTTTGAGGATGCGCTCCTCGTGCCATAGTGTGAGGTAGCGGTAAGGTATGCCAACCATTTTTGCAGTTCTATAGTGCTATAGTGGATATTACTGAGATACTTATGGGTTCCTAGTACGGAAATGACCGTGGTGGTAGAGTGCGCAGCGGAGGGCAACACTTGCGGCACGCACCTGATTTTGTGTTGCTGCTAAGGATAAGGGTGGAGGAAGAATGGAAATTTCTCAAGGCCTCAGAGGTGGGAGAAGGGCCTTTAAGTAGACTTGGTCGAGCCTATACATCAAAGGTGGGGTAGGTATTAATTTCCGTGTCCGTGGTTTTCAGCTGGAACCTATCCCGGATATGTAGTCCGTGTAGCGATATAGCTGAGATCCTCGAATTTGAAATCGCGGGCTCAAATTGAGATCACTATTAGTTTGTGGACTGTTTTGACTACTTGTAGATATCACGAAACATCGATATATCAATGTTGACACAAATTGAAGCTTGGTGATGCTAGATACACATATACTAGGAGATGAATTGGCCTTTTCTGCCAAACAAGCTAAAAACTTCATAATTACAATACAAATCTCATAAAGTTTCGCAAAATAATATCCTCACGATGTCTGTTCTGAAGGTGCATCTGCAAGTTGCAGATACCCTTCAATAGCCGTATAGGGCCCTTCCTCAAGTCTCGACTTCATATCGAGCGCATCGATCGCCAAACCCATATACGACTCCTTGGGATCATTCAGATCGTCATTAGGAGGAGGAGGAGGGCAGATTGGATCCCCAGCCAGCGTGGGATCGCCAGGCTTCGGCTCAAGCTTAGGTTCAGGCACATAAGGTTGCAGCCAAGTCCACTGATCTCCAGAAACCGAGGGCAACTGCACTCCGATCTCATTCTTATCTTTCTTCAGAACCTTCTTGACAGGAGTGTCAGCAGTCAGCTCTTTACTGACATCGAAAGGAGGGACATCTTGCACGACTAAAACGGGGCCCGCATGAAAAAAGGCCTTCATCTTCTCAATGGCAGTTTGCCATTGCCAATTTGGCAAAACAATCTCTTTAACGGGTAGAATTCCGCTGTATGCGTGAATAGGCGAAAATGGGTCTACTAAGGCCCCAAAAGTGTGCTTTGACAGCTCAGTGTTGTAAGCTGTTTCATAAGCTATGGCACTTTTGCTTTCTGGGGGAATGTAGTGGCTTTCAAAGACCGGGTAGTTGCCTTTATCGATGATTTTCAGAAATTTATACTCTTCTTTTCCGAGGTTTGGGTCCCGAATATCGTTGCCACTGTAATGAGAATAAAAATTATCAAGATGAAGCGCATCGCCAAATGTGCATTCCCTTGAAGGCTTTCCTTGGAAATAACCAACGAGGCCGTCGAAGCCGCGTTGTTTATCTCCGAGTTTAACCTCAAACTGATAGGTTGGGCGTCCGATTGTTGGACCACTCGGTTTGTCAGTGATGGGACTCGGGAGTAGCCACTTCTCTGGGGCGAGATCTCCGACAAGTTGGCTTGAGAGCTCATTTGCTGCGAGTTCGAGTGACCAGCCCATGTTCACAAGCGCCAAAGGGCGTCCAATGAGGGAGCTGGTGAACTCTGAGTACGCACTCGGTGGAGCTTGTAGTTGAACTGTCGCGGAATTGATCATTCCGACGAATTCAGTGAGGTACTTGTCGCACCCAAGCTTTGCAACGAGGAGAGAAAGTTGCTGCATTTCATAGGTGTTTCCAAAATTTGGATCTTTGGGTTTCTTGAATGGAAGCCATGCGGGTGAAGTCACCGACCCTTGACTTGCATCACCGAGACGGATTTCTCTGTAGAAGGTTCCGTCTGGGAGGAAGACTTGGACACCCGAGTTGGCGTAATTGACGACAACCCATCCCCAAACCGGCTTGTCCCACTCATTCGTGGTACGCCAGAAAGGAGGTTCAGGTGGGGGTGGGGGTAGCTCGGGGTTCCCGGGCTCTTCGGGATCGCCGGGTATCTCAGGGTTCTCAAATACCCCCGATACCATTTCGACTGGCGGCCTTCCGGCTTCTTTCTTCCCTACTTGGGGAACAAGAAATGCGCCGTTGAGTCTACAGGGTTGATGAATAGTAGGAGGAACCTGGATGTATTCACATCTGGTCGGATCATCCTTATCATCCTCAATAACATTGGGCTCGTTGGGAAACTCTGGGCGTGGGTGAGGTTTGTACCAATCACTGATACACGGCCAAATCTTGTTCGGCGTTTTTGAAGGACGGGGATCAATCGCGGTGATTGTTTGTCCGAATTTGTCAATGATATTAAGCTTGGTGAATTTGAACTGGCCATGGGCCACTGGCTTGAAGATGGAAACACCATTGCTTGGTTCCTTTTTGCTGGTTCCGTAGGGCGTGACATCGGATTCGATACCAATCTTGGCGAGGCGGCCTCCGTCCAGGCCTGCTTTTTCTCTCAGAGCCTCTGGAACTACAATCAAGTCGCCTGTATCTGGCTTTTTGAGAATCGGCTTGACGTGATTTCCTTGCTCAAGAGTAACGAGATGACTAGAGAAGCCAGCTAAGGGTCCCGAGATAAAGCCAAGCTGCCGTAGCTTGCTCTTGATGAACTCTTCATCCCCAGCAAGTAGGCCTGTGCCCGGTGGCAAAGCCGGAGTATCATCGAAAAATTGCCGGATTTTAGCCTCTAGTGAGAAACTAGGTTGAGGAAGAACGAGAACTCGGCCAGAGAGTCTTCTGTAATCGCGGTCCTTCAACGCGATACTTTCGAGTTCTTTTTGAATATCGACGTCTTCTTTGATAACATAGTGAATTGTATTGGGTTCAGCGTGGGTTTTGTCATGCTGCTTCAGCGTCCAAAATTTTTCGTAGTCTAGATGAGCGTATTCAACCTCCCATTCAAGGAATAGGGGAAACCATGGCTGAGTGTCATTCCAAAGATCACGCCATGGGCCCCGTATGGGCTGTTTGTTGTCGTCTTGATCGATTTCCAGTTGGTCGTGGTATAGAGGAGATTGCTTTGCGATAGAGCCTATTGGGTCCTTGACCCGGGTTGTTTCAAGGAGGACAAATTCGTTGATTAAACTCTTCATTGACTTTGAAAGATCAGGTATGACCTTTTCAATCTGTCCAATTGAATCTGACCAATCTTCACCACCAATTAATGAAAAAGGTGTGTCGCTCCCTTGGACCTGGGAATCAAGCCGAAACTTGAGCGTTTCCAGGTAATCCGGCTGCCAACCAGATTTGACCCCTCCAACAAGAAGGGTTGGGTCGCGTTGCTGGTAGTATGTAGGGCGACTGCCAGGTAAGAAGTTCTTGTTGGCTGCTGTGAGATCTTGAATTTTAGCGTGAACTAGCAGTGCTTGATTTTCCAGATCCTTGATCAGAATATCAAGCTGCTCGACTATTTCACGAGTCTTGTCGGTGTTGTCGTCCTTTGGTTGTTCTCCGAGAATGCAATACTTCCACCATTCTGAAAACATTCTCCACCGCAGCTGTTTTACTCTTCTGCTAAGAGCGTCAAAGAGCGCTTGGTGGCGGTTTAGATCAGACAGGTTTGTGAGAGTGGTATCTGGTAAGCCAGCACCTGATCCGGGTTTGTCATCACCACCGGCGACATAATACCGCTGACCGCCTTCAAATCGAGAGTAGTTCCAGTTGTAAAGCAGATCCTTTGCTTCAAATTGGGTCTCGACTCCGTCATCCTTGATTAGCAAGAACTTTTCCAGTTTGCTGATGATGATTTCCAACCTTTTGATGGTTGGGTTCTGCTCGATATCTTTATGCGCCTCGGCATAAGTGGTGAGGGCATCCAGTGGCGTAGTACCAACAGAGACTGGCAATGTGCCGTTTACGAGACGTGCGTAGTCGTCTCCTGGCACATTGGCGGGGGCCTCCTCAGAGTTCCACTTGACATCGTAGATGGTACCATGGCAGACGCTTCTGGTTCCTTTAGGGGAGTTGAGCCATGTTCTCATGTCTTCAGTGACATCTTCATCTGCGTTCTTTTGGGAACCCTTGATTTCCATCTTTAGATTGGAAAGCGTGTCTCTTCTCGGTGTTTGGTTGCCCTCTTCAATGTAGAATAGGTCTTTCTCGAGTCTCCAGTTCCAGCCGATGACGTAGTAGCTTGCATCGACCTTAGTAAGATATTGACCAGGTGCATACTCAAAGTTATCCACCATGGAAAACACATTGGAGCAGTGAGGCTGATAGTCTGGGAAAAGTTGATTCGAGGAACTCAACAGTTTAAGATCTACTCGGGCTTTGCTTTCACCCTCTTCTGTCCAGTCTTTTAGGGGAGCCTTCTTTCCGATAAAGACCTCAGCTTGATCATCAAGAGGGACGTTCGGTATTTCGGGGTTGTCGTTGGCAGTAGCAAAGATGAAAGGCGAAACATCGACTTGGAGGTCAACATCGTCGTCCAACTCTTCCATCTTCCATCTGCGATCGCTTTCCACGACCCAGCAAGTGACTTTCTTGACGAAATTCCGCGCTTCTTCGGGCTGTACACTTCCCAAATCACTGATTTTTCTGATGACAAGCCATCTCGCCGGTGCATTGGGAAATTGGGGTGTAGTTTCATCTTGTTTGGCGGACGTGACTCCGGCAAGCTTGCCCGAAACACCTGATGCTTTGGGTTTTGTTTCGGTAATGCCACTTCTGTAGACGAGAGGCATAGTCCAGTGTAGATACACACCCTGCCGTTTCCGAAAGGGCTTTCCTGTTCCCAAATCTGTGAATCGAGAGTTTTTCCATGCAGGCCATGCATTGTGGAGGTCGGCATGGTGCATGATGTCGGCCTGAAGATAGCCATCACCAAGCCTCAGAAAACTGTAGTTTGGCTGCGTTATGGGTGCAATTTTGACTCTGTCTTTGTCGCTATCGCATACAGGCTTGTTGAAGATGAAGGCATCCAGTTTTACTGGGATGAGGACGTTTTGGTCCGCCATGCTGTTGTTTGTGAAGGTCTTGATGCTCTGGTAGATCTTCAAAGCCAACAGCTATTCAGAAAACTGGGTATTCTCTGTAGAAGATAAAAGAGGGTTTTATGGATGAGAATGTGGTAGATTCGACGTTGGTTAGAACGTGAACCAGCGCTCCTGAGCCTCTCTCGAAACTGTAGTGTGGGAAGCTGTAAATGGAGTCTGAAGGCTTGGGAATCAGAGTGTAGAGAATTGTCATGAGAGATGAAGCTTTCAAAAAAAAAAGATGCTATTTTTTTTTACCCGCAAAGATATTCCTCCTACTTCCCATAGCTGTATGGATGGGTATGGGGTAATTATCGACCGCAGTCGCAAGCCCTTCTTCAGCTGGTAGCTTAGTCTGGATTCGTTTAAGACTCTGGGTGCGGGTGTGTTGCCGTTCAAAATACAACAGAGGTCAGCCAATGCCCAGCAACTTCCGCCAAATGGCATCAATTGCCCCTTACACTTCAATGCGATGACTTGATATGCCGCGATGCGATGCCATGCAATGCACCCTCCACTGTGCAATGAAATCGAGAGCTGATATAGATATCAAGAATGTCTCAGGTACGCCGTTGACAGGGCTGAGATGTCTTATTTGGTCTAGAAATTAGTGCGTGCCCCGCACAACTGCCCCAACCAGGACTGTGCCCGCTCAGACTGCGCGATCGAAACTCTCGGTTTTCATCCCTCATTTACATATCACGAGGACTAGATTGGTCGCAACCAGAACTGAAAACGAGTAGCCTCGAGTCCAGGTGCGAAAACAAGCGACCAAAATGAGCCTGCGCCTGCATGCAGAATGCAAGCCTCTGGAAAGTCGGGTCTAACCTGTGTGGGATGGGCTCCTATTCTGGTCTAGTCTGGCGCCGCACCGTTTAATCCGGCCCTCGGATTGGCTTCGCACACCGGAACTTTCAGGTGTGCATGCCTCACAATTTTCCAAGGGCCATGCAGCAGACCCATCTCTTGCTAATTGCCCCACTTCAGCCGTGAAAGGCTGCGAGATATGTAAGGCGTTCGCATTCGCAACCACATATATTCACAGCAAATTCCTAGGTATTTTCTTATCTATCCGTCCGACCCGCACTCTTGGACCCGCCGCAGCAATGACCGACACAGGGTCTTTGTCCTAAAGAAGAAGGGGGGGCATTTTTTGTGGTTCCTCAGAGGGTTCGAGGCCCCACATTTTTCTGCAAGTCGGGCTTAATGACCCTCCCATATAACCTTATATGGTATTCAGATTAATAATTTTTTACATTGTCGCACCCTCCGACAATAAATTAATAAATTGGAAGCTGAGCCCTTTTAGCATGAAGAAGCTTGCGTGATTGCCGGGACGGCTGATATTGATTGGTCACATGCGGCGGTTTCTCACGTTTTTGAGTAGAGATGCATCGATGGCGTCTCTCTCAGCCAGAAGCCTTTTTGAAATTGAGAGTGATAGATGCCGACCAAGACCGCGACGGCGATGCGATGACTGAACACTAAATTTCAGCCTTCGGTGTATCCCGGCGCGAATTGGAAGCAGGAATTTGCCTGCCAATCAGGGGATATCGCCGGCATCAGTTGAATTTCCCCGAATGCGAAGGCTAAAACGTGGGATACGTTCTCCCCACAGATACTGTTCGCATAGACTCATTGGCTTCTTGGCTTTTTGTAAAGACGAAGGCCCCCTAATTCTCAGCGTCTATATACCGAGTGGGGTCGGCTTGTTAACTGACTTTCGATATTTCAACTTCAGGGGTTCTCCATATCGATATTTTCTTGCTTTCAAACTTGAGTTTTTTTGAGCGATGTCTATTGCAGGATCGCAAGCTACCAGAGCCCAACCAAACAACCCAATTGTCGGCCCATCCAGTACTTCTGCTCCTGCTCCTGCTCCTGCTCCTGTCCCACCTGTGACGAGACAGCCACCTGCACCGGCACCTACGTTACCTCGTCCTGTACTCCCTACGCCTACACTTGCACTCGCAGATAACACACCAAAGATGGCTGCCGTCACTGCTCTCATCAATCCCTTGACCGCCTGCAAAGGCGGGAAGACCAAGGTCTCGATTTACTCCCTGCTAAGCACAGGAAAGCTTGCTTTCGAGCAAAGGCTTCTCGGGGACGCCACCAGCAAACTCAGAGGTGCTGGAGGTGCTGCTCAGTTGCAAAACATGTCTTATCTTTCATCGATGGTTATCGACGATGATGTAGGTTCCCAATATTAATGCACCCGCATTTACGCATTCTTGAGAGTTCAATAATAACTAACTAATATTTTTGACTGCAGGTTCATGTCTTCGGCGTCAATACCGATAAAAAGCTCGCTTTAGTCAGTCCAGCATACCAAGCTACTGATTTGGTGATCGAAAGTGGATATTTCGCTGGATGCAGCGATGGAGAGTCTGATGGGTGGTTTTTCTTCCAATCGTAAGTCATAGCAATGTTATCGGCCACGCGAGAGATGGGCAAACAGCTTACAAGCCCTGAATCCCTACAGTGAAGACGTGGCAACAAGTACATATCCACTTTACGAAATGCCTGTCTGGGGCACCAAACTCGAGAATGCCAAAAAATTAGAAGGGCTCATCGCACCTTGCAAAAAGACATCGATTGCTGCTTGCTATGATGGCGAGCACCGATGGATCGCATATCAGAGTTCCGAAAATGCCATTGTTCTCAGAAACATCGACACTGATAAACGTATGTATACAACATTATAACCTGAAATCTCGTATAATGCCTTTATCTGACTTTTCGTTTGTTTTTTAGATGCCATTGTTGAAGACTCAAGATGGACGACGAAACTCGCCTCACCAATCGGCGTCGTTTATGTCCCCGGCCACAGCACTCGTGGACACATTTTCATCTACTATCTTCATCAGGATTTGTCTTTGAGAAGAGCTTTCGTTGAAATCGATGAAACCTTCGACTTCAGAGGCTACGGAGAACAGGTTGTTGTTGATAAGGCAGTCAACATCGCCAGTTTCACTCAATTGACTATCGTTGCTGATCCAACGTGCAAGTCAAATTATATCTATGCAGCCAGAAACCCCACCACTACTCAGGTCGCCACGATTCCTGACAACTGGGGTGCATCCATCACCAGGCTGCAAGAATACTACTACAGCCAGATCAAGCATAACCACCTGATCGGAAACGAGAAGGAGGGGCATCATCACGGCCCAGGACACGTCCACCATGAAAATAACGGTGGTGATGGCTTTCCTTACTTCCCAGGTCGCCCTGGATCTGAGCACGGCGGTCATAACGGCGGTATTCACTTTGGGGGCCATGAACACCCCCATGGATGGAGAAGCCCACCTCCTTCATACGGCGGGCATAGCTATAACGGAGGGCTCTATTCCCATGGCCGCCACGCACGCGGCCTTCCTTTTGGCGATATGAACGATCTAGAGGTCGAGCTTGGCAAAGTCAAGATGAACGCATTGCTGAAGATGCACCTCGGTGAGCCACGCGTTGAATATTACAACAAGCCGGTGCACTATGGTGGGCATCAGTAGCACCAGCATGCACACATAGTTTGAGGTGGTCTGGTATCTTGGGAAGCTGGGATTGCAACTTAACTGAATACCATGTAATTTGACTTTTTTTCCTCTTTCTTTTTGCGGATATCCCATTCTTTTTCCTTTGTCGTTATCGCCATTCCGATCGTTTGCTCATGCATCTCCGTATATAGTTTTTTTTCTTATGTTTTCTGATTAGTATATGCCTATAAATTTCTCTCTTTCTTTTTTCTTCGGTGGACTCCTAGGATCCCCCATGTGATATGGTGATTTGCTATGATTTACGGAGCCGAAAAGTTCCAGATCGATGGCCAAAAGCCATCTATGAGAACACTGCCAACTTGATGGCAAAAGCTTGAATCGACGATGCTCATCGATACGTCGATGCATCGCATGAATGAGCCGGTGAATCTGCAGTGCACTGATTGATTGTCCCGCGCAAGGCTGAAAAGCCATAATGCTTTTGTTTCGCCGTTGAAAGTGATACATTTGCCGTTCTCAAATGTTCCGAGTGCGGATTATCAGCTGCATGGTACCAAACTTGTTGCCGCTGTGCAATTTAGGAATGAAAAGCATATTTGTGAGTGAATAGTCGAATGATTGCCGTTCTCGATTTGCGAGTGCGATTGTCCATATGGGGGGCTAAACTGGTTGCCGCTGCGCACTTAGGATGAAGATATCCACTCTTGGCTCCCCACCCTCTGGTTTACGAGAAAATCCCCACCACCCCTGGCTCAGACAAAAATCACGCGGGGTCGGCCGCTTTGAAACTTGTGCGGGGGCTGAAGATTCTGCGCTAGGATCCAGGCCGGGGCTTGAGTGAGAACCCGTGTTGGCTGGCACCGCGAGACCCAAATGATGGCGCTCTTCAGGCGGCAGGTCTCGATCGCTTCGACATTGGAGCTGAGCCGGCATCGATGCGAAATTCGGTACTCAGAGCCCGGCATCCTAGTCGATTGATATCTATTCCAAATGTGCAATTCAGCTTTCCCACGTATGTCGGGGACTGGCGGGTGCACTGCAGCACTGTCTCCTTCCGAACTATTAACATGCCATGTAAATTGCGACGCTTTATTTTTCGCTCCATTTCAAAAGTTGATAGCGTTCCAGGACACGAGCGACAAAACTTTTCACAATACCACCCTCTCGCGCAATATCTATTTTCAAACGATAGCTCTCCTCGTACATTTCCTATTTTCAAAGCGTCCCTATTCTAATAGTATTCCCATCTTGCCTGCCTTCCTGTACTCGTACAGTACCACCCCTCGTATAGCACTTACCCTCGCATAACATCTATTCTTACATAATATCAATCGGGATATCCTTTAGTTCGCTATTTTGCTATTCATCAGTAGCCTCGAGACCAGGCGATTCATCAGTGGATCTTTTTATGGCGGCAGCTTGCTTCATACGACAGACCTAAGCTCACACGATACCACATAATCCTGAGCTGGGCATCATACGCTCGGCCGGTCTAAACGGCAGCGATGGGTAAGAAAACGCCGGAGCATAAGCCGGGATGGGGCTCCGAATACTACTACACAGTAGAGTCATTTCACATCAATGTCGGTTCTGGAGATGGCGCCATACATATAATGACCTATGGCGATGATAACACCACCACCCAACGCCAAGTGGTCAGGGCGGTTTTCATGGATGGTGGCAGACTTGAAGGTGCCGATAACAAAAACAAAAAAGTTGCAAAGGGCTTAAATCATCAGAATCGATGGACCGTCAACCGGACGATCGAATATATCGAGAAAAACTACGACTGCCAAAATAAGCATGATAATAGGCTACGGTTCAATTATTTCATTGTCACGCATTGGGACTCGGATCACTACGCTGGTATCATCAGGGCGCTGAATGTTTTCATGAGAGAATCGTGGAGTTCGAATTTTGTAATCAATGGTAAAATATGTATGAACAGAGCCTTTTTCAAAACAGACGGAAGCCCCGAGTCATTCTTTGTGGCACCCTACTTCACGAAGGCGGTAACCAAGGTCCAAGCCAAGGGCAAGGACTGGGATGGTACGACCCTAGATAATCTACGCGGTCGCCTTGAAGGAAGGTTCGATGACTTGTTGCACGTGGATTATACCACACTTTTGGTAGATATTGCAAATCCTGGCTTGTTTGGTGGGTGGGGCAAGCAGCAACTTCAGTTAAGGACCGAGTGTGAGAATCTTCTCGGTCGAAATTTCCTTCAAGATGAAGATCAGGGCGATATCCCTGCGAATCCGGATGGTGTCTCCAGCCTGACAGATCTAATCAACGATTTTCCACCACAACTTCACAAGCCATTTGACGGTCATGATTTGGCAAAGGATGAAAAACCCAAGAAAATACCAGCAATGTACTGCATAGCTGTGAATCAACGCACAATGGGCAAATACCCTTTTGGAATATACACAACGCTCACAAATAAGTCGTCCATAGTTTGCATGATTGTATGGAAAGATGGTATTGCGAATCATCGATCTCATTACCTTGCTGGGGATGCGGACTTGAAACTTGAACAGAGGCTCCTTGGTTGGATAGTTCCCGGTTGGGATGACCAAAATGTTACCGTTCCTTCATGCTCGAGCATGAAACTCAGCCACCACGGCTCTAGATCATCAAACCCATTGGATATGATGATGGCATTGAATCCGCTTAGCATTTTTGCGTCAGCAGGCTCGGTGAAGTCTCATGCACATCCCCGTAAGTAATACGAAACTTAAATGATACAACATATTTCGGCGTTCTGCAGCGTCCAGACTACGTTCTGCATTTACTAATATGCCTTTTTTGAGTATAGGATGGGAGCTCCTTGCGTTTATGGATATCTGGGACCTGACTAGAGATGAAACTGGAAAGAATGAGGACAATCCTTATCATGAAAATCTGTTCTTCTTGACTTGCTACCCAATTTGGTTAACGCTAGATCACAATAAATTCTCCCTTGCAGAAAGAAATACGAGGGAGTTGACATCGAAAAGCTTCGAAGATGAATATACAGAATTGGTCAATGCATACGATGTGCTCAACCCGGGAAAGCCTCTCGACGCTCGGGGTCTTTTAGCGGGCTGGCACAATCTGAAGAATAAGAATATTACTCAGGCACAGTACATATGTGGTAGACTATGCGCTCGTCTGGAGCAGATCTCCCATATCCGACCCGGCAATCTTGACCTCAAAGCGGGTGGAGTAGCCTTAGCCCAGGGCAACCCAGTTATGACTACAAACTCAAGTAATGTCATTTTTGTTCAGATCTCGTCTGTCGGAGAGCGGAGCTTGGAAGGGGTGACCCGTATACATATGACGGGGGTATCCCCTAACAGCGGTCGTATACATCACGCACCATTGCGCAAATACCTGGCTGAGAAACCCGATTGGGCGGTGCAACAGCCCCCAAAGGGTATAGACGATAGCGACGACCGCGGGGTATCAAAAAATAGACTTAAAAAACTGGCCAGGGAAACGAACACATTGCGAAAACATCCCATGAAAACTAGAAGCCAGAAGAAGGGGGAGGAGGAAGGGAATGGAATCTCCAGAATATTCTCAGAGGAAGACGAGGTCTGGGACTTGGCCTCTCTTGAGGATGAATTTTTGGAGGATTTTGGCGATGAGGACGATTTTGCATCAATATCAAGATTGAAGCCCAGCCAATCGCAAAGTCTTCTTCGACTCGATCAACCACATTATTTGGTTCCGGAGACGTTGAGCACGCCCCCCGCGAATGCTTGCGTCGTTCGATTACCAGCAGCCCACCCAATGTTTGATTTTATGGAAGAAATGGCATGGCGGTTGCTCATTGTTGACCAAAAACCCGTCTCCGGAAAGGATATTCCCATTTCGGAAGCAGACGAAGTCGCCAAATGGTTTGCCACGGTCCACGGGAATAAAGCACTGCCGCTATCAATCAGATTTGAAACCTGGCCACCACCCAACGCCGTCAGCACATCAGACCGCGATATCACTTTGGATGCAACCACCATCCCGGTTTTATCATTCGATTTCTTGATCGGTGAAAACAAGATCATGATGGACACAACTTCAGCTGCGGGTGTTCTGGATGGGCTCGATAAGTCCGTACTGCAGGACATGACGGATATCTACGCGATGCTGATATTCGGACTCAATCCTGCCACTCCTAGCTTCGAGGTGTCTCTCACAGACGTTGCAAAGTTCTTTGGTTATTCAATGGACGACTTCTTATTATTTAGGATTTTGGGCCAAATGACTCTAAAACTTGACATTGAGTCTACCACCGCGACAGAGAGGAAACGCAATGCTCTCTGGTTCAGTCCCGGTCAAAATTGGGAAACTGTGCTTCGACTTCAATTCCTCGCGGAGACTCCAACCATCAATGACCTACTTCGACAACATTTAAGCGATTTCAGTATCTCGAATGCGAAAGTGATTGGCAAGACTATCGCGACTCGAAAAACGGAAAGATCTGGAGATGTAGCTGCCTGCGAGAGTCAACTTACATTCATGTTAGACTTTGATATCGGTGTGATTAAGTTGGAAGCATCCTTAGAACTCTCAGAAACTGAGGTCTTGCTGCGGCTTCGCAATAACCAATCGCCAAAGATGGGCCTGCAAGATATCCTCTCTTGGTTAGGCAAGAAGCTTGGTGAGAACACCTTGAACCTAAATGAGCTTCTCCAATCAGCGAGTGAAATACTTGATGCATCTAAAGTCGTCTTCCGCGGCTTGGATATCGTTCTTGCCGTAGGCGAAGATGGGAAGCTCACTGAGATAGATAGAATCGGTATATCATTTCAAGTACAGGTGAAAATTGGGGAATACGACGAATTCAAGGGTCAATACCCAGTAGTCTTTCGGTTTGACTTCGAATGGTCGAGGGCATTCGGGCCATCTCTCGAGGGATCTTTATGGCTACGTGAGTCAATTCAACCTATTCTTCTGTCCTTCGATTGTACACTGACATAAGCTCCATAAACATAGCTACCCCCGATTTTAAGTTAGGAAAATACATAAAAGCAACCCCAGGCTGGGAACGCCATAAAGTCTTCGAGCCTCTGACGGATGACCCTTCAAAGAACGCTGACAGCCTTAACCTCAAAACCCTAGTGTCATCGGAAACAGTCGACAACATCCCCAAAGGTATACCTACAGACATAACCCAGCTCTCAATCCGCATTACCAAGACTGGTATCCGCTTCCAAGGAAAGATTCAATGCGAAAAGCCCCAAGATGATGAGCAAAGCAAAGTTCCACAGCTCTACCTGGATGAAGTCAGGCTGGCAGCTGAATACAATTGGGCCAAAGAGACCCGCGGCTTCCATGTCTCCCTTGGCGTTGATATCTATCTTGACCCGCCAAATACAAATTCGAAGGGGGAGATGTTGCCAGATCTCGAACCTGCTAGATTCAGAGGGGACGTGATTTATGATAGCACTGATAAGTCATGGGCGCTCAGTGCTCATCTGGAAGACTTGACTGTCGCACACATCGCATCCTTCTGGAGCGAGCGATCACGAGGTGGAGCCATGGCGTTCTTGGAACGGATGGTCATCAATTACATTGAGCTCGACTACTACTATAACGGCTCCAGTGGCGCAAAAAGCTTCACTTTTAAAGGTTTCCTCTCGGTCGGTTTGCTCAACTTTGATTTGAAATATGAAAATAGGGGTGAAGGAGACTGGGAATTTGTAGCCAGTGTGGGCGCGGGCGCAAACACAAACGGTGCCACAATCAAAGGCATTCTTACCGACTTCATTGGAGAACCACCTGAGGAGCTTCCTGAAGCCGTGGGTGATATTGAAATCGGCGCACCCGAGTCAGGGGGCGAACTGATAAAGTTCCGATGTTTCGAAAAAGAGGAACACACTGTCTTCATGTTCACCCTCAAAGTCTCCAAGATTTCTCTTTCGTTCATGCAAATCCGGAAGATTGTCGCAGGAGAAGAGGGCAAGAATGTCAAACCCAAGAGGATTATCAAAGCTGCAATCACGGATATCCCAACCATCGATGTCGGAATCATTGGCAAGCTCCCACAGCCCTTCGACCAGCTCTTCTTCCTATGGACTAGCGATCCAGGGGCAGAGCTGACTAAGGCCACGGACAACAAGCCCCGCGGATTACTCAAATCCGAGCTAGACATCATCAACAGCGTCGAGAACCAAGCAGCTACCGAAAAGCTATTCTTCAAGAAGATCAAGCCAGATCCAGAGTATAAACCAGGCGACGTGGTCATTAGCTCCGGCTCCCATATCTTCATTGTAATGAAGAAACCCGGCGGCGAATCAAACGTCCTGCTCGACTACGCCTTCAAGAAATCCGGAGCGAATGAGAAACCCAAGGCTCTTACTTCCGGAAACGACCTGGGCGCCAATGACGGAGAAGCACCTGCCGGTGACAACAAGGGCTCCAAGGCGCCCCTAAAGAAATCAATCGGCCCACTTTCCATCGAGAACATCGGCCTCATTTACAAGAACGGAGAGCTAGGAGTCATGTTTGACGCCACCTTCTTGATGGGACCAATTGGCCTTTCCCTGCTGGGTTTTGGGGTCAAAGTGCCCTTCAACAAGGAGTACAACCTCAAGAATCCACCGCCCATCAGCAAAGTGAGCTTCCAGCTAGAAGGGATGGTTGTGTCCTTTGACAGACCGCCATTGACTGTCGCAGGAGGCTTCAAGAGGTCTGAGAAGGATGGAATCATAAGCTATGCTGGTGGTCTCATCATCAAATTCGATCCCTGGCAACTCCAGGCTGCTGGAGTGTATGCTTCTGTTCCGAGGAAGTGGAATAAAACAAAAGCAATCACGGGTGGAAACGAGGTTGTATCGGTTAACGACAATCCTCAAGATTTGAATGATAAATTCACAATGGTGTTTATATACTTCAAACTTAACGGTCCGTTGTTCAGCGTGGGTTTTGCCGATATTTCTGGTCTCACAGGCGGGTTTGGTGTCAACTCAGACATCACTGTTCCAACCATCGAGCAAGTCGTCATGTTCCCATTCGTTAAGCCCGGTGGAACCGGCGATCCGAATGACTCCCCGCTTGCGACCATCAATGGACTATTGAACGGGACCTGGTTCAATCCATCTGAAGGCAAATTCTGGGTAGCAGCTGGCCTCAAAGTCAGCGCATTCCAGATGCTCAACGTCGACGCCGTTCTCGTTCTCAAATTCAACCCAGGCGTACAAATGGGTATCTACGGAGTAGCCACTTGTGACGTCCCCTCCTCCAAGTCTCCAGTCAAATTCGCATACGTCGAGATGGGCATATCCTGCACGCTAGACGTAGAGGCCGGGACCTTCAAGGTGGAAGCCCAGCTGTCTCCCAAGTCATTCGTGCTACACCCAAGTTGCCATTTGACTGGTGGCTTTGCTCTGTTCTCCTGGTTTAAAGACGGCGAGAATGCAGTCGCCGGAGACTGGGTCATGACCATTGGTGGGTACCATCAAGCCTTTGTTGCGCCGAAGCAATACCCCAAACCACCCAGACTACGAATCAGTTGGTCGCTGGATGACCACTTGAGTGTTAGTGGAGAAGCATACTTTGCAATCACCCCCAAAGTCTGCATGGGCGGCGGTAGATTACACGCCGCACTCTCGCTTGGCGCGCTCTACGCCTTCTTCGACGCCTACGTGGACTTTTTGATCAACTTCAAACCATTCCACTTCCAAGCAGAGGGTGGAGTGTCCGTTGGCGTTCGCTTTACGCTTGATCTTTGGTTGGTCACCATCCGCATCAGCGTGGAGATTGGAGCCACTTTGAAATTGCGCGGCCCACCAATGGGTGGAATCGTCCATGTCGACTTTTGGGTATTCGGATTCGATATCGGATTTGGTGAAAGCCCTAGACCTGCACCAAAACTATCAATCGAAGAGTTCTTCCAAACTGCCCTAAAGGACTCAAAACCCACACAAGGAGCAATGCTTTCCCTCACAAACGGTCCGGACAAATACACCTCTTCTGAGGATGATGTCGAAGAACAAGCTGCTGTCGAAAAGGCATTTTTGATCACCTGCGAATCCGGTCTTGAACCAGAAGACAAGAAAGAAACCAAAGAAGGGGATGCATGGTGGGTTCGTCCGGACGACTTTGGGTTCCAAACTACCTTGAAATTCGCAGCAAACGATATTACGTTCATCAAGGATTTCAGGGTTGATAACAATATGTTGCTATCAAAAGCGACGAGGCAAACTGTTGCTGTTCCGGAGAGGTGCAAGAACATCTATGCCCGCCCGATGGAAGTCACGGAGAGTGTAAAGTCTGCAGTTACGGTTACAGTGTACCAATACTCCAAGGATGTGTGCGCGTTGCGTAATACCGATCCAGGTGATATGTTGGCGTTCATGCTTTTGGACAGGCAGTGGCAAGTTGAAGCTATTGAAAAAGCAGTTCCGACTTCTGTTTGGGGAAAATTTAAGTAGCTCTTTTCTCCTCCTCTTTATCCTTTTCCATCTATATATTTTTTGAACACGTTTGACTGATAACTTTGCAGACGACCCCAAAACCGACCCCCAACGCAGCGGCAACAAATCCTCCGAACTCCTCAGCGGCACCAACGTTTCCATCCCGCTAGTAATGGGCCTCAAAATCAAACCCCCAGCACCAGAAATGTCCCCCGACTACATCCAGCAATTCAACATTGTAAAAGACATGAAGCAATCAGTATACACCGACAGCACCGTAATCGGTTTCCCGACAGCACAGGAGGGTTCGAACAGTTGGTTGCCCAGGCGGGGTGCGAAATTGGATGCAAATCAGGTGGTGACTACTTGGGAGAATTCGAAATTTGATCCCGCCACGGTGGTTACGGCGTGGGCGTTGAAGATGAAGTATAAGGAGGGCACAACTGTTACCGGTGCTAGACCGAAGGAGTTGTTGAATCGGTATAAGCAGATGGTGCCTGCTATGCCTCTGGTTGCGGTTGGTAGTTCTAGTTGATTTGATTTGATGATGATTGGTGTTGCTTTTTTGGATTTCAGAACTATATATTTTGTAATGGAGTAGTAGTTTTTTTTTCCCCTTTACGAACGTTTTGCTTGACTTTTATTTTGTTTGTTTCGAATACAGAATAAAGATTAATTGGAATGAGAGGTATTGCATTGTCGCTTGTGTTTTTGTTGGGCGACTACGACTAGTGATTGTGGGTACGGCCCACTATGGCCGGGCACTGCCGCATATTTGTTAGGGACACAAGCGGTTTGCTCGAGACAAAAGACACACGCAAGCTAGTTTGTTAGCGACACACGCAAATTGTTAGCGACACATAAAAATTTAGTAACGACACACGATATATATCAGCAATAGATGGGGGTAAAAGCTAAGGGTGATATACACATACTCCGATACCACTCGGCCGGATTCGAGATAACTCCGATGCACCATAGACATGCACTGTCGGACTACTGTAGGACTAGGATTAGTCTGAGGTTAGCGAAAGGCAACTTCCGGGTTTCCGAAGGGCTCATAATTATCGGGCAACCAGGGAGTCTGGTGTTGTGGAGTATGTATAGTGTGGTGGAGTTTATATCGTGGTGATGTCGCGTGATGTTTGATTCCGTGCACCGAGGCCAGATCACGTGATGAACTTCGGCATCAAGAGTAAGCCTTGTTTTTTCAAAAAGTTTATCGTAAACATCAAAGAACCAAATTATCACAAAAACCCAACACTAACACATCGTTTAAAAATATAAAAAAAAACTTAAATTATATTACCCAAATTTAAACCTTTAAATTCAAAATAACACATTTTTTTATATAGGATTTTATTCCTCCTAGCCAGTAAATTTTGCTGAGAAGAACAGCGGGGCACGGATACAGGGAGGACTATAGAGACCCTTCCTTTCAGTCAGGCATAAATTAAAGTGTATACGTGTAATACATGTATGATATCTGCTCAAACCTGCGCATGCTCATGGAGGTTTAGCTATATATGGTCTAAACTTAAATTTAAGGTTTAGTACTCTCTGTCACCACTTGATTTGATTCGAATCTACAAGTATATACCTAAGCATATATGCATAGATTAGGCGATTAACTCGCGGGAGAGCGTCTGCAATAAAAACACCCAAAACCAGGCCATCTCATCAACGCTTATTATTTCTGCTACTAGGCCGCTGCTAGGCCCAAAACACTATCTTCGCTACTTATACACCTGGGCTTGAACCGCAATATATCCCAATATATCCCCTCCGACAAGCGCGAGGCGCCTAGGCTATACCCGGTACAAAATGATTTCCTTCTCGGACTTCACATCAGCGTTGCAGAAGATAACAGCACACGAGTATGGCTGGAAGTACATTGTTGCCGTTGCAACAGTCATTGCCACGGTCCTGATATCGTGCAACTGGACCTACCTCAACACCGGGTACCGCGGGCCCGGGTGTCCTCAAATCTATAAACCACGAGCGGAAAGCCCTACCCGCGGGCGAGATTGTATCCACCTACACTGGACCTTTCCCAACGATGGTACGTTGGACTTTCGCGAGAAATTCTATTTCGATGGCAATGACCCTGACAGTCTGCGGAAGGAGTTGGGGAGATATGGAATGGCTGGAAGTACGTGTATATGATCCGGTGATCTTCTTCAAAAAAATTGGTTATAAACTCCAAAGCTACGACGATTTTGTTATCGGTTTGCTAGTTATGTGGTTGATGCTAATTTGAACGGGCCAGTCATTGTCTTACCAACGTTACACGGATATATACTCGGGCATGGGAAGCTTCTTCTCGTCGATGATGGAATTACGACACGAGATCTTATTTGGCCTTCCTCCGCCCGTACTTTTTTTTTGGCCGTGTATCCCGAAGACGCATTCCAAGCGATGATTTCAGTCGGCTCCCCGTTATTAGAGACGTTAGCGAACCCAGGTCCTACCTGGGCAAACCCGAAAGATATTCGTGATTTCGAGGAGATGGTCTGGACAATGCGCCAGTCCTTCGGGAAGTCCAGGGGAAGGAGCAAGGCCACTTGATCGGCAACAAATCCTTCATGGCGACACCATCGATCACTAATCTCATATCTTATTACCATAGGAGGCCTGTAAAAATAGTAACCGACCCTTGCTTTCATATTTCTGCAAACCGTATAAATATGCATTCTGGTCCGCTTTTGTTGCTAGCAAGGATGCTATGTGTATCTAAAGTCGTCGCTTGATGGCCACAAGATAAACTCGTCGCATTTAATATAATGGAAGAAGGAGGCCTGACCCCGGTACCAGGTTAACGAAAGGAGAACCTTAGCATAATAGATAAGAAGTAGAGGTTGTATGATATTGAAAGCGGTGCCGCTCAAAGCAGAGTACTCAGCATCTGTATATAGTTATTCATCACCGTAGGGACTTTGCTAAGTCTTCCGAGAGTATTTATTATCTTCACGGCGTCTTATAGGCCCTTCTAAAAGTTCCCATCTGATATCTGGTCAGTATAAAGCGTTAGTTCTGGGGATTTCTCCATGTTCTAAGCTGTCTGCCTGTCCCTGTGAGACGGCCTTGTTAGTATGACCCGATTTAAGGCCGACTTTTCATTAATATCCACTTCCGCGACCCCCATTACCGTCATCGTCATCATCTTCCTCCTCCTCAGCGTCATCTTCATCTCCATCGTCGTCGCCATCATAGTTATTGTTCTCGTCGTAATTGTTATCTTGATTGTGGTCGTCGTTGTCACTATCATCGGCGTCGTCGTCATCATCGCTCTCCTCATTATCTTCCTCCTCCTCCTTAACACCACCACCATCAGTACAGTTGTCTCCGGCAGAGAATGGAGACAAGAAGCGTAAGAAAAAGTAGCGGCAGGCCGCTGCTGGGCAGCACTTTTGGCCTTGCAGACCTACCACGTATACCAGTAAAAAGCCGCAAACGGGGAGTTCCGGTCCCTCCCCCAGTGGGTCCCCTCGATCCCGATGCTGCGGCTCCTATCGCCCGCGGAGCCGACTCCCCTGCGCCTGCAGAGCAGGGTGCCTTTGCCCCTAATTATCGCATGAGGCAGGATGTAGAAGCACATGAGCGCGCCGACATAGCCGTCGAAATCGACCTTGAACCCTTCGGGTTTCCAGGCCTGCAGGCCTGTTTCGTGAACCTCGGAATTCCCTACCTCCCATGCGATGACAAGGGCTGGCAAGAACGATTAGAGCGAATCATCTTCCACCCGATAGGGAGGGTTAAGTCGGTCCGGGAGGTGGGCTACTGGCTTTTCCGCCAGGTATACAGCATCAAGACCGTCGAATTAGTGGTATATTCCTATCCCAGGACGAAAAGTGAAACAATGAAGTTGGATCTTCCTTAGGGCAATTGCTGATTTAAGTATACTGTATCAACTTAGACAATACCTTTGGCGCCCAATGGGCCTTACCATCGACACCAGTTCGATGGTAATAAGTACCCCCGCTTCGGTATTGCTCAACACTGCTACCATACCAGCGAGCGAATGGAGTTCCGCGTCAAGATGATGCTAAGACAACGAGTTGTCTTACTCCTGGTGATCATTTACTTGATCTACCAGGGGGGTGTTGAAATATACACCGCACGGAAGTCGGTCAAGGAGGTGGCCGAGGTGGCCCTCCAAGTGATTTTGGGGGCTATGGCTGGGCTGGGTGCGCTTTACAGCGTTCTGCAGGTCGCTATGGTTTAAACCCATACCCGGTTAACGATACTAATAGGTCTATATTTTCGAATATAGGCCGGGTCGGTTAGATATCCACCCCATTGATGATCTGGCTGTCATGCGAGGCTTTGATGGGGAGGAACGAAAAGAGCGAAGGTGTACATATTCTTGTCCACTGCCCGGATCCTGATGAAGCGAAAGTAATAAACGCCGCTGAAAATTCTCAGGCGCTATACTTGCTTTAAGAATGGTGTATTATGATCTGCCATCAAGAGGACTGGGAGCAGTACTGCTCTGATTGAATTGGAGTTAAGCGAAGATGCTTGCCATGCATGAGACGATTTTCTGTGAGCTGCCTTTCATGATTGTAGTTAGCGAACTGAGAGTGAGATGGCGTAAATTACAACCCACAAGTTAGTACAGAGTACATCCCTTGCCAAGCAAAGTAAGTAGGAAGACGGTCTATCCAACTGGCTGTGAAAAGCATAAAGGCGATTTAGGTGACCATGACTTTTTAGAAAAGGCTTGGTAAACAGGTAGGTGGAAACCTGTGCAAGCTTTGGAAACTTTTATTTAGATCGGTAGGGAAATCTAGCTGGATACCATGGATTCGAGGGAAATCTTGCAATCTTAACATGTATGTAATTCGTGTACAAGGCCCCTCGGCTCGGTTCGGCTCGGCTCGGTAATTCTAAGTTTAATCCCGCCCAGCCGCTAAAAGTTTGAAGGCCCCCAGGTTTGTCGGCCAATGGGATGGGGTATCAAGCTAGTCACCCTTGCCTGCCCCCACTTTTACCCATGGTGGATGGGCGCGTGAAAGACTGTACAGTCCGCGAGTTTTAGGTCTTTGGGGGTTGAAATAGTTGTATAGGATAGCTTCCGGCGGTTATGTCCGAGGGCGTCTAGGACCGAGACAACATGTCCCGGACGCGAGACAATCCCGTGAGCGTGCGATCATATGTACATAGGTTACTACATTTAAAATTTCTTATGACTGAGAGTATACTTTTATTTCCTAACTTGGGTATTCCTTTGGGTATTCCATACGCCGGAAGTAGTCAAGAATGTCAAGGCACGGGCCTACTTCCTGGTTAAAAGATATAGCTGCTTAATTGAACTCCTTGATTATATATTTCATAGTGTATGAAACGCCCATCACTCAGCCTACAAAGTACTAGGTACCTATGTGTTACACTCGACTACTAATACCATTGCGTATATTAGAGCAAAAGGGTATTAATTTAGGGAGTCGAGTAACATTCTGCTAACTAGCTTAATGCTTATTAGTCAGGTGTAAAGTAAAATTTATCAGCGAATCGGCTGATTGATCGGGCTATCCTCTTTTCGGGTAAATACATGTGTAAAGAATGTAACTAAAATATTTATCTAAGCAGCTGCGTCTAGTCCACGAGATAAACCCCACACAGCCAGTCTTTCATTGCTCGAAGTTAGTTTGCTTTGCATAACTCCTGTGATAGCTAGAGGCCCCGTTCCACTGGATTTGACCTCCATTCGAGGCAAGTTTCCGCTTTAATCTTGAAAATCTACTCCTTCGTTGATTTTTCGCCCTCCTATAATAACTTGGGGTCTTTTTCAAGTTTTGCGATTTGATCTTTTGTTAGTCTCTCACCGTCGACCCGGGATGTTCAGAGCCCTCTACTTCCACATAAAAAATATCATGGGCAAGCTCACTAGACTGCCTGTCTTAGTTTCATCCTTTCCGACGAGGATTGGATTACGCATCTCCTTATGGTCACCGCATGCGGGCTGAGATATGTTGACACCGCTTAGCCAGTTTATCGAGAGGCGATTTTCTGGCTCGCTAATTGTGGAAGCCCCTTGCAAATCTCTTGCCCTGGCCTGCGCCTGCAGGGCTCCCCCGTCTCCAAAAATAGTTCTCTGGGCCCGTGAGAGGGGAGAAGAGTCCATTACTGGCGCCTTCGCCAAATATTGGGAGAAGTCCGGCGTTCTGAGATATTCCTTATTGCTGAAGTATTGCCTATAAAAGGACCTCTGCCCTCACCTGTACTTTGCCTGCGCCCTTCGACCCTGCGCGGCCGGGCTGGCGCCGCAAGACAATCTTCGACCAAATATTGAGGTTAGCACCTAGCGCCATCGACCTCCGAAACCAATAAATTTACCATGCAGCGTTGCTAGGTATCTGGTACTTCGGTATATATATATTATTGGGTATGAACTCTTGAAATCCAATATCAAGCTGCCCGCCGCTCTATAGCTCTAACAAAAAGGGCCCAGAGTCAAGTTTTTTTTTCTCCGTTCTCTTGCCGGAAATCACTTCTGTCAGTCTCTAGAAACCTCTATAGCTATCGAATATCTATCAACCTCCAATCTCGTGGCCGAAAAGTAGTTGCATTCTGAAAAACTCAACTCTCCCCCTTCATATATATATTTCTTGCCCTGGGGGTTTCTACACTCTAAACCACCTAGGTATCTTCCCTATCTGTCAGGATTCCTAGGTAATGTCAACCTAATATTCTAAAACCAAAGTGACTTTTTGATGCAAACGTATTTATCTAACGTTTGTTTGTGACTCCCAGCTTCATACCAGTACCTTTTTACGCAGCTTCGGAACCCAGAGTTCCCAATTCACAAGAAACTAAGGATATTCACAAGAGCCGCCAGCCAGTTTCTGAAGCCAGTATCGATGCCAGTAGCAACATCCGCGCCATCTTCGCCCAACTTTTCGCCGATTCTAGTATCCTCCAAATCAGACTGCACCACCGAAGACGATATATTTGAAGTATATGCTCCAGATCAGGGCTCCCATCCCAATTATTCAAAAACTTCTCGCTTGTGGAATTTTAGCCTGAGTGGAAGAATCCGCTTCTAGCGCACTTTAACATGATACAAGATCAGATCATGTCGCGGCCCCGACATATCTGCAGCTGGTTTGCCCTTCGAGACTGGGTCTATTCTGCGTTCGAGACAACCTTCCAGTGTACATCACACCTATAACCTGATGATATATGTAACTTTAAAAAAGACTTGGACTGGGTATTCCTCGGCTATCCTTCCTAACAGGCAGCGGAAACCCACCGAAAGAAGCTAAAAATGAAAAAGGAGACCAGTTATGGTTGATTTAGTGACTTGTGATCTCGTAGTTCCCGCCCAGCTATTGTAACATTAATAATAAAATATTTTTGAAATCATAACGAGTTTAGTAATACTTTTGTTAAATAAAAGCCCAATATGATCCTAAAAGTTGGAAATAATGGTTAGGATGCGTTTGAAGCTTTTTAGTACCACAGACTATGCTTTAAAAGCAAATATGCAAATATAGTTATTTTATCCAAACTTTTAACTCGCACTTCTGAATAGTTTTGAAAAATCCAGATATCTCTGCAGCGCGGAGTTGGCAAAGGTTTTCGTTCGTATCTTGTAGAGATTCGTAGAAATTTTAAGCTCGTATTGTGAGCCTTAAAGCTTTCCAGTCAGACCACAACTCGTGTTCGGATAACTCAAAATCCGATTGGTCCTAAACATCAACTTGTTAGAAGTTGCGAGGTCACAGATTAGCTTCCGGAATCCTGTTTTATCAGTTAGCACTCTGCTTTTCGAAGAACCAGCCTTACAGACATCACACTTTTTTTTTTTATAAAATTGGCCTGCAACATCGGCCCGGGGTACAGTTGCTAAAAGTATATTCCCCAATTATATTATATTAAAACAAACAATAGCCTGTCACAACATCTGATATCAAACCCACTCACCACTTTTCTAATTTAGTTCGTCGGAATTTTCCCAGGTTAAGCCTCTCGGTCAATTTTGTCTCGGCGGTTTTATATATATATCCGCCAAGATGATCAGATGATGTGGTCTAACATGGTTAGCTTCTCGGTAAACCCATCCGATGGATTTTACCGGCTATTTTCGAATTTCTTTGACCCTAGTTAAGCTTCCTGTGTTTGTGACCTTTCTCCCAGTACTCCGTAGACTAAGTATTTATGATAACCTGAAATGCAACATCATACCGGCTGACACAAATTATATTAGCCGTTTTCATGTGCCGTACCCATGGTTTAACAAAGCTTGTGTGATATTTCTTACATGCCGAGCAACATTGGCACTTCTGCAATTGTAAAAGAAATGTATTGGGAATCAGCCTTGCCGAGCTGGCTTGAGCGTTTTAGAATTTGCAGGGATTATTTTTATCGTATAAAGGAAAATTCGGAGAGGTCTCCGAACATGAGACGGAATTAGGAAACGACGATGCCAATGCTAAAGTATAACGCAGTAGCTGTTGGACTGCTTTGCAAGACTCGTGGCCAAAACTTTATAATGGAGACCCCTTGCAGTGCTCTGCTGGAAAAGTTTTGGTATACCAGAGGCGGCGATAATTATTCCATCCAGAAACTCTAGGTTGGACGACCTCACGATATTCGAGAAGTTATGGGCTTAAAGCATGCCTTTTGGGTTGCCTTTGCAGCTTCCGCCGTTCAGGCTCAGACGCAATCACTTTGGGGGCAATGTATGCTGATCTCGAATTGAGCTCACTCATTCTTATTCTCTTTTTTCATTGCCATCATTTAATGTCGAATACTAATATCTTATATTTGAACTGAAAGGTGGTGGCGTCGGATATACTGGAGCAACCCAGTGTGCTAACGGTAGCGCTTGCACTAGGTAAGTTATTTATTCAAATTGATTTATATCATCGTCTATATACATTTGTACGGCGCTTATGGCGATCATGGTAAAAGCCTGAATGCATATTATGCGCAGTGCGTTCCTGCGTCTTCGACTACAACCACGCGAACCACGACCCCAGCGACAACCCCGTCGACAACCCCAGCAACAACAATCAGGACTACGACGCCGTCAACAACTCCAATCACTACCACATCTTCAATTCGGACCACCACTAGTTCTTCTTTTATTACGACTACAAGTTCAAGAACTACTACTAGTTCATCTCGAAGTACCACTGCGACTACCCTGCCGACTGGAACAATTACGGATTGTCTTACATCTAACAATGTCCCACAATACCTTCCTGGCTCAAGTAACTTCAATTTTGAAGCTAAGGGCTTCAATCTACGAATCCCATTTACTCCTGTGGCAGTAGCAATGCCATCAACTGTCCCACAAGTGCAAGCTGCTGTCAACTGCGGTGCTAGGTACAGGCTAAAGATTTCTGCCAAGGCTGGCGGGCACAGCTATGCCAACCATGGAATCGGTGGTGAAGATGGTCATTTGATGATTAACCTCAAGTATATCAATAGCGTAGTATTGGATACGGCTACCAATATTGCGACTGTTGGTCCCGGTGCTCGGCTTGGGAATGTTGCTTTGGGGCTTTATAATCAGGGGAAACGTGCTATTAGCCATGGAACCTGTCCTGGGTAAAATGAAGTTTTCTATTAATCCTCTGGCGGTCGGGCAACTTTATATTAACTATTTTATACTTAGTGTCGGTGTTGGGGGCCATGTACTACACGGAGGATACGGTTACAGCTCTCACACCCGGGGTCTCGCCTTAGACTGGCTGATTGAAGCCCAGGTCGTTCTTGCCGATGGATCGCTTGTCACAACCTCATCAACCCAAAATCCAGATCTATTCTGGGCTATCAAAGGCGCTGGAGGGTCCTTCGGCATCGTGGTATCCATGAAATTTAACACCTTTCCCGCCCCAGAGAGCAATATTGTCTACAGCTATTCATTTAGTTGGACTCAGGCGCAAGGTCGGGCTAGTCTTGAGGCTTTACAAGCCTATGCGAACTCGACCCAGTTCCCCCGAGAGCTTAACCTTCGTTTCTGGGTTGGTGTATTCAACACTCAAATCCTGGGAGTCTACTACGGTTCTAGAGCCGACTTCGATACTGCCATCGCGCCATTGCTATCAAAGTTAGGAAATCCATCGTCTAGCAGCATCTCTGTCATGAACTGGCTTGATACTTTGAACAATTATGCGTACGCTACTATGAGCCCTCCCCTCGATTACGACGTTGTAAGTACCCCCAATACATTCTTTCCTAGGTCTAATTCGGAAACAAGCTAATGATATCCTTTTTTAGCACGAAACATTCGTAGGTCCTACTAAATAATTTAGACAATATGGCTGTAAGCTAGTCAATACTAACACAATACAAATAGTTTGCGAAGAGTTTGATGACCACCCAACTGTCTCCTGCCGCCCTGGACGCCTTCGTCTCTTACTGGTTTACCGCCAGCAAACCTAGCAGGGTATGGAAGCACTCCCTCCCCTCCTCAATAAACCGTCCGGGTAAAGCTAACCTACGTTTTAACAACCAAAGTCATGGTATATGATGATCGACATCCACGGCGGCCCCACTTCTGCTATAAGTAATATAACTGGGGAAGCTGGCGGTTCTTACGCCCATCGCGCCGCAGTCTTCAAATACCAATTCTACGACAGCGTATTCGGCGGCGGCACCTACCCTTCTAACGGATTCGACTTTTTAAACGGGTGGGTAAACTCGGTTACATCTGTTTCTCCGGCCAATACCTGGAGTATGTACATCAACTACGCCGATACGTCGCTTTCGGTGAATGATTACGGAAACTTTTATTGGAGGGCAAATTATCCGAGGCTGAGGTCTATAAAGACAACGTATGATCCAAATGATGTTTTCCATAATCCACAGGTTGTACAGCCGGTTTAAATTCGAGATCGTGTAAATAATAGCGGGGCGGTGGCGAGTGTTGGAGGTACATGTACATATGATTATGCAAACTTATGCCATCAAAACTATCAAAATATACGTTAACCCTATACATAAAATGTTGCTATCATTCAATAATATTTGCTAGTTCGCAGTATGACATCCGCATTTAGAATTTACAAAATATTTAAGGCTGTTCCATTGCACGTTGTCGCACAGCACATTATCGACAATCTCTACACTAAAATACTTCTAACCTCATCTGGAACTTAATAGATCAATGACCACCGCGCGGGGGCGACCATTAGCTATAGACTGACATCTAGTCTCGATTTAATGGTCTCAATAAGGGGCACTCCAATTCAGATTTAAAAAGCAACATACAGGTGAAGGTTTGGCAAACTCGCTAAGAGTAATAAGAATCATTAGATGGTAAGTACACGAGTACTTACAGAAAGGAAGGTATTATAGTGATACCTACTTATACAACTAGGACCTGGGCCCTGAGCTTTAGCTAGCCAGCTTTATCAATCCCTTTAAGCCTTCGTTTCTCGCATGACTCAAAATCTGATTAAATACGGGCACCAATTCTGCAGAACCTGACTTGGTCAAGCCGTAACGCAGTTTAACAATGACATCAAATGTGGCTAAACCTGCTTAGAGTTTCTAGCCTTCCCATGCTCAGGTTAAGGCACTCATTTAAATAGGTCTTAGAGCCCCATTTCTTGTAGATCCAGGGTCCAATGCATACTCCAACATCATCTAGCTCAATTGCTTTTGCTGTCAGCTAATCTTATTTTTGGCGATGGGTAGTCCCAAAAACCATTGTGAAAGATGCAACCCACACAAACCACCCCCGTATGTGGCTCCGTTTGGAACCCCGCCATCCGAAACATAAGCTGGTGAAAACACGGGGAATCCACTAACTAGCTATCTTATACTTGCTTACTCTGTATTGGAGAAAAATCCTGATAAAATTATCGCCATTTCCTCGAAGAATTAAATTAAGATCCTACAACTGGCCTCCGAAAATTTACGCGAAACCATATCCCCTCCCTAAATCCGTAGTAATACTGGTAGTTTTTGTTTACCCAAAGAAGCATAAACGTTTAAAACAAGCAGTTTTTGTCCGATTAAAACATCGAAATACGAATCGTCAATCACAGTCTTTCTGCCGCATTAATACGTGAGTTTGCGAAACTAGGGCCTATTGTACTTTGAGACAGAACGGAATAAGCTTGTGGAAGGGCTCTTAGGACCACACAGCCGCAAGCGTCACCGGATCAGATATAAGTATGAGGCACGCGCCCGATGAGATATTCGGTTTAAATCTCAGAAAGAAAAACATATTAGGCTAAATAAACGAGCCGAGCCGTTGAAACCAGTAAACTTTTGTGGAGGCATTTCACATATGGTGTCCAGCCCATCGCTAATGACGCCCCGTAGAGGGTTTGACCAAGATCGACTTGAGGCCAATTGGGTGAGGAGATGGTGACCGTGTGACTTTTTCAGAGGCCTGTGCAGCTGCAACTGCGGCGTAAATCAGGCTTGTGGAGCGCATCTAAGAGACTCGACCAACCACCAGCCACATCATTTTTAACAAAAGCAATTAACTGAAAACAAATTAACGCTCTCCGCTTTGACTGAATCAGTGATTGGGGGGTTTCAGTACGATGAAAAGTTATCAACTGCATATTCGTTAATTTTGGGACTGGCCAGCTCCTCTATAAGGCCCGTGCAACGAGGACGGTTTCAGCGATCATTTTCCAGAACTGACCTGACCCTACCAGTCGTACCGGGTGCACATTGTATTTTATAAATTCTAACCGGGTTTCAAGAGTTATAATAAAGACAGGGATCCATTTTATACGATAATACGAGATCCACGGCTCCACTTTTGAAGAAACAACAGCGGCCGGCTGACCCAATCAAATCGCGAATGCCCGTCCGATCAATGGCGTTTTCTTACGAAATGGGTTGGGGGATTAATTATTTGACCACGGGACATTTTAATTGCGCCAAATCGGCAATATTATTCAATTTGTGTCTTCAATTTGCGTCGTCGAACATTCGACGGCCTCAGGAAATATTCGTGCTTTGACCTATCATATTGTGCACGGGCTTATTGCTTGTTACCCGAGCTCGTTTACTTAAGCACTTCAACATTTCAGCCTATATTAGGATTGGCCGGGTATTTGAACCATTTAGCAGTTCAAACTTCAAAGGCTTTTCGCCCACTATTAGATTTCTGTTGAAAGGTTCTGTCGGGTGGGTCGCCAAGAACCCACTGACCTGATTTCAGTTCCTTGCCCCGCATCAAGGGAATCTAACAGTGCCATGGCTCAAATTCTGAACCATTGATCTTCAGGTGGGTCATCGAAAAATCAATACTCTAGGCGCGCTAGACAGTACAGGCACGCAGAACTACCAGTACCAACATTCCCTCGTATAATCAGATAAGGATAAAACGAAGTTTCTGACCCCAGATTTTCAGCTGGCCCATGGGGTCAGTCACACTGTACAGCAATAGAAATATTGGCTACCGTCCCCGCATCGCTCAATATCTTGGTTACCTTGAAGAATCAGAAAATCGATTTACGTTGTCTCCTTGATCAATTAAAGGGTGACACTAAATACCAAGAACAATGGAGAGCCGTTCTGCACAAACGGAGTCCATTGTAATAGCATTTACGACTTTATCAGCTTTGGTGATATGCCTGAGGATTATCAGCAGATTCGTTCTCTTGCAAATAAGAGGAATCGAAGATTATCTGATCGTAGTTGCGTCTGTAAGTAACAGCTATTCTTTGCCTGATAACATTTGGCCTGTCCAAACTTACCGATTTTAGATTTTCTCCATAGCTACGAGCGTCCTACAAGTGAATCGTAAGTCGTCCGAGGTACAAATAATGAGAGTCATAAAATTAAAATCTGTTCTGATTCGAACAGAAATACACTGGGGTGTTGGTAGACACTTCCTAAGTGATGTAACTATGGCGGAATTCGTTATATCAATGAAGGTACTTCTCTTATTCGTCTACCAGCTTATATATTATCGCAGCAGCTGAAAGATAATCATTCTAGTTCTTATATGCCAGTATCCAAACGTACAACATTGGGTTAACTTTAACTAAAGTTTCAATATTGTGCCAATATCTTCGCCTTTTCCCAGTGGGCAATGTGCCCCTGGTTTGCAAGATATCTATTACCGTTGTCATATTCTATGGAATCGAATGTTTCTTCACAGGGATCTTTACTTGTGTTCCCATCGAAGCATTTTGGAATGTTACGCTCCCTGGTGCAAAATGCCTCCCAAAACAAGAGTCCGTATCAACCGAAGAACTCAATGCAATCGAAGAGCCGGGAATGCTAACGCGCAATGCAATAGATTATGGTACACCAATGCCGCTATCAATATTACGACAGACTTTTTCCTTGCACTTTTGCCCATTCCAGTTTTAAATACGTTGAAGGTTGGACACAGACAAAGATATATCTTGATGGGTATATTCGGACTTGGCCTTTTGTAAGTCAAACCCTTCATGAATCTAGATGATTAAGATTAGCTTCACAAGAGCAAAGAACATATCTTAACATAGTATTGTTACACCCAACTGTTGGATTTTAGCGTTTGTGTTGTCTCTATTCTCCGCCTCCACGCCCTCATAGTTTTGGAGTCTTCTCAAGATCCAACATGGGATCAAGCAGCAACAACATGTTGGTCATCGATAGAACTTAATATTGCGATAATATGCGCTTCGTTGCCAACTTTGAGGCCGGTAATTGGGCGGATTTTCCCTAGTCTGCTTGGGTCGACGAACGCCTATGGGAACAGTTATAATTACCCCAGGCAGGGAAGCGAACGAGTTGGGGGCGGCGCTGTCATAAGCAGCGACAACAAATCCCTAACACTGCAGAGGTCGACAGGGCGGGACGAAATAGATATGTATGATCTTGAAGGCCGGCGATCAAACTTAGAAACGGCTAGACAAAACCTCTCGTCTGAGAGTAAACACAATTTAACCTGCAGCGTAGAAGAAAGAATCTGAGAATCTTTTTTACTAAATTGTACGGCGAACTTGTCCTGGAGTAGCGTCTTCTTTCGATGTTGTTATAGCTTATTTTATCTCTAAATTCGTTAATTCTGACAATATGATGGATGGATGGCCTGGCTTTGGGAATCACGTAGCTCGACACGAAGTTTTAGTGTTGCGAAACCTTACAAAATTTAAAACAATAGACTGCTGACCTATTCGTAATCTTCGATTTGGCGGCGATCGTATACGCGATTAGGAACGAACGGCTTTTGTCGCCGGCGGACTTGTGAAGATTACAGCCAGAATGTTACATGGGTTTAGAACCGCTTTGAGGTCAGTAATATTGCAATTGCTGGTCAGTGGACATTTGTTGCTGCTTTACAATCGTGGCCAAACACGGGGTTTTGAGCTGAGCTGTGTTAAAGAGTCAATCTAATCTTACGGTAGAGCCCCCGAACCGGCGCGTCAGTAGAAATTATAAAAATTTACAAAGAGAATGGCAAGAAATAATGAAGAGCTTATCTATTTCCATCACAGGTCGTACAGCCGCAATTTAACAGTCTAACTTCTACTCCGTATTTACAATGGTAATAGAGTCGGTATTTGGATGCATGTCATTCTTGTGACAAACAGCCTGGAGAGTAATTCGCGAATTCGGCTTCGCAACACGTTGCTTCGTTCTCGAAAATATATCTTCGGGTCCGATCTTGCTCATTCAAGACGCCCCATTAGGTTTTTCCTGACAGTCCACGCCCGCATTCTCTTGCCGAAAATGTATAATGGTATAGTCCATAGAAGACAGAAGAGCTGAATACCACCCAGCGCCAAAAAACATACTTTCGAGTTTGATGCCTCTAACCAATCATTCCAGAAAAGCGAGAAAGCAAGACCTAGGATATCTTCATCGCGTTCAGGATCAGAGACAGTCGGAATATTAGAATGATGAGATAGAATTAACCATGACTCACTTTTTGAAAAATTCAAAGTAACCAACGCCTCCGCGGCATATTGCCTATATGAGTCGACCGCAAATGTTATAGCAGTCGTGCTTCCGAGAGAGCATCCGAAGCTTATAATACCGAAGAATACGGTAGGTATGATCCAAAAATCTTGTTTGTAAGCAGACCAGCCAAAGCTGATGGTGGTGGCACCTTTGTTAGACTCCCGAATTCTCATTCATCAAATTAGGGCCGAAATCTACATACCCCATTAGTCCTGCCGATGTGGCAAACATAACGCCGATACTCATTACCAAGCGGAATTCCCTACAACAATGTTAAAAGCTTTTAAGTTTCGTGAAGAGGCTTCGGTACACACGGCTCATATAATCCATTGTTTTTTTTTGCCATAAATTTGACTATCACATCGGATAGCCTGCCTGCAACAGCCGATCCTAGAACTCCACCAATAAAGGGGGATATGTAGACCATCCCCGTTTGGAGTTGAGTAAAGTTGTATGGGTTTCTCTAGAACTTGCATCAGTGCTGCCTCTACTGATCGTCTTGGGGCGAGCTTACTTGGTAAATGTGGGCCACTGTCTCGGATAGAACAATTAACCAGACAACACTCAGCGAATATACCACTGTTGACCACAAGATGGCAGGATACGAAAAAAGTAACAACGGTCTGATCATAGCTTTCCAAAAGTTATCTTCCCGTAATCGGCCGTTCCAGACTGTGAGTTGGGACTTAAAGGACGCCTTTGGGCCATGGCGCGTATATCGTATGTTGGGGCCTTTGTGCCCAGGAAGGTCAGCGAGAGTTGAATTTTTCGGTTTAACGTTGGGCAATTGGGTTTTAGTTTTCGCGCTGGAGTGCGCTGGAGGCGGCGGAAGCGCAATTTGTAAGTGGTTAATACCAGCGCCACTCTGGATTGCCAATGATCCCGTTGACAGATTGGATGTAGCCTCTATTTCCTCTTTCATATCTATATCCCCCCCTTCGCAAACCTTTCCCTCCATATTTGAAGTATCTCGGATAGCTTGCTCACATCCATTGCCTCCCATCCCGTTTGTTGTTGGCGATGCACCACTTTTCCCATTTTCACGTGAGAGGATACTTAAAGTGCTCTTGGTGATTCCGCTAATTCGATGCATGAGACTTGGTCTGTGTGGGGGGTGTGCGTATCGAACCCAGTAGGTTTCTGGAACAAAAAGGAATAGGAGAAAAACCAAAACCCCAATAATGATGCCTACGATCCAAAAAACCCATCGCCAGCCTTTGGCTTCAATAATTACACCGCTGACAAGCCTATTATATTGTCAACATTTGGACAAGTTCCGAGCCGTTACCGATCTTCCAATGACTTACGGTACTAGATTTTTGCCACCCAAAAGTAGTAGCGTGTATATACCTAACCGAAAACCTCTTTCATGAAGGTAGAATATCTCAGAGAGATATGAACTCGGAAGGCATTCGCAGGGACTAACTCCTATACCCATGACAACCCTTGCAATGACCAGGCTGATGTACGACGGCGAAGCTGCTGACCATAGGGATGCGGCACAGAAGATGATGGCTCCTACCAAGTAGAGTGGCCGTTTTCCGTATATAATGGCGAAGGGCGATACTATAATAGCGCCAATCGCGAGTCCTAGCATGTATACACTTGTATTCGAATTCATCAGTTCCTCGCCCTTATGTCCGAGAGAAGTGAATATTCTTATACCCTGTCGTTAAAGCTACCTCTGGAATTGTTACACCATACGTCTCCGCAACGTCATTGAACCCAGCAGCCAGAATGGGCGTCTGGCCTCCGCCTATCAAACTATACAAGCCTATCGTCCAGAGGGCGCATTCGCGACGCCATCGAGGCCAATTTAATCTAAAGCTCGTTAGCTTCGATGCAATCGAATATTATCTATTCAGCAACAGGCAACACACGGGTCGCTTTCATGGTCGTCTGTCGATTTCGTTAGATTTGACTTTACATTAACTCAGGACTGGTGAATACCTGGTTGAGGATCGAGAATGACTCCATTGGGTCCTCTCTTTAGACCGTCACGAGACTTGCCCTTCTCTAGTTGATCTAGGCCGAGCGGTTCATTGTCTTTCCCGATAAATAGAACGGAGCCTTTGCAGAGCCATTTCGATATTAGTTGGCGTACGCAGAATAGATTCTCTTTCAATTAATTGCGATTGAGAGATATACCTGGAACCTCTTCCCCACTCTGAGGGTCACTAAGGATCCCTAAATGCGACCGTCTGGCTACAATGGGCGTTGAATATTTAGCTTCCGATGACTGCGTATGGTCCGTCATGGCTAAGAAGAATAATCAATGTATAAGCGAACAAATTGGGGTACCATGGCAGCTTTAAATGCTTCAGTCCGCTGAATATCTCACCACCGGACAAAACACCCCAAGGGTTCAAGGAGCCGTTCTAACTTAATGTATGATTTATTAGCTATAATTTGCAATATTTGGTTTCGGATAGCGGCATATTGTTTTCTGCGGGGTGGATGCATCAGTCACAAGCTAGAAATTTGGGTCATCTGAGGACTTGACTTCAGACGCACTATGACGCACTAGTGCACAATCCCTGTTATCCAACATTCTATCACGCGAAAGTTCCCACCAACACTCTGCCTCTGCATGCACAAAAGCACTTATCTAGCCTAGACGCCTGATGTTAGCTACGCTGGCTGAGGCGAAAAAACCCCAAGGTTTTAATTACAAGAAGGGTCCTTCAGGCCGCGTAGGCCCGGACTACCTATGGATATTTTCGAGGATGGCCATGGTTTGATGTGTAGTATTAAGCTTGAGGTTCCAGCACGACAGCCTCGCCGAAAAGCGCGGTTATGTGGAAATTTATCCTTCTTCGCTAGCTGGACGGCTCATGCTCACCGAAGAGCGTCAACATAAAGGTTAGCTGATTTTTCGGAGTCGGAAATCCTTCGTGTTCGAGACATTCCTTCCGGATTCCACGTGGTAATGAAATAAATTATTATTTTTATATCGATATTGTGACAATAATTGCTACTAAAATACATAGCGGGTTCCGGCCACGCAACTTACGCCGTCTTCGTAAATTTGCGCCTAACTATAAAAACATCCTTCTTGATATATAATATTCCATAGGCTTAAAAAATTACATGAGCCCTGGAGGGGCTAGAAATTTGGCCAACTGTAATCATTGCACTCAAACCCGGGGAATTAAGATGCCCGTGCGCTGTGTGGATTAAAAAACCATTCGAAAGTTTTATATACAGATAAGAAAGTAAATTTCAACGCCTTGTCCTCTACAAAACTACTCCGCTCGTTTGACTAAATATTCGATAGGGCAAACCAGCCTTCTAACTAGTTGTATTGACGTTTTAGAATATTATAGCCAGGATACCGAATATGCTGAAAAATGCAAGGGGAATAGGCTGAAGCGCAGATGCCGCGCTTGAACTGGTACCTACGGAGGCACCGGTACCGGTTATGCTAGTAGTCGCTGCGTCTTCCCCTCCTCCTCGAGTCAGTGTCGGACGGCTAGCATCAGCGGCATAAGCCTCGCAGTAGCCTTTATTCAGTGGTGAAAGTCCGGAAGCTACCGCAGGCTCTGCTGTCGCTAAGTAGCTAAAACAGGCTGCAAGACCATTTTCAATATTTGCTCCGCATAAGCAGTTTGCAACAATAGGCACGGGAAGGGCCGGAAGCGCGGTTACGCTGCAAGACACCAGTGCATTATCGAGGGGCAAGCACACACCGCAGCAGCGGGGTCTGGGGTACCGCTGGGTGGTGAAATCGATGTAGGGGATGAACCGCCACCGCCGCCACCACTTGCGAGTATTTGTGCTATCGTCGCACAAAATACCTCACCTTGCTAGATTGCTGAGGCGGTTGATCTAGCGAAAAGGTCATTTGGGTTCAGTTGGTTAAGGCACTCCTGGGCGACAACGGGGTAGCTCGTGTCTAAGCAGAAGCAATTGTTGAAAGACTCGAGCTGTGAAAGTTGTGAACTGTCATCAATGGATGGATGATACGCCGCAATCAGAAAACGAATCAAGAGCAGCAGTGCAAGGGATTGGTGGTGCTGTTTGCCCAGTAACACCGATAGTTAAGAAAAGATTGATGGCGCCGAATGTGAAGAACATTTTTGATGCAGGTGACCTTGCTAATCAAGCCTGTTTACGTTTAAGTGATCCAAAGTTCGGAGTGGTTTGCAGAGTGATCGAAATAAAGTCTAGAAGTCTCCTCAATGGTCCCTCGTGGTATATAAGGGTACTGCGCCGGATGCAATTCGCCCCGTTTTCGTTTACGGCGACGCGACTATATCGTGCCGAGTCTCTTGCCGCTAGATTTTCGAGGGATCTCAGAATCAAGGCCGCTCACCAACGCTCTTAGCCTAGCCTCTAGCAGCTTGCTTGGTGACCTAAATTCCAATAGATAGCCTCCTGACCGCAAATAAGACGAAAACTCGAACATACTATCAGTGGCAAAGACGCCCTTCCGGCCCCGGAACTATCTTAGTGCCTTACATCGTATTTCGCTCTTAAGTATTGCCCCTTAGGATCCCGTCTTGGCGAATTCAACAAGAAGGACCCGTGGTTGGTGATTTTATAAATTAAAAAGCTTAATACTACGTTCTTAATCTCAGGTTGAAGCAAGACTAGTTAGTTCGGATAAACTGCAAGCTTTGTCGGATATAATTGCCTTTATCGAACGCAAAGTCGGGCCAAAACGCTTCTTATAATTAATATCTTCAAACTTAAACTCGGCTGGTACATGGTAAAGCTCTCTAATGGTGAATTATTGCACTCGATATCCAGAAGTCCGAGTCTCTAAGACAATGATTCTAATATGAATTGAACTAATTAGCATTTAGAGATGGATCTTGTGTGGGTTTTGACATATGTGTATGCCTAGCTTGATGACTAGGTTTTGATTGAATTTGTGTTGAAACTGTTACACTTTCTAGGCCCCTTCAACAAGCCCAAATTAGATTCTCTCGACCTCAGGCTTCGGTTTTCTGTGGCTCCATGGTTTTACCTCTGCGGTTGTTTCGGTACCGGGCTGAAGGCAAAGTTTTATTTAATTATCCCTGGTTTCTAGCATCCGTGCTGGCATATGTACATACCATGCCATCGTCTGCTAACAAAATTTGATGACGCTTGTCAATATTGTCTCGACGCGACGAATTCGAACCATCTGCAAGGAAATATTTAATAGTATCCGGGGCCTCGACTAAGAAGCACAGGCCCTAAAAATATGTTAGTTGAATACAGCTTGGCTCGGTCGGGCTTAAATGGGACCACATGAAGCCTCAAGTACCTCAAACGGTCTTCGGTGGCCTACTTGTGTGTTTTCGTGCTTCGACCATGACCAGCCCTGATCATGCCACAAGTCTGAGTGCACAACGCGAACTAACAAGAACAAAAATCCAACATGTTACCTAAGCAGCGGGACACATGTCTACATCCGGTTCTACGGCACGCAAAGGTGTTTTTGGCGCTCAATCTAGGGACCGGAGCCAAGGTGCCCGAACCATGGGTGGAGTATATTCCCCACAAATGGCGGTGTTTCGAACACTTCAGGGGACTGTTTAACGGTTGCTTGCTTAGCCTCTGCCCTTTGCAAATATCTTGCGACGCTGGACTAGCTACTTTGAGTAATCGATTATGGGCTCGTACCCACTTCATGTCTAAATTTTCAAAAAATCGATGGTACGTACTTAGAGAATATAAAAGGCTACCTTGAAGGCTTCGCAATCCCAAAGTCAATTTGAATTGAGATCAGGTATACCTTTCTCTCAGCTTTCGATTCTCGATTTCCGCATCAGCCTCGTTCTATTTGTTTCTGGGGAGGGCAGCATAAGATTTTAAGGAATGAGTCTGATATTTCTCGTAGTATCTTGCCTGCTTGCAGGTTCGCAGGCACAACAGTCGGCATATGGCCAGTGTGGAGGGAATGGTTGGACCGGCCCCACGACATGTGTATCTGGGTATTACTGCTTTTACCAGAATGACTGGTATTCACAATGCATACCAGGTTCAGCGACGACTACAAGAGCTAGTACTGCATCAACTACTAGCTCTAGTACAAGTAGTAGGATAACTAGTGTCGCGACTACAACAGCATCGACGACATCTTTGTCCCGTACTACGACGACAAGAACGACAACCAGCTCGTCCGGACCAACATCATCCCCGGGCTCTGCCATCCAACATTGGTTTGCTTTGTGAGTTTGATCCTGTCCCAGAGTATACTAAAGCCGAAGCTATAGCTGACGGCCGATGGTGACGGTAGTGGAGATTCGTATACATATAACGGATTCAACCCGTGGGGAACGCAGCCATCAACAAATAATCCTTTGGGTAACCCAGCATTCCCAGGTGATACTACTTCGGGAGGGGCAAACTATATCGGCCTTACGGTGTCAACCTATAAAAAGAGTGACGTCTTTGCTTATGGTTTCGGAATCAGCGGTAACTTTCACCACTTCTCGTGTCCAATCCATTTAAGTAGCTAAGAAAATTAATTTATTCGTTTTAGGTGCCACGATTGACCCTGCATTGGCTTACCCAACTCAAGGACGTGCTCTTGATGTCGAAATCAACATGTGGATTCAGCAGTACTCTAATCGTGCGACAGTTGGAGTCCCATGGACAAGTGATAATACCCTCTTCTCGTTGTTCTTCGGTGTCAACGATATAACCGTTACAATGGCGAGAACCGATATGGATACGTACACAGACAAGATTCTGACTTCATTGATGAATCAGACAAATACTTTATACAACTATGGTGCTAGGAAATTTATGTTTATCAACGCCCCACCAGTCGATAGACTGCCAGCAGTATATGGTAACGCGGCAATCAAGGCAAACGTGGCGCGTTGGAACTTAAGGTTATTGACTTTCGCAGCGGACTTTAAGAACACTCACCCAGGGGTAAGTTTATTTTCCTGATCGACCAGTTGATTTTAAGCACTAAAGCGCGTTTAGTCGTCTATTGTTGTGTACGATACCTGGACCGACTATAATAAGGTTCTCGACAACCCGGCGGCTTACGGGTTGAAGTCAGACGTGCAGGGCTCGGGAGCAGACCAAACATACTTTTGGAGAGATGCATATCACCCTAATGTTAAGATGCATGATGTCATGGCGCAGGCTATCTCGGTCCTGTGGCGGTCCGTTGGCTGGTGGTAAAACTTCTTGTATATTCTCTTATTCTCGAATCGATTCCGATGTAGATATACTAAATTGATTGATGCACGAACCCGGAAAGCAGGCCGCGTTTTTGTCATTAAAATACATCGAGCTGCCATGGATGAGGGCTGAGAAGATCTAATTCAGAGAAATAGATGACAAATGGCGGGTTCCACAAACCGCAACAGGGATTAATTTCCCGTGTTTCGGGACTAGCTGTTGAGTGGTCCAAAAACGCAGAGTAGCTGTACTTTCCCCTAATCAGCTTTCACATCTCCGCTGCATCATACATCCCTCGAAGCTGTTCTATCGGAGCTTTGAAGTTATCGAAAAGATTTCTGCATTTTGAGATACCTACTACCTAAGTAGGTATCTATCTATTGTTGAAGGTTTCCCCAGTGACGCCCCCCATTCACCAATCACGCCCACAAGCTTAGCACCTGCCGATCTTTGATTCCTCCTTTCAAATTTCCAACACGACAACACGTTTCCTACCGGGAGACACCTCGACGTCTGGCATTCATGACTGATATACAGTACATCCAATAAAGCCTCGCAGATACAATACCGAATAACCGCATCAATGTCGCTACGACATACCATAAAGACCCTCCTTTCTGGCCCTCAAACGCAGGCATCGCCGCCTGGGGGCTTCGGGTATAACCAGGCACCGAATCCCACTCCAAACCAACCACATCATGCGCAGCAGCAGTTTGGATACCACCAGGCTGCTCCTGTTAACTATGGGAATTCGGGTGGACAACCGGTGATGGTTCCGAATCCTCAGTCTTATGGATACACTCCTCCGCCATCGCAGTTTCCCCAAATGTATGCTCCGCCTCCCCAGCAACAACCTCAACAGTACCATTGCCCACCGGTCCCCTTAAACTCTGCCCCGTCTGGACCACTCTATCATCAAAATCACAACGCTTTCACCCCTCAAAGTGGATTATCTTATGCTCCAGCATCGGCTCCTCCTCCACTGCAGCAGTCGTTCCAACCGCCGAATTCACAGATCCAACAATACGGCCCCACGCCATCTACAACCTCGATCTTTCAACAGCCACCCCAACCACATACACTGGCACATGGCCAGTACTTGCCTCCGAAACAATATGGACTCCCTCCTCCAGTACCTTCAGCGACTCACCCCAACTATCAACAACCGGTGGCCAATCCACTACACCAGGAGCAGCAGAAGCAACAGCCAACGAGCAATCCCGTTCAACAATATGCAAATGTACCACACCTTCGCCAAGATCAACAACAGCCTCCCCGAACTCCGCTTTCACCGCCTCCCCCTTATATGCAATTTGAGCAACCGTTTATCTCACAAGCGGCTGTACAGCCTAGCGGGCCAGCTGCTACGTCACCGAGACCCACCCTAAATTTTGCGCCTCCGCCCTTATCAAACAACCCAAAACCACCATCCAGTCAAATTGAGGAGCAGTCGCAGGAGCAGTCACAATCGCAGCAGCAATACGCGAACCCGTATACTGCAAGTGCGCCAAAGCTCAAACCCTCTACCAGCGGAACCGAAATTAGGGATGGATTCAGTTCAATACCACAACAGACAAGCCACCTAAAACAGACGCATATACAGGCAGACACCCTCGACGAACCTCAGAGACCGGCTTCGACGAAACCACAATCTGACCCGGTTGCTTCTGAGGGTGCAACAACGAAATCTTATACCCCGACTGGAATAATACATCCATCGATGTTCACACAATGGAATACCGCAACTTCGGTCACGTCAGGCCGAGTTCCTAACCTCCCATCTGACCAACCCCAATCGCCTACCAAATCTATGAGCGCAATACCGCCACCCGCGGCTGCTATTATCAATTCGGCACCGCCCCAGCCTACGTACCCGGGAATAAAGGGGCACAAGCCCACTCAGAGCGTTAATAGGTCCCTTACATTTTCAAAAAAGAACGCGGACGGGAGCCCGAATTGGAATGGAACGCTCTTAACAATAGACGGAATGTCTTCAGAAACTTTCACACGCTTTGTAAATGGCTTATACAACTTCGCTGGGCAAGATGAGGATCCACTAGGTCTAACCCCGGATCAGATGCGGATTTTGTTGGAGCGGCTAGATATGCCGGACGAAAGGAATTATCGTAGGCGTCCCCCTCTACCAAAAAAAGAAAAATGGAAGAAGAGAACAAAATAACATATAGATATGCTTTTACACTATTCATCTATGAAATACTGACCCGAGAATTAGCCAAGAAATACTCCCTCGCTGCACCTAAAGCCAAACCCGCTGATCCAGCCTCGTTCGTCCATACCAGCTTGATCCAGTACTACAGCATCTTCGATGTTACTTACATCACGGAAGGCAATCTTATGCCTATCGTGACCCGAGACGGATTCCAGCAATACATGACGGCGGAAGTATTGATTGATCCATCCGGCATGCATCGCCAATTCCTCCGGCTACTCGCCAATTTCGGAAACCAAATTATCGATCCCTTCACAAAAATTCCATTTGGCAACGTGCAATTCCAACGAGAATATCTTCCGCCAGTTCCCAACGACCAATACATAGCGCGAGACAAAAAGCAGCAAGAAGCACTCCAGGCGAGGGAGGCACATGATTCGCAGCAATACTATAACATTGACCAACAAACTAGTGGATACCACCAATTAGGTTCTTGGGGGATCTAGGAATTAAAAAAATGGTTTTAACTTTAAAATCTCAACATTTCATCGAGGGTTCTACGGAGTTAAGGTCGGAAGGGCTACTTAAAAACTGGTGATAAAGGCATACTTTTCGCAATAATATCTAAAAACATATCATGTACTCGCTATAATGCATATATAAAAACTAAGATTAAATCTTGTAGAATTCCCAACTCGGGCATCCCAAACGATGCGTTTTTGATGATAACGGTCACGGGCGCCCCAAGGCATTCCTATCCGACAAAAGAACTCGCACCTCAGCAGCTATAATCCACAACCGGTTGGTTGAATCCTCCTACCTACAAGATACGATCATGCTTTCCCAATGGTCTGGCTCTCTTTGAAATATCTCCGGCAGCTCTCTGCTTCAATTTCGCCAATCGGGCCCTAATCAACATAATGTTAGGTGTGGTTCTCTAACAAAAATAGCTTCACGTGTGCTTGGGAAAGAGCAAGATAATAGAAAGAGAAACATACTGTTCCTTAGCCTCCAATTCGAGAGACTTAACATGATCCCTAGCATCTTTTACGGCAGACTTTGCAGCCATAAGTGCTCTGTCGGCGTCTCTTTCCGCAACTTCAGCATCAATCACTCTTTGACGGGCGCCGGAGATGGAAGGATCCTCATTCCCATGACCCCGATTAAAAAAACCAGACCCCGAAGCACGAGTGGAGCCCGTTCTGTTTGTACCGATGCTGTCGGGTGATGAATCTCGATCGCGATGTCGGCTAAAGATACTTCCATGTCGTCGAGGACTTCGACTAGATGTTCTTGAGTTCATGGTTGACGACCTTCTTGGAGCGACGTCCTGTTGGACTGGTTCAGGCTCCTTAGTAGTACTGAAAAGACCCATCTTGAAATTCTTCTTACAATCGTCCCGTCAAAGTTTGTAGTTGATAATCTTTGTAGATATTTAAGGATGGATTAATATGTGTAAGGCCGGCCGGTAGAAATAAAAATATTTTAGATTACATGAGGAAAAACACCTCGAATATATACTAGGGGCAGATGCACAAAAATGCCAGACGTCAGATCCAAAATTTAAACCGAGAATTCTATCATCGGCTCTCTTCTTGATTTTCTAAAATTCAAAAGCCTAAGTTTTCTCGTTATGACGTCGCGAGAACACGCCAAAATGCTACTGTTAGGGCTCATCCCACACTCGAGCGAATGCATGATGGCCCACCATTGTGGCTCAGCGAGGACGATCGCCAAACACCGTCAAAAACTTCAAATTCAGCCGACAGGGAACACATCATTTTGCATACCATAACATACCCTAGATCGCGGAATATGTGAGGGTAGAAGCTTTTAAACAAGGTTTTTTAGCGTCATCGCTTCAGGGACTTCCTTGTAAATCGAAGATACACACGGTGGGCCCTAGGAATAAGCTATATAAGCTCTCTTTGACGTCATGACCCATAATCCAATCGATCATGCTACCAGCGTATGCCGGCCAATGCAATGCTGATTGATGCATAAGGGACCCACCAGCACTCTGTTCGCAACACAATATATACCTACTGCTTATTTAAGTATCTATGCCGGCATTGTAATTAGGAAGACAAGGGCTGGAGTCTTTCACAGTCAATCACAGCGATGACTTGGAACTAAATAGAATCATAGATATGTTCCCTGGTCTTGGGTTCACCGGGGTTCGAAAATTAAGTTGCCATGCATGCGCTGCATCATTCTAAATTGGGCAGTTAAACGGACGAAAACGCAACACTGTACAGCCGTAGAATGGTCTCGTCTGCATGTTGCTTCAATTGCAATTGATCGAAATTTAAACAAGAAGCCTATAGATCTACTTCGTCCCAGACCACTAACTACTCTATTCCTAATCTCATCGAACCGGACATGTAGGGAAATATCTGGAGAAGTGACTACCGGCCACTAGTGTGTGCCAGTAGAGGGTTCATATAAAATCGATGGCGCGACAACATGCATCAATTTCTGATCGACAGACCTATATGCCTACAGGCGCTAGCTTTCCCCTGCTACACTAACGACGGGTCGTTATACGGCTCAATCAAGAGTCTTCCTTCGGGGGCAACAGCCGTAACATTCCATCCATCCAAAACTCGATACCTGCCGCCTTTTAGTGTAAATTTTGAGCATTTGACTAAAGCTAGGACCCAATACTTGACCTCTATTCATTTCAATAATTATAAGGACTTAAGTTAGTTGAAATTAAAGCTGAATCGGGTACAACAAGCCAAGCGCTTCAATTGTGCAAAGTACCGACTTTTGTCGAGGGATAAGCACGCCTAACTTACCGAGAACGGCGAGAAATCTACCAGGACAAGCCCATTTACCGTATCCGAATGCAAGATATCCCAAACCTGTTGTTGCTGCTGTTTTCCCACTCCCCACCCATCGATTGGCATCGAACTTGTTCGGATTTTCCGTATACCGTGGAGATCGGTAGGATAGCCGAGTGACCGGGAATACAAGAGAACCTAGAGTGACAACTGTCAGTCCTGCCGAGAACAATACAATATACCCTAGACGACGAAACGGAGTCGGTGAAGCACCTTTAGGAATGAGGTATCCACCCAAATCAACATCCCGTACGCTGGCCCTTACCACATTCACAGTATCGCCTTTCATTCGTAGGACTTCCCGAATGAAAGAATCAGTGTGCAACGCTTTTTTTATGTCGGGTAATGGGCCTCTTAGGCTACCGTGATGCTGCTCCGTAATTTTGATTAATTCCTCTCGAATTTCTACTTGAGATTCCGGATGAACGGCTAGGAAAAAAGTCGCCCAAACCATTATGGTGGATCTGTAACTCCATCAGTTTCAGTTTGGCTCGTTGCATAATCTGAGATCTTCGAAGCATAAGGAGATATGTGCCTACGTTTGATGAACACTGCCGAGAATTGAGGCCAGAACCAAGACGAAGATCCATAGTTTTGAGCCAAGAGAGACGATCCCATTGGAGCTTTTATATCGGTTAACCAAATATGAAATCACGGTTTCGTCCTAAGGATAAGTTAACGGTCGCTCATATGCTATCACAACTAAGAGCTGCAACATTAATCTAACGTCTTTATCAGAGTCGTCGGCCGTTCGACATTTGATATCCGACCAAAGTCTCCATGCAAACTTTGGACCGAAGTGTAGAGGAATCTTGAATAGAACCACACTAATCCTGTTTTGGGATACCTTATTAACATCTACGTTATTCTTGAGGGTTGGTTTAATTTTGTTATTCCTACCAAGTCCATAACCGCCATACTATTGGTACTTCGTGCGCTAACCAGGAGCGGTTTTGGAAGAGGCCAGTCATCTCTGCAGTATCACTCGCGAGAGCTACGACTGCCTTAATGATAATAGGCTCCATGTATTTCTATCAAGAACACAATGCTATCAGAATACTGGCTTATATTCATGAGACGTCGGGCTAGAATCCATGAAAACTGACCTCACCAAAAAAGACCGCCGTCGTCACCTCTGCCATAGTCGACTGCGCATATGGTAGCATGTCAATTGGGTTTCGGGGTGAGGATGCTTTTGACAAAGCCAGCGCGCCACGCTCGAAAATTGGCCAAACTTTTGGTACTTGAAGGTTAGGTCGAAATAATCGTTGTCGTATATTAAGATAGTAGGGGGGAGCGAACGCCCTGAGCCTTCGTACCTTTGGACTCTATATTAACCAGTCGCCTTGCTAAAAAATTCTTCATGATGTCGTCGATGTCACGGAAAAAAGTGCCACCATGAAGACCAAGGAGCCAATTTATTCCAAGCAACTTTGTCAATGCTAAGTAACCAGTGAGTTAGAAGAAAATTGTGGATGAAGTGTAAACTTACTGAAGCCATTCCGTTCTCGAAACTAAACAGTGAATCCTCAGTTAAAACCTTGCGAGTGTACTCGTTATCCACAATGTACTCCCTCTATGGCGGTGGACCCTTATATATTAGTTACCATCCATGAATTCGCACTCTGCCTGATAAAGAGAACTATCTAATAACTTGGTCAAACTTACACTGCCATTCCTTTCAAAGCTAACTACAGGTCCATATTTCTGCAAGGCTCCGATGATTGACTCTTCAGTATTATAGATGATATCATAATGCTGAATATATGTTGTATGCATAGAACTAACTGTTAGATGGTAAAAAGACGCATTCACAGCGAGGGAATGCATGAGTGCTACCCACAGTGAGAGGGGCAAGGGGCGGCTTAGGGAGCTGGCATCGATATCTCTTATCAAAATGAAATCTTGGGTTAGTGAATTGTCAACGACAATAAGTGTTGAATATGAAACTGGGAATTCAAGGCAAAAATCCACCTACTTTTGTATGCTGATGGAAATGTGATATGATGACCGCTGATAGGCAGAACCCACCGATCGTGACTACTTCAGGACTGATAGGACTCATATCAAGGGTTTTCTGGGGCTGTAGAAGTTTGCGTCGTTCAAGCTTAGTGGGAAACGGAAGCTCCGCGTAAAATCCAAATGGATGATCGATTAACGGTAGTGTTGATTCTGAAGATAGAATAGAATAATGAGCCCATCAACCAAAACTAAATACTTAATTGTCGAGATGCTTGTAGGTAGATACGGAGTTACGGGGGGGCGGGAGGTATACAAATAACCACTCTTTCAATCCGAATCCGAAAGGACTATAGTACCCGGAGCCTACCCCTTACTGCATGATCGAAAATCCTTATTCTAGATTCCTGATATTCCATCAAAATTATGATATCATGAGGTCATGCATGATAGGCACCAGTATTGATCGGCCAAACATTCCCGATATCTAAAATCCAAAAAAGCCTGAAGTCACCGAAATATTGAAACTGGCTTCTAATAATTCCTTTTACGGGGTGATCTTACGAAAGACTATTTACTTGATATGACGCGAGGATTCTACAGCACACCTTAGGTTGATGGCTAGATCCACAGCGAGAAATTGATCAAGCGGCCTAAATACAACTTACCAGACGAACACTAGGAATGGGCATAAGTGATTGGTCTGGCGCTGGAGCCTTCTTAGCTAGTTTGGTGACGATATTCGTGCTAGCATGGCCATAGCTATGTAATGCGGTGTATTTTAGCCGCTACCCAGTCCATGATACCTCCTCCAGCTATGATACAGCTGGGCATAAGCTCAGTAGCTTTAATCAAACTCTAATATGCTCCTAGAGATATCCTACTTTCGTCGCATTTTGGAGCTGTTCTTCCTATAGACTCATGGCCAAATGAGCTAAAGTATCTGTAGTAGCCACTAGTAGCGTTGGAATTTTAGATATTTGTGTTGTCACATGCCACGTTTTGCGATAATTCATGAATTCATCCCGGCAAATGTTAGCTTTTAGCAAAGCTAAAAGCACCAACGTGCATATATGCACATGTACGTATGTACATACCTCACAGATCATAGCCACCCCTCTGCTTTGGCCGATAGCCGATTCTCGCCATCTAGCCGATACAAATAATCTGTGGCGACACCCTTGCAGGAGAATGTTCAACGTTTTGACACTAATTAAGTCAATGAAATTTTCGTCATATTTCGCTAGCTTCAAGATGGAATGGATAGTTATAACGTTAATATTTCGTAAGTAATACTCTGTGTTACTGGAGAAAGATAGACCTGGGTTCTGCAGCCGATGCCCCAGAAATAGTTACTGACGGAAATCTGGTGAAAGTTTCTGACGGCAAGGCTTCACCTTTCCTTAACTGGCTTAGTTTAAAGTACATTGAGCTCTCTGCTATATCGTGAACCCCTGAATTCATGTGACATGCAAGTCAACCTGGTTTCCTAAGAAAACGATAACAATATTTTGTCATCGCTATTCCCTGCTAACTCAACAGGGATAAGCTTGTATCCTAAAGCTTTCAATATATAAGTACACTTTTATCGACAATGACTGCATTCTTTTGATGTCACTCAAGCATTACGACCTCTTTGTGTCATGATCCCAGCCCATGATATTATTGACGAGTATTCCAATACGTCTATGCAACGACTCCATGCGAGTCATTTTGATCTAGGAACTGGATTTCCAATGCTTTCAGCTTTCAAAAATTTTACTGGGTCCACATATGTACCTCCTAATCGATCCCAAAGGCTACAGAACTGTCCAAAGTTGAAGTTCATATTCTTATGGTGAACTGTATGGGCTTGTTCTCGGCTATCATCTGTGGGCAAGCTCAGCGGTGCTCTTTATTGCGGGATTAGCTCATCTGGGGTTACTTACGTAAGATAAAAGCCCATAAATTGGAATATACCAGAATACCTAGCTGCACATAGTTCGACATGGGAAGTATGAAGCTATATGCGTAAACTGGAAGGCTCATAATCCACCCTTCTATTGGGTGGAAAGAGTACGCCCCGAAGGGTGTCGGTATAACATATCTAACATGATTTTAATTAGACCATACGAAAGTACCAGTAGTCTTATCAGACCCGACAATAACACCAACACTTACTTATGGTGTTGCCTGTGCATTTTTTTGAATAAAAAAAGATTTTTATGGAAAAGCCGGTGTAACCAGTACACGCACGTGTCGCTAAATAAGATAAATAGCGGAATTTGTGCAAGTTCATACCACCAGCTAGCGCTACCAAACTTATAAAGCTTGCAATAGCCGTTGGAGTTTATTTGCAGAACAAAAATTGGGGTAGTTAGTAGATTCATGTACAGGAGAGCGTATAATGAATCCGAAATTTCCCTTTTGATTTGATTTCGAGCGAACTTGGGATGTTGTTCCAGTGATCGGTCAAAGGCCCAATAGTAACATAACGTAGCAATGGGTATATAAAGAAGGACACTCAGGGGCCTAGATTAGGGATGTGTCAGGTTAGTTTCATCTACATGTAGTGAGATAGATTATACGCATAAAGGCGCCGAGTTGCGTATATATACCCACCATACAGTCAAAAAAAGGCTGATGCTCTGGCGAAATACGCTTTCTCTGCTCCAGAGACTCCTGTGTTTTGCAATAGCACACAAAAGTTCACCCAGGCTTCTTAGGATCGCCGACTTGGCGAAGGTAGAATCACTCTGCTGAAAGGCGGGGCATATGGTAAGCTCAATCTTGCAGCGAGCCGACTCATACGCAGGATCGAGAAAGGTCGAATCTAAAAAACTTAGGAAGAGATCCATTATTGAGTTTAGTGACCCGGGGATTGTGCAGCTGTGAATGATGTGGATGCAATGTTGAATTTAGGGCCTCGATCGATCTAAAGAATTGACGACGATGTGGTAACTTGGGCGCCCCGACACGTCCATATCTCATATTTATAGACACGGTTGGTACCTCTTTTTAAGTTTTCTTTTAATTGATGCACGATCGATGTATGCTCCGATTGATATCGGCCATAAAGATGTGGAAAGTTTCAAAGCGTTGAGTAAGACGATGCCGGTATAACACCTAGGGAAGTGATCTACACACATGCGACCTGGTGTTTGAGCGTCCAGTCGGTCGTCCCACGAGTTAACCTGCAAAGAGTTAGCTTTGCCAAATGCAGGGTGGCCTGGTACTAAAGCAAGATTTGCCGAGTTGAAAAGCAGCCCGCCCCAAACCGATCGACCATTAGGTGTGCTTGTGTTGTGCGTTCCACAGTGCAGTAGCTCCTTCGATTTCTGCGATTTCCCACGGGCATTATCAGAATACATCGCTGTCACCCGTCAACCGGCCTCCTAGGAAATAAGATTCGATTGATATGATCTCTACTAAACCGGACCCGCATCCCATGAACCATCAAGGTGTTGTTGGCGGCGCATGCAATGGACCCACTTTCAACATTCCAATGCAAAACCTTTCATAGTTTTTAAGGTCTGAGCCAGAATTAGCTAGCTATACTTTACCGACATTTCTCTTTTCCTTGAAAAAAGAACAACTCGAGAGGCAATTTGTGAGTTTCGAGGGAAAGTATGCTAATGACTTTATGAATTGCTCTACCGCTTGGTATTGAGTTTCATAAGACAGTCGACGCAAAAAACGGTGCATACAGATTTACAGTAGCGCAAACCAGATTCGAGCCAAACCACAAACCAACGACGTAACCATTTACCTCCTGGGTTCGCAACAGACTTAGATGCCGACGTACATCCACCAATTGTGGAGAAAGATAGAACCCCTCCTAGGACACATCTCTGTCCAATACAATATCTCCGTTTAGGTCATTGGTTGCCTGATTCTATAAAGAAAATTGACGTCTATAAGAATGGATCCGTCCGGCTCATGGCACCAATATTAAACTTCCATGAAAGATTAAAAACAACCGCGCCTAAGTTCACCAGTAACTACTACGGTTTCCCCAAATTTTAAATTCTTTCTTATCTTCAGATATATACTGGAATCCCCTTAAATTGCGATAAATAGATATGTATGAGCCGAAGGCAACAGGTCGCAACCAAGTCGTTTTCAATGAAATCGTTAGTTGTCTTCTTATTACTACTTGCCCAGTCTCCATGTTATTTTACTTGATAACGTTCCAAGATTTCGGGGCGTCACTTTTGCTTAGTTCAACCACCCTACTATCAGAAGGGCCTTCTTTCTTTACATCTCGCTTCCCGTGTTTCACGAAGGCTTCAATTGTCATTTATCTCTCCTGGGTTGCCGTCCAGGCCGCCCTATACATTAGCTTGCCCGGCTCTCTGCACAAGGCACCTCGTACACACGGGGGCAGACAACTATTGTACAAATTGAACGGCCTTTCCGCTTGGTTTATTACTGTTGGGGGGGCGGCTATATTGTCGTACTTTAGGGTCATAGATCCAACATTCATTGCTGAACATTGGGGAGAGCTTCTTGCCGCGGCAAATTTCTATTGCGTAGTACTAATCTCCATCTTCTATATCAAAGCTCATATAATGCCCGACATCGAGGGCGAGACTTTGATTACTGGTCACTTCTGGTATGATCTTTTTAATGGAGGGGAGCTCCACCCACGAACCGGGAAACTATTTGACTGGAAGCATTTCAACGCGAGCAGAACAGGAGGCCTTTTACTTTGGACGCTAATGTAAGCTAATTTCGTCTTGAATTTTGGAGTTCACGAGGCATAGTTGCTGATTAGACTTTCATAAAAGAGATCTGTCATTCGCTGCACTACAGTATTATCGTCATGGAGTCGTCACAAATTCTATGGTCTTAGCTGTTGCCTTTCGCATGGTCATTACGGTAGAATATTTTTGTACGGAAAATTGGTAAGCCTCCTGGCCCGACAAAATGCTAGTTGGAAGGGATACATATCTGACCCGCGAATATCATAGGTTCTTCGAGACACTTGACGGTGCGCACGAAAGGTTTTCTTTCTACAGTATATATGGCTTCGCTGCTATTATGCCGCAGATCTGGACTCTGCAAACACAATATCTTACTATATACCCAATACATCTAGCTCAATCTCGAGTAATTGCAATTAGCCTTGCTTTCGCTATGGGCTGGGCATTAAATCATCTCGCCAACAACCAAAAAAGTACTTCGCGAAAGACCCATGGCAAGTGCACTATTTGGGGGAAGGATGCAGACTATATTGAAGCAAAATATAAGACTGCCGATGGCAAGACGCATCATACGATTTTGCTCTGCTCAGGTAGGAATCCTGTCTTCTTTTTTTCCCCCGATCCATCTAGCCAGCCTTAGTTGCGTTGAAATTAAGATATATGCTAATTACATCATGTACTATGGTTAAGGGTGGTGGGGTATCGTACGTCACGCAAATTATGTCGGAAGCCTTCTTTACACTTGGGCTTCATGCTTTACCTGCTCTAATAACCACTTATTTCCTTATACCGAAGCAATCATGGTAACACTCACTGTTATTCACCGCTGTTGGCGTGATGAAGCGAGATGTAAAGAGAAATATGGGGAGAAGTGGGACGAATACTGCCGGGTCGTCAAATGGCGAATGATACCTGGGATATTCTAAATTAAAATGTGGCGGTGTTTATTCCATTCTGCAGGGTGGGCTTGTGTAACTATTAGACCTCCAATATAAAGAATGATTCGATTTCTAGAAGCGAATCAGCAACCCTCTTAAATTAAGCCCTAGACCTCACCATGTTAATTCCGCAATTACGTTATGTTACACGAATTCCATTGTTGAGCGACCGAACACCTAAATTATAAAATAGCACCCGGCAGGTTGCGTTAAATATCAAATATAGTTACAAGCTGGCACCTACATGAAGTGCGTGGGCCAAAGCGGAGTATGTTGGCCAGCAGCAGCATAAGAAAAGGGCTAATTCCTTCATTCCATCAAGTCGTGGCTTTGGGGCAGCAGTACCTAAGCTAAGCTACGCCCAGCGCGACACTACCTGTTCCGTTGCATTGTGACAGCCTTCTGCATAATATAATGGTTACACAACACATATTTAACCAAAATACAACGGATCCTTTCGGACAACAAGCAGTCGGCATCTATAGCGAATTAAATACTTTGGGTAGGGTAAATCAAAGAAGAACGTTGAAATTCGGATACTCGGATGCAACCTTGCACTTTGGCTTCGGGAAGACTAGAGCAGGCATAAAATTGAGTTTTGGCAAAAGCCGCCCGTCATGAGGTTTGCTATAGCCACATAAAGATGCATCGATCGAAGCACAATATTAATTATTAAGCCCCAACGGTTGGGAGTCAACTGCCTGCGCATGGACCTTGTTGCATTTTTTTTTTTTGTTTTTGAAAGGCTGGGTTGATAAAGAGATACAATAGTATGGGTCAAATGGGATTGATCATCTAACAAGGATCATACTGTACAGCTGTCAGCCAACTGCCTCTAGGCCTCTCAAAACGCAGTGAAACTGTACCTGTAAATGTTACCCCAGAAAACCATGGCTGATGAAGCTAAGACATCGGTTAAAAAACAAGCTTTTGGCTAGGCGGGACAGAATAATCTTAGCGGCTGGAAGGAAGTGGTTCTCCGGAATAGCAAGACAAAGTCACTACGGCCTGCAGGCCTGTGATTCCGGCGCTCAACTTAGTACTCTAGTGGTTTGAGTTGAGACACATTGCAATCGTAGTTTCCGTTTAGCTACTTATGGATAGATACCAACAATTGCGTTTTTGATAGATTTGGGACCGTAAAATAGTCAATGACGAAGCCCAACCAGCCTAGTCCGGTGGATCTATAAATTGGCTAAAGTTCATTAAAATATATTGTTTCTCATCTGTCCTGCTCTCAATGTCCGTGATATTTAATCCTAGACCGCAAACTCCTGAAAAGCCAAGAATACATCCTAGTGCTAGCTATAACAACAACCGCATATCTTAACCATTTGGCGATTCAATCTATAAAATGCAACGTTCAATGATCGGCTTACTCTCATTGGCTTTAAGGTTCGAAATATCACGGTTAATCCTTTATGATTCGTGTTTAACGCACGGCTAACATGGCTTCATCCCTAGCTACAGCGTATCTTCTGTAATCGCTATCTCTTGCCCCCCTTCTATTACTTTGACGGCGACCCAAAGGCTTTTCTGTCCCCTAATCCGTTGCGAGACCCCTACTACTCCATGTACGCCGACCACAGCTACAATCAGTGTTCCGTGCGTCTGCCAAACCAAGCCTCCGATAACCACGTCCCTTAAACCATCCTGTCCTACAAACGGGTGCGCCTGCCCTACAGAAACAGTAACCAAGAGTGCGCACTACTGCCCCACTACTGCTCCCCCAACTACGATCGCACCATGCACCGCCTGCCCATTCTCGAAGACTGTTTCAACGGGCTTTCCAGTCTGTAACGATCTTCGGTGCGCCTCGCCACCCATTGCATGTCCCCAAATCATCCGACTCGTTGATATCCCATGCTGCTGCCAAGGGCTACCGCCAACCATAACTACAGTTAAGGCCCAATGCCCCCCTAACGGATGCACTTGCGTTATTCCGACAGTTACAAGTACAGAGGAATGTAGTGTTCCTACAAAATAAATCTCGGTAGTTTCAAGGGCGGGCCTTCCTATCAGCCTCTCCAGGACTTCTGTTACTAGTATAGTACCCATGCAAACACCAAGGCAGGAATGTATGCCTATGAAAACCAAGGGGTCGCCCGCGGGACACCACAATTACATATAGTTTCACCATCTGGGGTGTTTAAAGATGCAATATATACGTGTATTTAATTTGTTTAATGCTATAGGAAATGCAGTCTCCATAATTCTATATTTTGCAATCTTCAGCGAAGTCTAGTTGACTTCGTTGAGCCCAGTTTATCGATTCCTGCCCAAGAGGAGGAAAATAACGCACCAGGCGCCTTAACCATATAAAAATAGGACCTACACAATTCTATGAGGCACTCGCTCTTCATGCTTTTTGTGCTGAGTCCCCATATCCTCATTAGACAACGCATGGTGTCCACTTTCTCCAATAGATTGTAAATCATCCGCAACTTGGTGAGATGTCACGAAATCCAACCCATCAGAATCGTACTCTGCATAATCTACGGTAGGTCGTAGGTTCGCCGCCACTGACACCTTTCTTAGGGCTTCCGGTGTCGTGCTTTGTGGCTGATTCTGGTCTAGATCTTCACATGTGGGGTCCCCGTCAAACCGTAATTCCGCAAAATTTGAGGGACCTCTGCTATCTCTACGAAACGGCCACAGAGTACTACGTATAATCCTTTGCTCCGCAGTTTTACTTGTGTTTATGGATTTGTCTGACGATGGATCCGATGTATCGTTTTCAAATGTCGGAGATATGTGAGGGCCGATGAACCCAGCGTTCGCAATTGTAGAGGACTTGTGCCCTTGAGCTATAGATGATCGTCGAGTGCCAAGATCTGTAGCATTTCCAATAATTGTCGTATCGTTTTGGGAGGCGTAGTCGTTGGTAGCACGGGTTGTATCCGAGCTCCCTTGGTGATCCTTGTTCGTGATTGCATGAAGAACAACAGCACTGAATAAAACTGTTTGTAGGATATCGATATGTTAGTATTTCAATGGTAAATAGTTCTTGGGTACGTAACAAAAGACTTACTATCGGCATTACAGAGCAGTAGGCAAATCCATCCAGGCTCCCCTTTCAATAGCATAAGGGTTGTCAAGTTCCTTTTTTGGTAATGTATCAGTTCGCAGCTATGATGCGCATACTTCAAGATTGGGATTACATACGCAACACTGGATATTAAGGTCGCACAAGACCCACAGAAAGTTTTGATCGCCATACTTCGTAGGGCTTGATGTGATTGCTGAGCTTTTCCTTGCGCAATTTCTGTCGTCGGGTTAGCGGGCCGGTGCTCGGTTGATGGGTATAGCGTATCAGGCGGCTTAGCGATCCATCGTAGCCGGACAACACTTACTAACAACTGGAATCAAAAACAGGGTCGTCAAGTACACCTTCGCAAAATATTAATTAAAAGATTAGCTTTGTTTTGTGATCAATGGAACAATTCGATCTCGGGATTTAGGCCTTGACTCACGTTAACAACTACGTCAAATGTTATGAGAGGAAGCAGGGCAACCTTCTTCATCCCGATGCGGCAAACACCATCTTCGAAAAAGGAAAAGCGGCTAGATACTGTATGTTAACTTATATATCTCATCCACAGCATGCTAGCAAGTTTGTTACAATGCCAAAGTTAAGAAGCAGATCGCAACGTATGGAACTAGTCGTGTTAGTTACCTGTAATTTCCTGCTTTCGAACCGAGTAGGGTGATGAGAACTCACCAAGCATCCCGAAACTGTTAAATATATATAGTTTGTCTTTGCGTCGGGGGAGCCATGCGTTCTTTACAAGCCTCACCTTCTCAACTAGGAGAAGATAAATCAGCTATATGTTGATCAGTCAGTTCGAGATTTTTCTAGATCGGCTCCTTTTGAAGACTAGGCCTTACTTACGACCTATCGCGGCTCTATAATTAGCCGCGTATAATTTAGGTGAACTTTTTAAGCAATAACTCACTTTTGTCGTCTCATAAAAGACGATACACATGATAATTGCAGCGGAGCAATGTGCAGTACTCCTGTTGACTCCGAACCCCAGGCTGATGACCCCAACGGAAAAGATGAACAAAAAAGAATCTATGTAGACAAATAGGATATCTAGGGTTTAATACGGATTAAAGGGTGTCTAAAGGAGGTAATCAGATTTGGATCGATAACTACTCACACCACCGAACTGGTGTCAATTTTCTCCATGAGGTAATAATCATTATCCGCTGAGCTGTAGTAGAGGGAAATAATGTTAAAATACCCTGATGTTTCCGCCTTCTTGTTTCTGTGTAATTCGGCCTGCACGTACTTAAGCAAAATGTGAGAACAGTGATAGTGGTCATTATAAGCACCGCAGTTATAGGTTTCCCCGCTGGGGGGTATGCGGCGCCGGTTACGACATGTGTAAAATTCATCGACGACATGGTGGATCGGATATCCTGCGGATAGGCCGTTTCGTCAATAAATTATGAGCGTGTACTAGGATTTGTTAATGGGTGGAGCCTCTGTCCACAAAGCGGAATTAGACCTCGCCTTTTATTCAAGAGTCTCTGGCCACTGAACTTGAAGCCAAAATAAGATTAACATTTCAAAGACCTGACTAAGCGGGCGTTAGCATAAATTGGTTCCCCAGAAACCGAAGGTTGATGAAGCACGGTATGGAAAGCAAGTCTTTTGCGAAATAATCAGCGGGCTCGAAGCTTGAAAGTGAGGATCACGGAAGTGTTATCACGGATTTGGCTGCGACCGAGGGCAACCCCCGGATGAGGATTTTGTCGAACTCACTTATGATAAACTTTACTGGCTTCCCACCCCTATCAATGGCCCACGCGAAGCACCAAAGAAACCTTATTAAATCTAGACACTTTCGAGAGTCAACTAATTGAACCCTTGGATTGGTCTTTGAAAACACTTGTCCGTTCCAGTTGACGGTGACGGTACTAAATTTGCCATGTAATCAACCCTATAGGGCGAATAGAATGAAATAGCGTTAACCTGACCAACGATTATAATTAAGTCCACAATGCAACGCATTAATTAAGTGTATTAATATTACTTACAGTTGAAGATTGATCGACACTCAATGGGACTAGACTCATCGGATCTTCGACACGTCGACACTAATGGGTAATAAGTCGGCTTGACAAAACGAATACTTTTTCGTTACCTTCCTTATACACATGCACACCCAGGAACATTGGAGCGCCGTTTCTGAATCAACGGGCATACGACCACGGTATGACAAAAGACCGATGTAGGATAAATAGAATGTGGTGCACGTTCTTAAAATTTACTCGTGTTGCCGTCCTTTCAATATCCTCTGTTGATTAGGTACAGGCTGCCTTCGGCAGATGCCAAACGTGTGGCAACACACCTTTTTTTGGTGGCTGACCCGGCGTCTGGCTTCGAGACTAAGGTACAGGGTGATTTTTTGCATGATGCTGGTGTGTTCCCACTGCTTCATACATTACAGGTGTACATAATTACTACGGTGTAATAGTCCTCCTCCATCCCACCTTCTTCTCGTAAAATAACATGTAGGACAGGGAGCAAAGTTTTAACGGCCTACGTGGAATAACGATGAAATGGTGTACTAATTTGCCCGACTATTTACAGGAAAAATCCCTAATAAACAATCAAAGTAGTCTGGGGTTGTCTCGTACCCAGACCTTCCAGGTCTGAGGCAAACAAAGAAGAAAATTTCCCCCTAAAAAGGGTATAACACAAAAGTATATTACGAGACAAGGTTAAATTATAGAATAGACCGGCTTCATAATTTATTATTATAGTGTTTAGCTCGAAAACTATCAGTCGGTCAGGTTTAAATGCCACGCATGCGCGCCTTCTAGTGTATTGTACTTTATTTCGAGGCCGCCTATACCGTGCTGTTAGAAACCTTCGCTCTCTCAGCATATTACCAGCTGAGCTTTGTGCTTTGTGTTGCGCATGCTACTTGCAGTTAGGTGTTGTTTTTGTTGTAATTATCCAGCACCATCTGGCTAACTACTCTCAGTTTGGTTACGGGACTGCTGGCTAACTACTACGTAGGTAACCACTTAAGTAGGTAGATTGGGCAATATTAGGCCTGGCTCTAACCATGGTACCATCGCTATCAATTGCAAGTCGCAAGTGAAATATTCTTCTAGCGGCTAGTTAAATGTGTATCCAATTCAAAGTTGTGGTGTACGGGTTCTGATCAGCCGAGCTTGGGGCGAGCTTAGCTTAGCTTGAGACACCAACTTTGTATTGGCTTAGCTTAGGATATGTAAGTGGTTCCACCCGTCTAAAGTGCAGTATATATATACATACCCGGTTTGTTATGGGATCTTTAGTCGACTAGTTTTTAGAACTTAACTGCCAGTTTTGGCTTTGCTCTCCTATCGAGCTGGACTTTTCTACCTCAGTTTACTTTCGTGACCATGAGCCATATAATTATAAGTTATAGTGCTGGCTTGTGAAATGGGCCTTGGGGGTTGCTTCTTATCACAAGTGTTCTTCCTAGCAGTCGAGCTCCCAGATTAGTCCTTTCAACGTACATTTCTGCTCTTAACGTCCGTAAACTATGACTAATCAATCGGGACAAAAAATAAATTATAAAGCTTTCAAATTGACGGGAAAGTCTGTCGAAATTTTGAAAATGATTGTATTTATACCTAACGATAAGATTTTAAAATACCTTATCAGCTTGCTCGCAAAACCCATCACTACAATTATATTCATCTCGATGAACGGAAGCAGCCAGAGCGCTCATGTCTTTCCATCCTTAAGACCTAGTTGTCTTTCGATGTCATGAGAGATTGGGGAGGAACCATCCATATTTCAACCTTACGAACCATAGTTCCTTCTCCTTTCTACGTTACGCCTATTATGAAGCTGTACCTGAGCGGAATATTTCTTTAGAGATTCTTGAAATAGTTCGCGAAATTTCAATTTTCCTATGTTAAGACTTAGTCCTCCACCATTCGAACCCGGATTAAGAAACAAAAACTAGGTCATAATACCTTCTACTGTCCCAAATGTAATCCAGAGTTTGCTGAGTTTGACGCTGGTCCCTGACCAAGCTTGGACATCCAACGGTAACTCGATTCTTTTGGCTTCCCCCGTGATGATAACGACATCTTCCGATGAATCATTACTGCGACGAAAGGCAAGGCTTTTACAGCACACTAGTCCGTTTTCATGGCAGCAATGGCCCTCTTCTATCGTGGTATCACCATTCACTAAATAGGATTATATATATCAGCCGATCAGTCCGAGAATAGCAAGGTACGTAAGGTGTTGATGTAGTGATTGAACTTACATGGTATTACAACCAACTGTGGTTTCACCCTTCCGCTCCCAGTACATCCATAAATGAGAAGTTTGGAAAATTCTGGGCTATGAAGATGAAGAGTCGAAGGTGCTAAACGGGTTGTCGAAACTTGTTCCGGGGCCGTGGTAACTGATTGCCAACTGCCCGAATTATGTCTTCGGTAACTTGAATCCGAGACACGAGGAAAGCCTGGGAGCTTCCTTGAGGAGTTATCGGAAGATGTTCCGCCAAGCGTGGATGGCAGAGGTTGGGGGTTCAGTACCCCAATATCTTACTCCAGATGGAGGCTTCGGCGACCAGATTTGCGCGCTAATATTTCTCATTTCCACAAATTTTGGCCATATTCGCTTGCTGCTGAGGGTTAACTTGGAAAAAGGCACAAAGCTAGATATTTATCTCGTGCCCAAGCATTATTATGCGTTCTCGCGTTTATATTTATTAATATGCATCAGGGATCTGTCGAAGCGTCTTACAAGGTTTCTCGGATTTCGTATCCGCAAATTGCATGTTGGAAATTTGCAGCGTCTGAGGGTTTAAAAAGTTTTAGTTGTAGCGAATTAATGATACCTTTTACGGGCATACTAGGGCTTTGTCGGACTCACCCTCCTGGTTTTCAAACTCTATTTCAACGGTTCTATCAGTGTGAGTGCCCTCCTCGACACCCTTTAGGGAAATATCGCGATCCAACGCCACCTCAGAGAGGTTGTTTTCTACCACTCTCGACTCTGAGCTGGGGAATAGGGGCGTAAAGCGTGTTTTCAATCTATCGTACCGGATTCGCCCTGTATTTCGGTAGGAATATGTTACTAAATGGAAGCAACGACTTTAGATGTTCCCCTCTTATGGAAGAGATTCTGAAGGGTTAAACCGTTATGATGAACCATTCTCACCATTCTTGCTCTGAATCCAATAATCATCTTCTTCTGGCTCGCCAAGTAGTTGTTGGTCGTCGACTATCATTGTAGTACTCTTAAACCATGGAGAGTCTCCATGGAAGCCGGTTTTGTCGAACAAAACTTTGATCAAGCGCTTCTCCCGTTTATATCCCTCATACTGGACTGCTCTATAGAGGTAATTACTTTTGGTTAGCTGAGATCCTTTACCGGGAGTTCCATGGAGTATCCTACTTTTGGAAGATAACAACCTCAGACGGGTCATCGAAACTATGAATCTCGCACTGCGCGATCTTTGTTTCCTCTTCACGGCTTAGATTTAGGTCCAAGATTCCTCGTGGCACTTTCTGAACCGAATCTAAGGATGGGATTTCCCCGGCGACTGGTTGAAGCTCGTGTATTTGCTTCAGAGAGTTAGTCAATACTGCAGTCCTGACGTCCATTTTGATATATCGATATCGCATGGGTATGACTGTTTGCATGGAAAACTCACATATTGTACTGCAATCACAACACTTTCATTGAATTGACCGACGGTGCTGTCTGCCGGAAAAGCTTTCATTACTCCGACGAGGAGCCAAGCAGCTTTCATGAGTTGAGCGTAGTTTTCTACATACTCCGGATTCCCCCTCTTCAGTCCTTCAATACTCGATCCACACTTAAATGTTATTAAGGTTAGTGATTGATGGATTTTCATATATAATATTACTATCGATATTTCCATCAGATTGATGAAATGGGTGCCCACCTCACCGACCCACAGTAGCACTTTTCTCAATAAATACCAAATTTTAAAGTTCTCTAGTGCTACTTCTTGCTCGTAGAATTTCCGAAACAGCCATTCCTGCGAGTCAGTATAAGAAGCCTCCACTTCCGTTGTAGTTTCATTTTCCATGATGGTCGACCCATTTGTGCTCAGATCTACGGATTCTAAAAACTCCTGCTCTGTGAAACGTTGAAAAGCTGTCGACTTGCCTCCTGCGCCCAAATCTTTAGGGAGAAGCAGCAATTCTGGATCACCTAACCTCCGTTTAGGAGTCCGCGGGTGGTTTTTCGAATTCTTCGATGGGAATGTACTGATTAACTCTTGCGTAGTATGCCTAATGTGACGGAATAAACTATAGTCAGAGCCCATAAATTTATATAAAAAAGAAAAGGAAGGTGCGATTCTTGGCGGCGGGTGTACCATTGCAAAGTGCTTGCCAGGAAGTTAACCATGTTGGCTAGTGTTTGGTAGCGGTGCTTGAAAACTCTCAGTTTCCCCTGGATTCCCTCTTGCCGGAAGAAGCTTTTGATAGTTGAATTGGGTGCTGCAATCCACTCCCCGTTAAGATTCTGGGGTATCTCAAGCTCAAATTTCATCTCTCTGAGGAACTCCTCGACTTCATCGTGTGTCTGGTCGGTGTTTTTAAGGAGGGCGCTAAGTTCCTGCTCTATTGGATCTGCGTCACCGAGAAGACTATTGCATGAACGAGCTAAACGTCTCCTCTCGGCCATATTTTTGAGCATTTCGATACTTTTAGTTAGACACTTCACTTGCTCGATAAGGGCACCGATGGAATCGTCGAGACTTTTATACGTATCTAGACTTTGGTATATCCATTGAGCTGCCTTCAAGAGAGGCCCTATGAGAGTTACCTCCATTTCGGAAACTAGTTATAGTCGAAGCCTATACTATTGGTTTAAATTTGCAATAGAAAGGAAGGATAAGACCTAGAGCATGTAAAACTAGCCTTCTTTCTATATAAACAGGGTCTGCCGGGTTTCAAGTATACTTGTATCCAACAGCCAGCTCAGAAACGTCGAAGGTCGCCAGCGGAAAACAAGAAATGTGCGTTCGGGTCTAGAAATAACGGAAAGAACCTTCTAGGACTATAACTAGGGCCCCTAGCAACTTAGGAAGACCTAGACCCAAGCCTAATCAGGATCCCGACGGCACATCTAACTTGCAATTCACAGCCTCGCCTTCAGTAGTCACACCAACTTCAGCCGCTTGCGCTTGGCGATTGACGCCTAGACCTGCAGGCCTGCACTATACACATTAATTAACTGGACCGAAATGCAACAGTTGTTGAAATTATGATAAGGAGCTATCCACCGGATGATATAGAATCAATCAAGCTGATGGCCCGTGGTTACACCCAAAAAACGCCACACAGTCCGGATTCGAAAATATGTAGTCCAAATTCAAGCTCGGATAGGGTGGCTACTGGATATAAAAGCATGATATCCAATTTTCAGGGCTTGGTAACGAAACATAGATAAATCGTAAAAGCAGAGCCTTATTGGCAACTTTCCCGCACCCGCGGCCCACATACCGGTTTTTATCGTATAGTAAAGGCAGTAAAAGTAGCATATATGCATAAAATGCCAAGAACCTCTTGAAGGCAACCTGCAGAAACTCCTCAAAGCCACGTCTTGCTTTCATAATATGATAGCCTCGCTGTCCCAACCATCGGATCGTCCTTACAGCGGCCGCGCCCTTAAGGTCTTGCAGACTTATAATAGAGCGCCATAATATCTCAAGAGTTTTATGAGAATATTTCTCTGTCATAGCATCCATCTCTTTTCCCCAGGACCAGTCCCCGCCTCTAACAAAAACCCTTCCATAAAGTTTTGTCATCTATTTCAATAATACAAATGGCCTTCAACCGAAGATTTAATGAAAATAAGCCTTCGAGGGAAGCTAGTTCTGAATACCCCCAAGAACAGGATGCAAATGGTAAAAAGAACGGAGAATACACTGAGATGGCAGATCAAGACCCGCCCCCACAAAGAGAAGTATATAGCAAGGCGGACTTTGAAAGCTATGGAATCCGAGACAAAGACAAAATGGGCAAGGTCAGCGTTTTCCTTTTGATCATCAATCGGATGATTGGTACGTCAACAACTTTCCCGCGCTAATCAACCGAGATCGAGCTAAATAAATCTCTTAATTTTTTTCCCTTCCTTTCATTCTTTATTTCAGGAACCGGCATATTCGAACTTCCATCAACAATTCTCGCAGGTTGTGGCTCTCTGGGTGCTTCGCTGTTGCTCTAGTTTCTCGGAGCTACTATTGCATTTTGCGGCCTCATGGTTCATATTGAATTTGGCCTCATGATACCACGGCACCCTGATAAATACGGTAAAAATTGGAACTGTACCCCTCGGTCGGGGGGTGAAAAGAATTATGTAAGCTGAAATAATGCTCCACGTTGTAACCGCTTGAGGTCAACATCTATACCCTTAATGGGCCATCTAACCCTATTATAGTTTGAGTATCTCTTTATCAAGCGCGGCCTCCTCCCTGTATGCGTTTATGGTCTAATATTCCTATTCCTCGGTAATACTGCTGGAAATTCGTATATATGCGCACAATACTTTTTACGTCTGGTTGGAACCGCAAACCCTAGTGAATGGTTAACGAAGGGGGTTGCGGTGGCAGTCATCACTTTTGCCTGTGTGATGCACTCTATATGGAGGACAGGAGGAATCTGGCTCTTGAATGCACTTGCTATTGTCAAAATCCTTATTTTGTGGGCTATTATATGTCTTGGGTACGCCGCCCGGAGCGGACGCTTTGAGAATATAAAGGCTGAGAACCCCCCACCGTGGTCAAATTTTGAACCCGATCAATCTTTTGAAGGGCGTTCTACCGGATTTTATGGCTGGACTATCTCTATCTTGGGGGTTTTGTATGCTTTTGGTGGTTACGAAAATGCCAATTGTAAGTATACATATAAATCGTCGCCGCAAATTCAAAGCATACAGAAACTTGCCAAAGGCTATTCGCGGTACTAATATTAATAAAACCGAAACTAGATGTCTTGAGCGAAGTTAAAAATCCAACAACAACCTTTGCGCCATCTGCCATCGCGGCAATTGTTTTCACAGGGCTTACATACATACTGACTATAGTCTCTTACGTAAGTTGAGCCACGGCCAATGCTATATTCCTATAAAAATACTAACGCTCATTGCTAGTACCTAGTCATTCCAATAGAACAGTTGTTTCCAGATGAAAATGGCAAAACCGCAAAGCCCGTGCTTTTATTTTTTGAGCGAGTATGAAACCTTTTAACATTTTTTAGGTCTATATGCATATATGTCTATGGAGAAATTAATCTTGGTAGAATGGTCGGCATCCAGAACTCTATCCATATACTAATTTATAAACACTAATAGTTATTCGACGACAATGAAAGGGTGCAGCGGGCAGTATCTGCACTAGTTGCTTTATCGAGCCTCGGGAACTTAATGACCACCACATTTGTTGCTTCGAGAGGTTAGTTCGCTCAATCCCTTCTACCGATTCCCTCTGGAATCTAGTCCAATAGCGCAAATTAACACCAATTTTATGTAAAGTTAAGCAAGAAATTGCCAAAGAAGGGATCATCATCTTACCAGCTTATCATTTTTGGAAAAGAGAGTATGAAAGCGGTTGGCGTCTGATTGCGAACCTTTTTAGTGGTTCGGGTGGTAGACCAGGGGGCAACGATAACGGCTTAAGCGGCAAAGATAAGGCACCAATTCCAGCACTGATCTTGCACTGGGGAACATCCCTTATCCTAATCTTAGCGCCTCCCGGATATCTCGTAGGTTCAATTGTACCCTCGGGGCTTCATCATGGGCGTATGCGTTGGCTGATATCAAATATACTTTACAGGTTTATCAACTATTTACACGTTTACACTCGTATATGTTTCAGGCTATCTTCGGAATGATACTAGGAGGCGGGATTTTGTATCTCCGTTATGTTAAACCTTTGCGAGATCCTGCCTTCCAGTGGGTCGCCCTGTCTAAGAAGGCTTTTCACGTCCCAGGGGTGCTACGGCCGGTGTTCCCCACCATCTATTTTGTAGCCACATCCTTTCTCGTTATAGCACCTTTCATCCAACACGGTGACACAGGGGAGTCTAAGCTATCGCAAGATAACAAATTGAAGTGGTTCGTTTTCCCTGCTGTTTGTTTCTCGCTTTTTGGGGCTGGGATCTTCTTCTGGTTTATACTTGACGTGCTGTTACCCCATACGTTTGACATGAAGCTTTACCGAGATCGGCGAGCTGAATTTGAGGGAGGGAACTTGGCCTGGGAAGGCGTACAGCTAAAATGGGTAAGTGTTTAGATACCCTTTTTATTATCGTTGAGTTGACTACTTCATGGCAGGATGTGATCGCTGACGCATCTAGGTCCCCAAATCTTTCATCGAAGGGAAGACACCTTTGCCAGAGTGCGATCCAAGGCTTCCTTATACAAGACAAGGAAACCGAGATCCCGAAACTCAAAACGGCCTTTCCTCATAAATAGTCTTGTATCGTTCCACCTGTAGATAGTCTCTATCCTATAGCCTAGAGATTTGGGTTCGAGACTACTATCATATATGCATAGAACTATTTGAAAGAAAACGCTGTGCACATTGTCCATATCGAGAGCACCCATATGAATCAAATACTGTAATAAATATTGGTTTAGTAGCGCATTTTATTTGCGAAGTTGATGAAGTCTGGGGTCTGTGGATCGGAAAAAGTGAATGGAATGATTGTTAACACGTTACTGATGATATGATACTTCGCTGCCGCCGCGTAATTTGAGTGACATCACACATACTAGTATATACGTATACTATGCTATTTTTGTTAGAAGCCATGAATTCGGTGCCCTCCCGTCTCATCTAGCGAAAACCTAACCAGAATATTGGACTTCGTGGAAAAAAACCATCAAGTAAGTCCCAGAACCCAAAGTGCACTAGTTCACTACTCCCGATTTGCCAACCCTGAGTATACCAAAAGTTGTGCAATTGTTAGCAGGATATAGGTGATGAATTTGCCAGTTCCACAAGTATATTAAGGAGCCAGTCTCAAATCGATATAGCGCCTAGCCTGAGAGCCGTCACAATACATATAAGCATACATCAGCAATTATACTCCATGGACTGGCGAAAATGGCACATGTTTATCACAAATCCCTCCCTCAAGGCCTCGTCCTAGTTCGAGAAGTGAATGAATATCGATGTATCACAATGTTAGATATCCTAAATTCTTGGCCAAATTGTTATGCGACAACATGCAATTGTCAAAGCGAGGCAAAGACCAGCGATGGGTTGCCAGACTCCAAAGATTGTATATCTCTCATCGGTGACTACAATACAAAAAGTATCTTGCCGAGGCCGGTTGATGGATGCTACAAAACATCAGACAATGGTTCAGTCTACTGGATACGTCCAAATCATACTAGAGGGCCACCACTGTTAATATGTAAACTATATATTTCGCCTTTAACTACATAGAAGTATTACCATCGAGACTTCTTACAGCTGTACAAGGCTTAACGATATCGAGGAGAAGAAAGCTATTTCTCCACTTCGACGGCCGGTACGGTTCAGAACGTGAGCCGACACGTTTTCTGACCATTTTGAATACGTAATGGTCGCTAAACAAACTACATCCTGCCTCTTATGGTTCGTGATTAAATATTTAAATATGTTTTAAATTTTGCAAACAATCGTTGAATTCTTCTGATAGCTTGTCTCGTACCCAGACCTGGAAGCTGATAGCCAACGTACATCGTACATCGCGCTTAGGGACATGAAGAAGCACCTCCATAAACTCAATATCAAATAAATAGCACAGCCCAGGGAGAGGAAAAAATAAGATAGTATCATGAACTCCGCAGCAACCTAAAATCTAGGCAAAAAGTCTTACTGGGTGCCGAACAACCTCCAAGATTTTCACAGCCTCCCTCGATACTTTGTTGAACACCAGTATATGCCCACATATCTATCCACAAGCACCCCTCTTACCCGCCTCAAGGTCTAGAATCGTGTTTTAACTTTGGTAGTTCTTGCAAATGGACATACGAAGAAGTAATTTGTAACATTGGTAAGTCATGGACAAAACTTCTATGGACAAGACCCTTTTTGGGGCTATTGGGAACCACTACAAGTGAGCGAGGATGGAGGCATACACACCGACAGCTCCACGTTTCGGTCCATCAAGTACTAAGTATCGAAAAGGCTGAATGAGCAAACACTTAGGGTCAGGCGCTATCCAAAAACTCATCGCCCTCGCAGTGGCTCCTCCCTATATCGATGGTTTCACCTACCAGATATGAAGGAGATCCCTCTCAACTACCCGAAAATACACCACTCTAATTTGGAAACTGGTGTCATTGGCACCAGGAGAAAGGAGAAAAGGATTAGGGTGGAGATTCACAAAAACAAATTGGGCTTTTAACTAGTACCCGCAGAGTTTATATTGGCTCTTCCTTGAACACCACAGTTACATCGGCGCCGGGCGCTGACTGTACTATCAAATTTGCCTATGATGAGGGGGCGTTCGAGCCCACAATTAAATTATACCGAAGGTTGTTAAAGTTGAAGTAGTGAAAGCGGGAATAGGATAGATAGTTTGTGCCAGTGATAAGGAAAACTCGAGGGGTTGACCATAATAGTATAGACGTACAAACATCTATAGACCGAGAGTACAGGTCAAGAGCTACGATATCCACGCGGCCACAAAATTTGAAATTTTTAATAGAGGAGATTAGGTTGGTAACGGATGGAAGTCCAGTTCTCCAGAACGCCAGAAGCTGGGTTGGGCAGGGCACTTTTTACTAATAGGAGGACCGGAAGTACTGTAGGCAACGATGATATGTTACCTGTGCAGTTAATTCTAACCATGATAAATTTCTATTGGTCGCCTAATTGTATCTAATACTTACTTATACATAGGAGTATTAATTCCTAAGCAGATCCGGAATATCCCATCCCATATGGCCCATCACATCCCACGATAGTGCTGTGCTGAGAAATCGTCGTCGAAGCAGGTAGCTCGGCCGAAATGTATTAAATTTGAATGGTGATCGATTAGTAACCCATGCGCGCTGCGCTAAGAAGATATCAAAATTCCACAAGTATCTCGTAAGCTTGCAGCATCACGAGGAACCTTCCGTGCAGCACTTCGGATTACAAAGCTTTGCAATTGCGTCGACATACAGGTCTAGCGCGCCCGGATTCAGTTGCATCACCACCACACTAACTCCGACCGATACAAAAGACGTGATCGGTGGACATTATATAAGTAGCTTGTACAGAGGTTGGGAATTCGAATGCAATGTGGTATAAAACCCCTCGCTGCGCCCCGCATTTAGGAAGGAACAGCTTCCAATTTTACCCTCAGCATTTCACTTGCCTAAGAACTCCAGCCCAGCTACTATTGAAATTAGTATCTCGCCCTTCGAATATTTCAAACTTCAGGTACCCTCAGCAGGGCCGTGGCATTACCAATTGTGTCCACCCGAATCCGAAGACCGAGCGGTTTGTTCCGGTTGCGGGAACGCGACGGGTTATTTGCAACACTCACAACACAGGAATTCCAACACTCTTCCCCTCAAAGGTGAATCTTCTACGTCACACCTCTTCTCAATCCCGAAACCTCAGCATCATACCCAAGATGGCACCCACGCTTTACACCGACGAGACCCCGGAGCCTATCAGGTCCTCTAAGGTACGTATATACACAAAGCTATGATCCGATTTCCCCAGGCATGGAAACTAATTCACGAACGAATATATATAGGGCCTCCATTTAATCACCCAAAGTACTCCCAACGGCCAAAAAGTCCAGATCCTCCTCGAGGAACTCAAAGCTATCTACGGCACAGAATGGGGAACCTCAATCATTAACATCGGTACCAACGAGCAAAAGAAGGATTGGTTCCTCCGATTAAATCCGAATGGTAGAATTCCAGTCATCATTGACAACGATAAATCGTTCTCAGTAATGGAAACATCTGCCGAACTTCTTTATCTAGTTGAACGCGAGGATAAAGATCATCACTTCACTTTTACCGACCCATTGGAGAAGAGTCAGTTGTTGCAATGGCTCTACTTCTGGCATGGTAGCGGTGCTCCATACCAAGGACAAGTCAACCACTTCTTCAAATATGCCCCGGCACCACCAGACCAGCTTCAGTGTACGTATTTGATTCTTTCTTAACTTATTATTCATCATTTAACATGCAAATATATAGACGCCCAAACTCGCTTCAAGAACGAAACTCTTCGCGTTTTTGGCGTTATCGAAATCCACCTATCGGGAAAATATACCGGCGAGCCTCGTGAATACTTAGCAGGAAATGGTAGCGGAAAGTATTCTATCGCCGATATTGGTACTTGGCCATGGATCAAAGGCTGGGGCTGGTCCGGCGCAATCACCAAGGAGGATATGGAAGCATTCCCGCATTTGCTGAAATGGATCGATCGTATTGCCGAAAGGCCAGCTGTCAAACTTGGCACTGGGGATGCTTATGATGCTTCAAAACGACCAGAGCTCTATGTTGGAGAGAAGAGGTAGATTTCTCTTCTCTTTTTACTATTTCGTGCTACCAACAGTGCTTTAACATGTTCGAGGGGGGTATTCTAATAGAGATCGTGTCATAAAACTATGACGTCAAATTCGCTTCGTTCAAGACACAACCCAATAAATAAAAAATGATCAATACCATACAGTTTAACGTACCGTAGAATAGCCGCCGAGGCCTTATTCCATGCTTTGGGCGGGTGCCGCTTTTCCGTCAAATCTGACTACGCTAAGCGGTGTCTTAGACGGAATTGGAGTTTAACTCCGGAATTTGGAGCATCCGCAAACACTCAGCGAACCAGAATTCGCACGCTTTAGATCTCTAAGTCATAAGTGCCGTCCGAGCCGATCGACCCTGTGTTGCGGCGGCTCCAATTATATATAAATTATAAAAGCTCGACGTAAGAATCATAACTTATAGCTTAACTAGCACACACAAGTTCACTAACATCAGCCAGCTGAGGACAACCGAACAAGCATCAAATTCTTTACGTGAACTCACAGAAAAGATACCGAAGATACTCAAGAATGGCAGACAATCGAGCAGCACTAGGGACTCCTGCAGCCGAGGCCCACGATAGAAGTAGATCCCATGCCTGGTATAAGCCAGGCGAGAAGCTCAAGTTGTCACCTTATACGTTAGAGCTCTTCCAAAACTACAGTCGAATCCCCGCCGACCAAGTCGCGACCCATATCATTGAAGTGGTAAAATACCCATACGCTTTTTCGTAACGATATAAAGATAGACAGAGGGGTCAGCTAACACATGAGGAATCCCACTGCATAAAATAGCGAGAGAAAGCATGGGAAGTCTATCCCTACCCATGTATTGGCAGCTTCCGTTTCCTCGACTTCGCGATAACCGAGTCCCCGATATTCACCACGGCTCTCACAAAGCTCAATTCCGGCGGCAAATATCTGGATTTAGGATGTTGTTTCGCTCAAGATCTTCGCGCATTAGTTCATGCCGGTATCCCTAGTGAAAATCTCTACGGCGCAGATTTACAATCCGGGTTTATCGATTTAAGCCACGATCTCTTTAAGGATGGCCACACCCTCAAATCGACTTTCTTCGAAGGCGACATATTCGATTTCTCAACATTCAAACCAATTCGAGGGGAAATCTCCAATCCAAACCTCTTCCAAAAGATCAAGGGCGATATAGATATCATTAGCGCCCGCAGTTTCCTACATTTATTCAACCCTGAACAGGAATTTAAAGCCGCTTGCCAGATTGTTGCCATTCTAAAAGACAGCCCCGGTTCTATTATCATGGGCCGTCAAGTCGGGAGCTTCACTCCAGGCATGGAATCGATATCCCTGGGTAGACGAGAAGTGTTCCGCCACGACCCACAGACTTGGGAAGAACTCTGGAACAGAGTCGGAGAAGCCACCGATACGAAATGGAATGTCCAAGCAAAGCTACTTGAGCTATCGCCCGATGTCAAAGATTCAATAAAAGCAGCCGAATTAGCAAATATTGAAACTAGAGGCTGGTTGGAGTTTGTCATTACAAGGCTTTAAGGAGAAATACATGCGATCGGGACCATAAGAGTATATTAATTTTTAACCGCTTAAATGTGACACATGTGTCAATACATGTTTCCACTCGGCGCAACCGTCAAAATGATACCTAATACAATTGTAAATGCCAAAGAGATAGCGATGTTCTGCATAACAATTAACTTCTGTACTCTCCTAACCTCTGGATCAATCCCCCCAAGAGTTGACCATCCAAACAACAAATGCGAAATCACATTCCTCTTCTCGAACTTCTGAATAATCGCTTCCCGGTCCTCATCCCGCGGTATAGGTCCATCGAAAAGGTCAAAACTAATTGTTGACGCCTTTTCAAGATCGCATTCAACAACCTGGCTATCACACATACAATCCGTGTCTTTCTCCCATGCGAATCGGTCTCGTAGTCCCAACGACAATAGTACGAGGCAAACGGAGCGCTGTCCATCCAAGACAGAAGCCACGCCGAAGAACAAGGCAAAAGTAGGTACACCTACTCTGACGGCCTTTGGCACTTTCCCCAGAGATAAACCAACCGCCAGAGCTATGGCTACCAATATTAATATAAACCCGCCCCACCTCATAGCCGCAACACGCCCGTGGTTCGCAGTAGAAAGAGCATAGCGCACAAAATTTGGGTGTGACTGCTGCCGCAGTGAGGTTTCCACTTGTGGGAGGACAGATTTGAAGGCCGACGGATGAGTAGTTGTGGAAAGCGCTGTTAAGACTTCCTTTCGGTCGCGACCAGAGAGGTTCAGTTCGAAAGGTGAAAGAGGGGCAAGAAACATTTGGGTAATACGATCAACTTCGGACCTAAACGGCTGGCCTGACGCTTTTTACGGCACAACATTATAATTAGTTCTCAGAAAATTCCTAGACGTTTTGAGGAATATACTCACGATCAATCTCAACAGCTCCTTTCTCCTCGGCGACCGCTAAGTCAGCCTTTGGCTTTGTTTTATCCTTCAAGAAAGGGCTCTCCCATATCGGAGACAATGACTTCTCATTCTCACTTAAGGCATCGAAGATTTGAATATATTTGCGAAACCACAGATAAAACCTCAAATTCTCCGAGTTCCTCTCCACATAGGTCAAATAGTTCATAAAGTCATCGAGACGACAAGGCTTTCCTCGATCGACAACGCAAATTAGCTTGTTACATTTTTCCCCCACTGAAGCAAAGAGAACTTCGACGGCGACGACTTACAAAGCACGTTTCCCGATTAATTACTCTAGAAAACGATAATTTCTCTGGAATCCCAGAGGCCGAAGTACTCGATGGTCCAGCCGTATCCGAGCTTTTCGATTTCAAAGTCCAAGCACCAACTTTTTCCGGTCGCTGATAAAATAGAAATTCTTTTAATCCTTTCCACATGTTGAATTGGCGATGCCTTTCAGGCGGTGACTACTCCAGCGTCATCTGTCGAATATAAAAATCCAATGAAAACAAAAGCATATAAGGGAAAAGAGAGAGGATTCCGGGACCTTCAACCTGGGGGCACAGTATCTTATTACTTCCATTTACATTTCTCTCCCCTCCAACATTCTCTTTTCCCACGTGCGTCCATCTGCCCGACCGCCCTGAAAGGTCTCAGGCTCTCCCAAGCTTCCATATTGGATACCCCGGACATGGCTACCACGTTGTTAACCATGCACCATAACCACTAATTTAGGTAACTGGCAACAGCACGTCCCCGCCCTGTTCCATACAACGCCGTCAAAAAAAAACCTGCTTGGCCCATACCACCAGCCTATTGTTCGGTAAGTTTCTCGCTGCTTCTACCACATATGGTATCTACTCGCGGCTCTCCCTTGCCCTGCGCGAGACAACTTAGTATTTACCAAGCTTAAGGCGGGTGCCAAAATCGGTCGTTGTCGACAATAAGAAGAGAAAAAGGAATCTGAAACGGTTCATCTAGGCCAAGTCAGATTCTTATTGCATGTCTCTCGCTTAATCATAATCTTGGGTGGGCTTCCGTATGTGCGATGGATTTCCTTGGGCTCGTTTTTGACCTACCATAACCTTTCCTCCCTGAAATTCGGTATTTCTTACCCCATACACGGAGTTAACAATTCCCAGTCCACATGATATGAAACCCGGAACGTCGAAGAACCTGTTTACTGGTTGAATGCACGCACGTTTGTAGGGAAAAGTACTAGTTGCTTACCACATGCATGTTTTAAATTTCTTCCAACAATTAATATATTAAGATGTCGTGAGGCGCATGCACATGCGCATGATGTGTTGGTGATCCTTTGCGGGCCGTTGGCTATGTTGGTGAAGTCGCAAAGGACTTACCGGCTGACTGTGACTGTCAGTCAATCCTGTTGCTCGTTCTGGGCCGCTAGTTCTCCCAAGTGCCTCTATATAGTTAGAGTACTCAGGAAGTTCCTACGTAATTAGGATAGAGGAATGTAAAGGAAATTTTGAAGAGGGATTAATTCATTAAACGTCATTGAGATTAACATTTGAGACTATAAAAAATAGTACCATGTCTATTTGAGAACCAACACTAGCAGCCAACTGTATGCAACAGGATTTTTTTTTAAAAAGGACCCTCCAATGATACGTCCAGGGGGTATGGTAGACAGACATGCATGAATATGAATGCTCGCACCTCGAACCCGTTAACCTCCGCCCTGTAAAAGGAATACATATAACGCTACAACTACAAGTCGTACAAGGGTCAATAGAAGCCCCCAAAGTTTCAATTTCAGTATTTATCATAATCAACTCTCGCTAACTGTGTCTGCGCAATATCCCTAATCTTCCTTAGTTTGAGATCTTCGCTGTCTCCGGTGGAGGACCCCCAGAGCTCTAGGCTGGCCTCCTCGTTGCTATCGAGCATTAAGACGGTTAGTTAGGGACAGGGACTCATCCGTTCCAGCCCTTCGGTTTTATGGTTTCCCAGAACGGATCATTCCAAGTTAGCCATTCCCTAATATTTGGTCTCTCGGTCATGATGGGAGCGGGCGCAGGGGGCGTTAGAGTTCGTTGTGTAGTTAGGAACCGCTTTCGTACCATGACGCTCGTAAGCACAACTGCCGCTGTATTCATGGGAGTTGCCAGGTCTAGAATCATTCTGACGGCTTGGCCTGCCGTCATTGAAGCTCGGCAGAGTTTGGAAAATAGTTTTGTACGCAGGGTCTGAAACAGGAAGATCCCGATCACTATAAACCCCATATCTCTCAGCTATGCGCTGCCTTCTTTCTTCCTTGCTCATAGACCACGGTCTAGCACTACCACCCACACTGACCGGATCTGCTAAAGTTTTCGAGGCTTTCGGAGAAACCCTTTTGATATTATTTGGATGTCTAAACTGGGCGGGAGCCTCCGATTCCGCGAAATAACACTCGCGGCATTTGCTTGTATCTTTAATAAGTATCCCCTTCGGATCACGATAAGGACATTGAAGTTTCGCTCTGTGAGGTCTCAGTTTCATCCAGCCACATATCTCCTCAATCCTTTCGTGGCTATGGCCACAGGTAAACTGTGTGACTCTGAGCTTGCACATAGTTGTGGGTAGATGTTGGTTCGATAGGCTCCAGCGCAGGGGCCCCAAGGCACGGGCAAAAACAGGGAGTAAAAGTTAGCACTACCCGTTGGGTAGTCAGGTTTTTGATACTCTAGTTTGGCCCGTTGGGAGAAGTTGGCTTGATCTTCGCGCAATATACTGTATTGAAAACGGCGGTGGAAGGGTTTTTGTTATCTAATATTGACCTGAGATTTGAGAGGGAAGCTTCGCGCAGCCCAAATTGTGGATGGTCCTACATACAGATTATGGTCCTAGTTTGTTGACAAAGATCAAAATTCCAGAATTTTTATGTCTAATTCGAGAAGTTCCTTTAGGGGAGGCCTGGCTGATGGTTAATGTAGTAAAACAATATAATCCCGTCGATATACAGTATATAGGAAAGATAAACAAAGCTCTAAAATTCAAATTCATAAAAAGTCACAAGCGCTGCTCATTAATCCCGTGTCAAAACCATGCTACAAACGAGTATTGTATTTATGGATCAACGTATGCCACGTATACAATACCAGTACTCTATTAACACGACCGGAGCTACCATAACATCATCTCATTCAACAATATGTCGGACAGAAGTTTATCAATGACATGAAAAGTTTTGTATCCGTATCCAACATTCTGAAGCGATATTCAATATTAAGTTTCAAGTGCCTCACGAGAGTTAGCTCGATCAACGCTAAATGGATTCCTTTCCCAATCTTTTAGCGCATGTGATTGATTGCTAACTTTTAAATGAGTGCATAGTCTCATTTGTACGTTGACAACTCAGTTAAATATCCCTTTCACATCCTGGGCTTAAACCTCTGATTTGGTCGTTTTCGTTTTGACCGTCTGCATTTGAAACTTCAAGATGGTTTTCTCCATCTTTCCGAATACCAGGCGTTGGAAAGTCTTTATCTATACCAACTTTCTCACGTGCCGTGCCTGCATCGCTACTGCCCGATTGTTCCTGTAACCCAGCGAACTCTGCAGCTTTCCCTGCGTATTTGCACTTCAATCTAAGCCTTTCACCATACTTGTAGAAAAGAAACGGCGCGGGCACACATGCGAGAGCTAAGAAAGCTGGAACACTCGAGGCCCAATGGATTCCGAGGTTTCGATACATCGGTCCAGTGAAAAGGGGGAATACCGCTCCGAATGTACTCCGAAGAACAGCATTGGCGGCCAGGACACTAGCCGCAAAGATCGTATACTATTTTCCCAAATCGATTAGCAAGCTAGATTGAAAAGGCTAATAACATATCGCTATCGGAGCCTGTTATGAAAATATTACTCACAGAATCAATAAGATAGTTGAATACGCTAAGGAAAACCATGACCATGCCAAATCCAAAAGGCGTCCCAGCGGCGACGCTTGCGAACCAGTGAACATCCGGAGAGTTCGACCAAGCAAACCAAAAAAGTCCAATGGGTATACAGACACACCCGACGAGAGCGGGAGGAAGTCGTTGCTCAGGAGGGGCAAGCCCCTCGTGCCTCTCCTCCGCAACTCTATTATACCGTGTGTTCTCGGGAATCGAATATACAACAGCAGCTAGCATTCCGACTGCGACACCAAGAAATGGTAGTCCGCCAACACCTTGTGACCAGCCACGAGTCTGTTGATACACGATTGGATATGCAGCAAACAACATGTACAAAGTTCCGTATACTATTGACATATATATGGAAAGCATCGCAACTGTTACACAAATGAGCTGTCAGCGAGAGTAGAAGCAGATTTATAGTTAGGTAGTGGTACCTGCCTATTGGTTCCCGGAATAGCAATATCCATGGGCGAGACAAGGCTGTCTTGTACGCCTCTTTCAAGTTTAACTTCCCACTTTGAGCTTCGAACTTGCTAACATATATCTTGCTTGTCAGTTTGCTCAAATTTTCGGCCCTCTTCTGCAGAAGTAATGGCGAATATGTCTCAGGAACACAGAACGCCATGAGAAGCCAAGTTACTCCTGAGAATGCTGCTAAAAGCCCTTGCACCCATCTCCAGCCTGCAGATTCTCCTAGGAATCCACCTGCTATGGGTCCAAGAACGGGTCCCATGAACGGTGCAGCGGCAAAAACTGCCATCGCAAGCCCGCGCTGACTCGCCGGGAACATGTCGGCTATGACACCGCCAGCATTTTTTAAGGGACTGCTTCCAAAAGCCCCAGCAAAAAATCGACAGATCAGCAGCTGTGGAATACTCCTTGCGCCAGCTGCACCTGCATTAAAGGCCGTCAGAGCCGCATACGTCCCTGTGGAGTGAAGGTCAGCACGTTGTACTATAATTCAATTGAACACCAGATACTATAGCATATTCAGGTAGCACAGCAGCTTAAGATGGTCTATCGTACCGAAAAACAGCTTCTGTCGGCCGTAAATTTCACTCATTGGAGCCCATAACAACGGACCTATTGTGAAACCCAACACAAACAACGAAATCCCCAAAATTGCAACAATGTTACTGCAATCGAACTCTTCTTTTATCTGCTGTATTCCGCCTGAATATGCAGACGACACAAATGCAATAGCTAGGGTTGCAAATGCAACAACCATTGTGATTGTCCATTTGGTCCATGGGGCAAACAGCATAGGGTTTCTTGGGTCCTCCGGGATATATTCTACAAGATAAGGATCCTCGTCAGTTCCCGATCCTAGGAACTTGTGTGATATTATCCTGTCGGTAAGAACGCCTTGATCTGTGATGAAGCTCCAATAGGGTATTCCACCGTTATAGAATCTTTGAGATTCCAGATCCCCCCTCAGCACCTGGCCTCGATCTTCGTCGAATTCGTCCTCCTCGGCTTTCGATTTCAATTTCTGCCGTTTGGTGTTGTCGGGGTGTGTTTCCTGTTCCAGCGAACCAGGAATGTCGTTTCCGGCAGCCATTCCTTCATTCAAGGACGGTGACTCGGTTTGGCGTGACGCATCCTGCCCACCATTTGTGGAACGCATTTTGATATCCAAAATGTTAACATAAAATATACCATAATATAATATGGTTATTACAAAGCTCTCGAAAATCCCAAACCTAAATAACTTCAAACATTGCAGTGATTTCATAGAAACCAATTTTCCCAATTACCGAACTAAAGTCTAAGAAAAAACTTGGCGCTCGGCCGATATTCCGGTTGAATTTTGGGATTGTAACATCCAAAATCCACTATAGCCGTTGGCTGAATAATCGTGATGTCACATGTTCCCTGCTTCAAACTCGGTTATTCGGAATGACCGTGGGGTCAATTGATCAAGCTTTTTGATGTCTCATTTAACTACACATTTGCGCGATTCCGACTCGCGATGGCCTTTCCAAATCCTAGCCTCTTGTCACTTTAGGAAATCGGAATGCATAAGTTTATAAAGGTTAAAGCTCCACCGTTCAACGGTTCTCGTTCCCTGTATTCCCATATGGTGAGATATGATCAGACCTGAGAGTTCAAAAACCAATTCGAATGCAACCACCGCTTCTAATATTAATAATGCTTTGCCGCGTTGTGCCATGCTCAAAATGCAACATGAGCATAGGCGAAGAATGCGGGTCGTTTCGGGCTGTTCCCTAATAAAATCACCTTGCAATGAGATTTCACCAATCATGGGCCTGATCTTGCGGCGACCTTCGGCACGTTGTCCATAGGCCATGCAGATTTTAAATTCTCAGCCCCAACAAAGCTCGCGATCGCAGGCGCACCGATATTAAGTATCTATTCCCAGCCTCTTAATATTCTGCTCCGCGTACTCGCACCCACGCGAATCCAACACTTGTTTTATAAATTTAGTTGCGAACTTTAGAAGGTCCTCCAAGTCACCAATATATTAATACTTGTATATACGCTACCAGAGCTCCAGAGATATCTTAACTTTACAGAAGATCTGATCGCGTACGCGTATAAATATATGTTCCGAGTTCAAGATGAAGATAGATACAAAAGCTATCATTGAGCGGACAATCGAGATTCATCGGACAAATATCAAACATATCAACGATGGGGTTTGTATATCCTCCACCAGTCACGGTCTCGTAACCGGCCGGTCTCCGATCCTCCGTAGCGTAACTAACTTCGATTGATGCTAGATATGGAGCCATCCTGAACCCGCTTGGAAAGAGAAAACAGCGCACGATTTAGTATGTGACTACTTCGAGTCTTTAGGACCGGACTACAAGGTGACAAGGCATGCGTACAACATCGAAACCAGCTTCCTCATTCAGGCGACATATATACCACCCATAGCTTTTAGTTCTAGCGAAGCATCTTGCCTCAATCCTCCAACGATAGCATTTAACGCTGAATATGATGCCCTAGCCAAGATACTTGTCGAAGGCTCCAGTCCACCAGAATACAAACCTGGCCATGCTTGCGGACATAACCTAATTTGTTCAGCCTCTGTCGCTGCGTTCATTGCCACCTGGGAAGCTCTTAGAGCATGGAATTTCCCTGGTACTGTGAAGCTTATTGGGACCCCCGCTGAAGAAGGAGGTGGAGGGAAAATCAAACTCTTGAGGGCAGGGGCATATATTGGCGTAGACGCCTGTCTAATGGCTCATCCAGGCCCACCTTTCTCTGACCCAAACGTAGTCTCGGTGGCGTTTACAAGAAGCACCGCTTCTCAAAAAGTTATAGCTGAATTTGTAGGTGTATCCGCGCATGCAGGGATGGCACCTTGGCTTGGGCGCAACGCCCTCGACGCTTGTATCACATCCTACACAAATGTTTCAGCGCTTCGTCAACAGCTACACCCATCGACTAGAGTCGCTGGAATCATTACCCATGGCGGAACCGCGGCCAACATAATCCCAGATTACGCTCGAGCAGAATACACTATCCGTGCCACAAAAAAAAAAGATCTCGAAGACCTTTGCAAAAAGATAGTAAAATGCTTTCAGGCTGGGGCAGATGCGATGGGTTGCACTGTGAAAGCAGACGAGTATAGCTCCCGCTATTTACCCCCCCTTTTTTTTGGCATGATCATCCACTTGACTGATAGCGTCACAACAGCAAACGGTTAGCTTACTGGGATATTATTTCCAACGAAGTTCTCTGCAACCAATTCACGGATTGGATGAACGCCTTCTCTCTCAAGACAGTGTACCACCTTCCAGAGATCTCCGATGATCCTGGCCCTGCGTCAGATCAAGGTGGGAGCTTAACCCGCTCCATCCTAATATGTTTAAAATGAATTCCAATTAATTGCTAATACTGTATTCATATGTTTCAGGGAATGTCTCTTATTCTGTACCCGCAATGCAAGCTGCGTTCCAAATCATGAGCGAATCAGTCAATCATACACCAGGCTTCATGAAGGCGGCTGGAACGGAGGACGCTTTTAATCGGGCTTTAAACGTCGCAAAAGGTTTGGCAGGCGCCGGCCTCAACGTGCTGACTAACGCGACCATCCGCAAGGCCGTTAAAGATGCCTATGACCGCGACATCACAGAGAAGGCCCAGGCACATATCCGTGATTATAGCACTGAACTTCCAAGTAGGGATAGAATCGCCCAGATGCTAGAATCTTCCATACCGCATCTCCGGCCTACGTATGAAGCCGGGGTTGTTAGTACACATGAAGCAATCGGTGCCCTTATGGCTGCCGACGCCTTCTCTCTATAAGCTTTATACAAGACTGTAAAACTACGGCTGAGGCTAAATAAAATCAAATGAATATCTTGCAATCTTGTTAGCTTAAAGTAATAGCTTATTATGCGGAATATGAACGAGTATCTACCTATACAAAGTAGTCGACGCCACTGTTCGGACTTCAGGTTATTTACGCGGAATTATTTAATTAGCTATTAGTACTTAAGTTATAGAGAGTCAAAACCCGACCGCTGAAAACTTCGCGAGATGATTATCTAAGCCGACCAATATTAAACACTAAAATTTTTACAGCGTTTATTTCCTAAGTGCTCACCAAGGTCACCATGTGCATTAATTACTGGAAAGCAAATACGTATTAATACTCGGTATAACCCATTGACACTTGCCTAATGTTGCATTGCCTGCGTTGGAGTCCACTTTCAGCTGGAACTAGCCTGTTTGTTTGCAGGGATTAGATATCAACCCCTCTTTCTAAAGTGTTATCCCGCGTAAGCCCCCTCATCTGTCGCCATTATTAGATATCAAAGGAGTTGCTCTTCGCGGGCCGCGAAGGATGGCTGACACAGCTGTGCTATAGAGGGGTAAAATTACTATCTGTAACACCACTTTTTGCAAGGAATATTACCTCAGGATGGATCATGAATCGGCCTGATTGCGAAACGGATGCGCATGCGTGCCTGTTATGCACAGTAGCTAGCAGCTTACTCGAGCTCGGCTGAAGAACCGAGTCGCAGACACGCAGCTAGATCCTGTCAACCTTAGGCCGTATCCACACACGAATCAATTCCAGAGTCTATAAATGATGGTTGTTCTCAAAATTTAAAAATCTAAATAACAAATGCTATTATCTAGACACGCTTCGAGACACTTGCATACTGTCCCCACTATTAAGCTATTCACACAAGTCAAACCACCCAATTCATTTCTTATGCCCGCTCGACCAGTTACAGGTCGTCATACGACTTCCCGGCCAGGAGCTATCGGCTGTAAAACTGCGGGGAGAAGATCCACTCGCGGTGCTGCTGCTGACGAAGAGCCATCCACCAATGTCGAAGAGCCAACAACTGAAGAGCCTGTGACCGCTGCCGCCATCGTTGAGGATACCCCCCCGGAACCCGAAGATCCAAAGCCTGTTCCCCAAATCAGTAGAAAGGTCCCCGCTGGTTCCGCTCAGAAGCAGTTGAATAAATTTTGGAAAAAATTCCGCTCTAACCGAGCCGGCCGGCCAACTATCGTTCTGCCATTCAACCCTTTTGCCGCAGCTGCGAAGCCCACCGGCGCCACCTACGGACCAACTATTCCAAATGTTGCCACCGCTCAATTTGACGAAGCTGCAGCAAGTTGCAAGGCTAAGGTGGAGAAGATTGCACGAGAATGCCGCAAATTGAATCAGAAATATAGGTAGGCTAACCGCGTAGCGTTCGGAAGCGGCAACTGACTCCGAGATACACAGAGATTATTATTTTGATCTTTCAAGCGAAGACCCCCGCCTTGAATTTGCAAGATACTGTATTGATGGATTTGAATACAACGAGGATGCAACACCAAAAGGCGTGAAGAGGGTTGAGGTAAATCGATATTCTATCCCTTTCAAACTTGGATATCGAGAAAAAATTACCCCCAGACTAAGCAAGGACTGTATACGCGTAGGATATCTTCGATGAACCATCTTTCTTCAAGGATGGCGTAGCTCCAGGTGACATCAGACAGGGCTCAACCGTAAGAAATACATCCCTCAAAGAATTACCCATAGCGTCCAGAAAACTTACAAGAATAACATAGGGCGATTGTTGGTTTTTGGCGGCCGTCGCGACTATCACCAACATTCCAGGTCTTCTGGAGAAAGTTTGCGTTGCGAGAGATGAAGAAGTGGGCGTCTACGGTTTTGTGTTCTTCAGAGGTATTTTAGAAAGACCCTTTAGTGCCATTGATCATAGACTTCATTTCTGACCCCAACTAGACGGCGAATGGATATCCAGCATTGTCGATGATCAACTATACCTATCCCAGGAAGATTACCACGAGGCGAGCTCCGAACTCAAATATGCCTTGTGGAGCAAAACCGCAAAGGAGTCTGTGTACACAGAAACTTATCTCAAGGGCTCTGACGCACTTTACTTCGCAAGCTGTGAAGACAAAAACGAAACTTGGCTACCCCTCCTTGAGAAAGCTTACGCGAAGGCTCATGGAGACTATAGCTCTATTGAAGGTGGATTTACAGGGTAAGTTCGGCATCATAGCTTGTTGATATCTGCATTTAAGCATAGTTCGCTAATAAAAGAGCAGCGAGGCCGTTGAGGACCTCACTGGAGGTGTCACTTCGGAAGTCTTTTCTCAGGATATCTTAAGCAAAGATAAATTCTGGAAGGAAGAGCTGATGAAAGTTAATGAAGAATTTCTATTCGCCGGGGCTATCGACTCAATTACTGGGTCTGAACGCGATGGCGTGTATGCCGGACACGCATACTCCGTCCTTAAAGCCCGCGAAGTGGATGGTCACCGTTTCGTGTTAGTTAGGTTAGTATCGATAACATATATAATTCGGTGTCATATATTACCTAGGGCTAACAGCAAGTAGGAACCCGTGGGGCAAATCGGAGTGGAAGGGCGCTTGGAGCGACGGAAGCAAAGAATGGACACCTTATTGGATTCAGCAGCTCGACCATAAGTTTGGGGATGACGGCAGCTTTGTATGTAACAAAACCACTCCACGGTGCCAAGCTCAGATAGTATTTTCTAGGTTCTAACGTTGACCAAACTAATAGTGGATGTCTTGTGAGAATATCTGAGTCCGACTGTTCACTCTTGATTGAACTACACTAACAAATATTTTGATGAGCAGATAGGGACTTCCTCAGAACATTCTCGGTGCTGGAACGCACCAGGCTTTTCGACTCTAGCTGGTCTGTCGCATCGGCCTGGGTATCGGAACACGTAGAATGGGAAAATGCCTATTCCAAAAATTGTTTCCAAATTAACCTCCCCGAAGCATCAAAGGTTGTTATTGTTCTGCAACAGCTAGACACTAGATACTTTAAAGGCCTAGAGGGTGAATACGATTTCCGCCTTCACTTTCGCATCCATCGCCCAGAGAATCCCGAATACCTCGTTCGCAGTCGCGCAAATTGCGATATGTGGCGTAGCGTTAGCTGCGAGGTTGAACTAGAGGCCGGGGCTTGGGATATTGCCTATAAAATTACCGCTACGAAAGTTGACGGTAGGAAGGGTGTTGAAGAGGCCGTCCCTGAACTGAGTGTCAATAACCGAAAGAAGTTTTTGCAAGTTGGCATGTCGTATGATCTGGCCTTTGCAAAAGGCAGAACTATTGTCGTTGACCCAGAGGAAGACGCCGAAGAATCCGAAAAGGAGTCTGAAAATGGCGACGAAGCCACTAAAAAGAAGGAGGGGAAAGAGTCTAAAGAGCCAAAGCCGGCTAAAGTTTTGGCGGATATATTACCAAAAGCCGAAAGCACGCCCGAAACATTGCCTACCGCCCCTGAGCCACCGGCTTCGGATGTCACGGAGCCTCCCGTTTCTAAAAAGGATGCTACTAGCTCTGCCCAAGTGGACAAAACAGACAAAAAGAGTTCAGCCGAACCAGCTAAGGAGACGGAAGAGAAGAGCAAAGAGACGTCAGAAGCTAAAGAGGCAAAAGGTACCACTGGACCTATCGCTTACATGCTCGTGCCTATCACTGGCGAGGAGGATAGTGATACTGAGGGCGAAGAGAATCTCTGGAATGCAGTTGCAGTTGTCGGATTGCGAGTATACAGTCAACAGAAAGATATCACTGTTCAAGTCATTCGGCCAAAAGGAGCTACAAAGCTCCTACTCGACCCTGATGATAAAAACCAAGCTGCTTCGAAAGACGAGAAGGATATACTAGAAAAGGACGAAAATACAGAGCCGAAAGATAAACCAGCCTCAGCTAGCAAAGAAGACGACGAGTGGGAGGATGTTAAAGATGCTGTGAAGGGAGCTGAGAGAGCCAAAGAATGTAAGACAGAGGGGACAGAAATTAAGGAAGAGGACCCCAAGCCCGAGGCTGAAGGCAAGAGGGAAGAAGCTGTTGTTCAGGATAAGACGGAAGAAGCATCTGATACGGCGAAGAGCGAAGGCAGTGGAACTCTTGTGGAAGCTCCAGCCGTTGAGGAGGCATCGTCAAAGGCAGGTGACCCTGCTGATGAGACACCTATCTTGTCTTCAGGTGTCGAAAATGCTTCTCCTATAGAAATTTCGAAGGAGAAGGAACCTGAAAAGGCTACGGCTTCATCATCAACGAGTTAGCTATCCTATTAAGCTTTGTAGAGTTAGAACCGCTGACGATTTCCCAACACAACTAAGGAGTCTAGCGACGAAATAACATAAAATTCTGTCCAATAACTAGCTCTACTCTCAATCTCAGCAGCGCTGCCCAGATTCACGAAAAGAGACCGTTTCGGTGTCCCACTTGTGGTGTAAATATAAATCTTAGAATTCTAAGCGTATCATCGAGGTAATCCTTATTGTTGTTGACGCGCAAAATGCAACAAACCATGCCAATCTGAACTGCTCCGCTCTGAACCGTTTCAATGCAGCCTTCTGCAGTCTGCATAAGGGTCATTTGATCCATAAGCTGGGGGAAAGTTTCCAAGTGGCACCACTGTGCATCTGCAGGTCATTCTTGGCATAGCTGAATTCAATGCCTCCACACCCATAGCTATGGTAGAAAAAGCTGGATCTGGCGGCGATGTACGAAACATACAGGAATATTTTATTTCCAAATGTTAAAATTAGTAAATTTCTGACCATATTTCCATTTGCGCATTAAATATAGTATGCGGGTTCACGGCAAAGGAATCACTGGGATGATTGGTCGTCAGCGGAGAATTACAAAAACTTCTGCAAATCCGGCGCAGACCGGAAACGCATCTCAAATTTTGTTTATAAATAAAGGTAAAAAAAAAATATGAAGTCCTATCGAAGGAAGAAAAACCTTTAAGATGAACATAGAAGTGATCATGACGACACAAGGCAACCAATGATCACATGAAAACATAACATAAACCCAACTCCTTTGTAGCCCGTAGCCCAACTTTTCAATGAAAATAATATTAGGGTATTAAAATTGAACTATACATTCTAAAGCCAAAGTTCAAGAGAGAAAAGACCAATTCAGTCTGCTTTACTGTGGGACGGGTGCTGGAGCAGCAGGGGCTTGGTATGCCATTCCCTCGGCTGGCTTGAGTTCTTGTGTAACGGCTGGGATGTTTCCTTGAGCAATCTGGTGGGCAACTTCCTTATCGGTCTGGATCAAATCACAGCACAAGCAGCAGCAGGCCTTAACAGCGTCGATTGGGAAGTCTCCTTGAATGTTATATCGTTCGCGGACCTCACCCTTTTGGATGAGTTGGAAGAGCCATGGCAAACAGATGCAGCCAGAGAGCCAGAATCCCAAACACTATTGAATAGATTAGAACCGGGTAGCACAAGTCTTTGATAACGATATCAACTTACAGTAGTATTGACTGGGGAGAAGCCAGCAAGGTTAGGGTCCTTGCGCAATCTGTGGTGGGTCTTGCTGAAGGTAATACATGGGCAGCAGCAAGTGATCAAGCCTTATTACGAACGCGGTCGTTAGTTATTGTGAAAGGCTGGCTAGTCACGGCCGGAGGCATGGATTAAAATGGCTTACAGGTATCAACTGGAGCGAAACAGGAAAGAAAGCTGCTAGTCCAGCTGTTGGGGCCAGTGGTTGGCTTTGTGATTGTCTCTGGCTTGTTCAAGGTATCTTTGAATCGACCAATCCAAGCATTGATATCTATTTAACGATTAGTCAATATTAGTCACAAGAAGAGTTGTTTCCAATGCATAGTGCCTACCATCTGCGTCGACGGCGGTCGAAACGGTATTCTGTTGTGGGGCGGCCATTGTTGAGGTTGAAGAAGACCAGAGGTTTCTTTTTTCTTTAATTTTTAATTGAAAGGAGTGAAGAGAATAGAAATGGCAAAAAAGTGCAGCTAACTAGTAACTATATGCTCACAAGAGGATGAACGAGATGATTTAAAGTGATATCTGAATTGGATTCCGCTTGCGAATGAAGGAGACGGCCAAGCTTATATATGCACTCCGAACAGTGAGAGCCTTCGAGCATGTATGGAAGAGAAAAGCAAAACCATGCACAAAGAGCGCCTCGCTGCACAGTTGTCCTTGCATGTTGGATCGAGTCTGTCCTCGAATTTGCGCTTGGTCACTTTTCCTCGAACCCGAGATGCACTAATAACATCAAACGATGTAATTCTGACCCAGTTGGGCACCCACCACAGGACTCCACTCTCTCGAAAATTCGCTTCATGGTGGGGATCCCCTGCTCGATAAGCCAAAACCGTACTAGCACAGCTGCATCTTTGGTCATATCGCACACATTGGCCAACCACGAGTCACCGCCTGGAAATGAAAGGAGGGCTGCAAAAACCACTTTGCAAATGGAATGCAAGCGGTTGTACTTACATGTAATCCCCCTTTCCTCATAGTTTTCCGCCCGTAAAGCTCTAATGTTGGAGGAAAAGAGGAGCCACCAAGTTATGCGTTGCTTGTTTGCTTTCAAACCCAATTCGCTTCCGGCCATCTAAGCGAAAAACCTTGAGTGGCAGGGTTTGAATATTCCATCCCAGTGACCTACAGCATGATATCCGTGAACTTGCTTCTTGAGTCTTTGACTGGATCCCCGTAAAGTCCCCGAAGAACTCATCCCGTCTCTGGCTTGGCCTTAAGCCTTCCTCCAATATGTAATATAACACCCGATATTTGATATTTGTCTCGCATCACGGAACCAGAGACTGCCACGACAAAGTTTCAGGGCAGGGATTCCGGGCTTTCACAACGTTCGCAGGTTACCAGGCCAAACGCGAAGTTTCCTTCGGAATATCAACTAAAGTCAGGGAGGTCTGACCCTGCCGTCGTAATCTATACGCGAATGGAAGTACATGCACATACGTAGATACTTGGATATACACATATACATACATACATACATACTTTTATATACATGTACTAATATACTTGGTTATCATACCAAGACTCGTAGACATCTCATGACCATTATCTATCTCCATGATAGCACCTAAAACCAACTAGTCAAAGAGTTCCTGTAAGTACACACGTAAATCGTGCTACAGATTTACATGTGCGTCGACCTCTGCATATCAACGATGCACCGCCCAACGAACATGGTGGGACCTTTTGCAGGAAAACTTTGCAGTTCCCAAAGAGAGTTCTGCGTGTTTGGTCCTAATATGGACCTCTGGCCCATAGTAACGTTTCATATCCCCTTCCATTGATGGGTCTGAAGCGACAGGATTATGAACATAACGAGAAGAGCCTCCTTTTACTTCGCAGATCGTAATCAGCAAGGGGAGGTTTATTCCGAGGCTTTTTCCTAACGTTAGTCAGCGAACAGAATCTTCCTCTGCCAGGCCGACTCCCGGATTATTTCAGGGGTAGATAGGTCTGATCATTGAAGCTTGTTCAGACTCATTTCCCAATTTTTCAGAGGTTTGAAGCCAAAACCGGATTCTTCCATGTGGGTAAAAATTGGGTTTTCAGCCGCCAGTTAGTAATAACAAACACAAGAATTGATATACTATTTTCAGGAGAGTGGAGCTACCTGCCGCTCATGCAGATATCAAGTGACAAAATATAACAAAACTAGATTGCTTTCGGTTTATATTTCCCCAAACATGTATCAAGGCAGAATGGAGCTCAGCCTTGTAGACACTCCATTAAAAATTTCGATCGATAAGAACATCAATGGCCATTACGCAACGATGCTAATTTCTCGTGGTTGATGGGACTAATGTTGCCTGTATTCTTAGATCTTCACAATAGAAAAATAGTAGAGTTTCTTCAAGCACCCGAAGATGCCGCGTCCCAAGACATATTCTTCCACAAAAAAATAAAATAGTCAATCAACAAGTACCTGGGGGGTTTTCCTTGTCTTTTTTTTTTTTTTTTTACTTTTCAGCCAAAACTAGCGTGTATCGAGGTTTTTGGTAAGTACAACAACCAACACAGGGAGTGCATCGGAATATGCCGACGTGTTGAAACGTATCTAAGTTCACAAAATTTTCGTATTTGTTACTACATTGGTCAGGATTCCAACTCTGAATCTGGCCCTCGCTTCAACGCCTTTGCATTTCCGAATGTTGATTTGGGATTGATGGTAGCCCTATAATCACTTATTTGCCTTGGCTGGCTATACCAAGATGCTTCTGCTTCGGTGCGGGATAAACCTGCATGAATTCCAGCGTCATATCCTTCAAAGTAGGTGTCCCTGAGCAGGCTTATATCTGCACCACCACCACGACCAAGCGGCCCAGAAGTCTTTAGGTTTTCAGTCTTTTTGTAGCCAAATAAAGTATCAATACCCTCCTCAAATACTTGAGCACTCTTTCGAGCGCCCCTTTTGTCACCAACAATGGCACGGCCCAGCTCTCCCACGGCGCCGAAAACGATATCTTCAACCCCCTATTGTATTTGAAACGAAAATACCTTCAGCTACGAAAATCAATAAATTTCGATTTTTTAGAGCGTGAACTAACCTGTAGCCTTCCTAACACACCAAGATCGTTCCTCCTCTTGTGGTGTGTGAAAAGGTCATCTCTATCTTCAACTGTTCGGGCCTGGGAAGGCTTGCGGCTCCTCCTCGTGGATTTGGATTCCGATCTCGACGGCATCGTATCGACGGTTACTTTATAGCCTTATCCGCTATATAATGGTACTATGGTTTCGAAAAACGAATTATCTCGTATTGAGGAATGCGAGTCGATATGAAATGAACCTGCCTCATGAGCTATTGCGATTCTCCCAGATCTATATATATTCATAGAACACTTGCACAATCTATTGCACTTGCGCCCCCACAGAAAGTTCAAAGAAAACCCTGAATCAACTTGCAGCATTGAAGCCTGCGTTCCCTCCAGCTCGACGAGAACAACCATATCGACGAGCCCTGCAAGTCGACAACTGACATCATGCTGTGTTGATCCGGCCCTATGATTCGTCGACTGAAAGATCTTCAATATCCACCAACGCAGACACCAGCTCCGATTCATAAGTACCCTTCCAAGGACCATGTTACACCATAACAACCTATCACAAAAGCCGGAATTGGCCAACGAGATACTCGATGCTTATACCACGCCTAAAATTCTCTCCGATAAGGAAATTCTCTAATTGGACCCTAATTACAGCCGATATCGCGATGCAACAGACATAATTATGCTGCTAGTCTCGTATAATCTAATTAATGATGCGTCAGTGCTCTCGTCGAACTCGTAAGAGTTAGCAAGTTTCCCGCGTAAGAGGAAGAATTCTGCGGCTACCCCATAAGAGCTACCGCAGCCACGAAATTAGAACCACGTTGTACAATAGCACAAGCGTGGCGACTTTGCGAGACACGACACCTCTACCCTTGCGATACACATTTTCAATCTACTGCATCACCAATTAAGCTACTTGCGGAATTCAATGGTTTTGCCAGACGATGGGACGATATTGAGGGCGCTGGAGAAAAGCTTCTAATGCAGACGCCTTGTACCTAAGTACTCGTATGTGTGTAAATATTAAATAGCGTTTCCTGCCAGCTGCACCCGGTCCAGCAAATTCACCTCATTCCACTTACCTCGCACAATTGCGTCAGATAACGAACTCCGAACAAATACACAGTAACACTACTTACACCCCCCGTTTTTAAAACTTGTCTTACTCAAACTGCTGCATTATGAGGCAATTGCAAAACTATCACTTGAATCAATACGTATACATTTTGTTATTTCGAGCTATAGGCGGAGATTTAATAAAAGGCCACCTCGAAATTTTGGAGATACTTGAACAGAAACATTCTCGCGTTTTTGAGACCTTCAAATATCCTAGACTGTTGGCCAGCCACCAGACCAGCCAATGACATTCCAACCGAAGTAGGTTGCAGCCTGGTTGGTCCCTTGATTGTTATTGACTGCGAGGTTTTCCAACACAAAAAGTCAGTAAAATCCAACACTTAAGCGTAACCATCCCCACAAAGAGTCTAAGATAAGAGTCAAAGATATCTAGATGTAATTAAAAATTGTATCTTACCGTAATGATAATAGAGTACCGAACCTACTCCGGGAACATCAAGGACGCCTCCATGACCAGGAGCATAAGTGTAGCCATGGCTTTCCAAAACAATCGTCCCACCGCTTTGCTTGCAGTCGACGCCGTTCTTGTCTTTCTAACCAAGTGAAAATCAAGTATCAGTAACAATGCAGTGGCCTCATAAACTTGGTTCGAAATATTAATACTTGTGGTACAATTGAGGCAAACTTACATATCCACCGGTAGCAGTAGTAGATCTGCAAACCCTCATATGATACTCAGTACCCGCAGCTGGTCGTGGCACAAGCTGGCAGCAATTGCCCCATGAGGTGAAGAGGTAGTAGTATCCCTGTCGATAATAGATGAAAGCCCCTTCCATCGCCCCATTTCCAAAGGATGTCCATGCAATCTGGGAGGAGCTACCTGTCTTTTTTAACAAATTGCTTTCCATCTTGGCCTGGTAAATATCGCCCCAAAAGCTCCCAAAACTCATATAAAAGTCATTGCCAACTTTGATAATATTAGAATCAATAGCGTTATAGGCAGCTCCGTTAGAGGAAGCGACTCCAGTGGCCCCTTGGTCAGTCCAGCTCCCCGGGTCCATTGTTGGGGATGTTGCGACACCAATCGCAGACTTCTGAGAACCGAAGGAACTGACAGAGTAGTAGAGATAATAAAGGCCATTATTGTAGATAATATCGGGAGCCTATGAAACTCACTAGATAAGTATCCGATCTATTTACCATGGGTTTTATACGACGGCTAGCTTAGTATACCCAAAGGTCGACTCCTGCAAACCCACTAATCTTTGAGCCGCCCGGTAGGGCTTGTCCGAGGTAGGTCCAAGGACCAGCGATATTTGACGCAGATGCAATTGATATAAAGTTATTTGTAGAAAATCGGTAGAATTTCCCATCTGAGACACGACGGATCACGGCCGGATCGTGAACACCGCAGTCACCACTACATGCTCCGGGGTTGGCATACGCGGAGACAATCCCCGCGAGAGAAAGAAAAGCAGTAATGACTTTGAAAAGCATCTTTGGAACTAGTCTCAGGATTGTAAGTGGCGATTTACGACCTCGAGCTCAATAACGAACCTCTCTCCTTCGGCGCCCTTATTCTCAGGCTTAATATATATATAAAGCTTCACATCGGACATTTACAGATAGCAAGAATCGAATCACACAAGATGAAATGTACCACAACAGTATCAACACATTAGCTTCAAACTTCAGCCTGCAGGACTGGCGTAATGGCCCCATCTGCGGTCCGGGATCCCGGATGATACGCCTATGCAATCGCTCGGGACCCCGCATCTCGATTAGACTTGGTTCGGATTCTCGCTACCAAGAAACTCATTGCGGGTTTTGCAGTTCCCGTTTCCTTGCCAGCCACAAAATTTGCCCATTGGCGGCGAAACTAAGTCCGTCGGGACCATGGAAACATAATATTGATCTAGTACACCTCGGCTCCTGATCCCTTGCGATTGAGCTTTTTGACACACTGGTCGTAAATCAGACAACACACGGAGCATAGTTCAGACGAACTACCGGCTAATATGGCATGAGAATTATGACGCTTGTTGCCTTCGATCAAGGAATTTCCTTGTAATTCGGTTTGAGGTTTTGGCCAGCGGAGCGTTTTCACCCGTAGAAATGCCGAAGCTGCATTCTAGCCTACTCTTGAGGTCCTTGTCGGCGGTGTAAATCTAGATGGAAGTCAAGCCTCGAATCGCATTTCAGGCCTCTTACGTTGTGGCTGAAATGGGGAATTAACTGTTCGCCTCAGTTATATATACAATTCACCAAAGAAAATGGTGGCATCCCCTACTAGTTGTATGTGGGTTGAACGTTGGTTTCCGAGCCCCAACTGACTATCGTAGCAGAAGGCGAAGCGCAGCAGGTGGTTTAGCTATAAACCCTTGTTAACGCTCCGCGTTCCGCGCTTCATGAAGATTACGATTCATCAACGGTATAATATATTAATACCTAGGGGCAGCATGCTTCTCTCTGTGACGTCTAGAAGCGAGGCTAAGCCGGAAATTCACAAAGTTCACCCTCCAGCTGTTTTAAAGGAATTCCACCATTTGAAACAGTGCAGCGCGCCAGCCCTGCATAAGGGCCGTGACATCACCCATGAATATCGGTTTGCACGCCATTAACATTCTGAGATAACCTAGTTTAAGTACCACTTAAGTCCAAGTTCCTACCGCCAAACTCGACCCCATTATTGGCCCATCGAATTTAAACACGTCGTATATACGTATTTATAAGATATGATGGGGAATTCCGAAAAAGACATTATGATCTCGAGTCCGCTTCCAAATAAGATTTCCCTGCCATTCTACATGGTATTAGGTAAGTATGCACGAGAAGTCTAACAAAAGTGTGTTGGGGATCGGGACTTGAGGTTCCAGTCGCCACCAGCCGGTCATTTCTATGTTCCACAAACAACCTGCATCGCAACAGTCTGATCGGGCCAACAACACAAGAAGGGCCACTGCGCGGGGCTTGCGGTGGTGCAAAGTTCTATGGCACATATGGCTGAACTAAGGCTATGGGGTATATACATATAGCTAACTAAGTATACAGATGGATGATATAATTGGCACCATATCCCTATACTATTCCCCTCAGTCATAAGTAACGTAGCCCACTATAATTATATAATACTTCAGGGTCAGAGTACGTATACCTATAAAAAACAAAAGTAAGATTCGAATATTTCCGTCTTGGTTTATATTTATATCCGTCTACAGGGAATTTAAATACATAGTAGACCAGTATCAAACGGGTAAAGATAGCTTACTCAGGTTAGTTACAGGTAGATATAAATGTTCTGATTCGGTGTTATATCACATCATTCCATCGGCTCGCTTCCCCGACTCCTCCACAAAGAAGTACTATTATATTGCGGTTTGATTTTACCAAAATTCCATTCCAGGATAACCCCTACCTCTTCTTCTTCCCCAGTTTGCGCAATTCTCTATTACGAGCGTATTCATGATATTTCCTGATCGATCATTGTCATTACCATGGCGCCTGGCCCGCTGAGCACCCTTGCAAACATGCCAACGCTTCCACACTTGAATTTGTAAAATCCGGTTATAAATATTTCCATATGAAACCATGGATTCACCTAGCTAGATAGGTTGGCGCATCAGGCTAAGCTCTCAAGGGCTCATAATCAAACAATAATGAAATGAGTGATTTGTCAGTTTTTTATCATTGTCACGTAGACGCTCAGTATAAATTTATAAAACCGAATCGTCTATGAATCCGGTGTGGCCGGGGCATATGGCAACCGAGCAGAAAAGTTGTAAAAGTCCACCCACCTTCTAACTACGGTTAGCAGACAATGATTGGCTTAGCAAGCCTTTGTTTTTCGTATTCAGGGTTAGATCGGGAAAAGGAAGCTTCGGAAATTTCGCCCGCAGAGCCGAATTCGCGTGGGCTAGTTTCGCTTCTGCAAAACACAAGGCAATCTGCTGCACATGCAACCATAGGCGGATCACGTTAGTTGGATTCATGAACCGGCGTACAACCCTCCATAAAATAACACAATCAAAATCCGGGAGCGTAGTAGTGGGTTCCGGCAAGGCATCTTTAGTGTTCCTAATGAGCTTCAAACTGCAATCTAAAAAAAAAAAATTATATATAAATTCAAGGTGGTGTATGTCGTAAATTCTAGAGATTGAGGGATACCGAGTTTAAACTAGTACAACTAGACACACAGACCAACACAAAATGTGGTCAACAACTATCCTGGCTGTTGCCTCGCTGCTTTCTGCAACATTCACCAGTGCTTTGACATATAAAGGGGCCGATATTTCGTCCCTCCTTTTACTTGAAAGTCAAGGCAAATCCTTTAAGTGGACAGACGGAAGCACGCAGCCCCTTGAGAGGATTTTGAAAAATTCAGGCGCCAACTCTGCCAGACAGCGGGTCTGGGTTAATCCTTCTGGTGGGACCTACAATCTCGACTATAACGTCAGGCTTGCAAAGAGAGTCAAGGCAGCTGGATTAAGCGTTTACCTTACATTACACTATAGTGATACTTGGGCTGACCCTGCACATCAGGTGGGTCTACCAGATCGTGTTTTGTATACTCGGACTAGACTTCAAAACCTCTTGATTTAGCTAACTAGAAATCCAAACACAGAACGCTCCTTCTGGCTGGCCAACTTCGAACATCAACGACCTGACTTGGAAGACATACAATTACACTAAAGATATTTGCAACAGATTTAATAGCGAGGGGGTAAATCCTGCCATTATTTCTATTGGCAATGAGATCAGGACTGGAATTCTTTGGCCGCTGGGCGGGACATCCAGTTGGAATAACATCGCATCTATCCTCCACTCCGCAGCTTGGGGTATCAAAGACTCCAATCTAAACCCGAAACCTAAGATCATGATCCACATCGACAATGGGTGGGATTGGAATACCCAACAATGGTGGTACGACACAGTTCTCAGTCAAGGCCCCCTTCTTAGGAGCGATTTCGACATGATTGGAGTTTCATATTACCCTTTTTATAATTCGAATGCGTACTTGGGGAGTCTGAAATATTCTCTCGAACAACTGAGCAACAAATATGGCAAAGAGCTCGTTGTTGCAGAGACAAACTGGCCAGCTTCGTGTCCCAGTCCACAGTATACCTTCCCTTCCGATACCAACTATATCCCCAAGTCGATTGCGGGACAGCGAACTTGGATTCAAGATGTGGGAAAAATTGTCCAAAATGTTAACCGGGGCGTCGGACTATACTACTGGGAGCCCGCTTGGTTGGGGAATGAATGGCTTGGATCGAGCTGTGCTAACAATCTGCTTGTCGATAATAATGGCAAGGTTCGGGATAGCTTTTTAGCTTTCCAAAACATCTAAAGGATGATTACCTTCAATATAATGTAAATATCGCTCCTGAAATTGTCATAGCTCCTGATCGAACGTATTATCCGCCCTTTAAACTCGTATTTGTAAATAGATATTCTAGAGAAGTTTTCTCATACGGATTTCGTCACAGAAAGGGACCCCCAAAGCGAAGGTCTCTGAGAGTAATTAGCGGTACCTTCCGGTCCTATATGACTTTGGCTGGTAGATTGGTTTGAGGTATTAATTGCTCATATATCATCTGATTCTTCTACGGTGGATGTTTCCCGCGGCCGCGTATTGCCATTTCTTATACGTAAGCTACTAGAAACCGATCTAAGTCTGAGAAGAAGCCGTCGAACTTGTCGGCGAAAAGCGTTCCATAAGCTTTCCGGGATTAAGCTCTATAGGCAACAGTAAACGAGTCGGCAACGGCACTGCCGGCGGCCGATCCAGGATTATCGAGCATTTTGAACGCTAACTAAAAATTCGGTGGCTAAATATAGAAAGCTTCTAAAGTTTAGGTCCTGTCGCACGTGGCTGCAAGGTGCATAAGAAAAGCTTAATGGTTCTGTCTATACTATTTGCAGCGGGGGAAATATTTAGAAGGGTTTTGACCGTATAGGCTCAGTGACAATATATTAATAGTATGAGGCTCCATAGATTTGAGCAAGCGCTCTATTAGTTTCTACAGATTACCAGCTAATCGTTAGATGCATCTATAAGTTATAATGCGTAAACCTTTTTTATAATTTACAGTGCAGATAGACAATGAAATTGAACGCCTTAGGATGTCAGCTAAAATTACGTGCCATAGCAGGCTCCTATGGGGATTAGCTAGAAATATTCAACCCCTATATAGATATTATCCGTTTGATTTTAATATGCGAATATCTTGGTAGGCCGTCCTTTACATATTGTATAGGTGGTTGAATATTAGGCCATTAGTTGGAGGCTTGCGTTGAACCGAAAATGGTTAAATTCGGCAACGCTTTTCTCCGCAAAATACAACATTGCCGTCCCTAACTCACAGGTTCGACTGCATTCCGAAACCAATGCGAACCTTCGCGTTCGGATATCATGTAATATATCCGGGGCGGCATCTCATACCTTTTGACCCAGAGATAATAGAATTTCGACTGTGCTATACAACATCGGTATGTACCGGTGCTCGGAATATGAATCCAACCGGGTGGATCATAGAATATTTGTTTCTTTTTGGAACAGAATGACAGATATCGATAGAGTCTGGCACAGGTCTGGAACAGGTTTCAGGCCGCTTCTGGACCCAACTCCAGCATTTGAGTGGCACCTCCTAGCGGCATTCGAGGTTCTGGGCTTCCGATCAATATGTTGGCAAGTCGACACGAGAGCGCCGTAATATTTCAGCCTCCATCCTTCTCGCTAAATAAGGTTACCATTCCGGACAGTTGGGAACAACGGGGAGGAATTCCTTATCCGGCGATATATGGTTAAAACCCGTCGAATAAAAGCTTTTTGAGAATCAAAATCCAGAACCTTGATGGCTTTTTTGTGCAATTCCTACTGACTACGGATGGTTGGAGCTAGAACCTCGGGGAATTAGTTCCGGAACATCACTGATCTAATATGTTCTGAACCTTATGTTGCCACGAGGCCTGTTGTCATGTAAATCAAGTTGATATATAATACCTTGACGATCTTCTTCCTTCCCCATTAATAGACTCTCACTATTCTTCTCAACGTCATATTTTTGCAAGCTTATCCATTTCCATTTCCATCTCCGCGAAGTCCAAATATACTAAGCTGGAAATCGAGGCCCCCCCGATAACGATATAAGAAAATGTTGAACACATACGCTTCGAACCTCACAGAACGGCGGAAAGTCTCGCCAATCACGCCTGTAGCCACTTCACAATTACTTGCTTTACCAATCCCAGAGCCTGAGATGCCTCGATATACTTTTCGACGAGAGTCTCTGTGCTCGACCTGTCAGAAATCATACCCGAGCAGGTTTTCAGATTTATGCGCTGACTGCGAATCTGAGGAGGTACGTTATATGATAGTACCAAAACTTAGAAAATGATATTAACTAGTCTCATTACCAGAATCCAATGTTCCTCTACACCATCTATGAGTCAGATGAAGAAGATGAAGAAGTTCATTCTAACTCCCCGCCAGCATCACCTGGCCCAGATTTTCGCCTGGATTTCTCCAACCTTACCCCACCCAAGTTCAGCTTCAATAACTACTCTAGTTCTGTGGATTCCGCATCGACCGTCTTCACTGATAGTATGCTGCCCACACCCAACTTCGAACTTGCAGACACCTTGACTCCAATATCGACTCCTGGTAGCTTCACTATTATGATGAGAGAGCGGAAAGGTTATATCTTCGAGGGTCCTAGGGAGCCTCAAGATTATTTCCCAGCATACCTATATCCCCAGTCGGTGGATCCAGAGATCAAACGATCAGGACCTATTAAAATCCCACGAAGCCCAAGCTCAGATCCAAATTCTATCTATATGGAATTAGATACCATAAACAGTGGGGAGGAGGGTCCAACTAGCCCTCATATTGTCAGGCCGACTAGCCTTCGAAGTTTCTTTACTCCCAAATAGTAGTAGTTATTCCTACCATCCTTGATATCTACACACGATTTTAAAATTTGCGACAAAAAATTACGCCGATTCTTGTATATATTATTATACCCTTATGCGCCAGTGTTTGGGTGTTGTATCACTTCGTTTCGATATTGTTTTCATAAAAGGCGTTAGATTTGTATATATGTACGGTCAGGAGTTTTATTGCATGAAATATAGAAGAATTATGAAGATCTTCCCAATATGTTTCGAGAATGGATTGCGAATACAACCTCCAAATTATCTCCGTCGTACTATCTCGACGACTCTCAAAATCTCCCCTTCTATTGGTCTAGGTAAGGTACGTTGGCGACCAACTTTCAGTATTCCATAAGACACCTTCTCGTAATGATGGATCATGCCACACTGAAACGTGCTGATGTAGGATCACGCCACGTTTGAAGCCAATTTTGAGTTCGGAAAATTATTATTCCATGGCTCAAGGATATACCGCCGATCATTTGCCTCGATGGCTATTGAATGACATGAGAATTTGTGATCGATCCACGTCTCGGCGGATGTTGATTATGTATGTAGCCCTGAACCGGTTTCTTTCTTAAAAGTCGCAAAGGGGGGGTCTCCGAAATCGTGCCCATCAGTATATCCTGTTAGTCGCTGCGATTGTTGGCTCGATCCGGTTGATAGGTATTCCGAGAATGATGGAAGTGCTCGGAATATAGCGTTCGTTCAGTACGGCTGGTAGCTAGATCCAATTTGAGGGATACTGAACGAGTAAAACTAAACTGAGTAGGCCATGGTGGCAGTTATCACTTTTAAGTCAGCACGTTTCGCAGTCGTATGTCAGGTAAAATAGGGGAAAGCGCATGGATTGATCTTGTCTCGTGCCCGATCTATCACGCATGTCGCGGCGGTCGGAGAATAGACCTCCACGCGAGGGCAAGTTAGAACGCCGGTGATAAATCCATTAACAATAACTAATACAGAAGGCCTCGTTCCAACAGATAGATATTACAGTACTCTGAGCACTTAAGCTAAGACCCTGTGAGGTATGTCTTGTATTTTATCTAAAAGTCTATAATCGTCGCCCTGTCGCTCTTCGATCGCGAAAGTATACAGTTCGTCGTCGTCGCAAACACACTCTTGTCGCCCCCTTACAAAAAACTAGGTCTTTCATCGAGCAAGGACAATTTATAATGGTAGTGCTAAGAAGCCGCCAAAACAACCGGAAAGTCGTAAAAAGTCTTTCGTAGCTTCATCGTCTCCGCCCGTACGCCGTAGTCTTAAGCCGAACTCCTCCCGGTGTTAAGGTAAGACCTATAATCGTGATAATTCCACGCTGGAGCGCGAAATATGTTAAGGCCAAGTTTATATAGGGTAGAGACCTACCAAAAAAAGAAGGAGTAGGAAAGTGGATGGAAGAACCATTAGTGTTCATGGGCCCATGGACATAGTATGCTTAGGTGAAAGGGGTCAGAAAGATTTGCGAAACTGTCTTAATGAACGTCATTGTGCTGAGAAGATTTGAAAGCAACGGGTAGTAGGAAATAGCGAAAGATGTTGAAGGATCATTATATGGCCAACCTTATTCTTTGAAACTAATTTTTGGCTCATTAGTAAATGTTTCTTCAGGCGTTCGTAGTAGTTCCATCTGCTGTGCAGCTCCCCCCGATCGATCATGGAGCGTTGTGTTGGGTTCTAGTAAATTCTATTCCGCTGCTGGCTTCTGCGTAGTGCTTTCCAGCTTGAGCGAATGAACCGCTCTAAATGAAAGAGGATAAATTAGATTATTGATACCGAGAGCATACGTGTATTCCAAGGAGTCTCTGCGAGTTAGCGATTATTGTTGTAGGCCATCTGGTCAACTGGTTGGAAACCCGGGATATCAACGAGCCATTCAAGGCTTCAAGAGACGATAGGAGTACCGTTCGAAACTTCTAAATCTTTCTTTGCTGCCTCAATAGCCACCGAGAATTTACCTTCCAATTAGGTTGTATCTCTAGGCTAGCTCTTCGTGGAACCGGTGGTATATTCGTCGGCATTGGTCGGATAGGTATGTCATCCTTCGCTGCGTTTTTCCCATCAACTTCAAAACTTTCGTAAATCCTGCCAGTATAAGGAAGTCCCCATGCGTGTGTCTCGAATAGCTAAAAGTTTTTCTTTCCTCGTGGGGTGTAAAGAGTTGGGGTGGGGAGGAAGGCAAAAGAAAGAAGATATATTTCTTTGTCCAGCCGCTGCGTGGGCAAGAAGAACAGGTCAGAGGGAATATGTCATGAGACATACGATTTTAATTCTAGCGGCAGATGGGGAAAATTCAAGGTCTTGGGCCGGCCTAGTCTATCCATGCTGACAATCAAATGTCACAAGCTGGTGTTTGTGGCCTGTTTGGGTCTGGTTTTCGGTGCAGAGCTATTGGGGGGTCCCGTCAGGTTGAATGGATGAACGAATTAAACCCGAGATAGTAATATAATTCCAACGCTCCGAGAATTCCACAGGGTCTACAGGTTGATCAGCTTCCTTGCTCGCATGATCCCGAAGTCGGTCAATATTTGCGGGCCCCACGTTGCTGTCTGCATGTTAACTGAATTGAGATAACTCCCAAGGTTTCGGCTGCATGCGTCATCGCATACAGAGACATTCGATTTCTCCTCGATACGAATACAAGATGAAAATTTTGACATTTGTGAAGGTAATATGACAAATTATCATGCAAGCCGGTTACGTATATTTTGCGTGTGAGTTTCTCGAAGCTAAGAAAGCCCCCAATGCAAAGGTGGGTGGTTATGATCGTGGGGTTTAGCTTTTTTTTTTCCCTTGAGTAAAAATTTCCCTCCCATCCCCAGCTATTTCTTTGCGCTTTTTCACATTTCGAAGGGACAAGGCTTTCCACTCAGCCAACAAATCCAACAAGGAGGGACCGAAGGGAAACAACAAGCACCCAGCGGACGAAATGAGGTAGCAGTCGGAACTTTGGCTGGTCGGAGCTATACTGCTATAGGAAAGGTCGGCTATGATCTGAGACGAAATGAGGCTCCACTTTCCAAGGAAACTTTTCCCTGATAGGTGGTGGCTGAATATTTCACCTAAAATGTTCGGTCGGGGAGTTGCTCAAGACAGAATCCACGAGAAAAGCTCATATTTGGAAGTGAAAAGCCGTGATGGTGTCGCTGGTCGCGTTTTTTGCATGTTGAGAATTAGCCATGGAGTGTAGAATGTAAATGTGCATGTAATGTGGCTGGAATTGGCCAATTGGGCTAATAACCTGGTCGACGCATAGCTAGTCGCCAGACTTGTAGGAGGGTGCCACACGAAAGGGCTGTGGGCAGGGGCCTGCACTTGCTGCTTGGAATCTCTCAGGAAATTTCGAAATCCGAATGTAGAAGTATCTACGAGTTCGAAATCTGGAAAACTTTACAGGCTCCAAATTATCGACATCGGTCTTGCTGTATACCCTGGGAAACAACGCAAAATGGACTGTTGGAAGTTGGGCCAACATTATTAACGGCACAGGCATTCGAAAATGACCCTCGTCATTCCCATAAACAAGACACTAAAGCTCTGCACGAAGCCGTAGAAGGAAAGTTAGTTCCGCACGGCATGGGACGCTCGATTTACAGGGTGTCAGCATGCGCAACTAATGCCGTTAGTAACTCCCACAGACCGCCACAACTCGCTTGCAAGTTTCGACGCCTGCCAATCTTCTTTGTATCATAACGCCGGTATCTATGCAGGTCTGAAACTGTTTATTTCTGATGCAGCACCTATTCCGCGTGGTCATCATTGTCAAATTTTCCTATCCCATTACTTGCGCCTTGAACATTAGTCAAAATCCGTAATGTCACCGGTGCACCAGTCGGATGCGGCCGCTTTTGCCGCTTTCTGTTTTGGCACTGAGCGAGAGGACCGGTCGACCTACCATAGAGAGAATAATCGATTCAGATACTGATAGAAAAGGTACCTTTCGCTGTGACTAACTGTGCCCCCACTTGCATGCTCCACACAGAAACACTAGGGAGTTTACGGCGCCGAATTCGTTTGTGGCAAGTCTGACCGGACGTTCAAGCCTACAAATTCACATGAATATTCTCCTTATCGCTCTTCCCGATGTGATAAATAGCTCACTTGGGGCACGGGTGAATATTTCCAACTCAAAGTGCGGTTACACGAAGCAAGGTTGGTTGACGTGTCAGTAACCTCGAAGCCTGAAGATATGTGTTGGGTATAGATCTAGATGGCCGGTGACGTTTTGGAACTCGATCGATAAATTTATAAATCAAAGTAGTCAAAGCGTCCTTTCAGTATAAGAAAAATAGGTGGCATGAATTGCCGTTGACAATCACTCTATTCTCGGGGACATTATGCTTTTACGGAAATTCATGTTATGCTTTTGGATGTTCTCAAAAGGGGAGCTCAAGCTGAAGGCTGAACTACTATCTTGCCGGTTCCGCGGCGCCAGGATCATGATCATTATTTGCATATTGATTCCTTTAGATCTCAAAATGTTACTTCGTACCTATAGCTACTTGAATAGCCTTTAAATTTCAACACTTTACTTTTGTAAAACTTCCTAGTAAGCGCTGCCGACAGAGAATGTCTTTTCAAGTGAATGCTATTTGCCCTTAACTGCCAGTACCGCTAATCTCTGAAACACATTCATATGCATGTATCGAGCTTTGAGTAGCTCGGTCCTTGGCAGGCGCGGGGGCTGTATACCCATCTATCTCATGTCAATAACCCCACAATCGATCTGGTCATGCGACGTCAAAACAAAAGGTACCTTAGCTCTGGAAGTTTGAAATCTACCGACACGTATATCGATCGACGTTTATAGGCAGCTTGGGCATGGAGTATATGCAAGCGATGATTGGGAGCTAGGTTGCCAAGTGCTGGCAGGAGCGCCCGTTATGTATGTGCATGGATGAAGGGTTTTCGGTGCGCATCGAAGGAATCAAAACTGCATGAGCGGCACAGAGCCTTGATACCCCGCACTAAGATATCTTGAGAAGCTACCAAACGGTGTTGGTGTTGTCACCAGGTATCATTAATTGGCTTCGTGGATGGAAAAGTTGCCGTCGTGTGCTGATAGGGGATTCGCACGGGAAAAAAGGATCACGGAAGGCGAGGAGGAATAAGAAACATCTCGATTGGAAGAAATGTAAATTCTGCGGAGAAAACCGACGAAATTTGTCTATAAAAGGGCCTTGAAGTCCCCCATCTAATTTGACTTCTCTCTTCATCAGACAGATATCAGCCTGCCTAAGAATTACAAAATCTCCCAAACTCGAATTATTTTCTTAAGCTTTTAAAGCCCAACCCTCGAGACCTTCTTCGAAATGGATCCATGCTCTTGCACCTGCTGTGGTGGCCAATGTGGTGCCTGCTCTTGCACAAACTGCACTGTATGTTAAACAAACCTGGCCATACATAATTATCTTCCATTATGAAAATAATCACTACTAACATGGAACCAATAGCACTAAATGGCTTAATGTTAAGTCTACGGCCGTCCACGACAAGCTTATACGGCAATTAAACCCTCTACCTCCTTTCCACATCTGCCCTTGATGTGAATTCTTGCAGACAACAATCGAGTCTCGGTCTCCTGAACTTCTCTCCTTCCATTGCATTTCAGTTCATTCCGGTTCTACAATTCCGATCTTCAGTGTCCTTTTCGAAAAATGATCTACCTGAGTACTGGTCTCTTGAGGGGTTATGATGGGAGCTTGGGTTTTGGTTGGGCAAACCTAACTGCATGTTAATTAATTAAAGTTGGAATTGACAAATCAAAGATATCCCCTCCGAAGCCGCGTTAGTGATATATTGTGTGTGTTTTTTCGATTGGAATCAGTTTTAGCTAGATATTTAGCATGTTGTAGGCATTCCGTAAAATTCAACGCTACTTTGGCAGCAAAGAGCTTTGCAGACGTATCAAGTATTAAACCGTGTTTTCGATCTACAAGTATGAAGAACCTTGTGATTTTATGCCACGCTTATAGAATATTTTTCAGACTCTTGAAATCGGCTTAAGGATGAAAGCAAGAGTAGTATGATAACAATCAGAAGATTGAGGGGTTATAAAACGTGTACGGGTGGTGTGGCTCGCTGCGTCATGTCCTCGACCGCCGGGGGACCGCGCTTGAACGGCAAAGAGTATATGGAGAGCCCTCACGCTGAAGAATCTCCATAGCAAATGATAAGTTTTGGGTAGTCGTTGTTTTGACGCAGATCCATCGGTTGGAGTATGATTTAGCTTGTGTTTTGTGCTTGGCTTCAAGGAAGATCTGGTGAGCCACGTCGATCATGCTATCAAAGATTTCCCCGCCCTTTTCTGCTAATTCCATCTTGAAGATCTCCGGAAGATTAATATAAAACACTGGTAATCGATGACCCCCATCACTTTCCTTCATTCGAATGTGGTATTGAATGTTGTTGGTGAACTCCTCTCCGAGGTACCACTTCATGGAGCCTAATACCTGTGTGGTTTTAACTCCAGAATTGCCTGAACTGGATACGAATCCTGGAACTTGGTGAAGCAGGTTGAACTCGATTCCGTTTGGGAGTAGCTGAAGGTTTAAAGAAAGACCAAAAGTTTGCCCCGCTGCTTCTGGCAAAATACGGGTCCAATTCTGAACCTCAGGCTCCCAGTAAAAGACAGCAACTTTGTCGAGAGAGGTTCCTAAATTGGGAAAAGAAAAACCAGGTTTCGAAGTACGTTCTAGAGTTGAGAGAGCAGTGTTTTCGTCTGGAGTCTTTTCCCCAAGCATAGTTTTGGGGTGGGTTGTCGGAGTATGGCTATTTTTTGTGACGTGGGTAATAGTTGGGACCTTTGAGTTTTTCAAAACTGATCAGTGGCATCCGGCTTCGAGGATACCGGGGCCGGGATCTTACCTGGGTATTAGCAGTAGTATTTGGAGAGCTTAGCTCCGCGGACCTGCTGTTAGTTTCAACATTGTCGATATCGATCCAAGGCAAGATACGTTCATTGACGCCTAGCCACATTGACTTGCCTGACCAAAGTACTGTTAAAGGTTCATCTTCAGGTTCGAGAATCTGGGAGGTTTCTAGTCTGAGCCAGATCGACCCTCCCTCATTTTGGAAGCTCAGAACTTTAGACTTGGCATCGAGCATACCCTTTAACGCTAATTTAGCACCACTCGCAAATCCGAGAGGGTTAGAAGCATTTAACTCCGTTATGTCGACGCCAAAAACGAGGCCGCCGTCCAAAATTCGAAAATCAAGTCGCAAGCATCTACCGTCAAGGGGTCGACGTGTATCACGTGGAACTTTCTTCACGTTATAAAGTATGGGGCCAGCTTTAGGGGGTTTTCCGAAAACAAGAGAGGCAACTCTTCCAAATTGTGGTTTTGAGGGTTCGTCTAGCGGTTCTAGCTGAGGGGTATCGAGCTGCTGGATGGCCATAAGATGGACTCCACTATTCCTGATAGCGTATCGCACGCCAATCAGTGAGTCCAACTTCTCGTTGAGGACTTGAACCCAAGACCTTGTCTTTCCATCCCACAGACTTAATTTTGCTGGAGGAAGTTTCCCGTACTCCTCGGATATAACGAGAGGCAAGACTTTATAGCCAGTTTTGCCTCCGTCCGTTGCATCATAGCCTAGAGACGCCATGGTGTTAAGCCTACCGTTTAGAAGGCCTAGGTGTTAGCAACGGTTTCTTCTTAATCAGAATAATCGTGATGACAAATGGATGACACTGAAATAGAACGATTGAGAAAGAAGCTTCTAGGCATTCTTTCGTTGTCGCTCCTCACCATTCACCCTGGGGAGATAGTTCTGAGCTACCCCAAATACGAGCAGAGGTGTAGGTTCTGAAAGGGGACCAAGAGGGTCGAGGCCCACCTGCTAGGGCTTGGAAAGAAAAGCAACAAATAATCTGGTGACGTGAAGAATGAACTAATGATAGAATTGATGATATGGGTGTGGACTGATGATGAAAGTTGATGAGGGTGAGGTTATGGAGTGATGATAAGAAGATGGTGGGAGGTGAAGCGGCGAAAACATTGGTTTATCCCGCTCCTTATTCAAATATGAGGTCCAGTCTAACCTGAGAAGGGCTCACAGTTAGGTACTTAGTAGTCTAGTTGTTTAGGGTACTTAGTACTAGTTAGGACCCTTCCAGTTTCGCGTTTAGCGTCCCAAACAAAGATTATACCCACCTCAGCATGGCTCATCTCGTAAAACCCTGCTACAATCATCTCTAACTGCCACTAGAACATCATCCCTAAGCAGTCCGACCGGTGCCTATCACCTCTTGTAGGCAACTGATATGGTATCTGCCAGTCTTAGATGAACTGATAGCCTCCATTTGGACTAAACACATGAGGGCAGACCCCGAACAACTGCGCCCAAGGACTCGGTTTATATGGCGGAATGTGCCTCACAGGCCAGACGAGGCTAGACATAATTTCCCATCGAATAAATAATAGGCAAAAACCCGGTCCTGGCAGCTGTGGCATCCTTATAGGTTGTATCGGTTCGTAATGCTCTGACAGGACTGCTTCGTTAGCGTTGATAATGCTTCAAGGCTACATCACGGAAAGCTGGTATATGAAATCTGCTATAGCCAGATATCCCCATTTGTTCCTTTCGAAATGTGGAGAGCTAACATATATGTACATACAAGTAGTAATACTTCCGTGGAGTTCGTGATATTGAGACCGCATGGCCCAAACTGAGCAAGCAAAGAATCTTGGTAGAAGAGCCTGTTCAAACAAGACGATAGCTATCATTTAGTTTTGCATTCACTCCGGTCATAGGGCCAAACTAAGTGGGAGCTCGCCAGCACAAGAAATGTCACCGGGTGCTGATGCATCACCATACCGGCCCTCACATACCAGCCAAAGCTCATCTTGTATTACCGATATGGTGGTCATACCTCTTCGTGTGGACCGCATCTGCAATACGAAACTAGGCCGTACCATATCTCAAGGCTGGAAGGTTCGAAAAATATACCTCGCTGGTTCGGAAGGAGTCGATGTACAGCTACTTCGAAAGAACAGCGACATATACAGCACCCGTGCAGCATTTTTGAATTCCCAGCACCGAAGCTCTAGGTTGACGACAGGCGGTTGCATTGTATTATTCGAATAACGGCACAGTATAAATCCCTACGTGGTTGAAATTCTGTTTCTGAAGGTTAAGTTGCTCTCTGTGCTTAGCCTTCTGGAAGGAATGAATTTTAGTAGTGTGTTTGGCTTTGCTTGATTGACAAATCAACTTCGACAAACTGCTTTTCCCAGCCGAAATATTAAAACCTACCTTCAATTTTTTTAAATTCCGCGCTAAAGTTAGCAAGCATACAATGCATGGAACTTAGTAACTCGAATATTCGAACTTCATAGTATAAAAACTTGACAAGCTGCCCATAAATGTATAAGTTCTGAACCTGGTATAGCACCTACTCCCATCAGGTATAAAGTTGGTCATATGGCTTCAGGATAAAGCAATTCTAGTAGCTGCTTGCCAGTTCCAAAATCAAGTCGTACGTTCCACGGCCACTCGATGGTTGAGCAGAAAACGTTATCATTGCATTGCATGGCCGGGATGTTTAAGACAGTCTTGCCAAGCAGCCAATACGAAATGCAGGCCGGGGTCAAAGCAACCGATCCACGAATTCGAAATAAGGCCCCGCCTCAAAAGTCCGGCGACCCATGATTATGGTTACTTCGTTAACCCGCAATTGCGGAGTTTTTGGTCAGCTTCAGCTATGTTATATGTCAGAGATATTGGGAATACAGTATGCTGACCAACCCTGGATAATTGAACTCCAGATTGGCCACAAAATAGTCCATTACTCAGCTTATGATTTTTTCCGCGGGCCCACAATTACCCCACTGCTCCATTACTCCATTACAAAGAATAAAGTCGCCTTGGTGGCTTCGCTCGCACAATTGTGTCTAACTATGTCGAGGACGAGACTAAATGTGTTATGTTTCTGCATCAACTACCCGAGCCAAATTGCGGGGAAACCCCCAATGACGCCTGAAAAGTGCCCCCACGAACCTATCAGCCAAGTCATAGGCCAAGCCAATCTTTCCATCTTCTTTCCTAGATTTCATATCCTCGAACCGATAACATGCCGAAATTTCTACCAGTTCTTCAATGAATTACTTGAAAGCTTTCCGAAGTCTCGCATGAATGCGAGAACGCCTTGACTCAAATATTGAGCTTGCTTGTAGTGTATACATGCACTAGGTAAAATGTTTTTCCACCATCGATCGGATTGAGTATGTTGGCTTCATAAGTTTCTCAATTTACATTGAATCTCGGTACGTACTGCAGGCTTTCTCGCTCCATGGGAAATAGCCATTTAAGCGGAGGCGCCACACCTTGAAATAAAATGGGGGAAACTAAGAAAGTATATAAACGAAAGGAAACCACAAGAGTTCTGCCGCCACAGATCTCGAATCTATAATCTCAATCCAATCCTTATAGCTATAACACCAGGGAAACAGCGCCTGAATACATGCCCGGCAGATGCCAAATCCCAACATGAACCAGGGTCGCCTTCGTCGCTCCAATTCTAATTTTTCATAATAGGTATATACCTACATCATCATCTAACAAAACAGCAATGAGGGTTTTTCTCAAGGTAGCTGTAGCACGAGTCAGGATCGGCATATAAATTCGGTGGATACGGTTTTTCGGCCCTTCGGCCGAATCAGGAAAAGCAGCGATTTCCCCTCGGTCTGACCGGTTAAACACCCCTACTCCCCAGGCCAGGCTGCATCGAACAAGCATTCTCCCGAGAAAAAGCCAACCTTCTCGCTTGCATGTAGCTTGATAACCCGGAAAATTGACCTTGTTGTATTTTTGTATCAAAAAGGGAAGGGCGGGAACGCCGAATATCGCTACCCTCCTCTAGTTCTGCCCACATTATTTAGGCGCTTTTTCTTAAGCCTTTTGCGGGGAAGCACCTCGTATGTAACCTTTCCCACATGAATGGCATTGTTGCATGTTGCAATTGCAATTGCAATTGTCTTTGGTTTTAACCGGGGAGGGCTGTCTCGTCTTAGTTTCTCGAATATATCGCATTATAACAATACCTTGGATGCCTGGGAATACTTATCCAGTCTTGGTTTTTCCCGTAGTTGAAACATGTTAACAGATTCACCGAAAACATGTTCCATTACTCATGTCCGGCGTCCAAGCTCGTATTCAATTCTCGAATCGATTCAAGACTTGCAGAATTAATAACATCTAATATTATATGAGGCCAATACGCATTATACCCAGGTTCCTAACAACGCCTTTCTCCGTCTTGGCCAATGCTGTGGCCGTGATAATCAGATCAATTGAGAGTTTTCCCTTTTCCCCTTTGGTCAAGTGCCTGAATGACATGGGAATGTCGACGATGTCCGACCTGTCGGCTCTTGACTATCCCTGCTAGTATTACTTAACTTCGTATTACTAAGGCGAAGGTAAGATATGTAGATTGACGGTCTAAAGCTTTCTGGGCCGCTGTGGAGAGAAACTTTCTCGTCCCCATGACCTTTCATCAACGGATCCACTTCAATTTCTGGGGAAGCTTCAGAAACAAAATATAGCTTGCTCTTTCGAATCCCTCTTTCCCTGTCCCCCTCTCTCATCGAGGTTTATATAAAGGCTAGGAGGGTAGCTTCCCTTTGCAGTTGAGCTCTCACCTAGCTATACCGGTAAGCCTGTCGATAAGCTTACAAGGCAAGCTCCCTCTTGCTCAAGGCTGATACCTCTAGATCCCCCACAGGCAAGAATTAGAACCGCCAAACAAAAAAATGGCTCCCATGGGTGCACAAATCGGTAACCCAGCCGATCCAATCGTGACGGCTTTGGTTGAGCAGGACAAGATACCATGGTACAAGAAGAAAAATCTTAGATACCTATACCTGATCATGTTCCCGACATGTATTGGTATTGAAATGACGTCTGGTTTTGATTCTTCCATGATGAATGGTATGTGAAAATTCCTATGTACTGCCGATATGGGGTCAGTATTCGATCTATAGAACTAACCCAAAATATTTTGTTTTGTCCTCAGGTCTTCAGGCAGTCCAGAACTGGGATGAATATTTCGACTTTCCTCGTGGTTCAAGACTTGGTATTTTTAGCGCTTCATACAACTTGGGAGCTATTGTCGGTCTTCCTTTCGTCCCAATGATCTCTCATAGGTGGGGAAGAAAATGGACAATCATATTCGGATCCATAATCATGATCATCGGGGCCGTCATTCAGGGTGCAAGCCAGAATTGTATGTCCAATCCCAGCCCCAGATTCGCCCGTACCTACCCCTTCAATGCTAAATTCCTTGGATATTCTAGTTGCCATGTTCACTATTTCTCGTATTATTCTCGGTTTTGGTATTCCCTATGGCATTGTCGGTGCTTCGGCACTCATTGGTGAAACGGCCTATCCAAAGGAAAGAGCAACCTTGACGGCTGTATTCAATGCATCTTGGTTCATTGGGGCCATCATTGCGGCTTCTATTACCTTGGGGACATTTGCCATGCCGAATACTTGGAGTTGGAGAATCCCAAGTTTCCTACAAGTCGTTCCGTCATTGCTGCAAATTATTTTCATGCCATGGATGCCTGAAAGCCCTCGTTTCGTAAGTGGAGTTCCTGATTAAACAGCCTCGATCGAACTCCTCCACTAATTTCAATATTTCATCTCGCAGTTGATCCAAAAAGATCGAATCGAAGAAGCCCGAGATTTCTTCATTAAATACCATGCGGAAGGCGACGCCGACAGTGAACTCGTCAAAGCCGAAATTGTCCAAGTCCAAACTGCGATTACAATCGAACTCGAACACTCCAAACTTGGCTGGCGAGAACTTTTCAGAACTCCCGGTAATCGTCGCAGAGCCACCATCACTGGTTTCCTGGGTCTCTTCACCCAATGGTCTGGAAACACTCTCATCAGTTACTACCTCGTACGGATTCTCAACCAAGCTGGCATCACCGAGAAGAGCACACAAACTAGAATTAATCTTGGAAGAACATGTTGGGATTTCTTGAACGGTACTATTATTGCTCTCAATGTGCCGAGATTATTGAAGCGCAGAACCGGATATTTTATCTGTACTATTGGCTTGCTCTGTGTATACGTCTCTTGGACAATTTCTGCATCCCAGTACGCACAGACGAAACACCAATCCGCTGGTTATGCCGTCTTGGTTATGATTTTCTTGTACAGTCCGTTCTACAACGTTGGTTACAACTCTTTGACATACAGTAAGTTTCCTAACCTATGTTCCATCAGTGGTTCGCTTTGAGGGATACTAATTATGTTACTAGCTTACCTTGTCGAACTTTTCCCATACCACATCAGAACAAACGGAATTGTGAGTGTCACCTGCCAGGAATTCAAGCCTCTGGCTCATACTAACCCCGTTCTTAGGCATTTTTCCAAGCTTTCGGCAGATTAGCTGGCTTCTTCAACAACTTTGTGAACCCAATTGCCCTGGAAGCCATCGCATGGAAGTATTATATCACTTATTGCGTCTGGCTCGGCTTCGAAATCATCTTCGTCTACTTCATGTTCCCAGAAACTTCGGGACGTACTCTCGAAGAACTAGCCTTCTTGTTCGAGGGTTCTGAGAACAACGACATCCTGAGCAAGGCCACCGAAAAACAACTTGGCGACAATATTCACCTTGATGATGTTCCAGTTGTTGGAGGTCAGAAGGATGAGGAGAGGCCCGCTGTCCAGGAAATCGAAGCCACTGTGAGATAGGGAAGGTATCGGCCGGCCGGTGTCCTTTTTGTGATATGAATGTTATGAGTTAAGATTACATTTTATTTCATATTATACTTGTATATGGAGCGCATAAGATCTTAAGAGAGCAAAACTAGGAACAAATTGGTGGTAGCACAGGAAATTGAATGAATTGATATGATGGGACTGGATTGGAACCAGTCAACAAGTCAACACAAATCTTTGTTGCATTTCTCCATATATCGAATCGATACGTGAAGGATGTACTCTTGCAATCAAATAGCGGCTAACAACAGCCTTGCCACGCCTGCACGCCTTTCACAGTATACGTACATAGTATGGAGAACCAATGAGTTTTAGTTTATCTTATTGAATTCAAGGTATAGAGCTGCCCGCAGTGAATAAAGCTTGCGTCTCTTTATATTAACCAAGCGTCGCAATTGCGCAATTGAGGCATAAGGAACTAGGATGTGATGGCAAGGAACATTGAACCTAAAGCTGACCGGATTAGGTTATACAAGGGGATTGATAGATAGTAGATGCCTACCTAGGTAGATATGTACAGTCTAGAACTATGTAAAGGTATATGATGTCTATATGAAAGGATTCCTCTAGAAAGACCTCCAACTAATATCTGTTCCACCGTCCCCTCGTTGGACCCCACTCTTTGCGCTATGCTCTCCACTCTGTGACAGCGCCTTCCCACGAATCTTGTTCATTCTTGGGTACATCGAAGTCTCCGATAGCTTTAAGCCCCTGGCCATCATAATACCCTACCAACCTCCTTCCATTGCCCCTCCAACAATCTCCACAAAGTCTCTTCAACCCCAACCTTTTCACCTCCTCCTTGGCAATATTAAGCAGCGCCGAGCCTGACCCTTTAGCAAGTTTCCCAGCCCTATGGTCTGTCATCAGGAAAGCAAGAAAAATGAACGGATCCTTCTCATCCTGCTCCGGTATCACCGAACGAACGTACTCCGGTGACCTTCCCTGAAGTACCATTGCTCCGACGGGTATAGTAACTATCTCTCCTTGTTCGTTCGAGTATCTGTCTGCCAATGCGATAGGTATATCCTCCCTTTTGATATCGATTTCTGCTACATAGGCCTTATCCCAGTCTAACGGTGGCACTCCATGCTCCGATAGTACCTCCGGGGATGAAATGGGATACTTTTGGGAGGATAAATCGCTGTCTTCTACCATCTTCTTAACTTTGCTGACAGCGCCGGGTAGGTTGCTAGGAATATATTGCCATTGACTTGTACTCCCAATCGAAGCGAGGTAGGGAAGTGTGGAATCCCAAGCTTCGACGAACCAGCGGTCGTCACCAGCCGCAAGGGTGGCGGGGCGGAACTTGAAGGTATTCGTTGGGGACATATCTCGATACGAGTTGGAAATGTTTCAGAACTGTATATAGAGTATATCGGTATGTGTGTCGAAGATTATCGTGGCAACGGAGGAAGCCATTGACTGACTCACTATAACATTGTGAAGGGAGAGAGATCCTAGCTTTTGCGAAAGGATTCTCTGTCCCGATGTCGTTAGCTAGTTCGGCCGGGGTTCATTTCGCGTTCGGCGTTCGCAGCTTGCCGACGGGTTTTACATTGCATGACATGATTGAGGGGAAAAGGAAGTCTGGTTATGTGTTGAGCCCGGACTTCGAGAAGAGGACGAAGTTGGGTTTTGTGTTGTGGAATTCCACTTTGGTCGGATTTGCTCACAATGCACCAAAATTTGGTGCATTTTTTGGGCCCAGCGCGACAAACTCGGTGTGCTTGGGACTTTGGGCAACAAACTGGCTCGCAGGACTCTTAGGATAGTATATATGTTCTGTGTGCGCGCCCTTTACTTGGTGGGCTGGTTCTCGCAAAACTCTTTGGTGTTCTATTACGCATGAAGTATAGATACCTACCGGCTCGCGTTCGAGAGTTTGTCTTAATCCAAGCGGAATATTCCTAACTATGGTTCTGAAGAGAGGATTTAGGCATGCATGTGAAGTGAAGTCCTGCAGACGCATGCAGTCCGGATTCATACACTGGTGACAACGCAGCAAATACCGATGCAACCGGACTATCATGATCTCACTATTGGGGCGGGTTTCTGGGTGTCTCTGGCACCAGTAGCGTGCGTTCGTGATTTCATACCACCAAACCGAAGGACGCAGAAAAACGGTAACCTCTCCCTATAACCTTCATATTAGGATGATCTATAGTAATCATGGCACTGGGCAGGAATACCTCTCCAATATTGGAATGTAATACCATGCCGGCCAAAATTGGCAGTGCTATGTTGTTCTCTTCGCGAACCGGGCATGTCACCCGACGTTGCTTGTGCAACAATCTTCAGGCAGGGCAAGGGCATGCCTAAGGCAGGCCCATTCGGAGTTCAAACGCAGGGATGGATTACCCAGATCGGTGGGTTCTGCCTGTCACCAATCTGTCTTCCCCCGTGAGCAAGCCTTGAAAAATCCAGGTGGCGGTGGTGTCTGTAGCAAACAGTTTGCCAGTCGAATCAAACGGTGCTGCAACAGTCCAGTGCCCCTGAAGTAGGCATACCGGGTGAGATATGTCCCTCAGAGCAGTATATAAATATTTCGGTTGAGTTTGAAATAGGGATATATTTCAGGGCTTCCATATTGCTTTCCCCTTATGGCCTTGATCCCTTCTGTGCATTGGATTATTCCCATGAGTAGATTGGGGAAGGCAGAATTTTCTAGCGCCATCGGTACACATCTCGCCCTGTTGTAGACACTTCTTTTGCAGCGCTACAGTAAGGGGCAATCAGGAACCACAACAAACTCCTGGACGAAAATTGAAGCGCAGCACCCCTATGATCAATGTTGACCTAATCAAAGCGGCTTCAACCGATTGACATACCATCAAATCAGGATCTATTAGTGCTGCGTCTTTGGCGTAATTTGGTTGGTCCCTTCAAGGTTTATAAGCCGACCGTTTTCTATAACCCGCCTTCTACAGTTTCTAATAACCATCACATCTCAAAACAATATCATTATGCCCGGCGTTGCGGTTTGCCCAAGCACGCGGTGGAGCGAATTTCCTTTCTCGCAAGAGCACGAACGTTCGTTGAAGAGGTTTTTGCTCCCTCGTGAAAAGTATAGGCGGTACGGCTATCGGACCGGAAAGTTTAGCGAGGAGGAGCTTTTGCACAAGCATGAAGCGTACTGTAAAAGATGCGATGGTAAGTGCACTATTAAGTTGTGTATCGAAGTAGAGTATGTCATTAGAGTAAACTAACCTTCCCTTCCAAGCATTTGCTCTAAAGCCTGATGGCTCATTAGCTTACAAGCAGCAACTGCAATGTCGGATACATCCTGGGAAAAAACAACAACAGGTAGCTCAGCCTTGTTCCTTCGATAGAGCATACATTTCTTCTGTATAATAACCCTAGTTAGGATCAGATCTGGAGCTGCTGCCGCACGACGACTATCGAATATCCTGGTCAGCCCAGCGGCTGCCGCGTATTTTCCAGGCATGACTGGACTACCAACTCAGCTTTACCCCAAAAGTTCTGGGACTTGCATTATACCCCCCAATTCAAACCATCCGGTCAAAGAAAGCGAGCCCGAAAAGCTGTCTCATTAGATTGCGAAATGGCCACGAATAGATTCGACCATCCCGAGCTAATCAAGCTAACCCTGATCGATTTTTTCACCAAGGAAGTCCTTATCGACGACATAGTAAAGCCTCTGGTGAAGATCAAGAATATGATTACTCATATCCACGGAATCACCTACAAGGATATCATCTCAGCTTCGAACGCTTCAACAGCAATACTAGGCCGCGATGCAGCGAGACAAAAGATTTTTGAGTTTGTAGGACCAGAAACCATGGTTTTCGTTCATGGAGGGACGAACGACTTCTTGTGCCTAAGATGGTTGCACCCAGCTATCGTAGATACGCAGGAGATAGAAAGTCGAGTAAAGAGAATCGGTGATGATGAGCTGGATGGCTGGCTGGACGATGAAGGTACAGGCTTAGAAGCTATGTGCCGACTGATAACTGGTATACAGATTAGATCTGGGAGGACGAAGTACGGAAACGGGGTCCATGACAGCTTGGAGGACGCGATGGCCTGTCGAGAGCTGGGGATTTGGTACGCGGGTAACTTGAAGGGGGAAGTTGGTGTGGAGGATGCGAAAGGAGAGGTAAACGTACAGCAAGCTCCGACAGCGATTCCAGCAGAATCCATGCCGAACCGTCTAGAGACCGACCCGCCAGAGACCGACCCGCCAGAACCAATCACCAGCCTATCACCACTTGTCAAAGAGGGCCTGCAGTTCTGGGACTGCAAAGTTTGCAATCTAAAGGTGCCAAAGGTTGCCGAACAAGTCCATAGAACGGAGCCATCCCACCTTGCGACACTGCTTATGCTCGTGCAGCAGAAGGGAGGATAATATAGACTAAGGTTGTCTCGTCGCCAGACTCCTCAACTGTGAGACTAAGGTATACTCCTTTAAGGAAGGAGTTTTAGATTGGTATTTTAGTGCGGTCTTTCTTCCCCGTAGTTTTCTCTATAGTCTGTGATAGAAACCATGGTATCAAATTAGCTTCTACATGGTGGCAAGAATGTCGAACATGTATATTCTTATTTCAAATGGAAGATTTTCTCAGCAATGCAACTATAGGCTTTTCAATCTTCGTGACAATACAATGAACTTTGTAACTTGACTGTGATATATAATTTCTGCATCATAGCTAATTTCCCACATATTCCGACGAAGTACACTTGATGTCGATACGTATACTGGCTATCGATAGAGGACCGGTCTGCCTGTCATGTCTGACGTCCGTAACTGCTGTGCGTTTTTGATTTTGTGTTGCGTGTGATGTTTGTTGTTGTCGTTGGTGACGTGCCAAAACCGGCCCAAAGAATTTGTTTTGGTTTGCCATCCCATCAAAAACAACATCACCACCACCAACTATCGCCACCGTCTCCTCATACCACCACCACCACCACCACCGACTCCCAAATCCTTCGAAGACTTGTCCTAAATGCTATCTATCCTTAATCGCTATCATGGTCGGACGTCAAAAGATAAGACGCGGTCGCGGTACCGCTCGGAGAACTGTTTCTCGGTCGCCTGTGATCGGTGACACCGCTTCTAATATAAACAAGAACATCAATAACAACAACAATAACAACGATATCACCACCAACCATACCCCTCTCGCCCCACCTCCCGCTCTGCTAGAAGAACAACCTCAGGCTGCCCCTAAACTTATGCCGAAGCTTCCATCCTCCGGTGGCAGCTCTAAAAGGAAATTCGACGATATTGCAGAAGTTTCTTGGGACAGCGCAGATGACAAACCGTTACCAGAAGTTTCTTTTTCCGCCAATGCTTCAATCGTGACCGTATCGGAGCGCCCCTCCAGAAGGGTCCGGTCAACCTATACACTTGCTGCTAGTATCGCCTCTATCGAAAAAACAACTGGCACTCGCTCGCGACGAGCTGCTACTCTTGAGAAATCGGTTACTAGGAATCCATTATCATCAGGCTTCTCGAAACCGAACGACAGCGAAAAATTGGTTGTAAAGGCTCGTGATGGTCGGGAATGCTGGCTTTGTTCGCAATCGAACACTGTTATGTTAGAGACAGCTCACAATGTTGTCGCCTCTAATCGTGATCTCGTATGACTATTCATCCCATCTCTGTACGTTTGTGACTTCTGACTCATATGGGTTCAATCTAGTTCCTTAATTATCGTGATACCGTGGGAATTTTCCCTCCAAACCTTCGACATCTGGCATCTCCCCATAATCTCGTCACTCTCTGCAGGAACTGCCATTGTGTGTACGATTGCCAGCAACCTCGCTGGATTATCCTCCCAACAAACCTCCAATACTTTATCGATCACGAAACCGCAGACTACGAATCACGAATCAAAGCGGCTTCGGAAGGTCTTGTAAAACCCCGAAGTGTACCGACAGCTATCCAATACACCACGGCTTCCCCGACGAACCTCTATATGCCCTACTTCTTTGAAGAGTCCGTGATGCCGAGGATGGATACTAAAGATGTGGATAGCCGGTTCCCGAGGGCTTATGGTGGCGCGCCCACGACAATGATTTTGAAAGCGGGGCTTGGAATAAATCAGCCAAAAATAAAGGGACCTAAGAGCTCGTCTCCGCCATTTGCCACTGGTATTCCCGCCACTGTTCGGCATCAGGTTACAGCCCTATTTGAGCTCTGGGACAGAGATCCGCCGTCGCCGAGGAAACAGCCAAATCCTGCCGCGAAGGCTTGCATTAAGGAAGAAGACCAGCCACCAGGGTCAGAAGATGATGAGAACAGCCAAAGCGGTACGAAGAAGAGAAAATCTAGACCCAATGCTTCATGGAAGAAGAGGAAGACACCTCCATCACAGACGGTAGAGGAAGATCATCAAGACGAGCTAGCCGATATATGTGCACCCACAAAAAAGAAAGCTAGGATTGCACCAGCAGATAGGGCTGATCATTCTCCTGCCTCCCAAGCAACAACAGCTGCTACCAAGTCTGCTAGCCAAGACTCTCAATTCTCCTCCGTCGAGAGGAGGTACAATCTTCGCTCGCAGTACCGAACCCCACCCACATCTCCCGAATTTACAAACACGGCTCTTGTCAAAAAGGCTTCTCGCAAGTTGAATGCCGTAACCACCAAAAAAAACCTTACTAAAATCAACCGGGCTGGTTCTTCCAGTCGTGAGAGTGTTCTCGCGAAGCAGACAAAAAGAAAGATTGCTAAAACTAAATCGACTAAGAAAACCTCCAAGAAAGATGAAAAGAAGACGCGTTCTAAATCGCCAAAGGGGAAGGCAGCAGCTATAGCACCTCTCACCCCAAAATCACACCCCAGCCCTAACGATCCGATGCGAGGCAATGCCGTGGCCAATGCTGTGAAAGCAGCAACCAAGAAGCAAGCTCTTGGAGAATCACCACTGCAGCAAAGTGTTAAGCGTAGTGCCGCTTCTTTGTTCGCAGATGTCGCAGGAACTACTTCTGCGGAAGCCTTCTCCCTCGCCGAAGGTACTGGTGCCACCAAGAAGAGTATTAGCAAAAATATATCCAGTCTAGCACAACGTCTACCACCCGCCCAGTTTGATGAGAATCTGCCGGGCGAGGAAATGGCGGATTTCAATAGTGCTGCGAGCAATGTTGATTCACTTGACCCTCAATCTGGTGATTCTGACAAGGGTTGTGAAGATGAGCACGACGATGGTTATGCTTCGGATAGTGGGAGCGAACGGCCCGATAAACAAGACTGGGCTTGGGGGCCTGAGAATACAGCCAACGACGTAGTTGAAGCCTGCGTTGGATGGTTTGGTGTTGGGACTGTCGGGAATATTGCTGAATAACTATTTTTTTTGAAACGGAGTAATCTATTCCGAATAGCCTTATTAGGTTCGGGTAGGCACAACAAACATAACGTTATTGATTTTCGATTTATTATGATCTCGGAGGGAGTTTATGCTTTTAGTTTGGGCGACCTTTAAAAAACGGTCTGGGTTTTTTTTAAAATTTCTTTTCCAAAAAAAAGTTATGGGTTGCTTTTTTACGGACGGGATATTGTGTCATGGGTCAGGCTAGCATCCTTCGGAGTTTTGATTTTGCATCTTTGGGTTTCGGTTTCGGTTTTCTCTGCATGCATGGATGGCATTTCTATAGGCGTTTATTTGACTTGGTTTATTGCATAAGGTGTTTTATCACATTTATATGGCGTTATCTTTTTACACTACTATGTTAGCGTTCTTGCACAGTCTTCTTATTCTTGATGGTTCCTGGCATTATTTTACTCTAGGTATGGAGTCTCACTATTATTTTCCGGTCCGTTTAGTGTCTCCTGGGGAATGCTTCGCATTATTGTTCGTATCTGTATATATAACTGGCCCAGCTTTTTTCTTCCATCGACCTATACACATAAATCATATGTCCTTTATTTGATGGCTTAACCAGTATTCGATCGTTAGGACACATCGACAGCGAGCGTCCGTGCTTTAGACTACAATTAACCCGATGATAAATCAGATTCTATGGCCAAGGTTATATGGAAGCATTGGCACCGAGGCTCAATTGCAAAGTAGCCATAGATCTAGAAGTTTACAAGTCCGAGCTAGCTAAGCGGAGAAGGGTTTACTAGTATTTTATATGCCTAGCCCCCTTGCTAGGATGCATCGATGATCGCTAGCTGGGGTCAGCATTGTAAACATTGCTAATCTTTATATAAGTATCTCTTATATTTGTCCTGTACCCAGAGTTGGCATTGCTGCACAGACTTGGAATCCTCCCGGTCACCCTCCATGGCAATGTTTTAGGGGAACATAAACATTCGCATGAATGTTATTACGTGATTTAAAATGGGCGGGCATCAATTGATCAATATTATCGGGGGAGTAATATAATTTCTCCGTGGACCTTTGGTATCGATATCGTATGATCATATACACTTAGATTTCAACGTATAAGATTGCTCAAATTCTAGTATCACTGCTAGCATCATGCTAGGGCCCTAGGGCCCTACGTATACGGTTAATCTATGGTCTTATATAAAATTCAATATGTAACTATAGCATCGCATCAGTATGTACACGTGCACAGCGCTGGATTCATGAATGTGCCACACACATTATTGGCCTGTACAGCAATTGTTTTACTAATTGAGCATGAGAAAGCCGGGGCATCCTATCTTAATGGGCAGTGGGACGACAGGTCACGTCGATGTGTCTCCCACGCAGTATCAACTAGTTCCGGGACCGATTGGATAGTATACAGAACAGTATAGTAATCAAGATGAATACAAAGCGTCTTCGCTGTTAACATTGCATATTTAACATGCGTATGGAAATGACTTCCATATTGACAACAATCACGCGACAACCAATATTATATTAATATGGTGAAGTTCTAACCCTTATATATATGGCTTACATTATGCATAGTACTTAGATACAAGCCCCGGCCGGGAGGACGCTATCGGGTAAATTGTGGACCCCCGGAAAATCCCCTTGGCAAGAACATGAGTTCGGGTAGTACTTGCATCGCATAGTAACTATAAATCAGTCCAGGCCTGGGGGCTAAGTCTGTCCTATCAGCTTCTAATTGATAACAGAAAATATCGAATGCAATGTATGACCGTTGAAATGGTGGCTGCCACGTCTAGATTTTGGCAATATTGCAATATCTCCGTAAAGGTTGATATCGATCTATTTAATTCTCCTACCGCGATGAATCCGTCCGAAGGTTCTTTTTATTTGTTTTAAAATGTTATCGATATCTATATATATCTAGCAAGGATTTGAAAGTTTGAGGGAAATTACAAGATTATGGATTATAATACCAGCGTTTTAGCTTGTGGGGTGGTCTGTGCATATACGTGCATACATGAATCTCCAAAACGTCTATACATATACTTATACTACAATATATTGATTGATGCCTTGAAGTAGCGATTCGATGGGTTTCAAAACAATATCGAAGTTTCTTTCTTTCTTTCTTTCTTTTTTTCTTCTTAATCCAATGTGTGTATGTACGTGTAACTTACGTGAAGGAGATCCGATACTCGGGATTTAGCATCCGATGTTCCTAGTAGACCTCCATAGCTATCGATGCAAGTTCCACGGACGAGGTGGGGCCGAAAGAGATCCAAACCTATAGCGCGAGCGAGTGAGCGTGACGCTTACCGTTTTTCTCAGTGAAGAACCTAGCTGTTGTGCGTTTTATATCAAGGGCAATGCTAGTCAAGATCTAGGTGTGTATACATGTCCAGGTTTATACAACTGCTTCATAATGTAAACGCCAGAGATATTAATATATTTGCTTACTTAAGTATGGGTTCCTACATTGTCAATCTTCAAGAAAAAATGTAATCGTTTGCCTTACCGAAGATTTTGCCTAATATATGCATGGCAATTTAATCGAAGACTGGACGCGGACAGGCTTCGGGGCACCCCTGCTATAGTTTCCCACGGAATGAGATAGTCCGAAGAAAGTTCTTAATATAAATTCATCTATCCCTCATCCTAAAAGCTTGAGAGAGCTTATTTTGAAATTTGCTTCCCGTGGTTCCGTACCAGGCTTCCGATCGAGAAAGGGGCGGGGGAATTAGGGCATGTGGTTTCGACTGAACAGCGAAGGTTTTCCAAGGAACAGGCTTACTTGTCATTACCATGCCTCACTCACACAGCAAAGCTCGCTCACGAGGTATCTAGCAAGGAACCAGCAGGTACTTCGTAGTCAGTAATTAGATTGTGGGGGGCAGGAACTGGAGCAAACCTACGCACCTCTCGTCAACGATATTCCGGCATCTGAAACGAAACCGTCCCATATGCCATTGACACCCTTGTCGCGAATGATGTCGAGAACCACATGACAATCACCGAAGGTCCATGGAATATTCCGTACGCCCATATTAACACAGGAGCTTCCATGGGTTGCAACTAATTGTCTGACCACGAACGGTTAGGCGGCCTTGCGATAGCTTGGGCACCTTGGTTGAGCGGTGGAGCTTTGGTTCGGAACCTGTTCCCGCTTGAAACAGGCTACGGGCGAAAGAGGCCCTGGCGCACTTGCGCAAGACCTCCCTTCAACACTTTTTCAGGCCGCACGACCTGGTGTTGGGCGGTTGGTAGTGGTTATGGAAGCCGATAGTGGACGCTATCTGGACGACTGGGAGTGGAGATTGGAAAGGAATGCAAGATGAGGCGTCATGAGACCACTGTCAGGGTGTCTATCGCGATCTCTTGAGTTTGGAGGGTTGATCGCGATTGTGGGTCGGAGAGTGGTATATAACGAGTACGTCTTCTCGTCTTTCGATTTAAATCTCTTCTATCTCAACATCATCTTACTTACTTACTTGCATACATAGTAATATACAGAGGTGCTTGATAGGGGGTCGCTTTTTTTATATTTCACTTCGTACAGAATTCGAACCATCATGAAGGTCGAAATTGCTGCTTTGATTGCCGGCGGTGCCGCGCTCGCTTCTGCCCAGCAGTCCGTCTGGGGACAATGTATGCATATGCTCTGATCCTCAACCTCCAACTGCCCGATATCATGATATCGTAATGGGACGTTGCTAACTAGTAAATTTAGGCGGTGGTATTGGATGGACTGGACCGACTACCTGTGCCTCAGGAAGTTACTGTTCTTCGTATGTGCATATCTCTTCAATTGACATAGATATCTATAGATATAAGGAAGACCATATACTGATGATATATATGATGCATACAGATTGAACCCCTACTACAGCCAGTGCTTGCCTGGAGCCCAGACTACCACTGCTGCCACCACTACTGCTAGCAGGACTACCACTTCTGCCAGCAGGACTACAACTAGTGCTTCGACTACCGCGAGGACAACTACTCCAACCACAACCCTCAGGACTTCGACTACTACTACCCGCACTACTACCCCAAGTGCTTCACCAACTACCGGAACCAAGAAGTTCGAGTATGTTGGTGTCAACGAGTCTGGTGCTGAGTTTGGCGAGAACACCATCCCTGGTGTTTTGGGCACCCATTACACATGGCCATCCCCATCCTCGATCGATTATTTCACCGCTCGGGGCCTCAATACCTTCCGTATTAACACTAAGAGTATGTATAGTATCTTTGATATAAAAGGGTACATGCTATTGTGGATCGTTTGCTAATATAGGTGTTAATAGTGGAGCGTATCTCTCCTCCATCATCTGGCGGTCTCACCGGCCCCTTCGATAATGCCTATATCTCAGGCCTCGACACTATTGTCAACTATGTCACCAACAAGGGTGCTTATGCCATCATCGATCCCCACAACTATGGTAGATTTAACGGTGGTATCATCACCGATACCAATGCTTTCAAGACATGGTGGACCAACATTGCCAACCGTTATAAGAATAACCCACGTGTCATCTTCGATACAAACAACGAATATCACACCATGGACCAGAACCTCGTTGTTGCCCTCAACCAGGCTGCTATCGACGGTATCCGTGCTTCCGGTGCTACCAACACCATCTTTGTCGAAGGTAACCAATGGTCCGGTGCTTGGTCGTGGCTCTCTGTCAACGCCCCAACCATGATCACTCTTAGAGATCCCCTCAACAAGCTTGTCTTCCAGATGCATCAATACCTTGACAGCGACTCCTCCGGTACCAGCGAGACCTGTGTCTCTGCTACCATCTTGAAGGAGCGTCTTACTGAGGCCACCAACTGGTGTCTCCAGAACAACGTCAAGTGTATCCTCGGTGAAGTCGGCGCCGGTAACAACAGCCAGTGCAAGCAGGCTGTTCAGGACGGTCTTACTTATGCTTTGAACTCTGGTGCCTGGGTTGGTGTTCTCTGGTGGGCTGCTGGTCCATGGTGGGGAACTTATTTCCAGAGCATCGAGCCACCAAATGGTGCTGCTGTCAGTGCCTACGTTCCTATTCTCCAGTCCTTCGTTTAAATTTGAAATTTAAGCGGGGGTAGGTGAAAAGGGCTTTAGGGGGGTGATCTGTAAATAAGTGTTAAGATAGGAAATGGCGAATTGTAGATACTTTTGTCGCTTTTGTTTTGTTCAAAAGGTTGTATATAACTACGAAGGCGGGGACTGGGATTCGATTGACTGTATATACTTTCTTAAAGAAAATTATCGATTGACTGGTCATTCTTTGCGATTTCAATAATTTTGAGTATGGATGCCTAGCACGTACTCGGATTCGATCTCAAACGTACACCTTGCGTGGTCGTCAATTGGCAGTGCATTAATGCTGAGCCTCGTCTTAGAATATATTTAGAAGTTTGGCGGAAGGAAAATTAGACTAGCGTAAGAGCACAGGCTAATGCTTTCAAACCTACCGCTCACATTCATACTATCGCGCTGGTAATAATATAACTTTACAAGTTGCGAACTGGGATGCAAGCGCCCATAGCCTGACTTTTGTGTACCAATACCAATTATTAATTCATGAAGAATTAATTAGCCGAAAGAATTCTTGTACAGAACGTCAATAACTATATCCTATATATCTGGCGAGGATATATCACCTAATGTTTCCTCTACCTTACGTAGCCGGCTAGCCGGGCAGTGCGCTCACCATGCATGTATTACAATATTATTATTATTCGGTGGCCAGCTGGCCAGGATTGACTCGCCGAATACAAACAGTAGCCATAGAGCGGCTGCGCCTGGATATGCATGTATATACCGTACTATTGTATTCAAGCTGAATGGGATCAAACATCTGCCAGGTCATGGATTTACTGTCGGATGTAATCACAACCTCGTAACGTTAGGCAGGTGCATGCAGGGACCTCGTATTTAGAACCGGCGGAAAGTCACGATCGCCAACTCATAAATTTGGCGCAAGTTGCAATTGACTGCAAGTTACCAGCAAGCTTCCTTAATATAATCTAATCCAGTGCTGTCTTTGCTACTGATCGATTCCTAATATCTATGGTAAAATGTACATACGCCAACTTAGAGCGTGGAAATACACTATAGTACTAATATTGCAATTGACACAGGAAAAGGATCTATATGTTGACCAACGTACTTCAAGCTTCAGAATTCAGGCCCAATAAAGGACTGATTGGCTGATGAACCAGGGTAAGTTCCGGAGTGGGTCATATGATCCTGTGAACTCTCGAAAAAAGCAGTCGCCCAATTTGCCGACGGCAAGCTGGACAGCCGGAACAGCCGTTGAGAACATCTCCCGCAGTGGAGTAAACTTAATTAAGTACTTGCGCGAGCCGACTAGCTGATGCAAACATGGTACGATATATTGGTAGAACTTAACCCACGAGAATTTAAAAGCCACGGAATTAAAAGACGAATTGCGTTCAAGAAAGTGGAACCATCGGGACAGCAATTCATGATAACACATCTAAATATGGCATATGGCCTCAAGGGTTGCTCTTTTTGTGACATTTGACATGACAGCGCCAGCGGTACTTAAGTGATATAATTGCATATTATACCCTAGAAGTCAAAGATCGAACAAACCCGCCTTTTGGGGCCTTTCAACCAATCGCCCAGTACAAAAGTCTGCCGGGACGCCAGTGAAGCCCCACCTTCCTGAAGACGCTTAGCTTGAGTCTTGCCGATTGAACGGAATGTCAACTATTTGCGCCCGATCCGCCTATTTCTTCCGACCACAGAAAACCTTCTATCACTTCACATATGCGAAAAGGGTTTGTCTTTCAAGGAACAGATTCATGCGATTCATGCACGTAGACGCAAAAGCTTTTTTGGTCAATTCATTCGAGGCGGGTGGGTCTGGACGTCGGCAACAAGGGTACATCGTTCCCCGTATCTGTCTATTGGTTGCGACCGTGTTATCCGGACTAGACGCCAGCGGCGTACATTTTGATATGACGACAGCCCGTCTAAAAAAGATACGAAGCCGACACCGGTGCCTAAGTAATAGCAGCACGTAGTTATGGTGCAAAGATTGCGTTTCAAGGGAAGCTGGTAAGTTGCGTCTACGACCCTTTTTTTTTTTTTTTTTTTTTTTTCCCCTTCCGCAAAGGAATCGACCAATTGGTTAGCGTCAAAACCGAGGTAGAATAGCTAGACCCCTGTTTGGCCTCCAAAGATATCAACCCAAAAAGATCCTAGGGTTGGCTAAAGGTGAGCAATTGGCCCCGAATTCCGTTTTCCTGGCCAGCTGGTACGAGGTTAGTTCGCCTTTGAAGCCCCCTCGTGGAAATCGTGGGTTCCCAATTACCAAGCGGGTGGGTACTTAGTGCACAGCCTAGTTTGAGCTGGGAAAAGCCGGCAATCAGAGTTTTGGATCGATAATCTCGACGTCGGCACGACAGGAAAGCCACTGAACTTGGCGATGGTTAGCATGCTAGCAGGTTTTCTTTTCCTCTAATAGCTAATTTCCCAACCCATAGCTTGGAGAAGATGTATTTCTTCCTAGTTCCATTGAAATTTGTCCTTCCATTTATTTTCATTTAAATCTTTGTGCTACCCACCATTTCGTGAACCGAACCTTGCCTGCAACATTCAACGCATTTGACCGTCGCGGAATCTGGAAACGTTTTGTTGCCATCTTCATCGTCGGCTATTCTATTTCTGGCTGACGATACCTTTATATTTTAAGCAGGAGCTATGGACTGGTTCCGATTGCTGGCACGGATCCCACTCCTGGGACTACTCCTCATTCTCGCCATTTTATTTAGAAATTATCTTCGCTTACGACGAATTCCTGGACCTTTCCTCGCTGGCTTAACAAATCTATGGAGGGTTTACTACGTCAAGAAAGGAGATGCGCAGGATACCTACATTCGACTTCACAAGAAGTACGGCAATGTTGTCAGGGTTGGGCCGAATTGTGTTAGTGTATCTGGTTTGGACGCTATCCAAGCTATCTACAATGTCCAGGACAAATTTCCCAAGGTAATCGAAAACCCACTGTTTTTGCCGGTATTTCCCACTAAGAACGATTAGTCCGAATTTTATACACCCCAGCAGTTTATTGTCCGTGGAAAACCGTACGAGAATATGTTTAACACCACAAGCGAAGATTTTCACCAAATGCTAAGGAAGCCTGTTGCAAAGGCTTATTCTATGACGACAATTATGGAGTATGAACCATTCGTAGATGATACTACATCTCTATTTCTCAAAAAACTTATAGAGCTATCTGGCGAAACCATCGACTTCGCAGTCTGGCTACAATACTACGCATTCGACGTAATCGGCGAAATGACCTTCTCGAAGAAATTCGGTTTCTTAGAAAAAGGCGAAGATGTCAGTGGAATCATACATACGCTTCATAGCCTCTCTCGAATTCAGATATTAGGTCAGATTCCTTGGGTAGATAGGTGGTTTATTAAAACTTATCACAAATACAAGTCTCGACCTTCAACGTCACCTGTAGTACAGTTTACTATGACACAGATGCAGCAGAGACTCAAGAGTGTAAGGTACGATGACAAGGAGTTTTTGGCGGAAAGCGGGAGAAGAGATTTTCTGTCCAGGTTTCTTGCTGCACGGGGACAGTATCCAGATATTGTCGATGATTTTCGAGTGCTAGCTTATACAAATACAAACGTAAGCGCCTTTCCAACTATGAGATACTGGGAATATAAGCGCTAACATTTTCGGCTAGATCGTTGCTGGCAGCGATAGTACGGCGATAACCCTGCGAGCAATCTTTTATCACCTGCTTCGAAATCCGGTTACGATGGATCGACTTGTTCGAGAGATAGACGCCGCAGCTCAAGTCGGTCAGATATCGCCAATGGTCACGTGGCCTGAATCCCAAACTCTAGAATACCTGGACGCTGTCATCAAAGAAGGTTTAAGAATACATGCTGCCATCGGTCTCCCCCTCGAGCGCGTCAACAATAAACCCATAAATCTATACGGGTACGAGTTTCCAGCCGGAACAACCATCGGTGTGAATGCCTGGGCTATGCATCGTGATACCACGGTTTTCGGTGACGATGCTGACATCTGGCGACCGGAACGCTGGATTCATGCGGGTGAAGAGCAGAAGAAGCTGATGAATAGGGGCCTCTTTTCCTTTGGCGGCGGAACCAGACAATGTATTGGACGAAATATCAGTCTTTTGGAAATGTACAAGCTGATACCGACACTCTTGCTAAAGTTTAACTTTGAACTAGCAGACCCTGCCGAAGATTGGTCGTTGTTTAATTCCGTATTTGTACATCAATCTAACCTAAACATGGTGGTACAGCAACGGGGTGAAGCCCGACAAGCTGGTTGTCAAGACGAGGCCTGACTGAATAATGATTTTTTTTTTTTTTTTTGGCTTATTAATTGGTGTATTCCCTGTGATACCGAGTCATCTGTCAGTTAGCGTGCATCTTCGATTATCTTCTACGAGCTACTACTCTTTCAACCATCTCTCCTACTCGTCCCCATCATCTCATCAATAGAATCTTCTCGGCATCATATCGGCATCCCCGAACTTCGTTTTTCATCTTGACTGTCACTTTATATTACTTCTTATAAAGTTTTCGCGAACATTATATCAATATCTATCTACTGCTTCACGTTTTGTTCTGTATTCGCTAGTTGTGCAGAACGTGCGGAGCGTGCAGGTCGGGCGTCGTGTAGTCCTAAAGACTAGGATAGACCGGTAAAATGTCGTCTACAAACACTAACCTGCACGTCAACTTGACGGCAAAAGAGAGGGCTAGGGGTCCCCAGCCTGGGCTTCAGCCTCCTGACCCAAAGAGAATCAAAGTGATATCTGATCTAACGCCTCCAGCTTCTGAACACGGAGGTCGTACTCCTCAGCCTGAATATCCTATTAAAGAGGTTAAAGACTGCAAAGAAGTAAAGGAATTGGAAGGTAACGCTACATTCCCCAAGTAAGATGATAATCTATATGCTAATGTTAGGCTAGATCTAGAAAACTCGGCGAATGGACTGCCCCCAAATGACCAAGCTATTGCCCAGTCGGCTGTAGAGGGGGCGTCAATCATCGATCTGGTAACCACAAGTGGGAGCTCGGAAGAAGAAGAAAACAGAACTAGTACGGCTGCTTCTGAGCTTCGACCACGTGACAGAATCGTGGAGAATGAAAATGTTGGGAGAGCAGACCGCATGGGCCCTAGCCAGCTGGCCCTACATATCCCATTAAACAAAATCGTTAATCCTGACCATGGGCCAGAATATGATCCCATCAGCTTCCCGAAACACATCGCTAGCAAACTCTTCGATTCTCAAATTGAAGGCATCCAGTTCCTTTGGAGAGAAGTCGTTCAAAAAGGTGAAGGCGCTCTACTTGCTCACACCATGGGGATGGGGAAAACCCTCCAAGTAATCACGCTTCTATATCTCATATCCCAAGCCGGAAAATCAACGGATACGAGAGTCACGGAGCAGGTTCCGGACCATTTAAGAGGGTCACTTCATGTTCTTATCGTAGCCCCGCCCGGGTTGCTCCCAAACTGGAGAGAAGAATTCGTGAAGTGGGTTCCTAAATTTGGAGACCAGCAGCTATTGCATTTTTACATGCCCAGTCAACTAAAGGATCCCAGGCCCCGAGTCGGGATGTTCAGGGAATGGGAAGAAAAGGGTGGTGTGCTACTACTAGGATACCAGATGCTTCGTGATTGCGCCTCGGAAAGCTCAGTTAGAAATAGTCTGTTACGCGAGAGGAAGAAGAGAAAGAAGAAGCCCAAGAATCGAAGAACCACCAAAACAAGCACCAACGCACGAGGGAAAAAACCTGTCGAAAGTGCTGATGAAGATTCCAGTGATGAAGCGGAAGAGATAGATTTGGCATTGACACCGGAAGAAGAAGAGGCGATGACACAAGCGGTAGAGCTTAGAAGAATTGTTCTCGAAATTCCAAATATTGTTGTTGCTGATGAAGCTCACGCTGTCAAGAATGAAAAGTCGGGTATATCAGAGGCGTTGGGTCAGATTGCTACAAACTCGAGGATTGCTTTGACGGGGTCACCATTGGCGAACAACCTTAGTGAATACTACTGTTTAACTAAGTGGGTTGCCGAAGATATGCTGGGACCAAAAGGCAAATTCAAAGATTTCTTTTCGTCTCCGATCGAAGCTGGATTGTATGAAGAATCATCACCCGATCAACGAAGAATTGCTCTAAGACGTCTGGCCGTAAGTTTTCCTCTCGCCCTGTTGAATCCCATACGGTACTATAATACATAGTTTGGTCGAACCTCGAAAAGTGAACTAATTGAATCTCACACCGTACTGAAGGTCTTGCGTTATGTCATGTCGCCAAAAATGAACCGAAGTGGGCTGTCCCGAATTAGACATCGACTTCCTGAGAAAACCGAGTTTCTTATCACGGTCGAGCTTACTGAAATTCAGCGCAAGATTTATTCCCTGTTCGCTCAGAACGTTGTTCAGGAGAATATAATATCTAGCTCTAGTAACAAGACACCAGATAAACTCGAGATCAAGGGGTTTTTCGATCATGTGAGATGTCTTCGAACACTACTCAACCACCCCAAGATTCTGCTGGAGGTTTTCAAAGACAGAGCTGAAAAAAAAGCGAAGAAAGAGAAGCTTGCGTTAAATTGGGCTACTTGTAAGTCTCAAGGTGGTTGCAGTGACTTGTGCATACTCGCGTTAACAAGAGAATAGGTCTATCACGATCCACAATCCATGAGATCAGGGAAGAGGATTTGCTAGGCGATGCGCATCTCAAAACTCTTCTGAATCTTTACAAGTACGCGCAGACATTCGAAAATTTTGATTCTCCGGTAAACAGCAACAGAATGACCTGTCTGTTCAATATCATACAAGTCGCGGAGGAGATCCGTGAGAAAATACTCATATTTTCAAGCTCAATTCCTACTCTCAACTACATTGGGACCCAGCTCGACTCCAAGTCTATTGAGTATTATCGTATCGACGGGGTCACAAAGCCTATTGATCGTCAGAAATCTATCGCGGAATTTGACTCGGAGAACGGCGCAAATATCATGATTATATCGACAAGAGCAGGCGGTGTTGGATTAAACATCACTGCAGCCTCTAGGGTAGTTATCTTTGACTTTGACTTTTCACCTCAGGACGAGGAGCAAGCAATTGCGCGAGCATATCGTCTGGGACAAACTAAGCCTGTCTTTGTATATCGCTTCAAAGTCGGTGGAACGTTTGAAGACGTGATCCACAATCGATCACTATTCAAGATCTCTCTCGCGGCAAGAGTTGTAGATCATTCTCATCCTGTTCGATTGGCTAAACAGGGAAGGGCCCGGGAATATTTCAAACCTCCTGGGGCATGTGAGAAGGGTGATTTATTGCAGTTTCTGCAGAACTACTCTGACCCTCTGCTGCTGGGGTTGATCGAAAGGTGAGTTTTGCCCGGCGTTGGTCTAGTATGATTCTAGATTGAAGCTGTGTACTAATGTGACCCTGTATGTCTGAACTAGTGGACTTGTACAAAAAATTGATCTTCAAGACAGTTATCTAGACAGAACGGATCAAGGGCTTACTAAAAGTGAGCAGAAGATGTTCCAACTTGACTTGGAGATCTATCATAACAATTACGAGGATCGAGGGGTTGAGGAGACTGATGACGAGGAGTCAGAGGGTCCTGGTGAGGGGGCGTGAGATGAATGATCCCCTTTCTAACGAGCCAGTACTGGTATCGATCGATCCGAGCGATATAAGTTTGGAAGTGGATATGGCCATAGTGTCTAACGGTCGCTAATAAGGGAGTTTGGATTTCTTATAAGATGGTTAATTTGTTTTTCGTTAAATCTTAGCGTGGTATAGCTTTAATCTTTTAGATTTCAACCTTAGGGTTGGGAGGGATCAGAAGCTTTGAAAATATTGGATCGATTGGATTGATCCGCGATCTATGCCCTTTGACTGGCTAGCTTTTGCCTTATGGTTTAATTTTGCTCTCATAACATCGTTAAAGGCGTATAGTTAGATTGATCATTCAAACTTCAACTATCCTTAAAAAACTTAGAATAACAAATTATTATATTTTGACATTAAATGTAACCACCCTAAAACTTTTTATGGGTGGAGCTGGGTGTGAGGCAAGATAGCCGATGTGACCATGAGTGTGTGTGTGATAGAAAAATGTCGAGTTTTGGCAAAAAAAATTATACATATGCAATATGAATAGTGAAGGCTTATATATAGTATTATCAACCGAAGAAATCATTCCACTTGTATGCTCCTTGGATCTTCTCGTATGTTCTTGTCGAGAAGATCTGGTCGAAAGGTTCACAAACACCAGTCATATTACCCCAAAGAGCATACAACGTCTGTAAACAATCGACACCATAATCGGCCCGTTCGAAAATGTAACCATCAAGCTGTCTTCTTTCGAGCGCCGCCTCCTCGGGTGATTTAGGAGACGCCAACGATCCCTCAGCAGGTTCCGCTCGTTTCATAAACTTTTCAAACTCACGCTCAGCAACTTCACGAGCATCACGCATATCGCGAGTTTCGAAGTGAATATGTTCCTCGGGCACCCAACTATCATCGCGTTTGTTGCTTCCGCTTCCGCTTGGTCTCGGTGGGCCATCGTTATCCGGTGGAAGTCCTCTGACCGGCCATTCCCACGGCATGGGACCCGTCCAACGGATCGGATTCTGTGGTGTAGCACGATTTTCAACACCATCCGGGAATCTAGAGAAGATAACGTGTGGATTACCACCCTCTAGATCAACGGCAATGATACGTTGAACCCAATCACGACCACCTTCGGCTAATGTTCTATACTCGGCGTTGAGCCAGATGTTGGTCATCATAATTCTTCTAGGGTCTTCGGTCATAACCCAGACTGTCCCAGATGCCTCTTGGGCAAAAATTGTCGACATCATCATGAAATAGTCGTGTCTGCCGTTTGTGTGAGGAGGTGGATTGGCTTGGATGTTACGTAAGAAACCGTCGAGGTCGTAGAAGTCGTTGTCACGGGCGTGTTGACCGTCGTAGCGGACAGAAGGCCAACCTTCCTTAATAGTGGATTAGATGTTAGTAATCTATTTTAATTCAGGATTCTAAGGATTGTGGAGTAGAAGAAAACGATTTAAAGACTACATACCCAGATGGTGTACAATCCAACACGAGCAGCTAAGTGTCTAGCTCTCTCGGAGAGTCCTGGTCTGCCATCCCAGTGGTTCTCAGGTCGTCGCTGTGTATAGAATAGCTGTCTATTTCGCTGGTAGAATGGCTGTCCTGGGTTTCTAACGTTGGTTCTCATCCATCTTCTGAAGAACTCAAGCGAAATATCCGCAGGCGCTAGGTAATTCTTATTTCTGGGTTGGAGACTCTTGTATCCAACAAGGTCACACTTGACATCTTCAATAAACCAAAAGTTGTCACTACAATACGTATCCGGCTGGCGAGGAACCTGCCCACCGATCTTGACGCAATCGAATTTCTTGGAGAACCCTTCGCAGGCGAGTTCACCGTATTTATCTCCTTCGTTGAAGAATAGCCATTGAGTTGTAGAAGTAGTTTCATAGACACATTTGTTACCTTGAACTATAATTGTTGCCTTTGATGGGGGTCCGATATAGGATCCAAATACGCCACCCGGCTTGGGGGATACGACTTTACCAATGTTCTCGCGAGCTTCATACCAGAGACAACTCTCCCTAAGAGTGTCACCGGGCTCGCCAATATAGGCTTCCCAGTAATACTTTTGGTTAGAACGATCGATAGCAAGGTCTTCTCCTGGGGGTACGCGGGAACTCGAAATGATGCGGACGTGTAGTTCATCTGAACCGCCAGCTTGTCCGTCGTAGCCCAAACTTGCACCACCATCATCACCAAAACTACCGCCACTGCCAGCGACAGACTCGAATCCTAGTGCAGAGGAAGCGAAACCGTTTCTATTTTTATCGGCAAATATGGCGAGGTTTCGAGGATTGTTGAGCATGACCGAAGCACCCACGGTGATGAAATTTTGCATTCTAAGTTTCTTGGTAGCGCCATCGACTTGAGCGACATTCCATTGGCAACCGGAGCCGCGAAGACAGCCTTGGTCATAGTTTTGGAACCAGCTGTAGAGTCCTGCACCATAGAGATGGACGTCTTCAGATTGAACGATTCTGAGAGCCCAAGAAACTGGACAGGTGATAGAAGTTGGATCGCAATCTCTAAACCCTGGATCAAGGGTGAAGGATGAAATACCAGAAGCCTGGCGTTTCTCAAGCAGGGAGTCTGTAGAGACGCTGGCGTTGCCCTCGAAGACGTTTTGCAAATCTCGCCTACCAGCAGCAGGAGTGGAGCTTCCGGCCTGGTATGGGAATGGTGCTGGTGCCCCTGGGGCAGTTTGGAAGTATGGAGACTCAGTTTGAATCAACGACATGAAGACATTTTTGGCGCCCTGAAGTTGGTATTGGTAGAGGACATTATGTTCTGAGGCGGTACCATATAGCCACGTTGGTCCTTGAGATTCGATAAGAATACCACGACCGACATAAATATCAATTTGATCCTGAGTGATAACATCAAGATCGTGGTCACTGGTCCAGGCCCAAAGATTTTCAAAGTATCCGGTTGCACCCTTAGTGATGTGGAAGAGCATAGAGCCGGCTAGAAATTCGTTGTTAGTTCGCCTGTCAGAAACGGTCGATAATGTGTTTATCTAAGAGAATAAAACCTACCGATACAGTTGGGGTTGATTTTTCCTGTTAACTTGGGGCATTGGCCAGCTTGGAGATTACTACCAATCGAGCCACCAACTCTCCAATGTGTGTCTGTAGGGTCAAAGTCAGCGGTATTCTTGCGTTGTATTTGTGGCATATCAAATCCGTTCCGGATTGGGCGCAGTCTCGTAACCAAACTGTGTTGGTACCCAACACAGTTTGGGCGATTGCCTGTTTCGCTCACTGCGCAGATCTAACTTCGAATTCGCGCGAACCAGCTTCAAGTAACAAGGAGAGACCTACCCCAAATTCCAGCACTTCCTTTCGCGCTAGCCTTAATATTCCATTCCATCAAAATGGCACCAGCAGTTGGCGCCTTCACTCCGAATATAAGATCTTGAATCTCAACAGAGCCGACATCGCCAGGATTTCCAACTCGCAGCATGACCCGCGGGTTCGCCGCATCATTGAACCTACCACCAGAAGCCTGGATCTGAGACCACACTTCTCCAACAAGCTTTGCACCCGGAGGGATGAAAACAGTATCCGTGACCAGGTATATTCCGTGCGGGAAATATGCAATTTGGCCGGCGGCTGTTGCAGCAGCAAGAGCATTATTCAAGGCAGCGGTGTCGTCACTTCGACCATTACCTCGAGCGCCGCCTCTGGCTTTAACATCGTAGAAGCCGCTCGCAGGGACATCCGCATACTGTGGCTTCGATCTCTCGAACCAGTTGCCATTCTCGTCAAGGAGCTCTGCTGGCTTGGCAATATTACCAAAGAGAACAGTGCCTCCTTGTTGTGCTTTCCCTCTGTATCCGATGGAATCTGAATCATCATATGCAATACCTGCGCCCCAAGAGTCGATAACAGTTGTGCCACCTGGTAAAACGGTGGCACCGTTACTAGTCACCGCAATGGGGACGTTTATGAGTTTTAAATTGTCGACGATGAGGGAAGTACGGTTTGTACCACTCAAGAAAGAAGCGATTCCTTTAGGGGTGTTCAGGATTATGGTGTCCATGATAGTGATGGAGCCGGTTCCTTGACCGTTTCCAGCCCCAGCTAGTAGAAGGTTAGTTACATTGCACAGTGATATGGTAACGGAAAAACCAACATACCAGAAATGTTAAAGCCGAGTTGACAATTATTGATCAAGAAGGATTTGGCGCTAAAGACCCAGTTCCAATGAGTCTCAACAGCAATCTTGCAGCCAGTAAAGCTGAACTTTCGGATGGTATATTGCTGATTTCCGAGGTATGCACTACGAAGCTATTAGCCCCTCTGCTTATCGGGGTTAAGTAGAAGCACTAAATACCCAATAGCTCCTCCACTAAAGGTAACATCGCTCATAAAACCACCGGAACCGTTTTCCATGAAGATACCGAGGTGAGTAGTATCCGCGCGGCTCGACATAATGATTTGAATATTTTGTAAAGAAGTAGCCTAGTAGCAACGTGAATACCGCATCCTAGTACTTAATCGATAGTCGGATACATACCTGCGCAACTTGCCAATGAATACCCGCTGGCCTCACTCCCTGGCCTTCCATAACATTTGGAATTGCTCTCATATCAATAATGAAGTTCCGGACCTGTCTCATGAAGTTGTTCTGATTGATGTACCATTGCCCTCCATCTGCACCCTCGACGTACACATTAGAAGAGATTACACCAAGGCCGACGAAAGAGCTTGCAGCACGAATTATAGGAGGATTGGCAGCCTTGAGATGGGGTAGGTCCGTTAGTCACAGTTGCCTCCGGATATTTTAAATTTGTCGATGACTTTTTAATGGATGCATGCTTACATTTCCAACCATCTGGGTGTTGTAGTAACCAACAAGAGACTTCGAGACCAAATACGTCCCGCTTGGAAAGTACACCAAAGCAGGCTTTACAGTACTGGAGCCGCAATTGTTGCCGCAACGATCACCGCTTGAGATAGCAAGGTTGATAGCAGCAGTATCATCCGTTCGCCCGTCTCCAACAGCACCGAAATCCTTAACGTTCCGGAAGACCTGGTATCCGGCGCTACCGCCAATTGCAACGGCTCCATGTGATACGCCCTCCATCCAGAAAGCACCGCCTTGACGCTTTTCAAGCTTTGGGAAGCCAGGGCCGAGATCTGGCAGAGTCTCATTGTATGTCGGCGCTTCAAACTCGGCGATAAGCTTCGCAGCATCTGTTACTTCCTCAGAGATGCTTGGATCTCCAGCACTAGAACTGGCGACTCTTTGGGAGCTCTTAGCGGCCTTTCGAGGAGGTCTCAATTCGAACGTTGGGCGAATTGGGTTTCTGAACCTGTTGCGGTTCTTTTTTGCTTGAGCGACTTGGGCTTGTTTTATAATGTTTCGCGCAGCTTCTACTTCAAGAGGAACAGCGCGCTTGTCCTTGAGATGGTTATAAGCATCATCCCTTGGGTAGAGCCTATCATGACCCTCTGGGAAATGGTCATCGTGAGCTCCGAATACTCGTTTGTTTAGATGGGCCTCGAGATCCGCATTGTCTTCAATGACTACACGTTTGTCATACGTCGTTGCACTATGAACAGCGGAAAAGAGGGAAAGAAAGAGGGGGAGATAAGATAGACCCCTCATTTTGACCACTCAGCGCAAAAAAGCGCAACGTTGCAGCCAACAGAGGTGAAGGAAGAATTGCTGTGTTTCCACAGAATGCAAGATGGGAATCAAACTGGCTTATTCGGTCTTGATATCAGGTCCAAGAAGATGACTTATAAGCAAGCATGGTAGCTATTGTCCCTAGATCACCTGCTACCCCTGCCAGAGGAGCTTACATGAGAGCTTGCCATCAAATTCTATACTTGATGACAGGGCGGCTCTAAATTATGGCCGTTTCAAAGGAATTATTGCCGGAGTTCCATGACCATGCATGAGCTTCCTTCTTGGAGTTCGAGATGCATGGACCTGGCCGATGTACCAGTACACTCCAGGGACCAGGCTGGACAATCTTTGCTCCCATGCCCCTCTCTCGGGATTTCGACCGCCGACTCTCAAAAACCCTAGCCGATAATTCCGCGCAAGAAAAACTCTAGTTTTATCACCGCATCATCGCCGGATCATCTGACAACGTCTAGTAGGATTAATCAGGTTCACAACTGCGAAAATCGTAAGACGGAAGTCGGGGAATAGATTGACATCGACATCTAGATTCCCACCGAGCCCTGCGCAGTTGTCCAGATGATTCTTATTATTTTCGCTGCTCGTTATAGAATTGCGTATGCTAGACATTGGCATATCATATGCTCAAAAGATAAAATCCGATCTTTAGCCATGGAGTGATTGCCCCGACTTGCGGTCGGAATCCTATTGGCTGGGATCCAAGCAAGGTGCATCATGCAATGGCGATCGATACCCTGTCTGACGTGCAGGGATGATTTTTGAGGAAATAAGCTTAAGCAGAGGACCTGGCCGAAAGACGGCTACACAAAGGCGCCCCTCAACTGCCGAAGAGAATGCGGTTGTGTATTGTTTGACCCCTCTCCCAACCCGCACTCCAATTCAAACCCCTGACCGTATGAGGCTAGATGTCACTTTAGGAAGGCAAAGAAATCAACTTCTCAGAAAAATCTTTGGATCCTGATGCATATACGCAAGTATCGCAATTTAATATCATATGTATTTACCCCGTCACCTGGCCCCTTGTTTGTGTCGACAGGAGGGTAATACGATGCTTGGCTATAGCTTATTTATTAAAGTTCGTCAGATTTTGACATTTTTGGACTCGTCCCGACATTCGAAATGCAACATCAAAAGCCTCAAGTTGGTTATCACATGCAGAAACCGTCTTAGTCTATAGGCTGCAGCGCAGAGCATCTTACCACGTAGACGGAATCATGGGTTCTCCGGGCAATTCCGATCGTTATTTTTTCCTCTAAATTTTTTTTTTGATGGATGGAGTGCAGAATATTCAAACCCATGGCGATGCAGGTGCAGATGTGGGTATTAACGGTGTGGCGTGAGCCTCAAGCGCCCGCCCGAGACCATGGCGTTCCTGACCATCTTGTCAGACCCACCGCGGTTGAAAATCAGGCCGGCTAATATTCCCGAAGATGTCCCCATCGTCTAATCGGAACCCCCGCGACCCCCCCATCACTTATAAAAGTCGTTTAAATTATGACTAATTTGCAATACGTTTTTTCAGGTAGCATAAGCCGAGCTCGGTGTAGATATATCGATAGGTGAGCTTAGCATATCAATATGAGGTGTCGGCATGTCGATGCCATACCAGCGTTGACGTCATTCTAAGCATTTTGCGGCAGGACTGGTCTCGTTCCCTTTTTGGCGTCTAGGAACGAGACCAGGCGGGACAATGATCAGACCCAAAATAGAAATAATGATAGAACTAGCTTCAACATCAAGTCTTTGTTATCACTACGTAAGGAGAACCATCGGCCATCACTAGTTAGTGATACCTTCTCAGGCAGCAGCGTGGAAGTGTTGGAAACTGATTCATATTTTTGCCAATTGCCGAGGACAAGGATCCCATGCCGACCCACCATGCCTGGCCCAAGCGTATCGATATGATTTCACTAGGAATGTGAAGTATCGGTACCTGGCCTTGTAGCATAGAGGAATGAGCTAAAGCTCCAAAAGACCCAACCCTGGCAAGCTTAGAGTTACTTTCGAGGTCCCGATACGTAAGTACGTACGAAAATGGGATGGCCAGAGTTGATCGGTGTAGCTATCATAACCAGTAAGGAACGGCAATTGATGCTCGCACATCCTTTGTGCGACGCGGTTTGCGGGATTACATTTAAAGCAAGAAATCTGCTCGATATTGATTCTATGTCTGACTATTTAGATAGCAAGTCTCGCACTGGTATCGGGGTCGCCACAGAAGTCTCCTTAGCTTGGAAGATACGGTCCTTGCAGTCCTAAATTTCTCCTCTTCTCAGTTCCTTCGCCATGATGAAGCTCCAGGCACTCGTTGCAGTTGCTGCTTTAATCCAGCAGAGTATCGCGAGCGTCAGTTATAGACGCCGTGACACAAGTAAGATACGCAGTTTTCTTTCGTTTCCTTCACATCGTACAGTTTTGTGGATATCGATGCTGACTTCAGTTGCAACAGGCCCATGGCCAACCGAGCCTGATATCATCAAGACGTGCTCTCGATGGATAGAGGCATTGCCAGGCGATGATTGCAATACACTTGCAGAGATTGATGGCGTTCCACTGGCTGACTTCCTCGCATGGGTAAGTTTATTGTGATTTTCATATCTCACTTCACAAACTGGACTAAGAGGAATGCTTTAGAATCCCGCCTTAGCCCGAAATTGTCAAGGTATTGTCGTCGGTTACGGTTATTGTACCGAGAACAAGGGCACCGCACCCACCACCACCACCACAAGCTCAAGGACAACATCTGGCCTTACTTGTCCCACCGTTTCATGTCCTGTGACTATTACCGTCACGACGACAGTCTTCATCGGAACCACAACCTCCAGAACTACCACAGCTGCTATCACGACTACCACCACCCGTTCTACCACCCCATCCACAACTACGACAACTACCACAACCACAACTAAGGCATCTCTCGCCCCATCTCAGTTCCCAAGTGCCAGCGGAACCCTCCAGTGTGTCAAATCCAACTCTCCAATCCCACAGCCAACACAAATTGCTGGCGGTAGCACTCTTGACACCGTGATCGCTAGCGCTTGTAACTCGCTTGTCACCACAAGCAATAAGTGGCTCGAAGTTGGAGATCCGTACACTGTTGTCTTACCGGTTAGCGGGAAGTCCACTACTTTCCTTCTTAACATCAAACTTGGTGGTTTCGCGGTTCAGAACTCTCTGTGCCAAACCCAATTGAAGCTTGTTAACTCGGGTTGCACGACCAGCGGTAATACTTATGGTGGATGCAGTTACACGTCAGATTTTAATCTGTTAGCTTGTGTATTACCTAATGTTTAGTAGTTAATGAGGCGGATTACGATGGGTCCTAGATTGGGGGCTGCATGTATGTTGGGTAGTTTAATGAAGAATGAGCAATGAGACGAAATATATAATAGTAATCCCAAACTCAATGGTAATCCTTAATTGAAACCTCCATGAATAGATAGGTACGGGCCCGCATGGGTGAGCATGAATAGGTACATGTACATACGTACCTCGACGCCCATCCGGGATTTTCAGTATAAATGTGTTGCGTTGGACTTCCAGAATAGGCTGCCAAAGACGTCTGAGCTAAGCTGGTTTAGTGTCGAGACTGGCTCGACACACTCGAGCACGCTCACCTCTGCCTTGTAGACACACGTCCCACGCGGCCACGCCATGTGCGCACCTATGATCATGATCACGCATGCCCATGAGGCCTCCAGAATGCAGCGCCTGAGGTCGACGGTCGACCTGTGCGATATGTATTAATCTAAAAGGGAATTCGGGTTGATATTAGATAGTTGAGCAGCCATAAAGTCGTGTTCCTGCATAGAGATATCGATCAGGTCAAGCATGGAGACGACTGATCCGAATTTTCCATACATATGCCAGCAGCACTAGTTAGTTCGACAAAGTTCAACAATCGAATTCACCCATCGAATTTAGCCATACATCCTAGCAAAACGACAACTCTCTTCAAACTTTCGGCCAAATTTCTCCCTCGAATCAGAGGTGGAGGTTTTAAGCCGTAAGCCGTCGTCGGACGCTTCTGTACCATGCCGCCCGTGGAACTGAGCCCCCGTAGTCATAAAGCAAAGGAATATATTTTTTCGTGGCATGTTAACATAGAGTTCGTGAGTACAAATGCATCAATGGAATTACGGACCGTTTTAACGTAGAATTTCGTTTCGCTGATACAATTATAGCCCTGGTATCCGTAGCTTATCCGTCTAGTTCGATAATGCGCAATTATTCGGTACCAGTTCCCGCCTTTTTTCCGTGGGGGTAGTACCGTGGTTCGGAACAGATGTTGCATCCGTAGCGGGACAGTTTCCCGTTCAGAGATTACTACATTATACACATGCACATACACAATTGATCGATTAATCATGCATGTATTTAAACACTTAATAGAATCCATTGATGTAAAATGGATTCGAATTCTTGCTAAGATTAATCGTTATATCAGAATATTTCTTATTCGCTTTCACGTCGAAATTTAAAATTTAATACAGTGCGCTAGTACACTGCCACACCGAAGATGGTCAGATTGATAGAAGCGATGGCCATGGCCGGCTTGCTCGGAACAGCCGTAGGACAGGCTGCCGTCTGGGGACAGTGTAGGTCACACCATATTTGCATACAGTTTTAACGCAACCCGTCTGGCCAGTAATACAATATTGCACACCAATTAACATATATCAATTATATTCTTCAGGCGGTGGGACTGGATGGTAATACCGAGCTCTTAGATATAGAATCAACTTCACAAAGCAATCCCCGTACATTACACTAGTGCTCATGACAATGATATATGCAGGACCGGTCCTACTGCTTGCGTGTCAGGAAGCACCTGCGTTTACTCGAACGAGTGTATGTCTCCTTTAATACAATTTATACTTTCATAAACAAAATCTAAAGTTTACCGACTGCATGAAAAGGGTATAGCCAATGTATCCCAGGTACCCAAACTACAACCGCCATTACAACATCTAAGACTACCACGAAATTGACCACAACGGGCACAACGACTAAGACCACGACGCCGGCGGGCACGACAGCTCCAACGGCAGCTTCATTTATCTTAGCCGGCGACTCAACAGTCACAAATGACAAAGGCTGGGGCGGGGCCTTCTGCTCACGCGTTTCATCAGTGGCCTGCACAAACTTCGCACACTCCGGCACAACAACCATAACTTTCAAATCTCTCGGTGACTGGTCCAAACTTATCGCTGCCGTAAAAGCCGCTCCGAAACCTTGCTATGTACTGATTCAATTCGGCCACAATGATCAAAAAGTCCTTTCGCAGTCGGAATTCCAAACTAATCTTCAAAATATGGGTAATGAGATTAAAGGGATATCCGGTGCGGTTCCGGTATTCGTAACAAGTCTTTCTCGGAGAGGTTTTAGCGGTGGAAAGGTTTCGGATTCCTTGGAGACATGGATGGTTTATACACGGAACGCTGCAAATGTAATTGGTGCGAAGTATATTGAACTATTGCAGACGAGTATTGGATATCTTAACGGCATTGGAGAGACTGCGGCACACAAGATGGATTATGAGAGCGGCGATAGTACACATTTGAACTCCTGTGGTGCAGGCGTTTTCGCGAGAATGGTGGGAGATTTGTTGGTTCGGAAACCGGTAGTCGCGCAGAGTAGTATAAAAATTGATGGTGCGACGACTGGGAAGATTGATGCTAAGCAGGCAATTTGCTGAAAGGCAGGGATACTAGTATAGTATGGTATACTTCCTTCTCTATGAATTTCGGCTATAGCGCCAGCATCCCCGCCCCAAAATGAGACTACCAAAATATAGATATCCATATACATGTGCATATAGTATATATATAATTTTTCCGAGACGAGACGCTGAAATGGAGCCCCAGGCAGAGGGCTTCGACGATAGCCTTTAAATTTCCAACTCCTAGCATCACGCTTAACTAAGACTATAAACTTAGAAAGACTTAATTTAAAGTAGCCAGATATCTATGGCAAGTTTAAGGTGCTTAGCTCGACAGTTTAGAAGGTCAGCAGGTGTAACGCCCGAGCGGAAGGGCTGAACTGCAGTATCGAGACAAAATGATATTGTCGCATATGTCCGACCATAAAATTCAATTACTGAGTTGCTCGAGGCCATGATATTATTCCTTAGCTTGAAGAACATATTATAAAAGGCTCCGGTGCTGTGGAGGAACGAAAATGCAGTCGGCAAGGCATTCGTATTCTCTTATGGAAAAAATAGTCCGAGCGTACGGTAGTTTCAATCGATTTGAATGAATAAAATCAGTCATACAGTCACTGGGTCTAGAGGTAGGAATTGCTGGCTTTTGAATCGATTTCCGTCCGACATATGCTTTACCTATTTTTAAATTTTGGATATCTTTCAAGATAAGAAGCGCAGTTGAGTATTGCAGATGTTGCAATGTTGTCGCGGAAGAACAAGGAAAGATATGCATACGTAGGCTTGCGGTGTGGGTAAGTGCTTAAGTAGACACGGCCGGGAGGTATAATTATTACTGTTTCTTACTCACTTCAATTCAAACCCCCTTCCCATCATATGAATAGTCTCTTTCGTAAATCGAAATGCCGATTGCACCCACCCTCATGCACGGAAGGTGAAATAGAGGATCGAGATCCATTGTGTTGGAATGTACGTGTGGCAGATGCATGGATCAATGCACCTGCTGACCAGGTTCCTGTTACACTGCAGCAGCCTCGAGTCTTAGGACCCTATCACAGTCCTTAAAAGCAGAGCTCCTGATGGATTTCGGTTAGCGGTTGCCGGAACTCACGGGCTTGATCGATGCGCAATGACGAAGGCTTCCCGCTCTACCTTGAGTCTGGATCTAGAATACAATAATAGCTGATTCATTTTGTGGAGATTGCCTGGCTAACCAACTAGCTTCTTCCCAGCTCACCTTCCGATTTGTAGTGCCGTACAATATGGAATAAAGCGGCATCGCACAAGCCCGAACTTGATACTTAAATCCAGTCTCGAGATCATCGATCACGATCCATTCATAAACCCATAAATGCATCAATCTCCATTCGCGATCGCACACATCATATCACCTCTACCTGATATTGTATACCTGCGTTACGTATACTCGCTTGGGTTCAAATTCCTTTTAAATTTCACTGAAATCATCGACAGGCATATCATTTTCTCACCTGAGATAAGTTATACAACATGTCGGGTAGTCCTCCCGGTCCCGCCAATGTCGCACAGGCTGGAATCCCGCCCTTAGACGCAGCTGCAAACACAAGTCCCACATCTCCACCTCCCGCAGGCCACGCTCGTGGCGCAATTCCTAATGCCGGACCATCGGACACTCCGATTCTAGACTCCGTTAGCTCCCAGCTAAAAGCCAAGATTTACCCGACGTCTAGACCGTCCAAGATCCGTGGCCATCTTGGAGCTCGAAGAAAGCCCACAGCTCACAGGACAAGCTATTCCTGGAAAGTCTCAGAGCGAAGCGCATACCATGAATATGTCCACAATCTTGTCCTTGCCGGGTGGGATAACCTCAAAAGGTTGGACGATTATATGGAAAATGATATCCAAGACACCAATCTAGCCGTCTCAGTCATCGACATCAAATCCAACCACGAAGTAGAAAGAGTTCAAGATTTGCATTCAATCGCAGAAGCCGACAGTTTCCTTCAAGAGCAGGTTAGAGGAAATGCCAGGGTCCGAATGTATCTCGTTGAACATGGGGGGTCTATCCAAAGCAGCATGATCGATTGCTTGGGCCAGCATCTCCAAATGGATCCAAGGTTTTTTGCCTCCAACCTATTCGGTCCCTACATGGTCATCGCACCGGCAGACAGGCATAGGGCTCCATTTTCAGGCTTAGGATTTACCGTCCTCAGGCCCACTCGCTCGCGAACTACAGAAACAAAGTTCTTTCGAGTTTCCATATATGTCAAACCAGATATCAACGGTGCTGGATGGTGCGGCGTAATTCTGTTCAATTCGCATGCCAAATTACAACTGTCCCCGCGAACCCTCTGTGCTCCCCCCCCCTTCGGCCACCCAATACCAGGTCTCTCCTCCCAATCCATCCCTACAATTTCCAAAGTGTCTCAATACAACCAACCGCGATCTCTCCGTGAACTTTACATAGATGCCCTTAAACTCTCAGACTTAACCGAGGCCGCATCCTCCCCTTTCTACGCCTTTTGCCCGCTCCTAAAACTCAATTTCCACTGTTGGAACGAAGTAATCAACACAATTCGTACTGAAGACCGTCGTCTCTCCGACATCTCAGAGGCTTCTCTCGGTCATGTCGAAGAAATCCAGCATACACTAGCCATGATCGAGCGCTACGGCACATCGGGTTGGCAAGACCTTTCTTCGACATCAAAAGAACCTCCATCGCAAAAGGTACAAAACACTCAAGCAGAATTAATCGAAGATTTCAAGCATCTACTCAACCAAACCGATTTGCTATGGGAAGAACGTCGAAATATGGCTTCAATCCGGGACCGTCAACGACAATCCAGGTGGAGCACCCTCACAAACAGCTTTACCTTCATCTTCGTCCCCATATCCCTGATATCTAGCATCTACGGCATGAACGTCAGCGAAATCAGCGGAACAGACGAAAATCCCAATATCTGGCAATTCTTCGCCGCATGTATTGGACTAAATATCGTGATCCTACTATTGATGGCTGCAAGCCACTGGGTCGGGGAGATGCGCAAGTACAGAAGGCTGGTCGGGGTAAAAGAGGTGTGGGCCTTCGCAACAAACATGGACGGGCGCTAAACAATTAAGACAATCATCGACAAAAAGAATCGGCCTTAAAACCCCCAAAGAGGGAAAATTTCATGAGAATCAGGGAACATTTCCATTCAGCAAGAAGAAAAAAATTTAAACCCTCGTCATAACCCATATTTTTATGACTAACCGACATCTTAACCATCTACCATCAAGAAAGTCTATTCCATGCATAGCATATCTAACAAGCTAGACCAGCTAGTTAGTCGACGCAGGACCCAAAATAGGTTCCACAATCGGAGTTTTTGGAAAGAGAAAAGCCCCTAAAAAATAAACCTTTCATCCAGCTGGGTAACTTAGCTAGCTTCGATATCCCATAACATCAGTCCACAGTGCAAATCCATGCAATTGCCAGCGGAAACAAGGAACCAAAAGTCCCAAAACTGCATCGGCTAAACTACCTTATGTTTTAGCGAAAACAATCAAGCAAACAACAGATCTAGATCCCGTTTCGGCTGGAAAGCTATTGTTTCGTCTACAAGGCACCAAGACCCCTCCGTGTAGAAACGGATCCGCACCTCGGATAGTCCTTCTAAATATTGACCCTGCATCATCAAGCCAGGTTCGGTGTTAAACGATTCAAACCATGGTTTATGTCGACAGAAACTCGATTAAAAAGGACTGTCTTTGTCCCTAGTACCTTAATATCTTTCTCCTTCTAGTTTTACTACATTACTTAAAGACTTGTCATTCTGTAGAATATAAGGTCTCACTCTTTTTATGTTTTCTGATCATGCAGTAGCGCTGCCTTAAATCACTATCACAATCACAAGACCCCTATATCGTACCCACATTATAACAGAGTTCCCACTTCACCCTCAACACAAAGAACGCGGGGTATCGCATTAAATATTGAATACGGCCCTCAAAGAGATACAAAGGGTTTGGGACACACATAAATCATAGGTATCTGTCGATACATTAAGGATATAAGACCACCCAACATGCCTCCTTCAACAGGTAAGCAATATCTACATATAAACTTGATGCACGAATGGACAACTAATTAAGATACTCAGGGTTCCACACGTCCTTCGCCGTGATCCTTCACAACCACACAAGCCGCATAATGCGCCGCTACCGCTACGACGTCCGCGGCGGCATCTCCGTCCCCCCCGAAATCATAAACCCTCCAAAGGATACCTCTGCAAAAGCACCAGGAACAGTTCTCGTAACATCCGACAACAAAGACGACAGTACTGACTCTGACGATGATTTGGACTTTTTAAAAGTCGGACCCAAAGCAAAATTAGTTTATCACTGGAATGACGAGGATGGAACGTACAAAGTTGAAATAAACTATAACGAAAAGGACGGGTTTAATGCGGACCTGAGTGGTCCCGATGCTAGGAAGTTCAAGATTAGGGTTAATCAGACTGGAGCCGAACACACACATCTTGAAAGAAATGATCCTGTCTCTCCTACAAAACCGACGCATCGGAGGACGCAGAGTAGCGGAAGCAGTCCAGAAAATAAAGCTGGTAATAGGAGTAGCAGATCATTTGGGAAGAACGGTGTTAAATTTGGGAAGGCCTTGACAGATAGATTTAAGGGGCCTGATACCAGTAAAGCCAGCGGTGTTGCCTTCTTATCGGTAACGGTAGAGAGGACAAGTGAGGAGGATCTAAGAAGGTTGCAGGCCGAGGACGAGAATACGCGGGAGGGATTCCCAACGGTAGTAGAGGTTGACAGAGAGCACTAGCTGTTTTTCTTTTTGATTTTTAATGATGCAGGGCTCCTTTTTCAAACATGCATACGGGTTGGGTTCAGATATCCATTTACTTTCGCTGGGATTCCATTTGCAATTCGTTTTCTTATACTTTTCGCTTACGAGTTCACGATATCATAGCAAGTCAGTTGTAGTTTTTACTCTTTAATTCATTCCACCAATTCAAGGAATACTATAGGTCGAACTCTGTTCTATCCTACAAAGTTAACTCGGTTGCCTGTACCGGCACCACGTGCACGGCCATGTGCGCAAGTTAGTATAGCATACTCATCTCCAGGAAGTTTTCATCACTTCATATAAGAATCCACCGATCCCGGCGCATTAACAGCCCAATAAGTTGCCAAATCCCAATAAAACAAATACGCCGCATTCCACCACTTCCCCGCTTTAGGGTCACATTCCAAACACCTGATCATGCCCTGACACTCAAACAATTCCAACATCAGCCAAAACGGTGCGATCTGCACAAACCTTTTCGGCCGTTGCCGCACAGTTATACCTGCGTGCCTATCCTTCCAGCAACACGGTGGCTGTATAGGACGAGTGTGTGTGGACCATAACTTGTTCACCAATAATATTTCGATAGATCCAGCAGTGGAACCGAAAGCAGGGTTTTGCTTTGGTCTCGTTGGATTACTGAGGAGCCTTAGAGAGGAGAAGCCAAGAGATGATGTTGAAGCTTTCTTAGTCAGGGGACGGTGTGACGGACTAGTAAGAATATTTTTTTCTCCCCAGGGATTTGGGAGAGCGAATGTGGATGCTGTGGGGCCGTAAAGCCCTCTCTGTGCAAAATCGATGAGAACGCAGTACGTTCTGCCGCAGTTGTAATTAGTCTGTTTCCTTAACGGGCAAGAACTCGTTTCCTGGTTTCCGACTTTCTTGATCTTTTCATGAGGCTCTGATGTTGATGTGGATCCCCAATGTATCCATTGCGAGATTTTGAACAGATCTCGCTCGATATCCAGAAGCAGCTGTAGGTGGCGTAAATACCGTTCCCATGGCGGAAAAGGCAGAGTTATCTCGTTGTTACTTTCTAGCAAGCAACCGGGATATTCTATAGGAAAGTATCTCCCAAAGTTTGGATCGTATTTGAAAGAATTTCTCCCAACCCTTTCCGTGATCAAGGCTGGCGAGTGTATGTAGGCGGAACAAAAACGACGGGAGACCGATATGAGGTTTTGGAGATCTTTTAAGTTTAGGAGCCCCAGGATTCTTCTTCGAACTCTTAGTGGAAAATTCTCAGCTCGTATAGACGTAGGTTTCGTTCGAATAACCCAGTCATGAGCCTCCCTTAAGCTTTGTACACTAGTAAGCGGAGATATCGATAATCGACGGGGGAAATTCGGCTTCGGCGCAGGACCAGACGCCAAGAGTCGCAGAGGACTAGGACTTTGGACGGTTGGTGGTGTGATAAGCCTAGGATAGTGCGTCTTTCCTTTGACCTTTTCGGTGGTCGTATTCCGGCTGTAAGTCATCTTTGGCTTCTAATCTTATAGCGCTATAGCTGGTGCGTGTATATGTATCTGGGTACTTTTAGAACCAGGCTTAATAGATACCGGAATTCTAGCTGTCGATCGTTCAATATCCTGCCTGGTACCCAGCTATACGTCGTCTCGTGGGATCCTACCAAAATATCGTATCCAAAGAAAAGACTCAGGAACCGATATTACAAATAGCGATCTAGCTAAGACCTAGAATTAAACTTTATCCACCTACTATCAAGCTAATGGACGTATTATGGCTACTTTCAAGCAATATGCATATATATGCATATGCATGCTGCAAGCTAGAGAGCTGATAAGCTGTCTATCAAATCTATCAAGACAACACGAAAAATACCACAACTGTTCCATGTTGTGCGTGAGCCAGACCAGCGCTGGTGAACCGGGTTCAGTTGTAGCACAAACTGCTCAAATTGGGAAGCCCGTATGTCTAGCATCGGGGCATCTGAGCCAAGTTGTGATTTAAATCCGTGCAACCAAATATACAAATATGCAAATAGCTTTCTACAGAATGCCTTTACAAGTACCGTCGTGCCACACGCTGGCCTATTTCTCAGCAAGAAATAAATTGTAGGCGCAATGCTCCATATTCAACTGAAGGCTAGATATTACGTCCGTCCAAATACAGGCCACGTAGTGCGTAGTAACGGTTAAGAGGAATCAATATTGATCAATGAGATATCTGTTACCAATACATCCGCTTCTCTGGTGGAAAACACTTATCTTAGCCTTACGTCCGATCGATCCAGCTCTTGCGCAGGATAGCACATAAACAATTAAACAATCTCTGTAATTTTATTGTCTCGTAACTAGACCTAGAAGACAATTGTACAAATTGGACTCTCGATTTGGGCGAATAAATTTCACCCTTCCGAGTTCCCAAGGCCGCCTTGCCCTCCCAGCATTCAGGTGTCAAGAGACGAACATTAAATGTTAACCTTCACCTGCTCAGCCTTAACGAGCCCCAACTTTCCTCTAACCGCATTGAGCAAATACCCGTCGATAGTATCAAACGTATGGCTATCTATTTCAAAACGGTCGTCCCGGATCATACGTCTACTCGTCAGGGTTTCCAAAATCTCTATCTGGTTAGGCGTAAGATTTTGTCTCAGACCCTCGAGGTTTCTATGCGAAGTAATAGTGTTATTGCCCGAAGAAAACCCGAGGGTTTTTGGATCTTGGGGGGTACTATCTTTTGTTTCCGACGTAACACGGGTAAAGGCTTCAAAGCAGAATTCGAGGGCTTTTGCAATCCCAACTTTAGAATGTTTGTTGCCTATATTATTGTCGACTGCGCCTAGGATGACTGGGTCGAACCCGATTGTAATTAGCGAACGAAGAGAACGAGCGAGAAAATATTGTCTTACTTGGCCTGAAAATTTGAAAGCCTCTTTCGAAGCCTTCCTCGTCGTTATCACGAAGGATTGGCTCATTTTGTTGGCGCATTTGTCTCGTAACACTACTAACCACCAAGAAGAATCTGGTATAGCTTTCAACCGTCCTTTTCGAATGCCATGACCCTGCCGTCGCCTCATCACAATGTCCTCGGATGGATGCGCAAATAGTAGCTGCAGCTGACAAGCCACCGTTCATAGCAAGATGGACCCCTGACGAAAATAGGGGATCAATAAAAGCTCCAGCATCTCCACAAATCCGAGCATTTGGTATATGGTAGGTTGATGCAGTATAAGACCAATCTGAAGCTGATTGAATATTATTGATAAATTCTGCACCCTTGAGAAGGTCCTTTATCGTCGGTGCCATTTTTATACATTCGTTATAGAATTCTAGCGTTGAAGGGCGACCGAGACTTGCTTTCTTTTTGGCCATCAACTTTTGGTCCTGAACAATTCCCACAGAGCGTGTGCCATTGTGCAATGGAATATACCATGCCCATCCGCTACAATCTATTCATCCGCGAAATATTAGTTCGATGCATGTACAGCATGCCAGCGTCTGGTCCCGAGACTACTCGACACCTTCGACACCAATTTCAGAGTCTAACTCACCTTCTAGCGCTTCAAAATATGGTGCCCCCTCTGTTGGAGTCCCAGCAGCATATACATTGTCTGACTTCCAGTATGCCCAACTGGCCACATTTTTTAAATTTTCATTGAATTTTCTATTCTTCAGGTACTTGGTACTTAGTACGCCCTGTCTCCCACTCGCATCGATGAGATACTTGAAGGTAATAGAACCGGAGGTTCCATCAATTTTGCGGACCCAGTTAGCGGACACCGGCTTTCTAGCGTGGAATAGCCCGCTTGAATCTTCTTTTGAACCCGGAACCGTTTGAATAGAACATGGCTCAAACTCAATATTTTCAACTTTGGTTTCTTCGAAAATACGGGCTCCGCAGGTGCCAGCGTATCTGAATACTAAGTCGTCGAATTCAGATCGAATAAGGTTCCAGGCAAATCCATTGGGTCCCTGTAATGCACGGAAGTCGTTACCTTGAATTAAGTTAGCTCGGAGCAATTTGGGGGGTTGTTCCAAACAATAAAAAAAAGATCAAAGACACGAAGCCTACTAGTTACAGGCTGATTTTTTGCGAGTTTAATATACGCTCCATTCTTCTGGTTAAATCCATAAGAGCTGAAGGTCTCATGGAAATCGATAAATTTAAAGAGGTAATGTAGCGATGGAATCGTGCTTTCCCCTACGTGATACCTATAATATCGCACAGAAATCAGAACAACTATTGGTTTTACTTAATTGATGGAGACATATGTCCTGACGACCAACCTTGGAAACTTATCTGCCTCAAGGACCACAGTATCAATTCCCTCACGAGCCAAGACTGCTGCCGCGTAGGAACCAGCTGGCCCCCCTCCAACGATTAAAACAGTGCAGCTCTGTGGGATAGCCATAATAAAAGATGGATCGGATTCGCTGCTTGTAGTGGGACCGTAAGGGATCCTGAAGAGTGACTTATATATATAAGCAATAACTATATTGGTATAGTATGATACTAAGTGTGGCTGAGGTTGTAAGAGTCTGACTGCTTTCTACTTTCAAATTTGAGTATTATGATATCCAGGTCAAATTTCAAGGCAAAGATCAAGTTTTTATACAATATATCATTCTCGACAATAACATACATAGATTAGTATCATCGATAGTTAATTGGCCATTAGTAGTAAAGATCTTGGGGCATTCCGACGGCTTCCACACTATAGGAGAAGTTTCAAGACCAGGGATTAAGATATCTCAGCTATCCATAGTTTCGTGGTTGATAGCACTTCTTGGTATCCGGAGTGTGGTGCACGCCGTGCGCCTTCCAGATTGCAGCTGTCAGTCGGCTGCATGGCGTCCAATTCTGCTCTGATAGCTTAGATAGCTTAATCAGAGCTCCGGACGCACTAAAGCGTCCACCCATCCGGTATCCCCGAGCTCTTTGTACTACATACGTTCGTATATACACACGACTTAAAGCAATTTACAACTACATACACAGCCAAGGGACTGATAGCCAGCTCTCGGTATTCCCACTTGAGGGCCTGTAGCGGACGAATAGCCACCAACAGATACTCTCGATATGTTTCGTTTTCCAAAAGCTCATCACAGTTCATGCCACATTTTGACTATTGTGTTCATTATCTGTCGTCATGACGTTCATTAGTGATAAACTTTAATATTGTTTATATTACAAATCGGAGTAGGACAGCATTTTGAGGCTTTTCTTTCAGCTTAGGCTCCAGATTCCCGCGGTCCATCTCGATTCGAAATCGATTTTCTCGGGTACAGATTTGGTAGCAACAACCAGGCCCTTGTGCGATTATAGAACGTACACTGCTAAAAGAAAACCAGCCCGCTTCATCTGTATACCATTTATTCCCTTTTAGATATTCCGGAACTTTGGCCAAGAGTATCCATAGACGATCTAGTGGCCATGGTAACTCGATCGCGAGATCTAAAAAGGCGATATTAACAATACTGCAGGATCATGCATGATCGCTCCTCCATGGGTCCATCGACGATTAAATTGACCATCTAACTTTTTTTTAGTACTAGGCCTTGATTGAGGGGGTATATGAACGGTGTATATACGCGCTATTACACGATTCATGCTTTCTTGTAAAGCGATATCGACACTGTTTCTATGCTAGCTCTGTGGCCCAGGTTCTAAATTAGAATATCCAGTGCAGGCCGCCCATTATATATATTACGCATGCATTTGTTCGAGAAATTTCAACTTCAAATTTCTTTCTGTTCGAATTTTCTTATACCTAAGCAACGGATATCAATATGCCTTGCATTTCCGAACCAGTTCTACCATTCTAGCCTAGTCTTATATATATTTACACACTCGGCATGCAGCTGAGCTATAGCCCCTCTTCCGTGGATCCAAACTATATCACTATTATAAAACTTTATAAAATCTGATTTACCACGAAACTCTATCCTTATAGGGAGAGCTTGCATGATATAAGAAATAATATTCCACTTAGGCACGCATGGAGCTACTAACTCTAGAAATCTTTCTTAATCATCGGACCCGGGAGCTTTTGTAACGACCACCCGACTGCCAATTGAAAAGGCTAATAGTCTGATATCCGTCTTATTTCATGCGCCAGTTGGCCGTGTTAAGTATCCGTCACCCCGCCAATCAATGGCAAAAAAATTAGAAGACGGTTGCACTTAGATTTTGTGCCTGAGTCACCTGTATATCGGATCGGACCGTTACACGACATCGCATAGTGCGGCGAGCCTATTCAGGATGTCCATCTAATTAGCTTAGTCGGTGCACATTGGATTTAGCTTTTGCTATGGCCATATGGGCTTTAGCTTTAGGCACTATTGACAAGAAATTTCTGCCGTGATGGCCAACTCAACGCTAGTTCGTACTAGTACGATCGCGTACATATACTACCTGAGCGTCCCCAGACTAGTATACCTGGATCCATGGGCCTAACTAATTGAACCAAGTCAAATTGCAAACGTAATTAATGCCTTCATGAATATTCTTTGTCTGCGTACGCGTATGCGCAAAAATCGCCCGAACAAACCTTTTCATAGCCCTTATATACTCAAGTACATACTAGGTATATACTTATCCTCATGCATAGTTTCGCAGATCAACTAACTTCCAACTCGTCGGATTTTTCCGCCTCCTACTCGCATTTGCCTTCGCCTGACCCATCCACCAGACGGCGAAAGACTGCCAAGGGTGGGCAACACAGAAAATACCACACACCTTACTCGTTTAATCCTTCCTTTAGCGACAGGCCCGTACCCGGATTTGAAACTAGCGCCCACCACCAGGGTCGAGCTTAATAGATGGCTTCGAAGCATTCATCCGTCTACCGATCCCATCGGCTTCCTTACGAAAATCATAAGATCGTCCCATATGAAAGGTGCCTTTTATTTTAGTCCGAAACAAGGAAAAAAACTGGAACTTTGACGGATTCGTGAACACACACTTTTTATGCCCCTTGGCCATTCGTTTGCCCCGCGTGGATGTGTGTGTACATGTGGTTACAATGCGCAAGTATGCGAACGGTTTCTTAGTTCTCGCTGAATGGCCGCCTGGTACTTTCATTTTTAATTGAGGAAAGTCAATCTTTTGCGTCATTGAACAGGTGGATTGAGAAATTCGGTCAGCAGGTCGGAAGTTGGTTGGATGTAACCTAATTATACTGTAAATCGGGTGATATAAAAGCTGCGATTCCAACCAACATTCTCCTCCACGTAATAAGAACTCACGATCATCAATCTACCGAGAGGCTTATAACATATTGGTTACTCAAATATTTTGCGAAATCGAACTGCAAAGATACCATACGTCACAAAATGGTCAACAACTCCTCTAAGTCTGGCAAAGGGACTTCCGTCATCCGTGAAGACCTATCCGAAAGTTCCTCTTCCGTTTCACCACAAGTCGGCCACATTAGCCCTTCTAGTGGTAAAATCCTCGGCCAGGACTTAACCCGTCAGGAAGATGTCCGTGACGGTGCTCGCACCCCTCTAGGATGGAAAGAAGCTAAAAGAGCGGCAGATAGCAAAATTATCACGGAGATGTAAGTTTCCCAATAGCCCTCTTGGAACTGCCTAGGAAAAGGCACTAATATATGAAAGCATAGGCCCGAATTTAAGAAATGACTCTTTGGGGACGGGGGTGCGACCTTCAACACCAAAAGTTTTCAATCGATAAAAGTTTTGTTTACAAATAATGTATAAGTAGTCTCGGAGTCCTTGGGAACTGGCGGTTATGTTATCAGACTTTGGGTTACATGGTACTACTTAAAGGGGATCTTGAAAATTTCCCTTTCGCAGAAGAATGACCAGTTGGATTGAGAGACAGCTAGCTGTCACCGCATTGAAATGTAATAATATTAATGTGGAGAGACCTCGTATGATCGTCCTAAAACTCTAGGACACTAACCTAAAACAAGTTTGGGGCATTACAAAACTATACTTTGTTGAGTGGTGACCTATGCCAGCTTGGGGTCGAGGCCAACTCCAGCGCACTTAAGAAGATTCTAAATGAACAATAACCCGAAAACCCCGACAATCCCTCCCAAAATCGCAAACCCACCATCTCTCCTATCAGCCGCATTCGGCGTTGTAGTACTACCCGAAGCCGATGTTTGCGTCGCCGGCCCACCAGTCTTAGTAGCCATCTCGGTAGCCTCAGAGCCACCAGCAGTACTAGTAGTCTGCGCATTCAACACCAATTTCTCGTCTATAAACTCCGCGTTAACTTTAGTTCCGTTTTTACACGTTCCGGTTGTACTGGCAGATCCTCCTACGAACTTGACAGCAGCACACTATATATTTAATAGAAACATATCAGTATTTCTTGTCACAGTTAAACCAATATCAAAAGTCCATAGGCCAAAAAATTACCTGGAAAAGGTATCCATCTGGGGCGCTAGCCACAATCTGAAGAACACCATCCTCTCCTTCCCACGCAGCCGGTCCTGGGACGCTGGGGTTACAGAAATCACCAGTACCCTGCTGTGATATCGCGGGTAATAAATCGACCCAGTTTTCTGTATCATTCAGTAATGCGACCCTGAAGAACCATGTGTCTTCTGGATGTGTGGATGTGACGGAAATAGGGATCCCGACGATTGGGAAATCCGTAACAGTTTTCCGATCGGTGACATTGAAACTACCGCAAGGGTAGGTCCCTTCTTCATCATCCGAAAACCCGATTGTCGGGGGAGTGTTTAGGAGGAAATGGGCGGCAGCAAAAGGAAGGAGAGGCAACAGAAGACATGATTTTAGAAACATTTTTGTAATATATAGAGTTCTGCGTTGTACAGCATAAAATGCAACAAAGTCGAGATGCTAACGTGTCGATGCAATGGCAACGAAAACGGCAGATTGATGGCGAAAAATAGTAGCCAAGAGTGACAAGAAATGGACAAGAAAAGAGGCGAACGTCACTAAAGTCTGGGCGCTACGGGTCTGATTTTATATGTGAGCAAGAAAGCACAATTATACTCTGTACAGCTGCAGCATCGTCTCAAACGGCAAGGGAGGGCTCGTCCGTCAACCTGGCAATTTTACGCTAATTAGCGTATCGAACACATCTGGTGCCTGGCGAATGCGCTGAAAAGGAATGGTCGATAATACTCCCGCCAGAAATCTATGTATGACGAACAAGTGGAAAAAATCAGGTTGCTTGTCAATATCATGCATCAACGAACCCGATGACATTGCATTGCAGTTCCAGTTGCCAATGGATCCCAAGCATTGTCCGAGCTTCTGCAATTTCGACTTCCTTTGAAGTCAAGAAAGACAAGACCAAAAAACCGAGCAATTCTCCACCCAATTCACTCTCAAATCTGCTCATATACGTAAGATATTGTAAGCAAATGCCTTCCGACTTCCGGGATTCTTTTGAAGACAATCACGATGTCGATTCTTTAGTTTCATGACTGACTTCTTAGCTTGGGCCTGTGTTGCCCCGCCGGAGTGGGTTTGGTGCAGGAAGGTGGGTCTCCGCTGCGAACAGGGCAGGGAAAACGGGCGTCCGATTGGCTGGAGCGCCCACCACAATTCCCAGAAACGGTCTAGACGAGTCTGCAGGTTGACCACTACGCGGGGTTTTGAGCTGAATTTTCTTTTTCAATATGCAAGCTGTTGGGTTTTCTCACCAGCAAAACCTGAGAGCTCGAAGCTTTTTTGTGGACGAAGCGAAAAAGCTATTGTCGCAGATATCCACATGAGACGGCGCTGAACGTTGGCAATGGAACATGGAACTCCGATATGCATGGCAAAATCCAGGACATTTGAGTGCCACGACGGGGCCAAGATGATGAAGCATGTGCCCTCCTGGCTCTAGGCATTCCAGATTGTTTTGAAGTGGCCAACTGTTGAGAGGATATTTCAATTCAAGGTTTCTCCTTCCTTCCTTTCCGCTTGAATCTGCATATTATTCCATGTCGACATCGGTAGGCAGGCGAAGCATCAGGTGGCACGGCATCCTACACAGCTACCGAATCGATATATAGATCTATCACGAGTGACGATTTCGTGATATCGCATCTCAGATCTCCCTCTTCCCTCCACGAACGAATTTTTGGGTAACTAGGACTCGAACTAGTAACGCGGCTGCCTGGATAGCAATACTACTGCATCGTACCAAACACCAACACTCGATTCAGTTAATTGCACAGACATTCGAATAACTCATCGTCGAACAAGTTAAATTTGAAGGAGGCAGAAACTTGGGGCACAAGTTGAAGGACAGAGTTTGGGCCCAGCTGGTGGCATTTGCGGGTAGCTTAGGAAAGTAGGACTGGAACAGGTACAGGATGCATATGGTTTAGTTATTGAAGAAGATCAGACCAAACCTCAACGTCGCCCAACAACACACTCGACTCGACTCGATTCTCACTCTTTCTTTCCCCCAAATTCACAGAGACGCCGCTCGGGCTCTCCATAACCGCCAAAATGCCCAGTGATATGAGCGACAACCTTTTCAGCAAGACCAACCGTGATATCGCCCGTACATACTGGATCATAGTCGGGGTGGTCATAGGCTCTCTCACCGCCCTCAACATCATTGACCGGATCCTCGTTCGTTCGAGGCTCAAGGCAGCCGCAAATAATAGTCCCCATCCGACCCGGGTGAAGAACAAAATAGGCCAGATATGGGCAACCGCAACTGCTGTGCTGCGGGAAGCTGCTCTTCCTTCTGTCCGTTCTTTCACGAATAAAAACACGCTGTTGGCGATGTTCACTCCTCTCCCTCTTGGTCGATCTGTCGTCGTCTTTATATATATGGCTATGGTTGCCATCATGCTTTCGATAAACGTTTATACTTCGGGTTATTGGTACTACGAAAAGATTGCATATAGGGCTGCATGGGTCTCCGTCACTCAGATTCCCTTTGTCTTGTTGATTAGCGGCCGACTTTCACTTTTTACCCTTCTCACAAACATCCCTGGCGAACGGATCAACTGGCTACATCGTTGGGTCGGCAGAGTCATCCTAGTTTCGGTTTTGGTACATATGGCGCTCTTCTGGCGTGGATGGGATCTTTCGGACTTCCTCCAAACCGAGTTGGAGATCATGCCCATGGTTCGGTATGGATTCGGAGGGTTCGGCGTCCTGGGATGGATTATGTTTACGTCTATTGCCCCAGTTCGATGGTACACATACGAACTATTTTACCTTAATCATTTGGCTAGTGTCGGTGCTCTCCTCTGGTGTCTTTACATGCACGTTCCAAAATCCGCCATTTACAACGTCTGGCTCGGGATCGCATTCGTTGCGTTCGATCGATTCCTACGAGCAGCTCTATTTTTATATAGTAATATCCACAGTTCCTCAACCTCGACGACCAAGTCAAGCTACTCGCTCCACTTCGGCCATACAGCTGAAATCGACATCCTGGACCGCAAAGAGAATTTGACGAGAGTAGTCATCAAGGACGTCAAAATGAAATGGCGAGCAGGTCAACATATCTACTTGTCAATCCCTTCCCTACGGCCATTTGAATCCCACCCATTCTCCATCTCCAATACATACGAAGCCCTGCCGGCACCAGGCGAGGAGTACAAAGAGCTTGGTAATGCAGCAGCAACCCGTAATGGCAGCCGAGATCTCCACCTCCTGATCAGTTCAAGAGCCGGATTTTCCAAACAACTGCATCGAAAATGTGGCCCAGCCGATAACGCACCAGTTGTTCTGAAGGCCTTCATCGAAGGACCGTACGGTTCACCGCCAGCGTGGAATACCTTCGAAACCGTGGTTCTAATTGCCACATCTACTGGTGTAACATTTACTCTCCCAATCCTTGAAGAAATCGCATCAAATCCGGCTTGTGTACGACGAATACACTTCCATTGGACGGTCAGGCACGTCAGCGATCTCAAACTTCTTACTAAGAGGCTAGCAAGGTTGGGTAACAAGGCAAGGGGTAAGGGTGTTGATGTCTTTATTAATATTGCGGTCACTTGTGGAACCATGAAGACCGCCAAGGACGGGAAGTTTGTGGTTGGGAGTGACGATGGGGATTCTTTTGGAGCATCTGGCTCGGTTGCAAGCAAGGGGAGCGAATATTTGTTGCTCAAGACAGTCGAAAAGGATGGAACTGTAGACGAAATCACCCCTGTGAATGGAGAGCCGGTAGCAACATGTTGCGCAGGTAAGAAAGAAATCCCAGCGCCGCCACCGAAATCATGTTGTGCAGAACCATCCGAACCGAAAGCAACATCTCCATCCCAAGCGGCCCAGGCCCATGCTCGAACAATCTCAACCTCATCCAGCAATTCCTCAGCTTCAGACGAAGAAGGAGCACCTTGTTGTTGTGCAGCCGGTACTGGTAACTCTTGCTGTGAAACCGTTTGCACCTGTGGCTTTTCATCCGATGATATCGAATTTAGCTGCGGCCGTCCCTCGATTTCGAAGATGATACTTCCTCCTATCGAATTAGCCGAGGGGGAAACAGTAGTGGCTTGCTGTGCCAACAGGCGGTTGATGGATGACGTTAGGAACTATGTTGGAAGAGTGTGTGATGAAAGGGCAGTACACAAGGGGAGTGGTGCACAGGGTGTGCTATGTTGGACTGAAGGGTTTTATTGAGTTATTCATTTGCATTGCATGGAGCATTTGCTGGAGTAATACCCTTTCTCTCTTTTTCGGTTTGATGCCTTGCGCTCCCAATAGAGTCGAGATTAAATTTAATGTATACGTATTGTTAATGTGTTTTTCTGTTGGTTATTATGATACCTCAGTCGACATGCACTCGGTTTGTATAAAAGACGATATACTTAGAGATCTTCAATTCTAATTTAATCTATGAACTCGATATATACACACCTCTCAGGTCAATGGCAGAGTGTTCTATAGACCTAACTATACCATTATATATCCTCCAGTGTAATTAATTCTATCACGATCAAGTTTGAAAACATCGGGGGGTAAAATATGAGATTGATCATATTTTGAGATCATTAATTTCGAATAACCTCTTTAGTTTTGACAGTCCACGTATACGTACATCAGATCAAATATAACACAATATCGATACTTAATTGTTACATTAGATATCAGCAGCTCGTACGAAGTACCAGCTGGAAAGCCACATACTTTGGTTGGGTGATTGTACATATATTTCTGCTATTATACTATAACTAGTGGGTTGACTGGCACACAATCAACATCGGCTCCTATAATTATACATTCGACATCTAGATCTGCTCTCTTATCACATAAAAAATACCATCACTGCGCATACCACACCTTTAGGCTTCAAAATAGCCAAAAAAAAAAGCCCCCAAAAAAATCAAAAAAAGTCAGCTGCGACACAGTGGCATCTAGGGAAGGGAAAGTCGGGGTTTTAGAAAGCTCATAACTTCATGGATTTGCAAGATAATTTCATTCTGAAAATTTAAAACGGGATGTGAAAGAAGGATAGGGAGCAAGTTCACAATTATGAAAAATGCGGAAAACGTGGTGCAACGATCTCGAGGTTAAGGATGGGATTTTATAATTTAAAAAACTTTAGAGTTTGCAATTGGAGGAGGGTTCTTTCGGTTCGGTGCGCTGAGGACTCGGCTCGGCACCGAAATTACCGCCAATGACCAAGCTATCGATCTCGGAGACGACAACCTCGGGGACCGCGACCGAGCGGGATACACATATTTATATCTGAAATTTGTCGTCCTAGGGTTCCGAATTAGGTTTGCATCAAGAAGGGATATTGTGGCACTAGATGTCGTGTCCTGGATTCGAGTGGAGAACCCCTTGAGATGACTAGAAAGATGTACACGCGTGCACGGCAGCACAATGCAAAGCGTGTCTACGGTAGGTCTTTGCCTCCTCGTTCACGTTCTTTGCCCCCCCCTCTCTGGCCCTTGCCTACGGAACTGTTTGATTAATATGTAGATTTGGTGTGCTAGCATTCGTGGAATTCATGCTAGCGATGTTCATAGTATGCATGGTTGGCCCCCCCCACCACAGCTCGAAACAATGTTCTTGGGACACGGGCTGCTTTTCTCCAGCCTAGCCCTGGTTTTTGGGAACTATGTATATACATAGACGGTACCGACGACCGATTTGAGGTTGCCACAAAAGCTCGTAAATATGAAGCCGTTAATGTTTTCTACCGGTGTCTGTCACCTGTCAACCTGAAGCGGGTTTACGTTTCCGAATTCCCCCATGTTCAACTGCCGACCTATAGAACCTATTTTATACACAACAATATCGTCTTATCGAGTCGATAAAACGGGATAGATTGTTTAATTTCGGCTGATAAGGTATCAGAAAGATCGTGGAACAACACACACCGAGCTAGGCTCCGGAAGGTGCATACTGTCCAAGGCTCAGGTATTACGATGGTTGATAGCATCGCATGTTTTGCTTTGTGCACTTTGTGCAATTGCGGTCCTGCTGGCCGTCTCGAGGCTACTGTTGACCAGTTCTTCAAGTGCATGAGACTTTGCCTCGCCGTCTATGACCCTACTTCTAATGACAACCCCGCAGTCTGTTTGGCCATAGTATCTACAAATAGACCATTGGCGGTGCAGAGGCACTGCAGCAGCTGCTTGGGCGCTATTCCAGTTTTCACGATGTAGCCAAAGCCAAGCTAGCTGGGCAGCAATTCGTGGGCGGCTAGCTATTGCCATATTGCTGAAAAGAGCCTCATTATGTCTTCTTGTGCCCTCATGTTGTTGTTCTGAGGCACCATTTCGACCCAAGACCTCTGCAGCTCGAGTTCTGCAAGATCGTGAACTTCGATCGTGAGGCTGAGAAGATGTGGTTGGATATCACAAAATATATGCGCATCCTCGGGCTGCTTCTCGAAACCTTTCAGATCGCCGTTACTGAATGTAGTATCTGACCCGAAGATCAAATTGAGCAGGGTCTTGGCCTCTGGGTGCCGTCGCAAAGCTTTCACAGACGGGAAACTCATAAAGTATCGTTGACTAAACAAGGCGGGTAATGCAAGAAAGATTGACTATTCACAACATGGGACTTCTTCCCAAGATCTTGGTCAGAAGGCTATCCCTTTTTTTTTTGTATCTTCAACTGCGATATCAAGCCTAAGATGCGGCTCAACAGCACAAAAATCGCCACCCTGCGGGGTATCGATGCAAGGACTCGCTAACGATTGGGGTAGAAAACTCAGTGTGACGACCAAGAAAATTCTTTGGGACCCAAAATAGTCTCCCTTCGATGGTGCTGCACCTATTCCTTTCACAATCTGCAAGTGTGGTCCCTTCTCATTTTATTTGGAAATTCTTTTGGTAAAAATTGCGACAACCGGGCCAAGTGGCCAATGAGGTGTCGTGGTGTTAGGCGGATTTTAGAATTCTGAACCAACAGGTGGAGCCGCTTACTTGGGTGGACCATTCAAATTCCAGCGGCATGGCCAACGATTTTCTTGTATTTGCACAGACTGAAGAACAGGAAAGAAACGGAATCGACCAAAAGGCTGGTCTTGGAGACCAGGCGTAGACAAAGTCGTAGAGTAATATTTGGACATATGCATGCACAGGCAGCGCTTCATTATCGAGGTGCATACTATGTGCTCGGATGAGTACCTATTCCTGCCAACATCAATAGCAAATGTGGGTCCATCCAAGGCGTTGCAGAATTGTTTCTAATTTCTCCAACGACAGTATTCAATAGAAGACGGTTGAAGATTGAAGAAGAAAGTGTAAAGAAATACGAAAAGGGGAAGACCAGGGGCAGCTTTTCACGCTGGCGTGATCAGCAAGCATGGGTGAAAGGACCAGGGCGGTAAATCATACTGGCCCTGTTGGGTCAGGCTCTCTCCGATCCTCATGGTCAAGATTCTTCAAGGCAAGGATATGAGGCTGAAAAGGGTGCTTCAATATGGGCAGACTTGGTTTCGTCTTCGTATTTCAAACTAATTGGTCCGAGTCAAGCATTTTGAACCCCATCCGCCGGCCCAGGCTAGCCATGTTTGGGTGTCAATCTGACGGTCTGACATCTGGGGACGGGTTTCTCGTCAAAGTATAATATCAACAGAAGCCCCCCAACCAGCACAAGAAAACTTTCCGCGAATTTTTTTTTTTTCTGTTTGGAATTCGATTGTTTCGTCATTCTCTTTGTTTCGATAATTCCGACTTCCAATTCACTGGGTTTGGTCATAACGTTAGGGGGCTCGGGTCTTTGTAGAACATTTGGGATCGAATCTCTCAGTCGGTTTTTCATATAGCTACTTAGTATATATCTGGAGGGAGACTGTGGAGGATGGCGCATCGATATTCGGTGAGATATGAACCTATCCAAACAACGGTAAGGAACCAAGAAAACAAGGTGCTTCGACGACAAATAATGTCTCGATTGTTATCAGATGTTGCGATTCATCTGCTTTCTTCGTTTCTCTTGCCAAACACCCGCTTTAGAAGATTTGTATCCTGACTTTATAATTTTCGGTGGGATTTAAAGGATCAACCGGGCCTGGAAGTTGTCGACTCTCCTCCGCCGCCACCACCCGAGAAATTATTCCAACAGCTCCAACACCTGTCCAACGATCCTGCTCAGTCGACACCTATCCCGGTAGCCAGCTTAGGAGGAAATTATCCTGGGCCGCCGCCGCCGCCGCCGCCGCCACCCAATCCCTATGCACAAGAAGGGGGATATGAGCATCCGCAATTCAACGGTGCCCCACCGATGCCAGAGAAAGAAGGCCGGATATGCGGTCTGAAGAGATGGGTGTTTTTCGTTCTGATCTTGGTCGCTGTCGTAGTCGTAGCTGGTGCGGTCGGTGGCGGTGTCGGTGGCGCTCTTGCAGGAAAGAACAACAATAATAATAATAGTGCTGAGGCCAATAATGGTCAGACATCAACTACCAGTACGGGAGGCTCTGCTACAAGTACAAGTGCAGGTCCGACTAGGTACGAATTATCAAACCGATCTGACATGTTCTTTTTTAAAAAGATTTAATGACGGTGTATTCTGACATGATGATGAATTTCGAATTAGCACTACGAGCGCTCCACCAAGACTTCCAACACCGGGAACATTTGCTGCTGTCAAATCCTCGGATCCAAATCAAGAAAATTACAATAGTCTTACATATATTTTCCAGGATATCAACACTCCGGATATTTGGATGTGGACTATAATTCGAGGCCAGGATTGGATTCAAATCGGAAAACTAGAGGGTTTAAATCCACCACCGCGTCCGAACTCTTCTATCGCGGCTGTTCAGGCACCAGATGGAGATACTGTAAGGGCTCCCTTGAGATATGGAAGGTTTATGTGAAAAAGGGAGTGCTAGTGACACTAACTTTGGTTTATTTTAAACTAGATTTCTCTTTATTACACTGCAGAAAATGGGACTCTATACGACGCTATTGGCAGCCCGCAGGGCACCAGATGGAGAATGGGTACTCTAGCTCCACTTACCAACTACGGTGTCCTTGTATCAGAAGGATCAGGTATCGGAGCCTCCTGGTGGGGTAACAAGAACGACAACGGGCCTGGCTATCGAATTCGTATATACTATGTTGACAGTGCGGCAGCCCGCGTTCGAGAACTTGCGTATGATGCAAACAAGACCCCGAAGTGGTTCATTACCGATCAACAGTTGGAAACATGTTCACCACAAGCCAAGATTACTATCGCACACTTGCCGCCAGAGAACTCAACAAGCACTAGGCAAGAAACGGCACATCTATTTTATGAGGATAGAAATGGAAATATAAGGCATTTTCCTGGCTATGATGGAACCTGGGATAGTTCATATGGTAAGCGTGAATACTCTTATCCCATCGTTTTATTAACACTATATTAAGTCGGGATTGTGCTAACGTTGTATTTCAAATAACAGCGGAAACTATCCAGCAATCCTCAATCCCGCCTGGCGCCTACATCACCGCTAGCCTCTACGTCAATCAAGCCTCAAATCATACTATCCGTCTATGGTATCTGGACGAATCTTCCCGTCTAAGCTACATCGGTGGTCTGGGCCAATCTAAAAAGGCATTCCCAGATTTCGACAACCTCGGAACCTTCGATAATCGAGAAGTTGTCAGCAGTGGCACTACAAGGTACATCAGCTTAGGCGAAATTGAAGGAGGCTCATTAGCAGTCGTTGGCTGGGTTGAAGGCGGAGAACAAGTCCGAGTATACTACCAAGGTAGCATAAGAGGGAATGCAGGCAAAAACGCTGCCGTAGAAATTGCGGGTACTCTTGGGTGGCAGACCAAGGTTTTAGAAATCGAGGAGTTGTAGAGTTGGAGTTTCGATGAGTTTGGTTCGTTGTCCGACTTGCTCCGTGAGGAAAAGCACCAGATATCCCTACAAGTGTTTCTTCTTTTCTTTCTTCTTTTCTTTGTACTATACCCCCCTTTTTTCATTTCATTTTTTTTCCCCTTCCCATTTTTACCTTTCACTTCACTCACTCACTCTTAAATCCTTGCAAGTCTCACGAGATAGCATATTGCTTTAATGTCGTACTATGGAGTTCCGGTTACTAGCACATTTGTTTTTATTTACCGAATTGATAATAGAAACGTGGAACTAAATGCGTTTCCACACTGAGATACAACCATATCCTATGCACACGCCTAGCGGGAAACTAGTTTTACTCCTGGAACATTGACGGTTTTTCCGTAGGGAGACTACGGTTTCCCTGTTATAACGCGATTCGCACTCTCCGAATATAGGTCATTAGCATTGGAAGAGTGCTGGGACCATCCATGTAAATATCCGGTTATCCGCAGGCTCATTTATCCCGCTATCAGCAATCTTAAATTCTAATTCCGCAAGTTTCAATGAAGCCTTTTACTGTGTATCGGACTCAACACTGATTGTGAAGTATATGCCGGTATGCATGCTAAGATAAATGTGCTGGGATGAGCCGTAATCTGTCCCGTAAGCTTATTGAAATCAAATCAAAACGCGAGATTATATTAAGAGTTTGAGAAGACAGCCGCCTACGTCAAAAATGTACGAGCACGCATCCTGTACATCAATAAACAAAATTTTGAGCAGCCAGAAGAATAATTATTTCAAGGATTTTATATTATACATGAAGACAGCCTTAATCGCGGAATCAAAACAGCAAACGAATTTGACAAAAACCGGGTAACCCCCGCTAAGCTTATAAGCTACGACTTGAAATTGCTGCGATCCAGGTAAATAAACTTTCACAGTGGTTAGCTCTCCCGCACATACATGTACATCTATAGAATAACAAACTATTGATTGTAAAAATGTGAGAAGGGTGCTTCGCTCTGCCTTCGCGATCCACCAGGCGGCTCCGGAATAATACCCACCGGCCCCCCACGTAATGCATCCACAAGATCCATCCTAGCATTCATATTCCCCTTCTTAAAACTCTCAAGATCCATTCCATCACTCGCCATACTAATTTCCCTATCTACCCACCCCATATCACTCACCCTTTGCCCGATCCTTGGCACAGGTGTGTGCTCAGTGAAGCTCATGCCAGCATGAGAACTTCCTGGTGTAGATGAACCAGCAGGTGCATGATCATCCCAATTAGTTGGTGGTGGGCCGTATTTCCCATCAAAACCATCTGGAAAGCCGAGATCTTCGTCGCTGAGTTCTCTTCTACTACGGCCGATACTACTGTCGATGTTGCTGCCGATCATTGTGGTAGTATGACTTTCGAATGGAGGGATGAGAGCCGTGGTGTCGAATTTGCTCTCGAATTTTTCGGCATCGCCTCCGATGGTGCCTGGGCCGCTGCTGCCTCCGTTATTGGGAGTGTGGCTAAATCCGCCATATGTGCCTTTTGCACTATCCTGGAGAGTATTTAAGAACTTGCAGCGTGGGAAAAGCCTAATAACCAATGGTTTGACCGCGGGAGCGCTAGAAGTTATGATGGCGACATTTGCCTCGAGCGAAGACATTGCAGAAACGCTATAGGCGACCCAAGTCGGGTCTGAAGAGTTCCAATAGTCTCGAAGGTAATAGAAACGGAGACCAGAGAAAATACAAACAAGGGCTCCGACAGAGAAGATAACTAGAACTACTATCTTTTGTCCCGTCGAAACTTTGAGGTCTTTGGGGTTTTGTTAGCACGTCCCTTACAAAGTCCTCTGATGCGCGTAGATAATAATATAAGGTTCAACTTACGGCGGACCATGACCCAGCTCAGCAAGTACACAAAGACATCTGTTGCTATATTCAGACTTGCAATCGTATAATTCAGCGCAATGAAGTTTACGCATGATCCTGTTGGGTCCCCAAGTCTGGTGTTGAATGGCCAGCACTGGAACAGAATCGCCATTGAAGATGCAACCGTGTATAATGCCATGAAACCTAGCGTGATATATACGACGAGTCTGAACGGAGGAGAAACTGAAAGTCTCAAGTAGAAAAGAAGAATGGATATTTTCATAAATCCGAGGATCCAAGGGTATAAGGATTGAATCGATAAGCCAATCTAAAGATATTTTGTTAGCCTAACGCCTAGGGTCTAAGAAATATTGGTAGATTGACGTTACATACTTTCTTCGTTATTACGAACTGTTCGTATGGCACGTCCCAAATATGGTGATACCAACCGGCGTTCATGGCGGCGATTTGAAGCCCATACAGCCCAAATGATGCGGCCTAAAATAGCCAGGAGATGTCAATGTCAAAGATTTTGAACTTTTGTTCGAAGTTCAAAGACATGAAGGAGCTTACCATAGCCAACATGATAAACCAATCATCCCACCCCATATATCTCGTAATTCGAGCGCGGGTATAAACCCGCAAAGCTACGGTAAGAAACGCCAAGGAAGTAAAAACGGTAGCTATGGACAGCAATTTAGGTCCTCGGGTCTCTGGATTCTGTGGCAGCATACCGGATGATTTAGCTTCAAACTTCCCTTTAGACAAGATCTCGTTGAATACTACTTGTAGGAGCTAACAATCGAGGTACATGAGCTATGAGATTGTGCGCGGACTTACTTCTAGATCCATCAGGGGCCACGAAGCCGGCCGGGACCAACTGTAGTTCCCGGCCGTATTCAGGTGGACGTGACCCGAAAACCAAGTGGTGTCAATATCTCCCATATCTCCTGTTATTGCATGGGTGCTTTGTAAAACGGCTATTGAACCCAGTCCCGGTGCGGCCCTAACAGTAGAGTGCTGTCTAGTTGAAGATATGCTAGTTGACGGTGCACCCCGTTTGGTACAAGACAAAGGTGGAAAGGAACACAATGATTATCAGATATGAATGTGCACGGACGAGACTGGGCATCGGGCTTGTCTATATAAGAAGGGGCAAAAGTACTAGGCAAGACGATAATTTAAAAGCCTCTAGGACTTCCGACCCGTCAGTGTCGCAAAAGAGTTTTTTGAAAAAATACAAAGGTTAACGGGTTTGTCTTGAAGCTTTAGGCTTAAATTTCTGTTGCAGAGCATAATAAGCATTTTTCAGGAACGAAACCTAGAGGCAGTAGCTTCGTCGTTGACCCTATACGTGAGAGTTTAGGTGGGAAACGTGGTGATCATACTGAAACTTATACCTTCGTTGGTAGTGTTCCTGTCCAGAGATAGTAAAAGGTAGGACGAGAAATTTGCGAGATTGTCCCAAACTCCGAACTTAACAGCCACTGCGCATTGCTACTTCGGCATGGGACTGCGCCCAAGGATCGAGAAGAAAAGCTAAGATCTCACGAGAAGTCTAGTGGAAGGTTCAGAAAGCTACATATATGATGATATAAAGTTCCCAGATAGGACATCCATTCGCCGGATCCGGTACTAGACTCGCCTGGAATATGTGTTGGTGGAAAAGGTACCCGCGGAAAACCTTCTAGATCAAATACAAATCCGGATAGAACATTGAACTCTGGCTGCTTTTATTTCAGGGCATGGCGGCCGTTTTTGTAGCTATTACAATACCTTATGGGATCGCGTGAGGCAACGATAACCCGTCTCAGTGCTCTTGCCAATTGGTATTGGCTTGATCGTGGGGTATGTGTATATTACATTTGTTGAATTATCTCTATCGATATATCCCTTGTGTTCATGAGCTATCATACATATTAATGTAAGGCTACATTCATTATAAACTATTGTACCAGCCTATAAGCTTAGTTTTCAAGATATGTTAGGCCGAGACCCATATGATGGCACTGCGAAACTTCACTCAAACCCCTCTGGTAGCCATCCCATTGCAACCACCTCATGGTAGGATTCCTCCATTTCAAAGCCTCCCATTCTCCGGTTTTCTTCACCTGGCCCAATGTATTCCAGTATCCTCGAGCCTCCAAATACTTCTTTTTCGGGTTCGGCTCGTGGTTCCAGGCAAAACTGCTCCAGTAGTCTACCAGTAGCTGCGAGAATGGAATATCCAAATCATCCCTTGGCATGAGACCACTCCAGATCAACGCCCCGAGGTTAGCGTCTACTATTCCTGAGTGGCACTTGAAATATTCATCGGCGGGGGATCCACCAACTGGGGGTTCGCATTCCGAAACGGTGAACAGCGCTGGCTGGTGTGCTCTGTTGGCCTCATAGAGGAAGATTTTCGGAAGTTTGCGATTCTTTGCAAGGAGATAAGCTTGAGACCAACTCTTGCATCGAACGAATCCATTGGTGAGAACCCGAACGGTGAGGTTGAAGGCTGCCACAGCTGGGTCTCCTGGAGGAAGCGGGAAGGCAGGATGGTTTGCGAATTCGGTAATATCTCTCTCTTGAATCTTGCCAAAAACTGAATTTTCACCACCGGAGAACTCAAGATATTCATGGGCTGACGTTGCGCTGCCATTGTATCCAGAAAATTCGGGGGAGGTAAAGATAGCCCATTCATCACGGTTAAGACCCATTATGATAGGGACGTCAGCAATATATTCTCTACTAGCGACAGGGGGGCCACGAGTGCTATGGATGTGAATGTCATCTTTCACAGCTCCCCACAAGACGCTTGTATCGGCGGCGAATAAATCAGCGGCCGGCATGGTTTTGATGCAATGAATGGGTTCGGCGGTCGCCGAACAGCCAGAAGCGTTAAGAAGGCCTTGGAACGCAGTATGAGCCTGTGCAAGGGTTGGAGTGTCATTGCGGATCGAAGTTGTGCTATATCCTCCTACCGAGCTTTCAACGATTCCGGCGTGGAACAAACCCTTTGCGGCTTTCGAGGCCATCAGGATCAAGGTAGAGCCAGCGCCAGCGGATTCTCCGCCAATAGTGACTCTTTTTGGGTCTCCACCAAATGCTGCGATATTGGCGTTAACCCACTTCAGAGCTGTGACCATGTCACCGATACCATAATTTCCCGTAATACCGGCGCCATTGGTATGTGTAGCCAGGAATCCGAAGAGTCCAAGTCTGTAGTTGAGTTTAACGACGACGACATCCCCTCTGCTGGCGAGATTGACACCATCGTAGTTCACCATATTGCCACTGTTGTGAGTATATCCACCTCCATGGATAACGAACATAACTGGCTTGAGGTCCTTAGAGCGGCCAGAGAAAGCAGCAGGAAGGTATGGGGTGGCGATATTCAAGAAAAGACAGTCTTCGCTGCCACCGTCTCCCTGGACACACATATTGCCAAAAGCTAAAGCATCAGAACTGCCGGGGCTGTTGAATACAGTGGAGTGCTTGAATCTCTGGGCGGGGTGCGCATATCGAACTCCATCAAATCGAAAGCCAGCAGAGTCTCTGAACCCAGTGATCTTATGAATTCCAGTGTTCACTGTGATTTGGTATTGAGGTGCTGGATTGCTCGTGTTGATATTACTCACTGGAGCTGAGTGAGTGCACAGTGTGGGCAATCTGTAGTGGCGACCGCAGTGCAGTGACTTGATTTCTCCAGTTCCGGTGATAGCTCGACATGGCTTATCTGCAGTCGGGGCGATCCAGTATAATTCGTTCTTAGAGAACTTTCCAAGGTATTGCTGATATGAGAGTGTATTGTTTAGGCCCTTGGAGAAATCTTGGCCTTGGCCTTCGGGAGCCCAGAGAGTTTCGGAGAGGGCAGAGCAAGCCGCTTGGCCCTCAGGTAATGTTTTGGAAGCCTCTACCAAGATTGCCGATGCAGTCCTTGGAGTAAGATGTTCTTCAAAAATTAGTCTCCATACGAGGAAATGTAAATCCAGGGAACTGCTTACCAAAAAGATCATTATCCTTCAGAATTGTGAGGGCCGATTGAAGGGACGAAATCTCTGGGGCCGCCTGAACAAGCGTTGCATGTCCAAGGCAGTATGCCGCCAACAAACTTACGAGGGGCTTTGAAACCATTATCGTGGATGCGGATGACAATAGAGCTACGCTTGAGGAATCGAAATCAAAATTTGGGGTTCTGGCTAGCCTATATATACACCAGCTTCATCTCTGTTCGAGCGTTCCGTCTTCTGGGGTATCAGTTAGAGCAGTCAGTATATTATCTACCCGCGTGCGCGCCGCGTCCCTTTGCTTCTGTAGGGTGGAATCTCACGAAATAAAGTTTTCATAATTCCTTTTGTATTATCGCGGGATACCGGGGAAAAGAACTGGATGTATACTAAAGAGAAAGGCTAGAATACGACTAGGAAGCTCCATATGGTCAACCTAGATGGGAACTAGTTCTCGTCATGACAAGGCGCTATGTGCTGTAACTGCGGCCTGCGTTTTCGTCTCGAAGCTCCCAACTGTGTTGTTATACAGGGCACGCACGTGCATCGGGAGGGTCGATCGGGAAAGTGGCGAGTCTAATTCCCCATAACTTGACGAACTAAGAGCTCATGGGGCTTGCGCTAACGGTGGGATTTACTTGGGCTGCGCATGGGCTTCAATTGGGAATCTGGTGAGGTTCCCAACTTTCTCTCTTTGGGTGCAGATAGGCGTAGGCGGCAGGTCACCAAATTACGTAAATTGGGTCCAGCACAAGAGTAATCCCGACGGTTCCGCCGCAGAGAAAAGGAAAGAAGGTGCAAAGGAAAGGCCGAAAACTTTCCTCTGAGGTTTCATCTGTGCATATCTGCAAAGCATCTCGAAGCCTAGTTAAACTTATAAAAAGGCTAACTTCTAGACCCGCGAAGGGTTGAAAGAGTAAATGATATCAGTGTAACCTTGGCCTTGGCTTCAAAGGAATCTCAATTTGTGGTATTTTGCAGCCCCGTTTGCGTTGCTTGGTTTTGATTTTGGCTGGTTTATTGGTTTATACCTTTAGTATCTGGGGACGAGACTATATTAGTATTATGATAACATGCGAAATTGCCTCTATTTTGTACAGACTCGACGTCCAAAGAAGTCAGCACCGGATAACAGTTATACGAGTCGATACGTAGCCAAGTTTTTAAAAGCCCGGTAGTTATGGATGGTATGGCTGGGTGGTTTCTAGCCCTGGCGAAACCTTAAATAAGTTTGTTGGAGACGGCTAGCGGGACCCACTTGCCGTATTGAATGAGCATCCCGTGGTGCCAGTTAGCTCTGCTATTTGGGCTTCTTGAGTTAATAGACTCGAAGATGTTGAAGTCTTGACCGGGAGGATGTCTAGTTTAGACGGGTGGTTGGGAAATTAATTCCATTATTCAGGTTCTTCTTTCGACCCATTCTGGAAGAAAAGAGGTATTGATTTCGAGGGTATCAAAATTAACTGCAAACGATCCGGCTTCTAATTTACACAGGGTTGGTCAAAACGAAAGCACTTGCATTTCTTCGCCTGCTATTGCAGTATTAGATTGTGTTGTTCTTATTCTGCATATACGGCTACTTAAGTAATTAAGTACCCCAGCAAGAAAGTAGATATAACGTATGGACATACATATAAGTGTTTTAATATTCTATCTTCTTCTCTGTTCTTCACATATGTGCTATTATGCAAGTGGTGGGTATAACTTTTCAAGCTGGGGCGGGGAAAGTGAACACGATAGCTCCTTTTTACCATTCAAATCAGTCTCGAACTTTGGTTCTAATAACTTCACCCCGCCGAACTCTCCGACATAGCTTGCAAATAAGGAAAGCGACATACATCCTCGGGCATTTTTGGACGAAAGTTCTTGGAACACTGTATAAAATTCCCCATGTACTAAGCCGAGCTGCGACGTAGTGTCGATTGCCTCTCCTAGCACCTGAACTACGTCTCCGACCGTGACAGCAGCTGGCCTTCCATCTGCTTGCTTCGGCCAAACTTGTACCTTACGGGTTTTATTTAGTTCGATTGCGAAACCAGCGACTGGGGGGTATGTTGCATTTTCGGATAGTACAGTGCGAGGGGCAAAAAACCCACGAGGCTGCTGGGTACTATACACGAAACGTTCGATTGAAAGCGATTTGGCCGCCACGAAACGAGGTCTGGCGGATGGTGCCATATAAAAGAAGAGAGCTTTCTTTTTGTCCATTGCCATATTGTAGAAAAAGGGGTGTAGTTCCAGCCTCGTTCCCTCTAGTTCCGCAGGGTGTAGCGTGATCTGTGCCGGGTTCAACCCGCCAGGTCTTCGGTGGAGTGGTAACCGACGTCTTGTTGTTAGGATATCGTCAGATTTGTTTTTTTTGACAAAGAAGCGGAAGTCAGGGGAGACCCTGGATAGTGAACGTAGATCATGGTAGTCAAGCTCGTGGTGGATGACTTGGTTCCATATCGTAGCCGTAAGCCCGTGCAGTCGAGTTTTTGAACCAACAACAAGCGATTTAAAACGTCGATTTGCTGGCTTTAGGCGCTCGTGAAGATCGAAATATGTCAAAGAAGTAAATATCTGGTACCATATTTCTGCGGGGAGCTCAAGGAGAGTCGATTTCATTTTTAATTAAAGAAGTTCTCAGTGCTGAGAGAACAACATCCAGCGGATGGATATACCTCGCAGCGGATACGCCGGCGCTTTTTATTTGATTTTTACGGCGTCCCCGGAGTTTGGTTACAAGACTGAGTTCCCACATATTCAGAACCGTGCGTAATGACTCAACGCAAATTTTCTGCACTTTGTATACTTGCGGAGAGCGGGCGGTTGGTGGGCTTGGCAATCGGTCGATGATCCTTCATAACGGCTTCAGATTGTGGATGAACATAAGGCTCCATTCATGACTAATTACCGGTCTTATTTCTGGGCCCGTTACAACGCAATGGTCTATGAGCTCTATTCTATGCATGATGCGTGAGGCAAGCTCGATCGACTATCGTATGACAGCCTCTAAACACTATAGTGTACAGATCGCCAGCCCCCACTGCCCAAGTTATGGGGTATATAAATACTAACCTCCAAATACTTTTCTATAGATCCGGTTGCACGGACGGTACCCGAAACGCATAACCCTGCGAGTTGAAGCTCTTTATTTTGCCGTTCCAAGATTTGCTAATTTAACATCGATGTTAGAGCTTATGGACGTCTAGCCGCGGATAAAAATTCCCCGCATAGACAAAAGGGTACTTTGGATGATAAAGGGTCCGAGCAAAAATTTCAAATGTGTAAAACTCACCTCTTCATAAGAATTCCTCATAATATATCTGATAGTGGTAACCGGGTTTGTTTGGCCAATTCTATGCACTCGCGCCAGGGCTTGCTCTTCTAGCATTGGGTTGAACTGTGGCTCTAGGAGATGTACTTCAGAGGCCACGGTGAGATCGAGACTAAGAATGGAGCGGGGAACTTTTGTTAGAGGTCGTCCTTCACGAGTTGAGGGCCAAAGAACCTACCCTGTGCTCCCACTTCCCAAGGTCGATAGAAAAACTCTACAGTTGGGGTCATTTCGAAATGTGTGTAGATGTTCTTTCCGCTCCCTCGTCGTCAATGAGCCTTCCATCCGGGTGAACCCTATCCCGTTACTTTTCAGAGCCACCTCGACTAAATCCAACATCTTCGTCCAACAACTGAATACAACACTATAGATGGAGTCAGGAATATGGTAAAAGTGGGTGTCGGTACATGGCCATTGGATAGACGTACCTCTTCCCGCTGAAGCCTGACTGGAGATTCGATATAAGATTTTGAACTTTTGTCGATGGCTGGGTGGTTGATATAGTATAATCTTGAGCGGACTTGAAGCACAGCGGACATTCAATTGCATCCGAATTACATTTAGAACAAATTGCGTGTTGACAATCCTCATAAGTTACTGAGTTTCCGGTAATTGTTGCCGATAATTCGGAACTCTTGCACAATTCACAAATCGGCTCAGTGAAGGTGTGGGATATCGCGTATTCCTCACCTCCTTGACATTCGAACCGCCGAAGTTCTTCTTGAACCAATGGGGGCAAAAGGTGAACACCATGATTACAAACCTGTCTCAACCTTAGGATCAATTGAGTAGCGTAGGTTCCGATATTTTTAAGTGTTCCCTGCCGGACCGCATTCTGAATTTTAGCGTTGACAAACCGGCCGAGTAGTCTGTGTAGACGCTCTTCATCGGCGTTGAAATCGAGCTGCTGTACTATATCTCTTCGCACTGGTAAATCTAATCTGGAATGGAGTTTTAGTCTACGCAAAGTTGTCTCTGCGACTAACTGTTGAAGTTCCTGCAGGGACTCCTCGCCCCTCTGCCCTAACGATTTAATGATCCTTGACTGGAATGCCGAGCGGGTGCCATATGTATCGTGCTGAAGGAATTCGAGAAGCGACCCGTAGTCATCAAGTTTATTTTGTATAGGCGTGCCTGTTAGACACCAACGACTTTCCGACTTTAGTGCATATTTTTTTTTGCTTGCTTTGTAGACCTCTCGCGAATGGTGTGGGCTTTTCCCGGAGTTATTGTTAGCTCGGTATTATTCTAACTATTAGATGGGCGAGCTTAGCTCAGCACACAAGCAAGCCCACAAGACTAACCTTCGTCTAAAATTATTCTCCTCCAATAAAATGCTGAAATCTTTCCTGCCGTTCTGGATCTCGAATGCAAAGCAGCATAGGTAGCTATGGCTACATCATATTGCGCAAAGTTTATTTCCGGTAACTTCCCATTGACCGGCTCACAAACTATGTAGCTAAAGTTCGTTGTAAATCTTTTGATTTGTTCCTCCCATCCAGTAACGACTATTATCCGCCAGTGGTAAGCGTCTGTATCCGTTACAGGAAAACGTTTTGGGCTCTAAAAGAACCTGCCAAATGCAAGACTCAGGATGTCGCTACTCACCTGATTTAGGACATATGATTAATGTAGTGCCTAAACTCTGAGCACTGCTCTGATGTGGACTCATATCTCTACTTGTCGCAATAAGGGCTAAGGCTGTCAAGGTTTTCCCCATTCCCATCTCGTCTGCTAGTATACCTCCTTGGGATTTGGAAGAGCGACTTATTGGCGTAGGATACCCTTCTTTCTGCAGCATCCAAGCTAGACCAATATTTTGGTGCCTGGTTAAAATTATAGTTGAGTGGTTAATAGCTTGTATCGAGGTTGTATACTGGCTTAAGGCGGGAGTTAAGTTGATGGGGTGACTTACTCTTTCAGCTTGACAGTTATACTCGAGCTAACCTGTATATTCAGGTATTCTAGGCTGGGAGTATTTTCGGAACCTGTTGTGAACAAATCCGATATCTCATCATTTTGACCACGAAGCTCTTCGACAGCTGATTTCTTAGATTTGTTTCCAACCTGGTCCTGAGCAGTATATACATTTATTCCTTCTGATGCAAGCTTTTCTATTACTTCAGGGTCTGAGACCTCCAGTATATGCGGGTTTGAGTACCCAACCCCTTTTTTCTTTTCATACGGGTCTTGCAGGTACATCTCGCTGCTTAGCAAAGCCCGCCCAATGGAAAATCTTTCCTCTTCGAGGCAATATAGATCGACTGCCACTTGAAATTCAACAGAGGAATCAGTTTTAGTAACTTCAGAGCTTGATAGATAAAGTTTATAGTCGATTTCGAATCTGCTGAGGATTTCTTGAAAGCTAGTGGAGGCAGGTCGTTTGAGGAGCCCAAGGTAGTGCTTGTTTGCCCATAATTGCACTGAGCCGCCAATTGCAGAGAGAGAAAGTTCTTGCCCAGTGTTGATATTATCTAAGCTCATTGAGCAAGCATCCAAAAGAATCTGCAAGTTGTAAAAACGCCGTTAGTGTTCATCTATATACGAAGAGATGGCACCGAAAAAAGAAGTCATACTGAGCCTAAGCAGACCATCTCCTGGCTATAATCTTGGTTCGTGTTGAAATTTGATTCGGCAATATCTGTTGTTACTCTACAAAAATTAAGTCTAGGGGCCGGAAATGAAACCTGTGTATTAGTATCGGCGCAGTTAGGCGTCGGACGGGGACTTGTATCCCCAGTTTGTGAGATAACAATGTCGGATTCATAGTCGGAAGTGTATGGGCTTTGAACGACGAATCCGGGGTATGCGCAATCCGAGCTCCACGAGGAGTCATATTGGGAGTTTGGGTCGACCTCATATTCGGAATATCCTAGTTTACGGCGATGATATAGCTTGGGTCTTCCCGGATTAAGTCAAGTATATCTTAGTCAAAACATTTTTTTAAACAACAAAAAACAGGGCACCTTTGCCATAGCCTTGTGTGTGGGATATAGAGGGGTTTAGGAAACCGTGGGCTTATGACGAACACTTTCAAGTAAGGCTGGCATGCTGTATTGGCCTCAAACTGATCGGGAAGATATCTCTTGGAGGAACCCATAACAGTATGCAGCTAGTCTAAGTATTGTAGTGTCGCCTAGACGGAAGATTCGAACATGTATCCAGGTTAGTACTTCCTATAGTCAAGTGATGTGCTTCTATACGTAGGCGCAGCGCTTAGGGGCACGGACCCTAATTTACAAAGTTAGAAGGGAGTATTCACCTACGAAATCCTTTTCGTGGACCACGAGATGTACTGTGCTGGCGGGTAGGCACTGGTGCTTAGGAACTTAAGGTATGAGCGGTGAAGTTGGATCGGGTTACAACTGTCGAATGGAAGGATTTTGAAGCCTAAGGAGGTGGAGGTCAACCGGAAAAATAAAAACTCCATGGGGAGCTTTTTTATGGGGGGGGGGGGTTGAATGAGTTTATGAAGAGTTGTACAGCTCGAGCTCAGCCAACTTTAGGACAATTGTGGCAGTGTATGAAGCGAAGCCACTTACCCAACACGCGCGGGGTGATCGATGGTCAGTCAATTGAATTCTACTGCGTCCAATGCCGATTGGTTAACTTTCACGCCTGCCTGGGCAAACGAATTGGCATAGCCTTCTCGCAACTACCTAGGTATCATCTCCTAGATAGGACCAACGCCGCCTTGTCCTTGAATTCGATGGGGGTGTGCCTTTGTGTGCGCCAAACCTTGCATATGTCCACGTCAGTACAGTGATAAGGCGCAGAAATTTCTGGCAATGCCAGGCATAACTAGGGGGTTCGGTTGATAACAATTGATATCCATCTTCACAGGCAGAACGGCTTGCTCTCCCTTTATCGTACACAGTGGAGATCTCGCGTGCGTGCGATTGTTATTTCCGTTTCAGTGGCTCGGTACAGTTAGCCTCGAGATCAGACGTAGGGAATGGGCAGGGGGTCCAGTATATATAATCCGGAGCTCGTCAGTCGAACAACGTGCAACGTACAACCCGAAATTACAAATCGTGGACAAGCTAAGCGGAGCCCGCCACCTATCGCCATTGCGAAAGCCGTGGGGTTAGAACGCATCTGAAAACGAGCCGATTAGTTTCAAGTTTTTCTTCTTCTTTGGTACATCCCTATAAACATCCGGTATCGCATTACTCCATACCTCCTTCTATTCCGGAGAGTTGGGACTGACCTAGGGCTGGTAAGATCGCATACTAAGTAGCATCTATAGATTTACAGATTGGGAATAGTATACAAGCTGTAACAATGTCGGTCCCCATACCGACCTCAACTCCCTCACCAAGTCCTTTTGATGAAGCCCTACAAAAATTCCAAAGCCGATTATCTGCTGAGCAGAAGCAGCAATTCGGATCAACCAGCAGAAAGGATGTAGAGATATTAGCCGTAAAGCTCCAAGAAGAGCAGAAAAGCCGCAAATCCCATCGGGCACTTGGATTATTAAGGCCTTTTATCGACGGCCTTTCAGGATATGCTAAGATAATCGAAGTCTTCGCCCAAACAAGCGAGATACTATGTTTTGTCTGGGTAAGTTTCTTCATCAACAGGCAATTGAGATAGTATAATTTTCAGGCATCGGTGGAAGCACCTGCGTCAGTTCGATCGTTCGGGTCCCCTGTCAGATGCTAATACTATTGTCATCTACCTAGGGGCCTCTCAAGTTTCTATTACAGGTAAGACTAAAGGAGACTCAAACACCGTATATTTCTACACTGCTAGTCGAATCGATCGTCGATCAAATATTTTGCTTCTACATGCTTTGTGATCGAGTATTGAATTTTATATTTTGCTTCAATGGATCTGTGGATTGATGCTAATTTCAACTTATAATAGATTGGCACACAATGGCAGAAAGCTATTGATACACTGTTGGATGCTCTTTCAGCGATAGGCGAGAAGCTCTTGTTGTTTGAGAAGTGCACTGGTTTAATTTTGAAGGACTCTCGTTTCAGGGTAATACTTGTTAGGGTCTACACGGACATTCTGGAGGTACTTTGGACCGCAATGAAAGTGTTTGGGAAAAAAAGTAAGCTTAATTTAGACCGCATCTTTTCATTTCAACCCCAGCTTCCTGCGGAGTCGCCTATTAATCAGACACTAGTAAGTTTGAATTTGTATGCATTTGCTGACCATAAAATGTGAAAATCTAGCTCATTCTTGTGAACAAATTTTGCGGATACACTCCCCAGTCTTCGACAAAAAGCTAGCTGCTGTAATTTCAAACTTGGAAAACGACCAAAAGCTGATTCGGGACGCAGTGGTCGTTACTAACTTTGACGAAGCAGTACATTTTCACGCTAGTGCAGAGCAAGAGTTCAAAGAGGCTGAAAAACATCGTTTAATTTCAATCTCGCGACTCGACGAGGTGATGAGGTTCCATGCCAATGCAGAAACCGAATTCAAAGAAGCTGCGAAGCACCGCCTTTACTTGACCTTGCAGATCTTCCGCCAAGAACTTCAACCTGCATTACTTTCCACGCCCCGACTAGAAGATGCAAGAAAGATATCAAGAAGGAACCCAGAAGCTGGGGAGTGGCTTTACAACCATCTGGATTTCATTAACTGGAAAACCATAGCACCCAATTCAGACCCTGTTCTGGCGTTGTATGGTATACCAGGCGCAGGTACGTACGTATGTATTTGTATAATTAGTGTACATACGATAATTAATACGATGTTTAGGAAAAACAACTCTTTCATCGATTGCTTTCAACAGGGTAGAATACGACCTTACTCGTTGCCCTGACAGATACAGCTTAGCGCACCTAGCACTGGGATTTCAGTCTCGACAGAATAATGATTGCAACACGGCCCTAAAATCACTCCTTTACGATCAACTGGCGAAGTACTCTGAGTATGCTGAGACGGTTCTTGAAGTACTGGGCGGGGAATTTGCCCAAAAGTTAGGTTCTACTGAGGTGTTGCAGGACTTATTACAAGAGATCTTCCAGTTTCATCGACCAGTACTACTCTTTGTCGATGGGGTCGACGAGCTTCCCAACGATGCGGAAACCCGAAAATTCCTCGGAATACTAGAAAGTTTCCTGAAAAACTGTTCTGATATCAGATTATTCATTAGCTGCCGCCCGGAAGAGCTTATTCAGAAAAAGATACGAGCATGGGGTACCAAAGAGATTACGTTGTCTAATGCCCAAAACCGGCGAGACATAACAGCTTTTACTCTAGACCCGGAAAATATCCGCATTTTGGTTGAAGATTGCGGATATGACGATAAGGCTGCTGAAGGATATCTCAATGCGATAGTAGATAAAGCGGACGGTAAGGATGAAATGACAATCGTCATGTATAATTCACCATGCATATAATGGAGAGCTGAAGATCTAGTCGATGTAGGGATGTTCTTGTATGCAAAGTTGGTCCTGAACGATCTCCCCGACCTAGCCCAAGGACTACAAATAGATAATTTGATAGAAGAGCTACCCGACGGCTTGGACCAAATGTGAGTCTACCCAGTTAAAGTCTGCTCGTGTTTCTCATACGCTCACACGCGATATACGCGTATGTGTGTGGGGATGAGCTTCATGTTTATTGCAGCGGTACCTTACGGGCTCTGGTCTAATGATTTCCCAGTTATGACAGATCTTTGCAAAGGATCATTAGTTTGCGAAAGCCTAGTCGGAAATATGCGAAGAGAGTATTCAAATTTGTATTAGGGGGGCAAAGGCCCCTCCGAGCATCGGAACTTCAACAAGCAATGGTGATAGAGGAGAAAATAGACTTACTTTCAACAAAGCGCAGCATTTCTTTGCCATTGCTCTGTGGGTCGCTCATAGAAATAATGAATGATGACACTGTCTGCCTCGTTCACTCTTCTCTAAGGGAGTAAGTATAGAGCTTATTCGATGACGAACTCAAGTAGTTACCCATAGCTAATCCTTAGAAAGGTACCTCCTTACAAAAGATAATACACTGGGACTTCGCCATGCCACCATACATCGCAGCATCAGTGTTGCTTGTTTGACCTACCTGCAAAGTCTGGGAGCTGTCACAGGGAATAGCGATTCTTTTGGGTCACTTCTAAGATCTGGCGGGTTAGCAATGCTTTCATATACCTGCGTATCTTTGGTTTACCATCTTGGAGAAGGAATTACGGATCTTGGCTCACTATACATGAAAACTTTAAATGCTAAGCTAGTGGCTTTCGCCAAAGCAGCATACGGATTATGCAAAGGGGCTTCGATACCCTTAGTCTCCGGGGGCGACATTCGTTCTTCAATCTTCGAGTTTCTAAAAGCGTCCGCCCTTGACACCAAAGTTACTCCCCATTCCCAGTTATTCCAAGTTATTGAACTGTTCAGGAAACCCCGGATCGGAGAAGCACGAGATAGGAATACCCGTTTACGTGGCATTCAAAACAGACTTAACTTTATACATCAGAAGCTCAATACATCCCTCCAGGATTATGCAGAGGGCTGTGACTCTACCGAGCTACAGTCTCTGATTCGATTATATGGGCCTCCTTTCAGATGCACAGACATGAAATGCATTCATTTTCACGTCGGATTTCCTGATAGCGAACGGAAGCACCGACATCTCGATACCCACAATAGGAAGTTCAAGTGTCCTATCAAAACCTGTCCTTTTAACCAGGTTGGCTTTTCTACAGCAGAGTACCTACATCAGCACGATATGTCAAAACACCGAGCATTTAGTTACCCGGTACCTATATATAAATATCACGCGGGACAGAGCAATAGGCTAGAATCGACCGATCCAGCTGATGTATTTACGGTAATTCCAAGTTGCGCGAAGGCCGATCTCGATATTTCGGGGTTAATTCGCTTAGCTAAAGATAGCTTGAGGATGAGGGAAACAAACACGGCCTCCGCGATACTACGGGAGTGCTATATGTCCCCCAAATTAAGTTCTTTACATTGGCATGGGACCATAGACGCTGTATCGTCAGTGTTATCCAACCCTCTTTATATTTATCGCCAGAGGGGGGCGGGCCTTAGTGAAGCGGATTCCACCGTTCGAGAAGAGATGGCTATTTCAAGCTGGCATAACGCCTTTGATAAGGTCTTCCAAGACGGGAACCGCCAATTTCTCCCCGTTAGCACTCTAATTGAACATGTTTTGTTCTATGGCACACTGGATGTTCTAAAGGGACTGTGGTCAACTATTTTCACAGCGGCAATCAGAAGGGACCGTGAGCGGTATCTCGCCCTTGCAGTGATGGGAGCCAACGTATCCGCTGTTAGTTGGATCCTTAGCCGATTTCCACTGTGGTCCCCCTTTCATGCTTTGAATATGCATGTTGAATTCTTGTCAACGACAACGAAGGGACCCAGATTTCTCGCGAGGACTAATAATATCATCCCGGAGATCCTAAAAGTGCCGATTTGGTTTTTGGTCCAGTGGGTACAGGATGATAGCGTTGCTAGAACCTTCGAAAATCTGATGGGCTATCAAGAGCCTGGGAACCCTGTATATTCCTCTATTTTTAATTCGGATCTATTCCTTATTGCGAGCATTATCGAAGACCCAAGCTTGATTAATTTTGTATATTCGAAGACCGGGGTTCTGAGCCCATCGGATTACAAATTAGTCTTAGCTAGGATGATTTCCACCATCTCATCCCAGGAAAAGCAGGATCAGTTCTATAGAATCCTTTCTTCCCTGGAGTTGTCTCGTAACCAGACCCTGGAGGGGAATAAAGGCCTTTTTTGCGCCATCCCGATGGATGATACTCTGGGGCTGGCGCTATCGTTCTCTCTTCTGCTCGAGCCGTCATGGTCCGCTGAATTATTCTTACGGGGCCTCGTGAAGTCATTTGATTTGGGTGTCAGCGCCAGAGTTGCTGATGTTACAAAAATACTTGAACGTTTTGAGAGCATTCCGCCATATCTTACATGCCGTTCTAAAACCGAACACCTCCAAGCCGTTGATGCTGAACAACTTATGAGTATTATATGGCCCATCATAGGAATGACACCGACTGAAGACTACTACGAATTTTCTGTTCTCGAGCAGTTCGTTCAGGAGACAATAGATTTTCTTTCTTTAAGTTCGAAACGGGCTGGGCCATAGGATTGGGTGCAATTGTCGGCCGTCGTTAGGTGTTCCACCAAAAGTTTCATGTAAATTAGAGGTCTTGCCTAATTTTTTCCGATCTAGCTTTCCTATTCCATCTCCTCTACCTCTGCTTTCCAGGGAGTTATTTGATGATAAAGGAACATTTGGTGTGCATTTGAATAGCAAAGATTCACTTTAGTTGATTTATATTCAGTTTCATTTTCATATTTTCATACGCCGCCCCCAGACTATTTCACATGTTAGTCTGGAAGTCGTCCCTGGCGTTCGCTTCATATGTTTGTCATAAATCACAAAAGTAGTTCGTAGGGCACCCTTGTGCAGGTGACGTCACTAGCCGAATTGTCAGCCACCCAATTGAACAATGGCGCTCGGGCAGCTTGAAAAGGACGAGCTGCAAGTTCCGTTTTTCTAAAAGCCGAGAAACGTCATATATTATACATGCTTTATTTTGGGGATTTTAGGCATATGCAGGTTTTAAGTGCCGCAGTCAGTCAAGTCGGAAGATGATAATAGCTGTCTGGGAGCACTTAATTATAAATACTACCTATGTATATGTATTTACACGTCCGCCACGACAACTAAAAATTCGACCTTCTATGCCATGCCAAACCATTGACAGACTAACTAGAGAGTTTACAGTACATACGGAGCCTCCTTTCCCATCTTTTTAAAAAAAATGCCAGGCAAAGTATTCCCGTGGATGAAACAGGGTCGTCGCGAGCACACCCGCAATAACCCCAATGCTCGCGATACCCTCCCAAAATCTCGTCCTCCCAAATCCCGCCCTCCTCGTAGTACCCGGGATATCCTCTTACACAGTCTTCCTCAGTACTCTGGTCCCTACGGTGTAGGGATAATGGAATTGGAACTACCGGTCTCCTCTCCACGTTCCTTCGGCCCGGTCAAACGCAATGGCCGACACGCATTAACTCTCGAAACCATCCTGTTTAACATCTATTATCCAGCTGCATTAGGGACGGGGCGTGGGAAGGATCCTTCAGGCGAACACCACACGTGGTCGAGAGCAACATGGTTACCACGTCCCCGGAGCTTAACAGCCAAGGGTTACGCAAAGTTCAGCAATCTTCCCGCTCCCGCCATGCTAGCTTTCTTTGGAGCAACCTCGTGGTTTACGAAAATCCCGGCATATCGGAACGCTGAATTGGCGGCTCACTGGCCGCCACCACATTCGGCCCGGAAAGGTGGCGAGAAGGTGAAAAATACGGCTGGGACGGCACCAGAGGATCTACCCGAGGGTGCAAAACCCAAATTCCCACTCATAATTTTCTCCCATGGATTGGGTGGCAGTCGTTCGGTTTACTCTTCTGTCTGTGGAGAATTTGCCAGCTATGGTTTTGTCGTAATCGCGCCAGAGCATCGTGATGGCAGCGGCGCTCGTAGTGTGGTAAATTACGGGCCCGAGACAAGTTTCCTCTGGGAAGAAGTTCTACCAACGATTCGAAAACGGGCTCCAACATCCCCCACAAATCCGAATTTTTGGTCGGCTGATGGGGAAAGGGCGAAACGACTTGGTCGTAAACCAGCACGTGCGGCAACCGAAGCAATTCATAATAGTTTGAACAGTGATCCGGTAGAAGAATCGTCCCCTAGACGTAAATACATCCATCGCAAGAAGCGTGCTCTTACCGTGACAGCATCAAAAAAGCGAAAATACCGAACGGTGGATTATCTCTGGCCCAAGGATAATCCATATGATACCAACCCGACGAACAAGATAGATACCGATCTCCGCACAGCACAAATCAACATGCGAAAGGCCGAGCTCGCCGAAATATACAAAGCTATTCAGGTTCTCAATTCCGGCGACGGAGAGATTCTTTCACAAATGAATCTATTAAAGAAGGGAGCAGCCGGCGCTTCCAGCCGAGGCCTTGATGGGGTTAACTGGGAGAAATGGCAAGATCGCATACGTATTGATAATGTTACGGTCGCAGGGCATTCATTCGGTGCCGCATCAACAATAGAAGTCTTACGGAATCCAGAGCAGATATTTGGCGAAGTCCCAGATTCCCTACAAGGCATCATCTATGACCCCTGGGGCGCAGCAATCCAACAGCCTGAATCGCAGGCTGCTAAAATCCGAACCCCTTTGCTAGGGATCAATAGCGAGGCGTTTATGCACTGGGCCGATAACTTCGAAATGGTAATGAAGGTCTTCGAGGAAGCTACGAAGAATAATGAAAATTGCTGGATGATGACGGTGAAAGGTACAGTCCATATTTCGCAAAGCGATTTCACTGTGGTATATCCTCGACTTTGTGCCCTCCTTTTAAAGGCAAGCGCGGATCCCGAGCGAGCGATCGATATCAACATTAATGCAAGCCTGGAGTTTTTGAAACGGATAATGCCAGCAAATATCGCTAAGTGGAATCGGGTAGATGAAGAAGGATTGTTGGATGTCAGAATCATGAGTTGGGAGGACGAAGATAGATTTGAGAGACGTCCGACGGAGAGTGGGATTGCCAAAACTCTCAAAACACAGAAGGGCTTACGGAGCCGAATCCAACCGCAACTACCAACGATTTTGAGGCGCAGATGGAATCGTAGGCAAAAAGGCGGTATGGAAGAAGAGATCTGGATGCATCTGAAACCTGGAGAGGCCCACAGCCTCGAAAATGGCGAGCCATTAGAAATTTTAAAATGGGCTAAAGCTGAATAGATTTGTAGATTTATGGGCAGAACAGTTGAAATCGCGCCTATGATATGTTTATGTTTCTTCGAAATTTAATCAGAAAGTCGATTCTAGGTTCTAACAGCAAAATTGTGGTATTTCCATACCGCCAATCACACACACTGTTATTCTTTTCTTTCTACATGTGACGTTAAATAAAACTTCTGCGCCGGAGTTTGTTCGGTGTTTCAGAGCCCTATATGTCCCTCACTTTCAGCCTTGTAGTCTTTTGTTGTATTCATCATACAACCCATTGCCTTGGGAAATGGGACGAGAGAGCCTCTTCTCTGCGACATATATATATATATAAGTATATATATATGCATAGAGAGGATATATAAATCCTGAAACCTGTAGCTATAGACCCCAACATTTGCCTTCTCGTCGAAATCGGCACATATAAGCCAAATGTCAATTGAAAAAAACTTTTGTTTTTTTCTCTAGCTATATTTTATAAGCCAGTTGGCTAATAGTTGTGTCTGTGTGTCAGTTTATAATCTAATTCTGACAGACTTAGCTCGGCTTGCGCAATTGCACGGTTAATGGTCGCCCGGGGGCGCCCGAGTTTGCTTTCTGTACAGCCACCAACCTTCCTACTAAATACCCACCGAGGTGCAGCGTTACTACCATAAACATACATCTACAAACTAAATCTAAAACAACCATCTACCACAACACCAACGGGAGTGTTATAGCGCCCTTCATTTAGTTCTGTATTACTACTTGTCAGGCAATCAATGTGCCGTCAAACTAGGTGCGCTCTTTGTGGTCATATAATTCATAAATCACAATAGGGTTCCGACCATAAAAATTGGCAGAATCGGAACGTTCTGCTGGTATAGTTTAAAAGCAAATATACGCAGGTAGGTATAGCTAACTAGGTTCTAATTTACCCGATCAGAAAAGCGGCTCAAATAAGCTAACCCCTTGGTATGCTTGAATATTAGCCTAGTAAATTCCGCCTTGCGGCATCCCCACATCCGAATCGTTAAGTTCAATATACCCTGCAGTGCAGTGTAGTGACGATTGGATATTTAATATATATTTTTATGCAATAGCCTTATAACAGAAATACAGCCATATTAAATGATATCTTAGCACCTATTAATATAATATCAAGATTAATATTTATATGATTTTTCGGCCGAGTGAAGGAAGGAAGGAAGGAAGGAAGGACCATGACTGACTCGTAAGAGCAATTATAATTGAAGAGTAATATTTTACATGACTGGCATGCATAAGCTTCTGCTTAGAGACTGGGGTCATCGATGGCTGTCTTGCGTGTCTTGCCCAGCTATATACCGAAGTTATATTGATGGTCAGAGCTTACTTACAGTTGGGACTGCGGGGTTAACGCGGTTAATATACCGAGAGCAATTATTCGGTTCGGAGCCTCGGGACGTCTCTCCTGATCCCTGTTCTATATTACACCACATGAATGGTAGTATATATCCCGCTTATCCGTATATTATATATCAATATTCTCGAAATTAATCTATAGCTACCTAATAAATATACAGTTAAAAGAAAGTTATTTAAGAGGCCATCGCATCACCGAAGCAAATTCTTTGAGTTTATAACATTTAACTCCTGATCACGATATATATATATATATATATAGCTATAGCTATAGTAGACCAAGCTAGGCAGCAAAATCTATATTATACATACCCAAAATCGAGCACCTTTACGGAAAATATTAAATATGTTAAGCCCTTCGAAGATACTTTCAGTGGCTCTGTTCGCTGTAACTGCCCTAGCTAAAACGACACCTTCGCCGTTATGTCCAGGGCCTACCCAGACAACCGTCACCAGATGGCTCGCCACTGAAACTACAACTACAACTCTATCGACCACCACTGTAACCAACGGAATATCGTCATTGGGGAAGGTTACATCGACACAGTCGTTGACAGAGATCCGAGTGATCACCACTCAAAAGACCATTTACTCTCCATCAGAGGTCACAATCCCCGGTAAGTATACGGACACGTAAATGTTTTTGGAATCATGACCAGCCATTCTAAATCAGTGCAAAATGCACATTTCAATATTCTAATACTATTATATATATTGTTAGCAACTACAATCACATCAACTGTTACTGGTCCTACCACGACTTTGGTTTGGTTCACTTCAAGGTCAACGAGTGTTCTCTCAGGAACCCCTCCAGCGTCTCTGTGCCTCACTAAGACCTGTACATCGACAATCGAAAAAACCCTCACTACCACTTGGACCAACCCTCTCTTCTACGACACGACTTGGACTAGTACCGTGGGGCACGTACTCACACAGACCAAAGTAATTCTAACGACGACGACACGTACGGTTACGACTCCAGGAGGGACAACCGCGCTTACAACAATTGTTTACACCGCCACCAATTATCCGGTCGCCATCACGGACACGACAGTTTGGATAACTCAATATGCCACAGCTGCGCCGACAACTTGTATCTGGTAGAATGGGCCAATTCAAAAATTTGCTTGTGTGTGGCTACAGCTGAGGCGAAGCCTGAGAGATATCTAGATACGTATACGTACATGTACATGTAGTATATATCCCAGTTCTAACATCATAATGTACTATCAGTCAATTTTTCGATCATCTGGCTAGATGCTGCGTCCCCAAGCAACAAATCTAGACTGGTCAGTTTTCTCTTGACTATATGGTCATGTACCGTCTGATTTTAAGCTAGAACTACTATAAACATTGCTTCTTAGCACCTATTTCAACCAGGGGCCAGGCAGCCTGATTTACGAGAGAATAAAAATTAGTTTCTAACAAAACAATAAAAGATTTGGTGTTAGTCTACTTTACTGAGCATAGAGGGCGGCGCTGACCATAGTTGCAATAGTTTGTGCCTTCAGAAATTACAAGTTTTTGACCGGACTCAAATGCATGATCATATGATTTTACAGGCGTAGAAACATTTCCAAATTTACTTCGTGTTATTCCTCCATTCTTTATGACAGACTCTATATTTAACAGTTCCATCATTCAGGAGCTGGTAATGGTGCACCAATTGTAGGAAAGTACGGCTAGAACCTGTGCCCACACTTCGACGCGGTAAAAATTGTTCTATAAAGAAACCTGTATGGCCCACTACGTGTAAATCGCATCTCTTCCCGAATATCTTGCTATCCCTCATCTGCAGAACGGTAAACGGCTGGAGCAGTAGACAACTAGCTACTAGGCAGACATCTCTTTTCATACAATATAAATATTGTCTACAAACTCGAAAAGTCAATTGATATCTTAAGGAAGCCTAAAACCAATCTTTGGTAGTTTGAATCACTTTATAAATGTGTCGAAGTATCGTGCGCTAATGTGAAGCTGTTTGATTTAGACGACGCTCGCAAACTTGTCGCGTGAAGCCAAACGCCAATAGTCATCCCGCTAACAGAAGGGTTGATATCAGAAATTTTGTTCTAATCATGAGATACTGGAGTAGTCGCCCGAATAAAAGCTTTGGTGGAGGTCTTCAAGTTTTCATATCCCTTAATATCGCATTCTTGAGAGCCCTAATCCATCAGGGTCGTGTGCTAGCGGTGGCCCCGAATTTTTCTGCTGCCCATATCCCCCAAAGCTTTACTGGCAAATCGATAAATACAGATTCAACGTCTGAATCTCATACTCTGGGAAGGGTAGAAGATCGATTCGAAGATAACTATGCGCTGCCAGACCTTGAAGCTAGGGTCCGCATACCACGTCCAAGTTACCTCATCGCAGAACGTTTAACTGTTGAGTGTCCTTCCGCCAGGCGTGTCTTGGAACAAGGTCCCATGCCAATTCCTGAAAGTAATAATGGAATAGGACGTCATAAAATGGAAGCTATTCACGATATTATGGTGAGCTTCGAGACACGTCTGGATCTTGTCCGCTCGTACCATGAAGGTTGCCGGGGATGTCGCTGCAATCAAGAAACTGGGATCATTTCATCAGGAGGGGACTGGAATCGACTTAAGGCGGAACGCGGGGCAGGTAGAAAAGGCCCCCTCTGCTACGGTTCAAAATTCGCCAATGGGTGTGCTTTTGTCTTTAGTAAGTTTTGCTGAACCAACTTCGTCTTTTTTTGTCCTTTTTCAATGGCTTTTAGTCTAGCCCTTTTCCAATCGGGTAATCAAGCTGGCTTTATGATATGATCCCTGTAATAGTTTTATGGAATACGCCTTATAATATAAGGTGCACAGGGTGGCCTCCGAGGGGTAAAGCAATCCATCAAAGACTATAGCAGCCATTTCAGGTTCTTGAGTTAACGGTATCTCAAGAGGAGTGCGTATGCTAACACTTTAATAATGGGGCGCTTTAGAGTGCTATTGCACAGCGCCGCTGCGCACGGAGTTTTCCAGTACTCAGGTGCCAGGGGTATGGCGGACTGTTCACGACATTCAACAAGCCTTGGATGATTTACCTCATACGGTTAGGTATGACCCAAGGAATGAGGGCTGGAGGGCACAAATCCCAACATTTACCGACACGAATGGCCGGGGAGACTTTAGCCTCCGGGAAGGTCTTTTTATTCTGGATTCAAACGACCGTCCCATTGATGGAGGCGACCTTGTTGTGAACGATCAACTTGGCCAAAGTCAAGATTCCAATGATGATGAGCCTTTCATGCTCTTTGGGGCTGAAGAAGATGACTATTATTGGAGGCGAAATCCCCTGTGGAACGGGAATGACTTTGGGCCAGGAGGATCTGGTGGGCCGGGATCGATTAGTAAAAGAGATTTCGTAACAGAGAGCACGGCAGCGGACGAGGTTCTGCAAGGCGTCACAGCAGTCCAACGTTCGGCCAAATTTAAGAAAGGCTGGGCTAGCTAAGAACCCGGGCTAACCCCCGATCAAGGGTTATTTGGAGTGACCTCGCAAGCAATGTACTAGAATTCAATCTGTATGATGGCAACTTAATTAATATTATGATTTTGCTGTTGCCCAAAGTCCGAGGGTTGCCAGAACGATAATCCCACCTTTTCCCCAACATTGCCCGTATACGTATGCGCTGTTTCACGTTTTTGATTTCTGATTGATTTTTAATTCATTACTACTTGGTTGATACCTACGGTTAAGCCCCTTTAAGCCTTTCCAGCGATAACCATATATATATATATGCGACGGAGTTAGTGCTTTTAACTATCGATCTGGAATTCACATTTTGTCTTTAAAGTTACCACCAAAAGTATTCTGTATCCTAATACTAGGCATTTTGTTTTTCGATATCTAGTTTCTGCCGCAAAATCTAGTTCATTCGTTATTTGTATTAAGGTTATATCGAACCTCTACATAGAAAGGTATCGATTCTATATTCCATTTTCCTGTCGATATATCGATTAAACTTCTTCAACTGTGAGGGGTCCAGAGGATCTTCCTCTCGCAGCCTCAGCCTCAACGATAGCCTCCATCCTCTCAAAGCTATCCACTCTCAAAATAGCACTCTCCCTATCTTTTACCGAACCTCTCCTCCCTCCGGCCCCCATATACTGTGCAGCGGCTGTGCTAGAACTCGCAAAGCTCGATGATCCAAAGTCTGAACCCTTTCTCGGACTACCATCCTTCATATATTCTTTATAAAAAGTCGAATTTTGTGCCGAGGACCTAGTTCCAAGCACCTCCGCTCTTGTGCTTTTACTCCTGTTCGCGCTGAATTTACTCCACCGTCTTCGCACTAGCGCTTTAAACGTCGGCAGACAGCAGACCACGACGCCAACTGTTTGTTCTAAGGTACCCCAGGCGTTAACAATACTGACGATTGGGGTGTAGTGAGCGGTGACGATATATGTGGTTCGACTAATTGATATAACGACCCCTAGGAACCCAACTGCGAACATTGCTGCAGCCGCATAAAACTTCTGTTTATTGTTCCTTTTTAAAACGTGGAGGAAAGAAAAAGGGAAGGAAAAAACTATTTTGAGAAGTCATCAGTAAAAAGACAGTCCTTGAAAAATATTGGAGGAAGAGCTTCCTTCACTGCAATGTGATGGTTTATAATTAATTAGGTTTGGACAGCCGGGGATGCCTAGAACATACTCAGAACTTCTGTCGAGCAATGTAGACTAACTGTAACGACAAACGCCCCCCTTGAAAAATACGCCAGACAATTCTTCTCCTTTGTTGGGTACAGATCCCAATTCAGCCCGATTGGATGACACCAAAAGAGATTTGCCGCCACCATCGTAATTCCCGCCGTAACTGTTAACACTGCAAGGCAATGCAGTGCAATTCTGTGCTTCGGAAGCGCAGACTGCGGTACTAGCTTGTAGTACAATACTATCAAATAGATCTTCACCCCCCACCAACTGAGATAGTAAGGAAACAATGATGCAAACAGAATCTTCAGTAAAGCTTTCAGCGGGCCGGGGGACATGACGTGGTAAGCTGACCGAGGGTCATTAACATCAGGGATGAGGTTCATATCGTCGAGGCCATTTTCCATTACCACCGTTATTGTATCAGAGAGATTTGCGAGGTATATGAAGAATATGGTGATAGATATAATCCAATCGCTGGCTCTCCATCGACAATTTCGGAGCTTATAACCTTCGAATCGAGCATTTCGGTTACGCATGTAGAAACGAAGAATAACGAATCCGGTTGCAATGGCGGCAAGAACCCATGATACTATCTAACAAATCATGGTTCCATTATTAGTATACAGCGTGCAAGTTCGATAAAATCAAATTTAATATTATTCTGAGAAAGGAATGGAAACTTACATTGACGACCAACGGCTTAACCGACAGCATAGCCTCTCCATTGAGTCCGTTAGGATTATTGCTTCGTTACAGTGTATATGACCCAGAAAATGGCTCCCTGGCCTAGAGATTTGTATGCGCGGGATTTTCTGCCAGTTCCGAGGTTGGGATTGTATTAATTTTGACGGCAGGTCTTAACCATAGATTTTTCGGTTGACTATATATATACGTATACGATGTGGCCGCGTGCCAACAGTATTGTGCTACTATAGCTTTAACTCTACTATAGCAGGTAGTCGCGATTGAGTTCTATCTGTAGTAACTATCGGGAACACATGTGCTTCACGTGAGAAGGTTTCGCGAAAAGCATTTATAAATACCGTCCTGTGTCGCTCGTAAAATTGGAAGGTTTAATAATCTCTCTTTACCTCGCAAATTTAAACTTTAAATTCACCACCATCGATGTCGACGCATGTCTTGGTCTAGCGTGCGGTCGACTAAACATCTCCACGATTGCTTGTGCCATGGTATGCATCTTAATATGTGAAAATCTTTTCTCTTTCAGTATATTAGGACAGATATTATGTATTAAAGACTTTAATAACCATAGAGAGCGTCTATAAAAACTGTTATTAACCTAAGTACAACTATACGGGTTGTATATATATATAACGTCCCATATATGCCAAAAGTTTCTACATTAAATAGAAAATTGCGCTTCCAAACTACATGTAATGATGATTTATTTTATGTTGAGCTAGTCACCTACTTAATTAATTAACCACTTACGTACTTTCAAAATGGACCGCGTCTGCAATATTATAAACTTAATTATATACTCTATTCGGCAGGGGTAATATTTCCTCTGCTAGTTTACAAACGATCATGTCGGTGTAAGAGCTTAGTATCAATCTAAAATAAAATAAAGTAAAATAGGAGCAAACGTCATCTGGGTAGGTGGGTATGAGATAAATCTAAAAGCTTTTGACGCATGTATTTCAGGACGCCAGACTTACCTAAGTACAGTAGGTATGTATTTTTAGAAAGAAGCCCGCCCCGTTTACAAAAGACGTCCTGATAAAGCCAACTTTGTCGCAAAATACATATAACAAATTTTGGAATCAAAATGCCTATCCCATATGCCGCTGACCTCAATGAGAAATCCGCACGAGATTATAGTAGTTGGGTCTACATACAATCCTAGCCTCGAATCCAACACAATAATCCACAGACTTAGAGATTTACAAGCTTACAAATTTACATGTTTCGGATATATTTCACGCCTACAAACTTAGATCCCATCGAAGGAAGCAGACACTTCGTTCACAGCAAAAACAACGGACTCAACCACAGCTCTCCCCGCCTAACCCGCACTGGATGATTGAATCATCAGATCGTCCGTATGTAACGGGTTAGGAAGGCTTTACTGGGCCGTCCTCTCCATTCAAAATAAAAAAACAAAAAACGAAAAAAAACGAAAAACAAAAAGAAATAAATAAAAACCGCCACCACCCCCCGACGCACTACCAGAGGTTCACCCTCCCCACCCCATCCATCTGGTAGTCGTCCAACATCCACGTCAGACCCCCACAGTCGGGCTTGTACGCCAACAAACCAAGCACCGACGACCTCGCCACCCCTTCCCTCACCCCCTCCCAAATCCCCTCCTGACTCCTCCTCCAAACTTCATCCCCCTCCCACAACTCTCCTCTCAACGACACCCACCTCCCCAGCCCCGGAGCACGGTCGTTATGTGGCGGAGATCCACCGGACCTCGCCACAAACACCGTCTCCTCACCCCCCCTCGCCAATGTCACCCTCAGACATGGCCTCTCCTCCTCCAGCACCTTCTTCAACTCCCCCTCCTCCACCCCTGGCTGGTGTCTCAGGATCAGCTCCCTAAGGCTGCATCCTTGCCACGGATATGGGATACCCCGTAAGGGGCGCGACGAAATCTGCCCCGGAGTGGAAGGCTGGCCTGACAGTTCAAGGCCGCAGATCATCCGACACGAGGTAAGCACGCATCGCATGCTCACGTCGGTCAAATTGACCCCGCCTCGAACGGCCACCCCTACGAGATCCGGGCACAGCTGAATCAGCTTACAGAAATCGTCATCCACGATATCCAGCTGGCCCCCCCTCACCTCCAGGTACACCAGGCTCCTACACAACCTGACATCCCCGCTCACCCTCTCCAGGATCCTCGCCGCAGCGCCGGTTTCCGTTGCAACAACAATCAGTTGCGTAGTGTCATCTGGAATGGGAACCAAGGGCTCCCACTCGGTGACAACCACAACTTGATCGTCATCGCCGCCGTCCTCAGCTGGCAAGACCTTCTCAAAGTCGGAAGGATCATCAAACTCAAGGAGATCGACGCCTTCCCCTACGATCTGGTCCTGCTGGCCTCGGGCAGGCCCCCATTGCTGCAACTCCCCATCCAAATCCTCCCCCTCCCACGCTATCATTTCCTCCTCTTCCTCGTCTTCCCGAATCCGCAGCTTCCCCCGAAGCTCGGCCACCTCCCCCTCTAACCTACTGATCATCCCCGCCATCCGGACCACCTCCCTCCGGTCCGCCTCCCTCTGATGGCTCAACCGCCGAATCTCCTCCTGCATGCTGGATATCACATCCAACAGCCCCTCCCTCCCCTCTTCGGTTTTTTGTTTTGAGGAGTTGTCCTTCTCCCCACCAGAGAGCGGTTTAACGTCACTCTCTGGCGCGACGAGTTTTTTAACGAGGTTTTCTTTCCTCTCAAGGGGTTTACCGTCGCCCAGGCAGACTGGTTTGTTGAGGAGGTTTTCCTTCCCCCGAACGCCCAACGCCTTCTTCACCAACTCATTCCCAGGCACATGCCACCTCGGGATGTCCCCAGCAGGTCCAGTTGACTCTACCGGGATGAGCGGATGCCCAGTGCCCGACAGATAACTAGACTCGCTAGGGACATCCCGCTTACCGTACTCGAAAATGGTCCCCAGAGCCTCCACCACCGCCTCGTACACCACGCCTACCCCCACAAACTTTGCCACTGCCGGAGCGACCGGCCCCACCCAGACCTTGTTCAACAAGTCAACTGCCTCCTTGCGGGAAACAGTTGGACTCGTATTCCAAGGGTAGGTGAACGTCTCCCTCCCAATCCGTACGTAAACAAAATCGAACTCTGCAGAAACTCGAATCATCTCACCATCGATTCGAAATTGTCTGCAATAAAATCCGTTGTCTACTGGTGATTTAAACTCTTCGACCTCCATCGGCTGACCGTGCATCGGTGATGATCTTCCAGATCCGCATCGCCCCCCGTGAATCGGGATATTTCCATCCGGGTTAAACGGTTTATTAACATTCCCATCATATCCAGAATGATTGTCATCATCATTACTGATAACAAGCGAGATAGGCTTCTCATTTGCGGTTATTGGGGCATCTGGGGGCAATCCAGTGTAAGTATCTGCGTCAATTTTCCCTTCCCTAATCAAAAACTTCAGCCTCTCTTCGAGGTGATCGTAGGCGAGATGTAGCCTGGCTCTCAAATCCATCTCAGTAATGGATGGACAATCAATTGTAAGGCTGTCAACGGATACTCCTTCTCTTTTACTACGGGCGAGCCGGTCTCGAACATAGCGGTAACGTTCGTCTTCTTCCTGGATGTGATCAACGAGCACGATGCGTTGGCGAGAAACTGGATCGCGAGTTATGTATATAACACGAATTCCTACCCCAGAGGAGCGCTCAAATACCGGGAACCTTTCTTCCCTGTCTTCCGTATTTTCTGTAGCTATAGATACATCGTCATCGTCATCATAGGATGCATCAAAACCATAACTTTGACGATCAATGAAATCATGAAAGCTATTGCCATTGGCAGCGTAAATATCAGGCTTCTCCTAAAACCTAATAGATTCGGCCATTTCGGCTGAAGATCTGAAATCCTCGCATGGATCATCGTTAACATCAACATCGGAATTTTTGCTGTGTAGGCCATCAACAATGACGCTAAACCTCACAGCGGCTATTTCGTGATCGGGATCATGGATTTCTTTATCAGAGAGAGGATGTTCACTAAATCCATCGACTCCATCAGCAGGATGAGGTCGCTTTTCACATTTATTGTCAGCATCTTCCCCACGCCTTTGATGTTTGTAACCTTTCCGTTGGACCAAGATGTGAGCAGCTGATTCCTTGGAATCATCACACACATAGTTTGGAAAAATGGGGGAAAATTTGTCAGCAGCCGAAGTTTGAGAGCTATAGTGGTAAACAACTTTCTGCTGGTGCACCGAAGAGACCCATGTTGTAGGATTAATGTAGCTTCCGTGCTGGTGATCAGTCCACATGACGGTTTCGGGAGGGACTCCTTTCATAGTTTCGAGGAAGACGAAACAGTCCTTTTCAGCAGATGTGATTTTCCAGCTCGTAGGAGAATAGCGAAAAGTTTGAGGCGTAGTAGCCATACCCTCGGTTCGAGATCGGGGTCCCGGAGGACCCGCAACTTCGGATAGGGGAGCGCCGTCGTCGTTCCCAAAGGCGAGGAGAGAACCACCGGCTTTAATAGAATCGAGTTTCCAAGAAGGGAATTTCAAATCGAGAGCAAGATTTTCGAGAGTGTCGGCAGAAAGACGATGGGGTGGCTCTGAGTTCAGGAGGGATAATTCGCTGTCGTGACAAAGAACAGACTGTTGCAAATGCTTCCTGACATATTCAGTTGCGTTGACAAGAGCAGGAACAGGGTCGAAATCTTCTGGGAGGGAAATCGTCGAACAGCTCGAGTTAGAGCTCTTAGTGTCGACCGTGATATTTTCGATTCCCATGTTGTGTTTGATCTCAGTAAGCTTGATGCGTTTGGAAAGTGGTATGTTGCTTGGAGCAGTCTCCGAGAGACCGGATAATGGGTTTTCGAGAACGACTTTCTCGCACCTGGCAGCAGAAGCCGCAGCAGAATGTGACGATTGCGACGACATCTCGGATAAGTGATGAAACTAGCGGGACCATCGCAATAAAACGCGTCAGAAGCAGCTCCTTTCGATAGAGGAAGATGATATAGTCTTGGGGCCAGACTTGATTAGTAACTTACTTTGCTCAACTAAAGTCTTTAATGGTGGTGAAATTCAAAGGTCCCAGACGGATTTAGGAAGCAAGGAAATTCACAAGAAGTCTAGGTCTGAATCTAACAGACAATTCTTTAGAGCAGCAGAGACTATCAAAAAGCACAAAGAAGTGGTGGGCTCCCTGTGATTGGTTTGGTGAGGCTTGAAAGGGCTTGAGATCGGTTTTGGTGCTTGTGACGGCTTAAAGGCTGGCTTTTTATTGATAGAAGTCTGAGCTGAAGCTGAAGATGGTGAGTGAAGTGAATAGAAGAGGGAAGGGAGGAAAGAGTACGGGGAGGGGCTCTTTAAAGATAAAGGACCTCAGAGTAGTGCTCAGCAACGGGATTCCACACTCTGTATACGTAGGTAACACTTGTTGCCATAGCATCAGTGATGACATTCAATTCAGTGTAGTGACTTCGCCATGACCTTCTAGCAGCTTCTGTATTCATCTATTCACCGTTCCTCTACCGACTCTGTTTTCATTGAGTGTCTGCGTTGTCAACTTGTCACATTGTCTTTCTACCCAACGTCCTCCCATCTTCATCCTCTTAGCAACGTTTTCCCCATCAATCACCACCCCGTCTCCATTCTCATCCAGTTTTCCCACGTCCAATCATAGCATCATCACCGTAGACACCATCACAGCCTTTCATCCATTGAACTATTATACTCATCGTCGCCATTGTTACCATCGCCATGGCTTCTATCATCAACGTCAACCGCCCTAAAAGGTTCTCAGGACCCCGTCCCCGTGCCTGCAAGTACTTCTCAAAAGGTCAATGCACCCGCGGCAACTCTTGCCAGTACTACCACGAAACTCCATCAACAAACAGCTCCCCCGGTCTCCGGACAATTGAAATAGACCTTTCCGATCTAGAGTCTCTCAACTCCGCTGAGCTTGAAGCCTTCAATCTCGAAGATGATGGTCCTATCAGTCTCTCAGAATTACACCCAGAGTCAATAGCCTACAAAAAATACCAACACCCACCAACGCTGTCGACCCAGATCCTAAACTTTAAGGATCAAAAGTCCTACAGCAAATCCCGTTTGACTCCGGCATACACACATCTTCAATTCGGTTCTGGGTTTCAAGTTACAGATAGTCATATTCAAGACCTTCTTTCTTGCCCATCTATGTTGAAATCTTTGGAAGTTTTTGTGATAAAGGGCGTTGATGGGAGTATCACCACTACTGGGAAAGGGAAGAAAAAGAAGAAGATAGTAATAGATCCAAAACCAATTGAGATCTCGAATGAACCCCTGATTACTGTCATTCGACAATTGCGCTGTTTGAGGGTACTTCATCTAATTGGGTGTACTAAGCTTGACGATTATGTTTTCAAAGCTATCGCTCAAAGCTGTCCAGACCTCATGGAGCTAAAGCTAACTGGTAAGTTTTTTCTTTCCTCCGAGAAGCCTTTCGCATCCCTAGGCCCGTTCCTAGTCTCGAGGCCAGATGCCAGCATACCAGACCCGTTCCTTGCACTCTCAACCCTTCTGGACTGAACTACATACTTCCAATTCCTGGAATCGTTGCCAACACGTAAAAAAAATCCAACATCCTCAAACCAGCAAATCCCTGCGACTCGCTTCCCAATCCAGCGATCTCAACCTCGCTAACGAAGTTCGCGTTACACAGGCACGCCAACCCACCCAGGCAACCTCACAGCTGCCAGCCCCGTCTATATCGTTACAAAGGGCCCTGCCTATCTCCCCTCCATCCGCCAAATCCACCTTCAAAATCAGGCCATTCACTCCGAAGGCATAACACTACTATCCGATGCCCGACCACTCGCCAACATTCTCGAGGGCGTCCAATCCACCCTCCCAAACAAGGGGGCCGGTTTGACCCTCACCAGTCTAGAAGGTATCAGGGTTCACCACAGCAGTTATGTTGTGGCCCTGGGGGAGAAGAAACTCAAGTTCAAGGAGTGCTTCGCCCCGAATTGGGATGTAAACAAGGGCGAGCAGCCGAATGAGGAGGCTATCGAGAAGTTGTTGGCGGGGGCCAAGGAGCTCCCGGGTTTCTGGGGGGAACTCGAAGAGTCCGCAAAAGAGGCGAAGGTCAAGAGAGGGGAGGGAGGGGCAGAATGGGGGGCTGACGACCACTCAGAGGAGGGGGAAGGGGAAGACGGTATCCACCATGTGGAGATCGTCAAGGGTGGGGAGTCCGAGAGCCAAAAGCTCTCGGATAACCTCATCCTCGATCTCACGGATGCAATTAAAAGATTGCATCGGGATATCGCAGATCTTGTCTAGTTCCTCCTTCTCTTTTCTTCCTTTTTACCATCCCCACCTCCGCCAATACTACTACCACTACTGTTACTACTATTACTGTTACTAATATTAATACTAAAACTACTATTACTATTGCTGCTCCTGTTCCATTGCTACCATTCCTCCACCACTATTATTATTGGCCTTGTTGTCACCGCTATTTCGGGGAGCCGATGGTGTACCCGCGATCTAGAATGTAATCATACCTTAGTAGGCAACCTGAGCCACCGTTAGATTTGGTTTCGATTCTGGAGATAAAACCAAAAAAAAACCCTAATCAAAACTCCTAAAATGAACGACATACCCAGCCCCCCCGAGTTTTGCTGCTTTTTTTATGAATAATCGTGCAGGTGCGACAATATTCGTGGTATATAGCGGAGCGGCCCTTCCCACTGAAGCAGCTTGTGGAAATCAAAGAGTACTAGTAGTAGGCTTTATGAGAATCCGTCTATAGATCAGGTCACCACGAACTGGAACTAGGTACGGAATCCTCGAGCCTATATTATATCACAAAGAATATTAATAATTCTTCGAAATGGAGAAGTTAACAGAACGACCTTATCTCGTAAACCAGAATTAATTGCTGCTGCGGAACGACCCTGACCTGAGGTCTGGGTTTGATTCATTAAAATATTTAAGCACAATAAATACATAACTACTTTAAAAACATTAAACAGACTAAATCAAAGAACAAGAGCTTAGGGGAGAAAAAGAATCCGGTTAAAACAGACCGGAAAGGGGTGTAAGAGATAGAGCCTTGGTGGCTCTCTCAAATACTTTGGAGCTTAACAGTCCTAGGGATAAAATTTCCCTTATTTGAGTAAACGGCGTGAAGGGCAGGAGCCCGGACCGAGGCTGGTTTTGAAACCGAGCCTGAAGATGTTCTCTCATCAGGAGTAGCAGCTGGTCGGGTCTTCTGAAGAAGGCGGCGGTCGTGAGAGAAGGCACAACGCTTGCCTGGGAACTTGCAGCTCCCTTTGTTTCTCAGATATGGACAGAAGATGTCTTTCCTGCCTATCCCCAAAATTTTAACGCGTTAGTAAATTCACTACCACGCACGAGGGGGGAATCCCATGCATTTTGAAAAAAATATGTGATTATCTGTCAGAAAGAACTTACGCTCAACTTTGGGCTTTCCGTGTCCAACTTCCCGAGAGGGTCCTTTTCCATGGCTCGGGATGGCATTCTGGACGTTTTGCAAGGCGATCTGGAGACTATAGTCCCGAGGAATGACCAACGGCGGTTCAAACGCCATGGCCCATTGATATGGAGTATAGCCTTGGAGGCGTTCCGTAAAAAGGCCCTGAGGCATGGCGGAGGGGGCAAGGGGAAAATTGATCCGCGTCGGCGAAGAGGAAGAAGACGGGATATCAGAAGAGTGAGTGTTGTCACTAGACACGGCTCTCTCGGAAATAGCGCCAAAAGTCTCGATTCTAGGGCCACAAAGCATTATGGCTATTGGAAATACGTTATCCTGCACAAAGCTGAAATACGAGCAGTTTGTTGACGGTTTAAGATACAAATTTAAGCTAAGTTCGCGTTCGAGATGGATTCAGCGGGAGGAGACGCGTGGTAATCGTGAGAGGAAGTGAGCCAGGAGGAAAATGTAGGGAGGGAAGAGAGAAAGAAAAGAATTGATAGAGGATATAAAAGGGAAAGAATTAAGGCTGCTGAGACTGATTGCTTAAGCATGCCTTTACAGCAGAGTCGTCTTGAGATCGAGGCACAGCTCAGTCCGGTACGAGGCTGCGCGAGGGGCATTCATCATCTTCAACACAACAACACATTTGGTGCATCAAGTTGTTCAATTTCCAACACGACGATTTTCCCGTTTAAGCCACCCGACTACCCTCAGCTTGCCGAAGCGTTTTAATACAAGACTACCGACTACCGTTACACAGTTTCCGCCACACTAACTATGTGCCACATTTACGGCCATTCACACCAGCCACTCACCTCACACAGCACTAAGCTTCCTTGTTAGCGCTACGTAGCTACGAAGCTCACCAGTGCAGTGCAGATACGATATAGGTATAGCGATTATACACAAGTTTTCAGCATTGTGCACTTTCACATAATTAAAGTTAAGGTTTGATCGCGGTTTGGGTGCGCTGTTCTTACAGCGTTGGGATTTTCACTTGCGCACCTTGCCGGAGACTAAGTCTCGCCCAGAGCCCGCGGGCTATTTATATATCGGGAACGAATGATACGGAAAGAAACCTCAAATGAAATTGGTTGGCGATACTAGACTATACTATCACGCCACACAAAGACCTATTGCCTGCTCTCAAGAGATCCTAACAAGCTTCGTCGACATGCATCGACAAGGTGTTCTATCCAAAATCCAAAACCGAACAAAAAAAATAAAAGCAGAACCGTATCCTACACCGCAACCCAAGCACAAAAGAGATAAGTAAAAGAAAAGGGTATGACCGAAGCTAAAGAAACCAGACTAAAAGCGGCAATAGACAGATATACCCCAAGAAACCAGAAGAAAAGAGGCGGGCTTCAAAAGATAATATATAAACGGAAACAGACAAGGAAGAAGAAAAAAAAAGAATATAATCCAGGTATCGTAAACGGAAATAAAGAAGGCGGTTCGAAGAAGAAAAGTATAAGGAAGCCCAGAGGACCGAATGCCGTCGTCGATAGCCGATTGAGCTCGAGGACGCTAGTAAAGAAGAGAAAAGTACTTATACAGAGAGTGAAGGGAAAGGACCCGGGGCCCGGGGGCACTAGAGAGAAAGCGCACTCGAACCAAGGAAACTATAGCATCGTGCTCCTCCTAGCCAAAGTTGTTTGTTTTGACTGAATGGAAGAAACGAGAACAGGACATTAGCGGTAATTCTTTCCTACATCTGCATCTATGACTTCTTCCCCATGGCGTCTATGGTGAGGGATAGATAAATTTATATGTGTAAAATGGTAGAGTGAGTGTGTAAATGGGTGAATTGTGAATGGGTGGGCTGGGTGGGACTGGGAGGTCAAACTTGGAATGTTGTGTTGCCGTTAGACGAGCACCGGTCAATAGCATAGTGGAACGCGGACAGTTCTCCTGCCTTGAGAGACTCCGCTGGCTTTTCAAGATAGAAGCTAAAAAAGACAACTATTCCACGATTTTTTTGATGTCAGTTATCATGAGGCTCAAGTTTATATAAAACCGGGTCTGCCGTTTGGGATATCTTGCATTGCACTTGGTGTCCAATCAATCCCGTCGATGCCGACAGTCGATAAACTCTCCGCAACACAGCGGGGTAATTACAAAAAGGATTAGAACTTACTGCTGTCCGTGCTATCTCTTCTTGTGCTTCTGAAAGCAATAGATTTCTTCTCAACCGATGCCTCTAGACCAAACTTATCGAGTATAGCTGCTGCAACTTCGGCGGTCCTCTTGACGACGTAGAAGTTCAGTCGTGGATAGAGTTCCGAGTAGCAAAGGTACTGGTATGAGAAAGGATCTCGACTGCTGCTTGTCGACCACTCTCCATCGTATAGGAGGAAATTGCAGTACTGATTGGAAGTGAGGACCTTGTTAAGGTCTTTGAGGCTATATTTCGAAATTTTTTGAAGGTTAGTAAGTTTCGTCCGATGTTAAGACAGTAGTGGCTAATCCAGGCCTACTCCGACCAATCGGCTGGATAAAGAAAATTTTAAACCTCAGGCGTGACTCAAAACACAAACACCATACCTGTTAACTTCAACGAGCATTTTTGTGGTATATTTTGCAAACAATATTAAAACCTTGTCGGTATATTTTCATATGACTCTGGGTCGATTTTTTTTTTAAAGAATGGTCGGTGGTTTGCCGGAGTTACTTTGTGGAGCTGGCGTTTTCTGCAGATAATAGTAAGAATGGGGTACAAAGAGAGACTGGTAGCCAACGGTTTATATAAATCCTTGGAGCTTTTTAGTTTGCTATAATTACTTGCATATGGGTATACATATACCAATGCCGCATATAATCCCCTCTTCGAAGCTATGCCTCACTTAAGTTAGCAAGGGCTAAAAGTTTCCCTTACAAACAGGTACACTAATCTCTCCTAGTCCCCCTTCTAGAAAACGGCCGAACGCAAAATTTCCTCAAGGTACACATCATGTAACGCTATTTTTGCTGTCCTGTTTAGTCACAAAGTTGTTTTGCCAGCAAATGTTGAGTACCTTGATCAAGGGCCAGTATATGGCCACCCCTGCTGGTTTTCCTCTAACCTATTTTCCCCGATTCGATGATTTCGACCCGAGAGGTTTCCATTTCTGTCACGAACGAATAATATAGCGCCGGGTGTTCGACCTTGAAGCGTATCTGGTGTTTATAGTACTCAGCCACGTGGTCCGTCTACGAACGGAGGTTATGGAGATAGTATATGAGCAGGCTGGGATCACAACCGAGGCCCGGTTTCATCTTTTTTTTTTCTTCCCATCCTAAGTAAAAGCAATATTACAGTATTCGGTTAGAAGAAAAATATTTTCTCGTGGCGTTTATTTAGGATCTGGGTGCGGCTTTGACCTTGTGGCTTGCAGATGTCGAGTGAAAATGAGCACGAAGCAAAACCTGTGAACCATGGTTTCCGTACCGGAAATCCTCCGATTTGGTGTGCCATTTTGCTTTTCAGATCTGAAACTTCACATCCCCAGGGTCCATACCTCAAATTTGTTTGGTCAATTGGCGGATGACATCAGCGTGTCTCGATATTGTCTTAATGCATTACGGGTAGATTAGTGTAATCGCTTCCCGTAACTCCAGGGCACTCCGCAATGGAGATATTATCTGGGGATTTCACATGCACGTGAAATTAACTTTTAACCTTGCAAAGTGGAGACCACTTCATTTTGAATGTTTTCTTAAACATCACCAACATCTGCCGACCACGTAAGCGCTTTAAGGGTCCTGAAGTTACATTTTGTGAATGTCCATTGCATTTTCCATTTCATGCTAGCCATAGCGCTAGTTTATATTTCATTGTGGATACACCAGGATTATTGTGTCTTAGATCTTAGACAGTAAAACAAGCACTCAACGGTTTTCTAAAAAAAGGGTAGCTTCTCGTTAGTGGACGCTTATCCGTGAATTAATCTTCACCCAGATCATCGATCTGCATCCAACATCATGTTCAAATAACGGCGGCTCAATGCATAAAAAACATCAATCTTCCACTTCCAACCTCCCAGGCGCAATTAGGGATGGTCTTCATGTTAATGTTCTCATGCTTCAAATATAGTAATAGAGCTGCAATTCAAATCTGAACACTCGACTCTTAAGCTCGCGATACACTTAATTGATCAACTATTATGGATCGTAGGGGAAGATTTGGCAGCAGCCCACGGCATCATGATGGTCAGTAGCCTCGAATCTAACGTGACAGCACACTTCCTTGTAGAGAGATAGGACCCTGCATATAGCAATCATGGCCAGCTGTTCCTGGCTACTACAAATATTTCTTGGCCATTCATCTCGGCGTCCCTAAATACAACTTCTTTTTTCTCCAATAGTAAAAACATGCATACGCCAATACTGCAGTCAATACACAACTTAGGAGCCCTTCCACGTCTAACGGAGAAACCTAGGTAGAACCAACAAGCCATAGTCCACCCTAGTTACTAATAAGGAAATTATTCCGGCGATCTGGTCGACAGTTCGCTACGATATAAAATCCTATGATCAGTTTGAGACCCAATACCAAGGACTGCGTTGGTTTCATGATGTGTTCACATAAATCCGAAGCCACGGCTTATGAGGCGAAGTAAGCTGTAACAGCGAAGCCAGGTTAAAAGAGACCCGGGCGCAGTTGTTTCGACGAGTTTGGCGGTGGCTAATCAGTCTGTCTCGTCTGATTCGGAGCCCACTTCCTAACCGAGTTATCGCTTACGATTTGCAAATCCGGTGTAGTCATCGATTCTTGGCGACGGATGGCGGTCTTGGGCGTCATATCGACGTCTGGTGGCCGTTGGTGCTAATCAATAAAAGAGGTGGCAAAGTGGATACGCAGGAGACGGCAAGTATTCGTCATCATTGGGACGAATCTGCCGACTGCCTTGATTTCTTTCCAATAGTTCTTCGTATTATACCTATCCCGTATTTGCCTCCACTATTTGAATAATCCGCCACGGCCGGCGTATGGATCCAGCTAGGTGGTGTGACTTTGGTACATTTGTATGTTTTAGGGACGTTTTTCTTGCATTTCGGTTCCATTTTAATCATATAGATATGCGAACCTTCGGATACAGAGGGATTTACAATTGATTCGCGCCTGATGCGAAAATGCAAGTACTCTCCTATATAGAGACTGACACCACCATATATCATATCAACACTTTTCAAAGATTTAAACTCAAAGGGAGCTGACAATTACCATTAGCATTACTTCTCATCAGCATGGGAAACTGATCCCAGGCTAACGTGTGTCTAATATTCCGTTTAAGGCTATACAGATGTGTAGAGTGCGTAGGTTGGGTGAGGGACTATATCACCATGGTCCGGACCTCATGGTCGCTGCTGACGGTCGATTCATCCTTAGCTTCGGAGCTCCATACTTTGCACCCCAGCAGGTTTAACATATCGTAGGCATATGAAATTCCCCCATAATCTTAATCATGATATCAAAAGCTCGTCTTTGCTGAATAGTATAGCAAGCAACTAGAACATGACTAGCCATCCACTGAATAGCTTAATACACTAGAGAGTAAGGGACTTATCCAATAGTGGTCTCATAGAAACGAATGATAAATTGCATTAACTGTAGATTTACATAGATTGATATGTTTTTGGAGACCTAGGGGCCTCAAGGATTCGATATATAGTTTTTCGATTAAGATCAGAAGCTCATCTTCGAATCCTTTTGCAAACTTTCAGGCTTTCGTCCATTGACAGACGCAGTATTCTAGGACCGATATATAGAGCGTCGTCGAGGAAATATACAACATACTCAACGCATTTTATAATTAGTCTGCGTTGCCTCACGGGACATATGCAGACACGAAGATTTGGCAAGCCAATGTATGGATCTGATACTATTAGCTGTTGTTAGGATCGGGGTGCAAAATTCTACTTTAATCTTGTGTGGGGCCATTCTTATGCCTCATAAGGGATCGTAGTAAGAGAGCACTTTCGGTCTAAGTATTGTTCTCCGTTTTGTTCTTCCTGCTAGTTAACATATTGAGCGGTGATACCGTAGTTTGCGATCATTGTTATGCCAAAAAAGCGCTAATTTCACACAGAACCCTCCCATATTTAGGTAGGAGACATAAGGAACCCCTGTGTTATTATGAGGTTTATTGTTATAAGACTGAATATGAGCGAAACCTCTTTCTCGGCTTACAACTAGCTTTTTTCTCAACCCCCAATTACTCGACGAACATATAGTTATTATATGGCGATAAGAAACCCTGAAGGATACTTGTACGTACCGGAGGAACGGGGATCCACGCGTGGGAAAATGGGTAACGAAAATAATATTTGATATGTTGACAAGGGCATGGGTATGCATTTGCTTTGAAAGTCTCGGTTGTGGCCGACACCTCAATCGGAATCCAACCCCGCTAGTCTTTAACCCCAGTACTTATCAAAACCGACCGGCCAGGGTTACATGTGAGGGTTTCCCTCATGGTCTGATGCCAGTTCCTTACTTTAATTATAATAGACGGCCAGAAGCGTTGTACGTTGTAACACGAATGTGTTGTCATGAAAAGCACCTTTGTAGCCATGTAGAGCTTTAAACTAGGGGGCGGTACTGTGTACTACACAGAGTATATACAGAATCAGGACCATTGAGCACGGCTCAAGGAACCAGGCGTGATATGCTTCGAAATGGCGTGGAAAGAAGACATCGGCTATCACGGATCCGACATTGACTGCTCCACAACATCTGTCTGCAGCGTTTTAGATTTAGCCGCTAAGCTTATAAGCTATGAGAACCCGAACAATTCCTAGACCCACGTCCACCAATAGGCACTCATCCCCAGCGCTTGCGGCACAGCAAATCCTAGACGTTGAGTTCGCCACTTGCACATATTCCTGCGTGAAAAATGTGGGACCCCGCTCCTTGTTTACTTCCTGGCATTGGGTGTTCCGATTTAAGCCATTTGCAATATTGGATACCTCCCTTCTCTCACCGCTCGCACTCAAGGGACACACGTACATCAAACACCTATACGAACGCTAATTTCCCAAGGATACAGCCCCTCCTTAAAATTTTGCGTCGAATCCAAAGACGTTGTCGACTTCTGATCTTAAAGCAACCTTACCACCTGAAGTTACGCCTTTAAACGAGATATCAAGTTACGCCAAAAAAGCAGAAAATGTTGAACACCCCAGAGGAACTAAAGGATGAAATCGTGTCCTATCTCTCGCTCGAGGATCTCAAAATACTTCGGATGGCGTTAAGAGAATTCCATCATTCAGCTTCGCAAGAACTATTTGTGAAAAGAAGCAAATCACGATTGGTTTTGAGGGGAGGAAGTGACAAAGAGCGTGGATTTGAAACAGCTGCGACCAGAGCTGAACCTGCCGTTGGAACTCCGTCCTGGAAACATAAACCCGTTGAATTCTGTCGATTAAAGTCATACCTCCCGTCTATTCTCCCAATCGCGAAATACTTTAAGGTCCTTGACTATGCACCGGCATATTGGGATGCTGGTACGTACTATTCGCAGTTTCAGCCGGAGTAAAACTTTACTCTAAACCCGAGTCAACAACTAACTACTACCGTCTGAATCCATCTAGACCTTCTTAGCGTTCGAATTGGAACCTATTCGGGCGAAGAAGAAGGATTCTCTTACCCTTGGTCATACAGCCTAAATGACTGGGAGGAAGAATCAGGTTTTCATAGCGAAAATGAAGATGAATACGATGAGAATGGCCCTCCAAATGTCGACATCTGGGTCAACAAACCATATACTGTCCCGGATCGTTATACTAAAAATCAGAAGAGGATAGATGCTGCCGTTTTTTTAGAGAAATACGTTAAAGAACAGGAAGAGAAATTCGAAGAGTCTCTAGAGGCTCTAAAACAAATAGTTTCAGCTCTACCACCGCTAAGGGTTGTTATCATTGATCACTGGTATTGCCACAGGCTGAGAGACGTTATTTTTCACTGGTATGGAAAAATACAGTAACCGTTTTACAAGCGAATGGTTCTTTAACCAGAATAATAGGGGTGAATTTAGAGAGACTTTCACAACGAGGATGAGACGGCAAGAACGTCACCTATGGCGTAACTACCAGACATTGATCCCGATCCTTCGTGATTCAAAACAGCAGCCTCCGGCGATTGTTCTACGTAACCTCCCGATGTACCCGTTTGTCAGCAGCAACATGAATCCGACGCTTCTAAATACGAGCATCTCCGTGATGAACAATCTCCAGCGACTACGGATCGACTTGAGTATTAGTGGGGAAATGCCGAGCTCTTGGGATTCTGATGTGGTTCCAGGGACCCTTTATAGGTTCTTTGATTACTGTAAGGAATCTCTTAAGAGCCTTAGGTTCGAATTCCGTAATGAACGCAAAGCTTTGCGTAACTTCTTTGGTGGGGGAAAATTCAAACCAATAGTTTTTTCAAAACTGGAGGAGCTATTGATAGAAGGTATCACTCTGCCGGGTACAGATCTAGAGCAATTAATAAAAACACAAAAGAGTCTCCGATGCCTTTGTCTCTATAAGGTGTCCATCTGTGAGCGGGCTTACGACTGGCAAAAGTTTTTCGACGACATCATAAATCCAACGAAAATTGACAGGGTGCATCTTTATCGTCTTTGGCGTGGTGCAGGAAACGATAACGATCCTGAGGGTGTTCTACCATACGATTTTTCGAACGGGCCGCCCGAACACGACCCAGTCCCCAACCTCAAAGTGAATGGATGGAGAGAAGTTCCAGTAAAGAAGTATTATCGGTTGATGGGTACAGCGGGTTCCCCATTAGTTAGAGAAAAGTCCGCATTTAAATGTTTTAACCCCAAAGGCGATCTTGTATCCGTCATGATGGATGATTATTATTATTAGTACTGTCAAGATGAACGGCCGTTGGGGTCCTAAAAACTCTGAGAGCAGTGTTTCATTTTCTTACTAGGGCATATTTTTAACCACAAAATCAGAACCTCGTAGCGTAATCGATCGCGAAATATTTACATCGTTGCAGCTAGATATGCTAGAATAAATGCCAAGACATGCGGAGCTGGGATCACCTCGCCCGGTTTGATATCGGCCGTTATACTCCACTGAAAAACAGAAAGCCAGGGTTTGAGACCAGGATTCATCCAATTTCATAACAGGGTGGCATTATGGTGGCGCTATGGCATAGAACTCGGGAACACTAGCGGTATCTGTGAAATTCATTATAGGGGCCATGTTTTCACGTCCAATCAATTAATTCACGATAAACCAATGCATTTTTGAGTAATGGGGGCTTAAATTCAGAGAGCTTAAGTACTTTCACTTCTGTCACGACAAATTGTATACATATTTCTTCAAGGTGTATCTTATAGCATTGACGAGATGCCTGAAATACTAACTAGCAGGACATATGTCGTAGTAAATCTTCATCGTTCTTAAACTTGATTAATTAAGCATAAAGTGTACTTCGTACCACGGCTGTTGAATCATTTTGCTACCATCTTGTGTCCAGTAGCCTCAAAGCAAAAGGTTTATATAGTGGGAATGATATTAGTTATACATGTGCTAGCCTAAAGTCGCGGAACATCCCGCACTCATGATGTAAAGATGCAACACTGCATGTTTGCATCGGATGTATAAAAGCACCCACCAGGTGTCAAAGCGGGGCTTCCACTTGTACACTTAGTATTGATGGACTGGAACTGACTGACACACAAGCTCTGCGTAACTGAGAAGCCGCCAAGTTTAATTTGGATCAAGAACTGTGTCAGATACCCCCCAACTAACACCGTGGTCTTATAGGGATTTCCAACTTCCATGTAGAAGGATCCGGATGGACCGAGGAGTTGCTGACAAGCAGTCGTAATTGCTGTATTCAATGTCGCTCCACCAGTTACTTTAGGGGGGGCTGGAGTCGTTGTTGTCGGGACACAGAGTGGAGTTGAAGCTGAAGGGAATGACGTTGGATTCCTAGTAAACGTAACGGCTGTTGTTGTAGTCGTCCGTGAAGTAGTCGTAGTGGTTCGACTGCTAGTTGTAGTAGTGCTAGACCTATCGTAGTTAGTTTAAGTTTCATATATCGAAACAGCAAGTTAATTATCTAGATAAGGAAAGATATCAAACGGTTAGACTTACGATGTGGTTGTGGAAGTAGCAGATACAGCAATACAGACATTGTGCAATCTTATATCACCTAACCCAGAACAGTCAGGTAGTAATAACGTATTCCACAAGATTAGGTTAGCTTTTGTAAGCCCGTCGGACGGTCCATATCTAGCGATAAAGGTATCACAAGTATCAGTGGACCGGAAGTATGCGAGCTTGATACAATTTGGTGCCGTTCCAGAAGATGGAGTCGGGTACGTAAAGGCTGTAGTGCTTGTAGAGCTTGTTGTTGTAGTGCGACTAGATGTTGTAGTAGTAGTACTGCTGCGTGTGGTCGTGGTCGGGCTACTAATAGGCGGAGCGGGCCCTTGAACACAAAGATATGTCCCCCTGTAGATACCATCACAATCAGGCCCTACGGCAGGGTTCCAGTAAATCAATTTTGCGACTGTCAGGTCAGGGAAGTCCTCTATCAGGTTTTGGACTACGGCATCGCAAAACTCGCCGAACTCGATGAGATGAAAAAATGTACAGCCGGCTATCATACCCGGCTGTGTAGGTAAAGGGGTTACGATAGTGGGACTAGCACTAGTAGTTCGAGTACTTAGGGTCGACGCTGAAGTCGAGGATGTGCGTGATGTTGTGGTAGTAGTCATGGTGGGATCTATAGCAATGCAAATATTGTGACCCCTTATATCGCTTAGCCCAGAACAGTCGCTCTGCAACAATATGTTCCAAAGTATCAATTTAGCTTTGGTAAGACCAGTTGATGAATATCTATCCAAAAATGTATCGCAAGTGTCTGCCGCCCTGAAGTATGCAAATGTGATGCAATTCGGAGCAGTTCCGGAAGAAGGAGTTGGCCAAGAGAACGTAGTCGTGGTTGTAGTCGGGGTGATAGTTGGGTCTATAGCAATACAAATGTTATGGCCTCGAATATCACTTAATCCAGAACAGTCGCTTTGCAACAATGTGTTCCATAGTATCAGTTTAGCTTTAGTAAGACCAGTTGATGCATATCTATCGACGAATGTATCGCAAGTATCCGCAGCTCGAAAATACGCAAATGTGATGCAATTTGGTGCTGTTCCAGAAGAAGGGGTAGGCCAAGAAAATGCAGTAGTAGTGGTTGTCGTCGGAGTGATAGTTGGGTCTATAGCAATACAAATGTTATGGCCCCTGATATCAGTTAATCCGGAGCAATCGCTTTTTAGTAGTGTATTCCAGAGGATAATATTTGCCTGCGTAAGGCCTGTTGATGCATATCTTGCGACAAAAGTCTCGCATGTGTCAGCAGCTCGAAAATACGCAAACGTGATGCAATTTGGTGCTGTTCCAGAAGAAGGGGTAGGCCAAGAAAATGCAGTAGTAGTGGTTGTCGTCGGAGTGATAGTTGGGTCTATAGCAATACAAATGTTATGGCCCCTGATATCACTTAATCCGGAGCAATCGCTTTTTAGTAGTGTATTCCAGAGGATAATATTTGCCTGCGTAAGGCCTGTTGATGCATATCTTGCGACAAAAGTCTCGCATGTGTCAGCAGCTCGAAAATACGCAAACGTGATGCAATTTGGTGCTGTTCCTGAGGAAGGGGTAGGCCAGCCGGTGAAAGTAGTCGTTGTAGTAGTCGTCGTGGTTGTTACCCTACTGCTCGTCGTTGTAGTTCGGCTTGAACTCGAGCTAGTTGGTATAGCAGTCACACCGCTACCTATACAATACCCATTTCCCGGGATCACATTATCGCAATCTTCGAGTAGACTGCAACAAAATTGTTAGCTCAAGGTATTTACTGCCAGTATCCCCCGGTGCCTTTCAGGAAGTGGATACGGCAGCTTTCAGTCGGATATTCTAAGTACCTAGGGTTCTAAGCGGGTTTCTTTTGATTTAGTAAGGTCTCGATGTTTGCTGGTGCAACCTTCGCAGTTTATTTTTGGGTTTAAGATAGGATAATAATTGAAATACAGCGAATTTATAATGATATACGTACCCAGATCACAAGTTTACTAACTGCAATAGGAGCCCTAGCGGCTAAAGAGATACAGTCCTCTCCATCCCTAGCCTGGAGCCAGGAGTAACAATCGGAAGCTTGAAGGGAAAGTGGGAATTTAGATCAATTCCGAAATGCATATCAAGTATGAGTGCAGCTTTTATCGAGTCGAGACCATGTATCTGGTCAATGGAACCCGTTACTAACCTGTATTTGGGTCGAATGGCCATGGCCCCACACCTACCGGAATTACAGAGTTAGTATGCATGCTAGAAAATCCAACGTTTTAAGGACATATATATATCAATGTTCACCAACCTGCTAGAACGGTGTTTAGGAGACATAGAATAAATAAATTTATCGTAATCACCCAGTTCATATTTCATATATATATAGAGGAAATGATATGATTGTGTGATGAGTAAAGGCGGAATCTTATCGGGTTCTGATCTGTGGAAATTGGTATACATATATATATATATATATATATGTATGAGTCTTAGAATGCGGTTAAGTATTTATACAAAGATGTTACTATTACCTGCTGGTGGGCTCATGAGCTTGCTCCCGTTCACTCGTAAGGCTTATGGTATCGAGGAGCGTTTGACCGGGAACCCAAAAGTCCTTAAACGAAGTGGATTGAAGTCCTCCAGAGCAATCAGCTCTCTCCCCGATCCCGGCTGAGTAAAGTCCTCCACAAACAAGACTTTCGAAAGCTGCCAAGTTAGACGTGTGGACCTTCCAGATCTGGGTACGAGGCAACTTATAGGCATATAATGCATTACCACGGCACAGAGCTTGCAGAAATCAAGTTTTGAATCCTATGCTGACCGATTCTTCACCAGTAGAAATAAGGGCGGCATCGAAATTCCGCGCAATTGAGGCTGAGGTTGATCACATTTCCTTTGAAACAATTTACTGTAGTTTAGCCGTGCATATGCAGTGTCTTACAGTCCGAATCTGTAGTCAATTTATCGACTGATACCGGGAGCTCGTGAGCGCCCTAGCTGTGCCGCGGATACGGCGTGATCCTCATATCATTATCCGATAAATTTTGGGCCACCATTCACTAACTCCGTCTTCGCTCTAAGAGAGATCACCCGGCGGAAAGGTTGCGGGCTTATAAGTCTCGATCCTTTTCCTAATCCGCAGATCGATAATGTGTCATCGAGGGCGTTGACCCGCGAGACCAATTTTGGTGTGAATATTCGATGGCGAAACATATCCGAAAAAGGCGTCTAGTATAAGGCCACACCAAGACGGTATCACGGCAAAATCGTGAGACCTGGCTTGGTCTTGCCCTGTGGAGCTCGTATGATCCTTTCGTGGCCACCATGCTTCTAGGCCTAAACAGCGCATCGGGTCGAGTTATACGAGCATGTGTTATAAAAAAGAGATGCTGACTAGGACATTGAAGAACCGCAATACATGTTATTGCATGATGTTCGCTTGTCCATGAGCCGAATGTACGAGCTTCATGTAGCATGTATCCCTGCTTCTAGGCATCGCTTTCTGCGAATGAACAGGATTGTACTATGCGCCAGAAGCAAAACCAAGACGTCTTATTGAAGGCAAGCATCAATAAGCAATTAAGATTTCCTTAGCATGCATGGCAGCTGCTGCGCAATTGTGGGTTCAGAATTGGCCAGGAACGGAGAAAAGAGACGACGAAGCTATAACCCTATATATCAAGCAAGATGCACTGCTTGCCACACATATAAAATGCACAAAACCCTTGTATTCAAATTCAGGGATGTCTTGGGCTGTGCATACGAGCTCGAGCCTCGCATTACTTTCGGAATCCCTCGACCTTGTTGTGAAATTTTCGATTGGATTGCAAATAGTGCTCTGCTGAAACTGGGGATACCTCGTATAATTTCTGAGTCAACTGATTGCGAAAGATCCACAGTATCCATATGCCATAGCGGCTGGCCGGATATATTTGCAATGCATCGTGCGGTGCCTTGGCCTTGCACACAGATACAACTAAACGCCGTGCCGCAATGCTGCGTCTTCACAACTTTGGATGAATGCGGTTAGCGTCCGGAGTTTCCCGAAACTTTGGCAGGCCAGTCTCGCCAACATGCAACAAAAAACGCTCCTCCAACACATATTATTGTAGCCTCGAGGCTAATATTATTGTTCCTAGTGTTATAGATTACGATGAGTGGGTGAAGGCGCGAGGTCCGGGATACCGGCACAAATGGTTTAAATGACAAAAAACTCTGATAAACGATGTATCGACGCAAAAAAAGAAAGGAACTTGTATTTCGATCCTCTAGCCTAACCTCTGCTCGGGAGGTTGATGGTTTACTAAAACGTTTAACTAATATATACATATATATCTGAATTGATCACCTAAATTGAACTACAGTAAGTATCCTAGCGAAAGCTGGGATATAAGGTATCTGCCCAGACTGCTATAGAAATGTAGACCAATAACTTTGGCAAAACGGATGGCGGTCATCGCAGTTGCATGTTGTTTTATGGAAACGAATCAACTAGGTTACCAAGAATACAAGATGAGAAATTTTCACCTTGGATGCGGGATTATGGCACAAAATTGGAACCTGAATATTCCGCGGAACCTGATATTAGCGTACGTCTATATACGAGAGTAGTCAAATGGGTACTATACGTATATAAACCGTGCATCATGCAGATCCACATCCATATTCATATCGCCGTATACATGTAAGTCAAATCAGGATGGATCCATGGATTTCGAATTCATTGAGCTCTTATGTTCATTGAAGTTATAGTGCTTAAGAAGCTACCCCAGTCCGCAGAGACCAGCCTGTGCCGCAGTCGTGCCTATGAGCAAGGTTTATTTTTCTTGGATTGATCATTCCCTGAGAATTGCAGAATTGTTAGCATGACTGCTCACCCCTCGCCCCGGAAACAAAATCTCGCGAGGTCGATTCGGACTTTACAACTTCGTAAAGCCCCTTGTTATTATTCTTCAGTTAGGAGGATGTGGGCTTAGCCATATACTCCCAGTTTAGTTATTTTCGAGTTTATTCAACCCTATCTTGTGAGCATATAAAAGCACAAGGGTTTTCTACATCCAATTGATGAGAGTACACAGCACCGTTTCGGTTTTTTCATAACGACGGGGAAAAGGTGCATAAACCCTTCATTTTACCAAATATTTATTACTATAAACTCTATATATTGACGATTCTATTATACAACTAAAGCCTCCCCAGGCTAATGAGTACGGGATGGTTAATTCTTGGAATATTGTTTCTCTTGTCGCAACAATCTGGTCAAGTCTCTTCTTGGCTTGTAATGGTCAATATGCGCAAGATACCCACTTTGGTTCTTATATGTTAAATGGCGTGCTAGGTAGGCATAGGATTTGGGTCCCTACGGCAGGGACGGCTGTCCTTGTGCTGAGTACACCATCACCAGCAATGCCTACATTGATTTGGAACTGCAATGCGATGCCTGAAATTTGTAGTAACGTTGATAATTGGAAAAGGATGAACCCAGCAGCGAACGTAGTGCCGAGGGAATTCACTATGGACATGAGGAATGACGGCAGGACCGACACCCGCCGAGCTCGCATGTGTGGGGGTACTGATTGGAAAAACATCAGGGATGACTTGATCGCCCTTCCTTTTGATATTAACCGCCCTACAAGTATTTGGTATTCAATACCAATTGCACGAGGGCGGGGGCAGCCCCGCGTAATGGGGGTACAAAATGGACAGCGGCTCGTGGCTGGCGCCGAGCTTACTTTAATAGAGGATGGTCCCCCGTTTAGTGGTATTTCTTCCGGTCTTATGTAGTAAGGATCCCAAGCGAAATAAAAAAAAATACTAGTATCCGATCATATATATGCATAACGTAGCTAACCTCTCAATCCAATATAGTACCTGCGATGAGTTTCCTTGTGCCGGGTATGCCACCTACTTCTTTCCCCTAACGCTACTGGAAGGCGCAAAAGCTAATCACCTTCTTTATCACTTTTCTCAGTTGGATTGAAGGAGGGGACGGCCCAAGTGGAAACAATCGGGGTTCAATTATGCCTGCACCACAGGCCGCCAACTGTGCCGGCTCGCAGTACTCCCGAGGAGGTTTCAAGGCGGAGAGCGAGCAAGACTGGCAAGCTAAAGGGAACACCGCACTGGCATCAGCAATTCGTGAGATCTGGGGAGCTGCAGTTGCGCAAAGTGCGGCCGTAGTTTTTACGTTTACCACGACCACCATTATGCCCAATAACCCTAACAATGCCGCCACCCACGTAATGGTTGTCTACGAAACTGCGGTTGCTAATCCTACAACTATAGTTAGAAGGAGTGATGGGAAGAATCACTTTGTGGACTCCGCGGGACGCCCGATTACGCCCACTTCGGACCCAAAGCAGGCTCTGAAAACACCCTCTCCTGAACAAAATATTCACATCGACATCTTCAAGAGAGGCGATAATGGCGCCGTAGATGGGCATAAGCTAGATAGTAGTGACCCAAGGCCACTTATCGATGAGGAAAATGAAGCTCTTGATGATGAGATCCGGGCTCTTAGGCAACTCAAAACGGAAGAGAAAAAACGAAGGGAAGACGAGGATAAAAGGATTATAGAGCAGATGGAACTAAATCAGGAAGAAATTGGAGTAGAGGCTCCTATCTATGACCCCCGGCTTTTTGAGACAGATGAGTATCTATCAATTCTTGATCCGAAGCTATTTATTTCAGACAAAAAGACCAAGAGAGAAAACGGTGGCAAAGAAGAGCGTAAAAGACTTGTCGGCAGCGACAGGGGTACTTGGTTCACCAAAGAAGAAGCATCAAGAATCGCACGACTTCGAAAGCTTGCAGATTCCGCGAAACACGCATCTTCTCGGGAGCCAGCCGCTGTTAAAAATGCCCGGAGAATTGTTCGGGCGGCGCAGAGAGAAGCGGAGGCAAGAAATGCTTATGTAGTAGCTAATCCACGACGGAATTCCCCAAATGGGCCCCGGGGAGACGCTCCTATCAAGACAAAACGTCGTTTTCAACGAAGCCGTTACGAATTTACAGTGAATAGCACCGTAGCAGAGGCTGCAGCCCTCGTAGCTGAAGCGGATGCTAAAGCAGCAAATACCACAGAAATTATTCCAAAATTAAAGCCGCGCGCACCCCCGCCAAACGCCTCTCTGTGGTGGTACGAAGGAATTGAACATAATGGCCAGTTCGCGGGCGCACCATCTGGATACAAGGTTGGTCATGGTGTGGCCTTTGATCTTCAGCTTTCGAAATTTCAGCTAGTTAACGAGCAGAGCAGGTCTATAGAAACGTCAAGGACTATGGCGCTAAAGGTTGGCGAACCCATCCCAAGGCGAAAATGAGTATAACTATAGCTAGGTTATCTAACATCCAAGTTCATAGGCGACGGTGTCACGGACGACACGGAGGCGATCAACAATGCGATTCGAGAAGGAAATCGGTGTCAAGCAAATTGCGGGGCTACTTCAGTTCTCGGGGCTGTCGTCTATTTTCCAACAGGGACATATTTAGTCAGCGGTAGTTTGCTGTCAGACTATTATACTGTATTCATTGGAGATCCCAGAAACAGGCCGATTTTACAAGCTAGCAACTCCTTTGTCGGATTTGGTAAACCCCTAACTCAATAAAACTCGTTGTTTGTCGAATTTCATGGATAATTGCTAACCCAATGAAACGTTAATTCGCATGCGTGTGCGTATAGGTATATTTGAATCCGATTTCTACGATGGTGGACCGGACAGTCACGAATGGTGAGTAGGATCCATGATTATCGATATATCGTGCGATAGAAGTTTATCAGCTAGAGTTCTTATGCAATTTCTTTGTGGCACTGAATAGGTTTATCAACCAAAATAACTTTTACCGTCAGATCCGCAACTTTATCTTAGATATTTCACAAATGCCCTCAACCGCCACTTCTTGCGCAATCCACTGGCAAGTAGCCCAGGCAACCAGTTTACACAATATCAGGATCATTATGGCAGCTGGAACTACTAATAACCATATCGGAATATGTATGTATCCTAATACATGTATATGTGCACGTGGAGTATTGATAGCGGGGCTAACCGCATTATCTAACTTTTGCAGTTATGGAAAACGGCAGTGGTGGATACTTGGGCGATATTGTTTTTGAACGAGGCAACATTGGCTTTTACGCCGGGAATCAGCAATTCACAACGAAGAATCTCGTATTTTCGAAATGTAGAACAGGAATATGGTCTCATTGGGACTGGTACGTCACGTAAAATCCATAGCCCTTCCATTCCAGTACTAACCGATTACATGGTACTATAGGGGCTGGACTTGGAAGTCCATCTATATGACTGGAGTCACTGTTGGGTTAAACATGACTCGCGACCCTGGAGGCATCAATCCTGGCTCTAACCTAGTCCTTGATTCGGTTTTTAACAACGTACAAACTGTCGTGCTTTTGGAAAGCACAACTGGAATCAATGGTACAACAATGGTTGTCCTGGATAACGTTGTCATGCAAAACTGTGGCATTGGCGTTAAAGCCTCCGGGTCTGCTCTCCTCGCGGGCGGGTCTCGTACTATAGCTTCATGGGGCCGTGGCAGAATTTACAACGATGCAAACCCCGATGGCATGCTCTCAACCGCTGGAATGGACTTGACACCTCTCCGGAAAATTGATGCATCTCTTCTAGGGCCCGGCAGTGGTGCCCCCGGTGGCATCTTCGAACGCTTGAAACCCCAGTATGAATTAAATAATGCAGGCGCTTTCGCAAATGTAAAGGACTACGGAGCCTTCGGTATATAACCCTTCTACCCTTCTGGCGTTTCTATCATATTTCTAACGAAAACTTGTGTGGAATAATTAGGAGATGGTGTTCATGATGACACCAACGCCCTTCAGAAAGCCCTCTCTCTAAATTGTGGCATAGATAAAATCTTCATACCAGCCGGTACCTACCTTATCACGAAAACACTAAAGGTTCTAGTAGGATGTATCATCGTGGGGGAAGCATGGCCCCAAATAATGGCTACAGGTCCCAATTTCGAAGACATGAAGAAACCATACGTTGCCGTTCGTGTCGGACAAATAGGCGATGTCGGAGATATTGAGATAACGGATGTTATGTTCACAACTCGAGGACCTACGGCAGGTGCTGTCTTGGTCGAATGGAACGTCAAGGCGGCTTCTCAAGGTTCAGCAGGAATGTGGGACTGTGTTATCAGAGTTGGTGGAGCGCACGGCAGTAAGCTTCAAGCCGCGGATTGCCCCAAGCTAGCGACATCCATAAACGACAAGTGCATCGCGGGTTCCCTGCTGCTGCGAGTTACTAGCCGTGCTAATGGATATTTTGAAAACGTCTGGGGGTGAGTAATATAATAAGCATTACATGATAAATTGGGGGAGTTTAACTATTTATCACAGTTCTACCGCTAACACTTATATTCCGTGACAAAAACAGCTGGACAGCAGATCACGACATTGACAGTGGCCCTGATCAAACTCAAATCGATGTTTATGTTGCTCGGGGTATTATTTTCATATCCTATATGGAATTCGCGCTTGCTGCTTTTGACCGTCGCTAACAATGTTACGGCAGGGTTCTTGATCGAGGGGCCAGGCCCCACATGGTTATACGCTACTGCTTCGGAGCATAATGTGCTTTATCAGTACCAAGTTCACAATGCAAGAAACATATGGATGGGAATGATACAGACTGAGAGCCCTTATTATCAAGGTGTTCCTGCGGCGCCGACTCCCTTTGAGGATTCTTTAGGCCAATTTCCAATGGATCCTCCATTTAACCAGTGTAATGGGGCTGGGGATTGGTATACTTGTGGCTTCTCTTGGGCTGTTCGTTTGCTGGGTAGTACAAATGTCTATCTTTATGGCGCCGGTTTGTATTCCTGGTTCCAACAATACTCACAGGTAAAAGAAATTCAAAAATGATTTACACATAAATACATGCGGTACTGATGGCTAACCGAGTATTTTAGGTCTGTCTTGAAACAGAGAGCTGCCAGTCCAGGGTTTTACAAATATCCCAGAGCACCGGCGTTCATATCTTTAACCTGATGACAAAGGCTTCATTAACCATGGTTACAAGATGGAATGGCCATCCTGCATGGGCCGTCGACAATCACAATGCCTATGGCTCCACTATTGCTGCATGGGTTCTGAACCAAAAGTCGCCTGTTGATGGTAGTGGTGCTATCGGCCCGGGTGGAAGCTATACCCAAAAGATCGGGGCAAGGTTCTGGAACACGCGCCGGTACAATGACTATTATGAGACTTGTCCCGTGTATCCATGCACTTTGTCGCTCCCCCCACTGACAGTTTCAGCCCCAATCCAACCGACCCCAATCACTTTGACATCCGCTGGCGCCACTAAAACAATCACCCCGCCTATCATCCGGTCAGAAGTTCTCTCATTCTCGCCGTTTGTCATTAGCTCCACCCCAACCAACTATATAGAGTTGATTCCAACCCTATCAGGGACTACTATCCCAGTCCCCGCAATTACGTTCACGACGCTAGGGGTAAAACATACAGTTATTCCACCACCTCTCTCAATTCCGTTTGCAACGGCAACCCAATATGGAAGCTGCAGTATCTTCTGCGACCCCGAAGCTACCGAGTAGTAAGTTCTTGATCCCGCGTAAGCTTCAACCGAGTAAATACAATTAAACTTATTTTACGGGTATAATTTAGCCCCGATTACCCATTGATTGTTGGACCTCCAATTTTTCAAGGATCTGACTCTAGTAACGCTACAAATATGACCTCCATTTTTGGTGACGGGTTGCTTGGGGATGACAATGGTCGCGGCTGCTCTGGAGCTGGTTGTGGCTGTACGGGGGCTAATTGTGGATCCTGTCATGGTCCAAAGTGTGGCAAGCCACCTGGTTGCCGTACTGGCTGCGGTGCTGACACCGACGGTGGATGCAAGGGCGCAAACTGCAATTCCGGATGTCGGGACAAGCATTGCGGCAAGTCCTGTAGATCATTATTTTGCGGATGTCAAGGGCTCTTCTGTGGTGGACTAAATTTCGGACTTGGGGGACTCGGAGGCTTAGGGTCATGCTTCGGACCAGATTGTATCGATGGCCTCTGTAGAGGAGGTAACTGCTTCCCTGGCCCTAACGATGTATGCGTTCCGGGGCCCTGTCCCTGCTTCACCTGTGTGCCTCCCGGGGGAGGAGAAGGGGAGCAGGAAGAGGAGGAGGAAGATGAAGATGATGAAGCGGAATCTTGCCCTCTTATTCGTCTTCCTCCGACGGTGGGTACCTCCAACGGGGATCAGACATATGAGATCAACGCACCTGGCGGCTCAAGTGGCTGGAAGTCACCACCAGAAGTCAACAATGGTGGCGGCGGATCAACGACAACTGGCGGACCTCCCGAGCCCACCCTTGATCCTGACCCTTTTGCTCAACGGTTCGAAATTTGGGCCAGGACCCAAAGAACAGGGCCCGCGTTCATCGAGCAATGGAACTCAGGCACCGAGGGACGCAATAAGTTCCAGAGGTGTCAGAACGCGCTTGAAAGAGTTACGATGGAATTTGATGTGACAGGGTGGCCATCCGTGGTTTCACCTATTGAGCATCTACGCCCGTGGAGCGGTCTGCAAGAGTGCACTTGGACCCCCAAAAGTGGTCTTAATTGGGAGACCGAGAGCGCCGGTGCATGGATTGGTGATATAGCTTGTCCAACCGGTACATATCCGTGTGTCAAGCCACCCAACGAGGATGCTCAACGGGAGTTATGTGGACCAAATAACCCAGTCACTGCTTTTTTCCAATTCGCCATGATTTTTTGCGATTGATAGGTTTTCGAGGTAGAGTGTTATCATAGATGAATTGTTGATGGGATGCCTTTCCTTGCGCCTGCTGGTTACGAGACTGGCGCCTGGTCTCGAGGCTAATATAGTTTAGGATTTGTTGATGCGAATATATGCATGATCATAAATACATAGTACCTTTAAAAACGTACCCTTTACAGATGCGGCACGTACCGTCTGGCCATTCATCATATGACTTTAGACTACTGACCATGATACGTAAAATATGCTACGCGAGCACTTCCAAGGCCAAGTGCCGAAAACCTACTATTACTCACAACTCAACGCAACCCTAAATGCGCGTTACGAATGTTGCATTTAGACACGCTTTTCCCGATCAGGAACGAAAGCCTCAACCGCCAAATCGTCTCGTACGAGAGAACGCCGCTAGATGCCAAGCAGGCGTGGCACTCACCAAAGTCCCAAGCCTTTCTTCATTATCAATGTCATCATGACTCGAACTAAGGTCTACCATGGTATCTCCGGTGCATTCCGGTTGGGCAACTACATCTGGCTATTTCCTTGCGATTCCGTGCAGCCGGAGCCAAAGCCCCCCGCCCGGCCGTAAATTTGACGCTTCCATCGATCTTATAGATGGCGTTAAAAACCAAATAGGTAATATGCAAATTTATGATTCTGGGTGAACAATTATGTGACGAAATGCTTGATCTTTAGCTATCATAATATTGCTAACCCTAATATGTACACGAATTTGATAACCCCAGTACCTATAAACGATGCCAACCATGAAATCAGAAGGAATAATGGCGCAAATGCTAAAGAAGCTAAAGCGTAAAGGGACACGAAAGACAAATCGGCAGCAGGCCCCATAACAAAAACATAGAAAGAGATATACCGAGAAGGAAGAGTGTATCAAGCTAAACACACCAGCTATCGACAGAAAGAAAAAATAAACAGATAACGGGGAAAGACTGATATTGAGCGCAACCGCCGGCTACCATAAAGATCAAAAAACACCGTGATTGAAAAAGAGATATAAGGGGGAATCATTCCATTCTGAAGGCCGAGAAGATAATAAAGAAGGGCAGTGAGCATTGCAAAAGCAGCCGCAAAATGGGGAATATTGTATCATTTAATGCATGTTGAAATCCTCAGAACAGTCGAACGAAGCGCCATAAAGTAGAGTAGACAGCCCTTTGAAAATAAGTGTGTAAGTGTAAGGACTAACAGGGGAATATTATTGAGTAGAGCAAAAATCAAGCGATGAAATTTGCTTTTCGGGTATGTACTTGCAATATGTGTACAGAGAAAGGACTGAAGGGTATCAAAGCTCTAACAGCGGAAGACTTTGATCTTTCGTTCAACACGAGCACGACAGACAGGACAGTTGCTGCGTGGAGCGACCATGCCTTCAGGGCGGTTTGGAGCAGCTGGTGCAACGGTATCAGCACACCATTGACAAAGGACAAGATGGGCGCATGGAAGGAGAACTAAGGTATAGAATTAATAAGTGATTTCTGGTGTCCGGGCTCAACCTCGTGGCGGGATGGTGATCACTTACCCATGTCAGCAATCTGCCCATAACAAACTTTACAATCGACCATGATCTTCAGATCTTCTTCTTTCATATTGTCAGGTCTTTCGGGGTTGTCCAGAGTTCTAGTAGTCTGGGAGCTGTTGTTGTTGGTGTTTCTACCATTCGAGTTGCTCCCTGATCCACTTTCACGGCTCCATCGATGAGGGAAGCCCATAACACCACTTTCCCTGGCGCCGGTTACCAAGTTCGCAATGTCACGAATCGCTTCATTATGACGGTACCGCGTCTCGATATCGCGGTCACGCATACGGCGGGCCCTATCCGCCCTGGAGGGAAACCGTTCACGCATATCATTTTCAGGGGCCCTATTAGACGGCTGAGAGCCTGGTAGGTGCCCGACGTCATCAGGGGAAAGGCCTAATTGGCCACGGAGGCGGGCACGTCGACGATTGACACTTTCATGCGGTACCCCTGATAGGTAGCCGCCGACAAGTGTAGCAAACAATTGTTCGTCGTCGTTTAAAGCATTGTCGAGGGGTATAAGGTCTTCATAATCGGCTTCGGAAGCAGATGATGGCTCATCCTCTGCCACCACGGTAAACGAAAGGGCTGATGCATGGTCCGGCGAGCGCGCATGGGCGTTGTTGCCATTGGATGCCGATTGGCTAGCGCCCGGCCAGTTGGCGTACCATCCCTGGGGCCCAACAGGTTGAGGCCGAGAGCCACCAGGGAGGTCAACTTGGTTCTGCTGCATCTGACGCTGGAGGTTGGCGCGTTGGAGAAGTTCATAATTGCGCTGTTGCCGATGTTCTTGGAGTCGCCTCATGCTGTCCCCGTCGCTCCCAGGCATCGGTGGAGACCTCAAGAGCTCTCGCTGCTCTGCTTCTAGTTCCCTGAAACGACGACGTGTTATTTCGGCTTGTCGATTGGTTTCGACAAGCTCAGTGAACCTAGGAAAGAAAAGGGGGTCATGTCGGTTAGTATAAGATCCATCGAGGAGGTCGCGCGAAGGAGATGTGAAAGATATGGGTTCCATATTTGGCTATCCCACGATGAATATGAAAAAAGGTAGTGCAGGAATGGTAAGGAGGGAAATGATCGGAAGATAGATAAACATTGGGTGGGGGTCTTTCATATAGATAATAAGGAGCGGGGTTGAACAGCACAAAGCCGATCGTGCAACGTGGCAGACGTGTGTGTGAGTACGCAATCGAGACCCGTGAAATATTACATTGTAAGGGGACTAATGAGGGGGGTAATATAAATAACTTACACACTGCGAGTAGGGCTTTCGTAATCCTCTCTTTCAGCATCTGTCCTCCCACCCAGAGGTTGAGCTGATGGGTTAATTCTTTCCCTTCTTCTAGCTGGGAATCCATCACTCCCATTCGAGTTTTGACGGTTATGGTTCGTATTAGTATTATTGTTACTATTGTTGGAGATAGAGCCACCTCGAGGTCGTGTCAGTGTTCTAGGCGGAGAGAACCTGGGGGCTGGAAGATGGGGCAAGCTAGGCAGGAAGTTAGGCGGTAGCCTGTTTGCTGGCGATGTCAAGCCATTTCTAGCCATCGATGATTCGGGCGGACTTTGAGTAGGAGAGCTCGTAGTTTGGTCTAATAAGGTAGGGCGCAAGGTTCGCCTGTTTGCTGGGAAAACGAATGGAGCGATGCTCGTGATAGGCGATCCAGACATCGTGTTTTGAGGTGTGCTAGCTGAAGGGTTGCTGGAACCGTCGCGTCTATATGGAGTTGTAACTGATGGGTCATTTAGCTGATTTCGGCTAGACTCTCCAGGAAGCTGCGAGGTGTTCCAGGGCTCGCTGGTTGGTGGAATATTGAAATAAGGTCGATGTCGGAGGGGATTATGTACAGATGGCTCGTTTTCAGAGGGTCTCCCAGGCTCGCTTGCAGAATTGCTGCTCCGATTCGACGTGTCTGAATTTTGGCTGCTGGGGAGATCGCTCATGACAGCGTCAACAACTGTGCTGTCGACACTAGTCCTATTTGTATTGGAGCCACCTGGAGAGCTGATAGATAGTGGTCGCTGGTTCTCCCACTCGGATTCATTCCTCTCGCGGAGTTGACGACGACGATCTGCTGCAGAACGCTCTGTTTCAATATCTGGCGTTACAGAAGAAATCCGACGACGTCGGCGATCTCGATTTGGACGAATCCGACGAGAATGAACAAAAGAAGTTACAGTTGGATTCGAGGCAGGATTGTAAGAATGAGAGTGATGATAGTCTGAGATTTCAGGAATCTCATTGGGAGGCGCATGATAAGTTTGTGGGGGGAAAAAAGGAGAGGGAGGAGGAATGGAATGAGGACTAGCAGAGGAAGAGGGAGATGAACTAGCAGCAGCTGCAGAACTAGTACCAATAGCAGGAGTAGTAGAACTATGACGCGGGGTAGGAGGACCCAAAGTTGGATACCGGTCCACCTGATTCGAAGCGGTAGCAGCAGCAGCAGCAGCAGCGTAAGGAGACGTACCGGCAGTGATACGGCCTGTTTCACGATCACGATCACGTTCGCGTTCTCTATCGATAGCAGGCGCCGGTCGACTAGCATTTTCGGGTTGTGAATTAATACGAGTAGTCGGCATACTGTCGACAGGTGTGCTTCCTCGACGTCTGTGCGATGAACGGGGGGGAGATACTTGGGATGTCGCCGATGTCGACCTAGCGGCTACACCCGTAAAGATACCAGTACCCAATGTTGACCGGTGTTCCCCTGCAGCTGTAGATGTTGATGTCGATGAAGGTGGTTGGTGAGACATATTATTGCCTTGATTGCGAGATGTTCCAGCTGTGTGAGGAGCCGTATTAGAAGCTGTTTGAGCAGTCGAAGCCGATTGAAGAAAACTGCCAAAGGTCGCGGCCCTGCCAAAACTAATTCCTATTTGTCCTAGATTTGGATGTGAATGTTGATGTTGATGTTGATGTTGATATTGAGGTTGGTGAGGTTGGTGAGATTGATGAAGTTGGTGAGGTTGTTGAGATAGGTGAGGTTGGTGAGGTTGATGAGGTTGATGAGGGTGGAGGTGAAGTGAATGACGAGTCGAGCTTCCCCCTCCTCCTCCACCAATACCGCCACTACTACCACCAACGCTACTTCCTCCAACACCTCCAATTGCACTGCTATTACCTCCACTGCTGCTACTACTTTCATTGCGGCCATTTCCACTACTTCCACTCCCAGAGCCCGAAGAAATCGGCATATCAAACGGCCCTGGCGTATTCAGCAACTGAAAATACTCATCCCTCGCTTGAACACTAAGCGATCCACCCCTGGACTGCCTGTCTAGTTCCGTCATTCTTTTGGCCTTATAACGGGCGGTGTAATACTGCCTGAGCAATGATTGGAACCCCGGCGAGTACCTCGGTTCATCTGCAATTCTGGTCTCCAGTTCTCCCCATGTACGAATATGTTGAGCTACAACCGGATGATATTCGTTCGAAAAATTGGGGCTCATATGCTGGAATACTGCGTATGACTGTGGGAAACCATCCTCAGGGGTTATTACGGGTACCGCTGGGGATGTAAGGGAATGTCGAGAAGTCGAGTTCGAGTGAGCGAAGTTAGGATGCGATGCTGATGCCACTGCAGCAGGATTAGGAGGAGGATTCGAGTAGCCAAAGTCGTGAAAAAGATCCCAGGCTGTCAGACGGGGTTGATTATCACGATATGAGGGGACGCTTGCGTTCAGTCTATCCCAATAGTCTAAAATTGACCTCAAGGAGTAGGCGGAAAGAGAGACACCTAGTCAGCAAACAAAACTTCCAATCAAATAACTCCTCGCAAAGGTAATGCAAGGCGAAATTGCTCCTTCAATTAAGTGAACACTGAAGCAGTTACCAGAAGTCCAGTGAAATTGCAACTAAAAAGCTGGGGATGGTGTTGTTTGTTCAGCCGAAGGTTTACAAACGGGAGACACGGGCTGATTCCGAAAACAACCAGTTCAAACTAAGAGAAACCCCCCGGCTCATAATGCGCTCTCTCTCTCCCCTCCCGCCTGAAAGTATAGGGAGCAGTGCATGTTGGATGTGCTCATGGGAACTTTTACAAGCCGCTCAATCGAGTGGCCCCAGAATGTCACAAATCGACCTATATTTATCTAATAGAGCTCAAAAAGAGCAAAGCAAGATGCGGCATGCATAGGACGTACAATTAAGGAACAAGAAGGCATTATCCGAAGAAATCAAAGGCCGACTAGTGATATAGGAAAACTCAGGGTAGGTGGTGGGCAGATGGGGTTGGTAGGAGTGGAGAGATGCAGAGTACAGTTATCAATATAACATTGGATTATATTGACCAAAGGTGAAATTCAAAAGACGTATGAAAATTATATAGTTTAGAAAAGGCGAAAGGGTGGATTTAGGTACCTCTACAAGCTGAGCAATAATGAGCCCATCTGGGTGCATCCAGAACCAAACTGCCGTCGACGTATCTAGAGTTGAGTTATCCCAATTTAGCCTTTTGTTCGCTCCCCGCTAGGCTATCGGTCTTCTGACGCAGGCATTCGCTCTTCGAAACACTCCGTAGGTGATACAAATACAAAACAAGAAACAAAAAAAAAAAAGAACAAGGAGGCAGTCGAGGCGAGAGGGCTTGAGTAGTGATCAGTAACAGGATATATGTATCGATTCGGCTCCCGGAGGGGCGGTGGGTACGGTGTATTTTCGTCACTTTAGATCCGGAGGATTCAACTGCATTTTGAGGGACCCAAAAAAAGAGAACAGGCGAACCGATCGGGTCTATCGGAACTAACCAGAAACTCAAAAGGAAAAAAAAGGGTAAGATAATGACCAGTGCCATAATTATACGTACCTTTCGTAATATTGTTCATGGGGCCTGTTGTCGCCACAGGAGCAACATTCTCCTCGGTGAAGGGAACACCTTGTAACGTCCTTGTGTGCGCATTTCTCGGACGAGGTAATCGGAGCTTGCAGACTTGGAGGGGCGCTTCCCAAAGCCGAAGTCGATGATCGGACTGCGGGTTGAGTGCGGGGCCCAGTCTGGCCTCCGAGACCTGCTGAAGAAGAAGTCGAGGAAGAAGAAGAAGAGTTGTGGCCGACTGCGGTGCTTGCCGACAGTTGTAAAAAGTGTGCTGCTGACGATGATGAAGCTGATACTGCGGGCGGCAAGTCCATGCCCACGAATTCCTGTGGGGTAGAAAGTCGAGTTGTTTTTGTCCTTTTGGCGGTTTAATTTCGAAGAAAGGAAACTGGAGTAGACCGACTCACAACAACCTCTTTGTGTTCCTCAAAATATTCGATACGACGATAAACAGCGGCGGGGATGGTAGGAAATTTCTGTGCGGACATGAGAATACCAATATTTCAAGGACCTTTAAAAGTTATTTCGAAATTTTGTTACTAGTGGTGCAAAATGGACTGTTTATCACACACAGCTGTACAGTGCTCTGCGACAGGATTGGTGGCCGCGAGTCGTATAGTTGGGTTAAAGCAGGCCAGACTATTGTGGCGTATCGATATCCTGTGGTTGCAGTCTCCAAAATGTCTGATGGAACCCTTGGAATGTTGGGGAGAACCGATGAAATGGGGGATGAATACGGAAGGACGACTCGACTCGTTGAAGGAAATAAATTGTGACCTTGAGAGGCTAAATGCCTCGGGAGTTCAAAAACCAGTAGAGCGCTGGTGGACTTAACAACTTAGAGTAATCTGGATGCTCAAAGGAGTACTCTCGTGCTTAGTTTGACTGAGGCTTCGGGGCATTTCTTGAGGCACCGTCATGCCTCGAGTGCCTTCTCCCTTTGGCTGGACAGTTACAACTTTTTCGAGCTGTGGGCGTCTAGCTTTGCAGGTGACACTAGGATTCGACGAAAAAGGGAGCCTGTCGGCTTGACAAGAATTTCGATGTTCGCATTTGTCAGAGAAATATTGTTTGCTAGTGCTACTCCTAAGCCCGTGGGTTTCTCTCGGTCAGTCAGTCTTTTTCTTTTCCTCCATCAATGGTATTAGGTCGGGCCAGGTCGGTTGTTGGTGGATCACATTCGAGTTGGCCAGGATCTCGTAGGTTTCTACTTGAATGGTTATGTCTTAGTTTTGTCTGGTGCACTCTCTCAGATATGCATGGAACCCATGGGGATGCGAGCTTGAGAGACCAGGTCCGAGACGAGACTCGCAGCTTCATATGTATCAACGAACGAACAGACCCAGCCTGCATGAACAGAACGAACAAAGCGTTGTTGGATATAGTTTCTTTCGATTTAACTCAGTGGGTGAACGGAACCTGAACTCTCAGCGGTGACCTAGATTCGGTCGATTCCAAGCAGAGATAGGTCCAATGCAAGGGTGTATTAGGAACCCAAAGTACTTCTTGTCCTTTTTTTTTT